CGAGGAAATTGTGTTGGGAAGTGAGGATGGTGGCAGGCACATATTGGCGAAGCTATAGCATGAGCGTATTCTCATCGTTGAAGATTACCGTCTGTGCATGTGTGTATCGCGTTGGCTTCGCTACTCCGGTGGTTTTGGTGCGGACGCCTGTCAGATGTTAATGTGGACGATATTGAAACTCGGGGTAGCGTGAAACAAAGTCTACCAATGTATGCGATTACCCCTTTATGCTGCCGGCACCGGTGAAAAAACTTCGCCATGTCCAAAACCCAAGCTCATTGGCAATTCGCAGTAGATGCGAGCTGTCAAAGAGGATTGCGTGAATACTCCGCAATTCATAGTGGTTCCCAAACTCTAAGTTCGCAGAGCGGTCCAGGTCAATCTTACTAGTCGCCCGTTGGAAGAGGGCCGATTACTCAACTCTGCAAATGCCCAATGACAAGTTGATGTCATGGTTTTAGGCCTCCGAACGCTGGAGCCGTTGACAATGACATGCCATCTTTCCCTGCTAGACGACCGTTGAAACATTGGCATCGCGTGTTCGCGATGATCGGGTGCGTATCGGGAGTTGTTGGTCGGCGTATTTCAGGCGCTCGAAAGTAGGCGGCCTGCATCGACCTTGCAGACTAACAATGGAGTTCAGGAGAGAAATAAAGAACACGATCCAGAAACGGTAAGAACTTTGACACTGAGATGTCTAAATCTTATCTAGCTGTGCCGCGAAACATGCATGGAGTTGAACGCCTCGTGTGGTGTTGCAGCATCGTCGCAGTCGGCAAGTGCGAGGCCGCTGAGTGCCAAGACACAACTAAGTCCTGAGTCAGCAACGATAGGTGCCTGTCGCTTGTGACGCAGTTATGCAGTCTACGGCACATCAACCCACTATGCAGCACCGTTTTCCCGAGCACCGGGCCTGACCCCATGCCCTTCGATCTCTGCCAGACAACCTTTATGGTCCATCTTCCGCCAGTCACTGGGCGCTCCATTCCAAGCTCGTAAAAGCGTGGCCTGGGTTTCAGCCTGATCGCCGCTACGCCTCTTCTGGCTCAGGACCCTTCGGATGACCACGCAGCACATTCGCGGACCGGAAGGGAGACATAGTTATTAGACTTGACGTTCTTTGTTCTGTGCAATCGGATGCCTGCGCTAGTGTCTGCTTCGTAGATACCTTACTTGAGCCTGACCAGCAGCGACTGCGGAGCTTGCCGCCCTTTCTTCTTACCGCCTCATCGCTTCCAGAGCATAAGCATGTCCTATCGCGGACGTCCCAGTAAGGGATGTGAGGCTTGTAGAGCCCGTAAAGTCAAGGTACGCATCTCTCCCTGTCGAGTTCTTCGAATTGTCCTATTCTCTGGACTGCACCGTGGACAACGACGATTATGGGGACAAGGCTGATGCCAGAGTAGTGCGATGAGGGCAGGCCAGCTTGCAGTCGGTGTAGCAAGGCAGGTCATGAATGCAAGTACCGAGATCAAGCCGACATCCTCTTTCGGAACCAAACGGCATCGGCTGCGCAGAGAGCAGAGGAGTCATGGCGGAAGCGATCAAAGTCAAACCAACGTGCTACTATTGCCGAAAGTAGCAACGCCTACAGCAACACCTATAATAACACCTATATCAAAACACCACCAAGCGACGAGTCAACACCACCTCATCTGGATGACACGCGCTCATCCAGCGGTAGTGTGCATTCTCCCGGTGCCTCTGTGGATGACCCGGCTCAAGAATCATCAAGCGTCGCGTCCGCAACCATCGATCTAAGTCGGCTGACTATCACTCCATCGCCTAATCCGGATTTTCGTAGAAGAGCTTTTGAGCGCTTTGTATACGACTTTGTGCTACCCGACTCGCCGAGCAGACCAGCAGACCAGCCAGATGAAGCCCTTTGGACCTTCATCCCGCTCTTGTATCAAGACGCCCAGGAGAACTCATTGATCGCGACAGCTGTTGACGCAGTATCCTACGTCAACTTCGCTAATAGATACAATGATTCTCATGCGCAAGCATTAGGTGAGGAATGCGTAGGGAGGGCCCTTCCGATGTTGACAAAGGCAATTGCGGACAAGAAGCAGGCGGCCACGAATGCTGCACTTTGCTCGGTACACCTGATGGGCATCTACGAGGTACGTTCGTTCGACATAGCTTGATGGTATGCACAATCTCTAACGTGATGAACAGAATCTTACTAGCGTGCAGCGGAAAGGCACATTCTTGGCTCACAACCAGGGCGCAAATGCTATGCTTCAATTGCGGACGGTTGAGGAGTTCTACAGCGATATCATATCAGCCAGACTTTATGAAGTCATCTATGCACATCTGGTAATCGCAGTCACAGACGAACAGCTTGCCCGGCGATGGCTAACCTCTTGCGACAGCTACTAGGCAACTTACAAGCAGCAAGACGCCCGGCAATACCTACGAGAGACGTGGTCAAAGTCGACGGATATCTTCCAAGTCTGTACAAGAACTCTAATGCCTTTGTCATTCGCCTAATATGGCGAGCGGCAATGCTACATGCTAGATGGCACGAAACCAAGCAAAGTGCAAATCCACCAACCAACCGTATGGCCATGCAGGAACTCTTACAGAGCGCTCTCGAACTAGAGAGCGACTATCAAGCTTGGGAAGCAAATGTTACACCAGCTTGGAACTACCACATGACACCCAACACACCAGAGGCTCGGTCGACCTACGACACCAAGTGGCAAAAGCTTTTCTTAGGTTGTCCGGGCGCACCAGAAGAGATTCATATATACTCGAGCTTGAAACGCGTCTGGATCTGGGGCTTCTATCGTACAAGCCGCATACTTGTTCTGCGTGATTTGCTCGAGATGTTGAATTGGATGTTGAGATTCCGGGACCCTTGCCTATTTTTTCGTCCTCAAGAAGCCTCGGGGCAGTCTATGCCTACTGCTCTGAGTGATGCAAATCTCCGCATGCATCATTCTGTCGCGACCGCTCGCTTGGTCGAGGTCATTGAGAAGAACTGTTCCTCTATACTCGGCAGCTTTACTGTACCGATACATATGAAATCTGCCACCGATATCTGTGGCATGCGGGGCTATATCTGCATATGGCCCCTGGGTACAATGGATTCAGTACTCAGCTCTGGTCTTGTGCCGGATAGCAATGCGGGCAAGCATCCGGAGAGCGCTACTCACCTACCAACACCACCGCCGGCTTACTCGCAACCCTCCAACGCGCCACCACATCTAGCCACATCCGCTTCCAACGCGTCTTCCGCAAGCGAACCGTCGGCGGCCCTAGAATCTTACGATGCGGCACCGCCATTCTCCGAACTCCACAATATTCAGTCCAAGTCGGAAAGCGACCAATCTCCTGGCGCGAGTCCGCCATCGAACACGCCGGTCTTGGACCAGAACGCGAAGAAGAATCACATCTTCGACCCCAACCCTGCGCACCCGTACGATCACCCGCTAGACCTACCTTCTCTGGACTATGGAGTTGAGCCCAGGAGAATAGATATTGCAGCAAGGCGAGAATGGATAAACCGCCTGATGTACTACATGGCCACAGAATTGGGGCTGAAGAAGGCGCTCTGGTGCCCAGTTATGCAAGGCTACATGCCTACCGTAAAACCCATGGTTGACGAGATTCTCAGCCAAGAAAGAGGTTTCTAACACCTCGGATTACGCATTTGCTAACGGTGTATAAACAATAAGGGCATCTCGTTGGCGTTTTCGGATTTTGTCTTCTGCATTTACGAGAGGAAATTCGGGGTGGGAAGTGCGGTTTAGTAACATATTGTTCACGTACATATATTTTGGTTCGGTGTTCTTTGGACATATACGAAAGTTATGGTTTGTGTCTTGGATCATGAGGGTATTGTCGAGTGATTGGGAGCAATGTGTGAGCTGACTCGATTAGCATTAGCGTTCACGACGATAGCCTTGGTTGTGAGTGGGTAGGCAATAACACGTTGGGGTCATGACATTCACGGCTCGGCCTACATACCCATCGCTCATTAGTTCCAGCTGCAATTGTAATCCAGTACAATCACAACTATCAACCGACTTCCACCAGAAAAATCACTTAACTCAAATGGACAGACACACGATGAATCACGTCGCAACTTCGCCTTCAGTCCTCGACAAGGCCGTCGACAAGCACGACCTTGTGTAATTTCTTTCTTTCAAACTGTGGCTGGAATTGTTCGTTCGACCCGCTAACACTTACGGCACACAAGCCAATGCCAAGAACTCACCGTTGCTGCGCCTCCCAGGCGAGTTGCACAACAAAATCTACGAATATACTCTCATCGACTCTCGTATCGAGCCAGTGCTTTACCGGCAAACAGCCTCAATACACGCTCGAAAAAGCTCAGCTCGACCCATGTCGCCCGCCATCTCACTCATCCGAACATGTCGTCAGACCCGGTCTGAGGCTGAGTCTCTCTTCTTCTCGCACACCACTTTTGGTTTCAGTTCTCGATACGACTTTCATCGTTTCCTGGCGCACGTTGGGCTTAAAAAAAGGGAACTCATCACGTCGATATCAATGATGTTCTACACACTCGAAACACTTGGGCAACACGAGGGGCGGTATAAGCTTCCACGACTGAAGTATGTTTACGCAACAACGCCTCCAACTTACGATGAGGTAAACATGAAGACACTACAGGGATATGCGGGACTGGTGGAGAAAAACTTTGGATGTGGAAAGATCACATTCATTCTGGGCCCGCGAGTCGGTCCGTAGAGTCGACGTCAGTCATTTGGTAGAGCAGTAGTTTACCCGGTATGATCCAAGATGAATATTCGCGTCTTCAAGGTCTCGAACTGCTCTGACATCACCTTGTCCTCTTACCGCGGCCTCATGTAGTTAGCGCCAAGTCGCAGTCACCGTTTGTCCTCATGCAGACCCTCTACTAGCGTCGCTGCCAGCTTTGACTGACAGCTCCCCTACCAGCTACCTGCTGTCTTGCTCTTATAACCAACATTGAGACATAAAACCGCCGCCGCATCGCCCACACACTAATGATGCTCCGCCTCTCCGATTTGGGTTCTATGAAGCCTCGCGTCCTACCCCCGGACCAAAAGGACGACCGCGACGAAAACCTCCGCGACGTCGATGACGTCTTCAACAACAACTACGACGGGCGAAGCAACGACAAGAGTGCTGTTTTCCTACCGGTGTATAATAGAGATGAGATGTGAGCTTGCCGCGCAACAACCGCAAGTGAAGCGCCTGACATCCCGCAGCACCAAGAGAAACCAGACAGGCTCACCTCTCCTCCTTCTCCCCGCCGAACTCCGCAACGACATATACAACTACGTGTTCAACGGCGCCATCATCAACGTCAACAAACCACTTGTCAGAAAGGACATCCGCAGATATCGCAGTGTCCGCGCTATCGTCTACACATGCCGCCAATGCTACATGGAAGCGAATCGCATGTCGTTTAATCTATGTAGCTTTGAACCCAGCTACTTTGCCCTCCGCTTCTTCTCGTCGTCAAATCTACCCGCTGGAGGGTTCGGAAAGATAGAGCGGCTTTGGCTGACGCAGGGGATTGGGCAGGCTATCATTGAGGGACAGGACGAGATGAAGAGCGCGAGCCTGAAGGAAGAATTTGCTTCGTTGAAGTATTTGGAGATAGAAGTGTGGCGTATGAAGGTAAATTTGACGGACGCTCAGGCAAAACAGAAGTTGCGCGACGCGTTTGGCCTTCCGAATTTGCATATTGTGGGTAGACACAGAGTTGAGGATGCGCCGGTGGCTGCCTAATGATTCGTACGGAATCGCTTGCTGGAATATGACGGCAGAGTTATACGGTAGTTTGAAGCTCAGTAGCTTAATGTCTTGTTGCGAGATAAGTTTATGAGCTTCCTTCGTAAAGTCGCGTCGGCGTTTAGCCCCGCGCTAACATCTAATCCCCGACCCCACAAGTTCTGCTTACATAACGCACGAGCCCCATCGCCCTCTCACCAAAGCCCTTCCAAAGTGTCCCGGAACCCATTGCTCATCCCCCCATCCGCATTCGCATTAGCGCTCCGACGACTAGGTACCTCGGGACCAATACAATTCCACTGGCCCTTTGTCAATCAGTGCCGACAGTAAATTGAAAGTCGGTATACAGAAGAAAGAGCTAGGAAACCACACACAGCCCACGAAAATGGATATCCGCGTCCTACGCCCATCGGACATTCCGCATGTTCAGCTTGCGAATATTACGAATTTGCCCGAGAACTATTTTTGCAAGTATTACTTGTATCATGCTATGAGTTGGCCGCAGTTGAGCTATGTGGCTGTTGATGTAAGTTTTTATGTTTGTGTTCTAGCAAGGAAGGGGGGCAAGGCGAATGGATGTGTATGGATTGCCAAAGTCGAGGGATTGGGGGAAAGAGATGGGAATTTGAGGGTGAAAGAGAGAGAGTGAATTATCGGATGAGATGTTGCGAGTGCTGCGATTGGTGTCTTCGTCAAAGGATGGTCGAGCAACGAGGCGTCGTTGCGTGTAACACGTGATGATCCGACCATCCATCATTCTCTTGATATCAGACAATACACCACACACCAGTCCCCGCCACTAACACCTCTACAGGTATCCCGGCCTCCCAAGACACCCTACGACCCCCCGAAGATTGTAGGCTACGTCCTCGCCAAAATGGAAGAGGAACCCACCGACGGCGTCCAACACGGCCACATAACCTCTCTCTCCGTAATGCGCACCCACCGCCGTCTCGGCCTCGCCGAGAAGCTCATGCGCCAATCCCAACGCGCCATGGCCGAGACTTTCAACGCGCACTACGTCTCCCTGCACGTCCGCGTCTCCAACAACGCCGCCCTGCATCTCTACCGCGAAACCCTCGGCTTCACCGTCGACAAGATCGAAGCAAAGTACTATGCCGACGGCGAAGACGCGTACAGTATGAGGATTGAACTGGCGGATTTGAAGGAACAGTTGCGTGACGAAGAAGAAGAAATCTTCGGTAGTGAAGGACTTGATGAGGGGGATGCGGTGGGGAGTGAGGGGCAGAAGGAGAAGAAAGCCGCGAAGAAGACAAAGGTCAAGGTGGGTCGGGGAAAGGGGGTAGTTGACCTGGTGGAGAAGAATGAGGCGGCTGCTGCTTAGGAGGCAAAAGTTGCTGAGATTTACGAGGGGATACGTCTCGAGATGTGGAGGTGAGGAGGGACGAGGTTCCTCTTCTGTGCATGTGGTTCAGAGAGAATAGTGGTGGTGTGTTGGCATTAGTTTATTTGGAAGCACATTTGTTGTGCTCAAGAAGGGGTGACGCTTGCCAGCGTATCTCCATATCTGCCCTTCTCATGCTATCTCATGCCGTATTCTAAGATCCAACTCCATCTCCATGCAAGAAGACGTACAGAAAGAAAAAGAACGCCGATCCGTGTACCTTGTTGGATATCATAAAGTTCCCAGATCATAATCCCGCCGCATAAATCATCCTCTTTTCATCTCCTACATCAACCCGCCCAGAACAACCTTGCCCACACCCCCAACCTCACTCTTAAGTCCCGCCCGACAACTATCCTCAAACTCCCTCACCACACCCGCGAGAATAATCTTCCTCACCCTCGCATCCGCCTTGTTGAACAAATCACCCACTAAACTCGGCACGCCACCGCCCGCAGTCGCCACACTCTCTGGCGTACTAAGCATACTCAATATCTTCGTGTAGCAATCAATCAAGACATCGCACAGCGTGGCAAACGTGCTGAAGAAATCGGGGTCGAAGGGTAAACTCGGCGTCTGGAGATGCGTGTAGCTTTCATTCGGGAGGAGGGAATCGTCCGTTGTAGGCGGTGAGTCAAAGCCTCCGCCCATGCCACCGCTTGTTTCACTCCCCGTGAAACTATTACTCGGCGTCAGCAACGGGAAATCGCCAGTCGCGCTACTGCTCCGCCGGCCTTTACTCCCCATCGACATGCCCATGCCCATTCCCATACCCATGTTTGCGCGCTTGAACATCTGGGGGAGGCGGGCGCGGGAGAGGGAGCTGGGGGTCGAGCCGTCGGCGGGGTGGATGGATTGGTATTGTTCGAATTCTAGCAGCAAGGCGTTGAGGGCTTTGAGGTAGTCGGACGGGGAATTGGCGTTTAGATCGAGGATGGTGGGGAGGGAGAAGCCGAGGAGGAGGTAGTGGGTTGCGCGACGGGCTTGGTTGCGCGTTGTGAAGGAGGGGAGGCGCGTGAGGTCGGTCTTGGAGAAGAGGAGCGTGTTGAACCAGTAGATGCGTCCTTCGTGGCTGGGGGGGTGTTAGTGGGAGTTGACAGGGAGGAGAGGATGTACCTACGCTTTCCGCAGGTAGTCGAGGGTGGATATCCGTTTTGAGGCGAGCTCGTGGATGTGCTGGAAGACGAGGTTGGGGTTGGAGCCATTGGGGACGGGGATGGGGGCTGCGGGAGCTAATGTGCGGTTGGACTGCTGGTTTGCCTGGAGGATCTCCTTCTGGGAGGGAGGATGCCGCAGCGGGATCGGGACAGCCATGTTACCGAAGGGTGTCTTGGGCTTGTCGACGGCGCTGAGGGGGCTCTTCTCGTAGACCTGGGGTTGGGGTTGGGGTTGTACACCACCACTCTCCGTCTTTACGTTCTCGCTGCTTTTTTGCTTGTTGCGCGAGAAGGTGGAGATGGAGAGGGCGGGCCGCGAGGCATTCGTCACACTACCAGGCACGGGCGCCTTCTCGGGGGAGTAGGTGAGTGCCAGGGTGGCCGAGGGGGTCCTCTTATGCGAGGACGATGTCTTGGCCGTGCCGTCGGATGTGTTTGTTCGAAGCGAGGCGGACCGTGACCTCCGCAGCTGGGACCCGAGATCGGTGACGGACGAGGCGATGCTGTGCCTGCTGCTGGCGTGCCTGCGTCGCGGTGGCGTCGCTGCGAGTCTGGCGGGAAACTCGTATTGGTCGGCGTCGAGAGGGGGTGTCTTTAGCCCGGTGTTGGCCGCGGGAGTGATATTGAGCGAGGGCGGCGCGAGGGTCGAGGGGGTTTGCTTGTGTCCCTTGCTCTTTCCGCCGAAAAACGAGGGGCGGCGGGAGAAGAGGCCCTGGGCGCTGGCCGTGCTGGACGATGCGTGGTCGGCCATGCTGGTAGCCCATGTGCTTTCCAGAGTTGTGGGGCTACCGAGCGATCAGGGGTTGTTTCACCACGGACCCTGATAACACCGGCTATCTTGTGGAAGACATACTACGCGAAGATGTGCTATGGATATTCTGCAAGAGTATGGGCAAGGCAGTGCGCGCAAGAACCCGGGGGTCGTCGTTATAAGGTCGCGATACTGGCGCGCAAAACGAAAACGTGTTTCGATTCGCGGCTACAGCTGATACCGTGAGAACCTATCCCGGCGCAGGAACCAGCCGCCGAGGCGCATCCCTGCCCACCGCCTCTGCCCCTGTCGCCCGACATTGCCATAGCTTCACTGCACTATGCCATCTAATCCATCTAACCACGTGCGAGCAACACGTTAGGCTGAATACAGCAGTGGCAGGTGCTGCGTCCAAGACTCCAAGCTTTCCAGTCCCACGGTTCAGACTCGACACCGTCCGACTCTGTCCCATACCATTGCTACCAGCCTGTGCTGAACTCCGAGTACTGTTGCTGCCAGCCCCGCCAACTACCCCACGTCACGATGCAGCGCAGACAGAGCGCACGAGTACGACACCACCCACCCACGCCCAGGCTGCGCAAACAACTGACGAAACATAGGGAGAGTGGATTCCCACAGAGGGACAGTGGCCCGTGGATCCTCAGGAAGACGTCGAGGTTTCGGAGCAGCGCATATGGGTCGATGGCTGTTTCGACTTTGCTCACCACGGTATGCCGACTGCCGCATTCGAGGTACACAGCGCTTACAGACGACAGGCCATGCGGGCGCCATGCTGCAGGCGCGGCAGCTGGGCAACGAGCTGTTCGTCGGTGTGCACTCGGATGAGTCCATCATGGAGAACAAGGGCCCGACGGTGATGCGCCTGGAAGAGCGGTGCGCACAACCATGACGAATGCGCCGCCTTTATAGCTAATGATTCCAGTGTCGCCGCCGTCGAAGCCTGCCGATGGGCCACCAAAGCCGTCCCGAGGGCGCCCTACGTAACCTCGCTGCCCTGGATCACCCACTACGGCTGCCAGTACGTCGTCCACGGCGATGACATCACCTCCGACAGCGACGGAAAGGACTGCTACCGCTACGTCAAGGCGGCGGGAAGGTTCAAGGTGGTTAAGCGCACACCCGGCATCTCGACGACCGATCTCGTGGGCCGCATGCTGCTGTGCACCAAGTCGCATTTTATACCATCGCTGGAGAAGAGGCTATCTGGAGACGAGGGCCCAGGCGACGAGAAGGAGCGGTTGAAGACGGGAGAGGAGATGCTCCAGCGCATCAAGGACTATGCGACAGACGCTTCAGGTCGCGCGCCCGGCTGCGACGTGTGGTACTGGCATGCTTCCCGACCCGTCAAGCTACGGAGGACAACCACCAGCAACACGGTGACCTCACCTACCTCACCCACTGCGCCCCGCCCTGGCACCGTCCGCCAGGCCTCGACCGCCTCGGCACTGGGCCCTGTCAAGGAAGAAAAGGGCAAGTTCCACGAGCTGGTCCAAGGCAAGGGCGTCAAGCCCGGGCAAAAGGTCGTCTACGTCGACGGAGGCTGGGATCTCTTCTCCTCCGGCCACATCGAGTTCCTCCGCCTCGTCACACAATCCGAAGAGGAAAACGCCAAGGAGCGCGGCTGGTACACCGACGAAGCAAAGGCAGAGCGCATAGAAAAGTCCGGCGAGGACTACGGCCCCATCTTCCTCATCGCCGGCATCCACGACGACGAAGTCATCAACCACTGGAAAGGCATCAACTACCCCATCATGAACATCTTCGAGCGCGGTCTCTGCGTCCTTCAATGCAAAGTGCGTCTCCCCTCCCTTCCCATCTCCCCAACACACCCACTAACACATATATTTTAGTACGTCCACGCCGCCATCTTCGGCGCCCCCTTCTCCCTCAGCAAAGCCTTCCTCCACACGCTCCCCTACGCCCAACCCCTCACCGTATACCACGGCAAAACCACCTTCATGCCCCTCGCCTTCGATCCCTACGCCGTTCCCAAGGCCCTCAACATCTACACGGAAATAGCTAACCACGACTTCCAAAACGTAAACGCTGCGGAGATTGTAGCGAGGATCATGAAAGGCCGCGCGCTGTATGAGGAGAGGCAGCGTAAGAAGGGCGAGAAGGGGATGACGGAGGAGGTTGAGCGGATTAGGCAGGAGATGGAGAGGGAGCAGAAGAGGAGGGAGGTTGAGGGGCAGTTTGGGCTGTAGATATTGTTGGTGGGGAAGGACTGGGAAGGGCTGTGATATCGTTAGCGTGTGCGACGTTATATACCAATCTTCAACAGATGTTCAAATCCTCTTCATGGTGCACAAACGGCCGGTACAACTCGTCATCGGAACATCCGAATTCGGTTCTCGAAAAGCTGGATGCGCGGCACTGAGTATCCCAGTGACTCACTTGCAGATTGCCTGTCCTCGTCTGCCAAACCCTTCCTTATAGCCATTTCTGCCCATCTGCATCCAAGCATCTCCACTAACCATCCCTTAACTTATCCGCCAACCCAAGAGAATGTGTTGAGCTTCACTCTATATTTACAAACATCCAACATCTGTCCAATAGCTCCTCCGTCGGAAGATACGGCTCACCCAACCGCTCCTCAAACACCACATTCAACCGCTCCTTCCCAAACCACTTTCCTATCGCTTCCTCCGTAAACTCACCCCCCGATACTGGCCAGCCGGCTACTCTCTTACATATGACGTCCACACGCTCCAGACGTGGCAAGTCCAAGGTACAACATCTGGTCTCTCGCTTCTCCATCACGCGCTTATCAACCTCCCGCTCCATGAGGTCAGCGAAGATCTCGCTGATCTGGAGTGAAGTTATGTGGGCGCAGAGAGTGTGTGTGGACAGTGCGTGTAGAGCCATTACCAAGCCTCGCCGAGAAGCGTGTCGATAGTGGTTTGGGCGTAGAGGAGTGGGGGTGGCTTCAGAGCGGGTTTGTTTGCAGGTTGAGAGGAGGGCTGGGAGCTGGAAATGTACGACGAACTTGGAAGGGTTGCAGGTGGTGTCGTTGGGTTTGATGGTGGAACTGAGTAGTAAACTCGAAGAGTGTAATTGATCTCTTATGTAATGTGCTAGTTGGCCAAGAACTAATACTGTGTTTTGGTCGGAAACTTTGACTTCTAAGATCGCTACCGTTTACAGCAAGGCTTGAAATGGTACTCTAAGATGAGCAGTGTCTCATGTTCTTTTGCGAACCTGTTTTCGATTCGTCTTGATTGATCATTGTTCCCATGGCTACACTGCTACAGAGAAAACACATTCCCATGATCAATGCTAGTACAACATCGAGATTCTCGTTGCTATGAGTGAAGGATATTACCCATAGCCGGCAGAGAAAAGGACACAAGAAGCGGCCTTGGCTATACGCTACCCGATTGGGTCAACTCCATCTTAGATGAATCCTCGTCATCTTCTTTCCAATCATCCTCCTACTGCATATCTACAGATATGAATTCCAGGGTATTATTCCCACGCCGAGCCTTCAGTCTCGCCCTGGTTCTACCACGTCCCCCGTGTTCAGTCCATCCCTTTGAATCGACATAAATTCTCTCCAAGCTTGACAACCACCTAGTAAGAGGCTTGTACACTGTGCCGATTGCACTGGCTTTAGGTTTGAAGGACTTGAACGAGGCGAAATCTGGAGCAATCCGGATTGAGGTGACGAACTCGAAGAAATCTTGGTTGCCACGAGAATTCAGCAATATGCCGGTGTCACAGCCGGTGAAATTGAAAACAGCGTGTTTGCATAGCAGCGATGTGGCTTCTTGGCGGACTTGCTTACACGTGCTTAGGAGGTTGGGACGCTGGAATTTGATTTTCTCAGCGTCCTTCCACGCAAAGCCTGGTAACTAAGGGAGTGTGATGACTCGAATCGTGGTTGAAAGGCCTACGTAGGTGTAAATCTTGTTTCGCAGCTCGGCGGGCAGGTGGAGAACAAGAAACTTGAGCTGGTTTTTGAGCGTACTAGCGGAGGTGTCAGTTGTTATAACCGTGCTGCTGGGGGCATTGGGCTTACATCTCTGACATCGCGCTGTCGCAAGGCCAGACTGCGCATGGATGGCCGTTCTCCATCGCAGGTGTCGATGCGGAATGTGGAAGCAGTGTGCAAGGTCAGAAGCAAATGGGCCAGGGTCAAGATATGTAACGTCTTCCGAGGTGGGGAAGCGAGGTGAGAGTGAGCTTGGGCAACTGCTGTATTGGAGTGGAGGGAGCGACTATTTAGCGGCTGTTGCCGTTCTAGGTAAGTGCAAACGCCATGTCGTGAAAGGCACTCTCCCACCTTCCAAGGGGCCTCGCACGTTTACTACCAGACCTTGAAAGACGACCTCTAGGTCTACATTCCCCGCCCAGACCCGCAGCTTTTCCCGCATATCATTGATAGTACCTAGTTGCACTACACCACGGGACACGTAAACTCGCACCAAAGCCGGAAAGATTGAGAGCGTCGTGTCATCCAAATTATACGCCCACTAACGGGGTATGCGAATCGATGTAATGAGTTGACAGACCGCCAGTCTAGCGATCTCTGCGAGCTGCATATCACTCGTTTCAAAGAAACGGTAGGTCGCTCTGGCGAAGAACATCGTACGGGCTTCAAAGCGGAGCTGAGAACAGGTCGAGATCAGAGCCGTAGATATCTTGTACGAGTTGTAACTTGGACAGTTTGTTTGGATCTGGATGTTAACGAATGTGTATTCGTAGATCTTGTTGCGTATTTCTCCTGGGAGTCGGAGGAGTGGAGATGTAAGTTGGTTCTTGCTTGTACTAAATAGCGTGTCAGCGAGTGCGGGAGATTAGGTACAAAGAACATGGCCGAATTACAGGACCGACATGTCTTTATTGTTTTGCAGAGCCGTGGGTAAGATTGTGGTATCCATATCGTATGAGTGGGCGAACTTGGGGTGTTTTGATTATGGAAGTGAGCGGGAGACAGAAGTAGCTGGACGGCTTGGGAATTGATCAAACAATATTTAGCGTGTAATAAGCGACTATCACCTTTCTCCATAGCGTAGCTGTCTATGACGTATCAATACCCTTGTCATTCCCTTGCGCAGCACTTCCACGCGTGAAAGTCTCTAGACGGCTGCACTGTAGGTCACTTGCAAGTCTGCATTTCCCGCCCAAGTTCTTAGCGCGTCAACCCGTCGACTATGGTCCATTGGCATGCGCGGTTGCGAACCAGATACATGTACTCGCACCAACCCCGGGAAAACTTTAGCTCCCTGTCTTGCCGCTACAAAATGCCCATCCTCTAGTAGCAGCCTTGTCACTCGCTGCGATCGTAGATGAATCGAAGTGACGAGCCGGAAGTCCGCATGTGGAAGCGTCTGTGGCATCTCCGAGAACCAGATGGCCTTCAGACCGAATATCGCATGGTTGAAAAAGATGGCGCGGGCTTCATGGCGCATTTGGGAACAGGTGGATATTATGGCTGTGGACTTGCGGGCTCAAGCACTGTTGTTGAAGGCGACCCGAGTGCGGGAACACGCGTACACATAGATCGTGTTACGTATCTCGCCTGGAAGCCGTAATAGGGATGAGTTGGCCTGGTTGTTCAGGGTGCTGAATACGTGTTAGCAGGTTCCCGCCTTCTCAATGGGAGTAGATGGCTCAGGTGCTTACATCTCGCGAGCTTCTTTAGAAGTGAGCACGCGACGTTGACGCGAGGTCACCGTCTTCTGTGAAATATCGCTGCGCGAGGTCAAGCCCGAAGTTGAGGAGTCCGTCGCGTGGCGCAGAACGCTTAGGGGTGTTTGATGATTTGTGATTGACACCAACCAGTCAGCGTAGTTGCTCACGAGACTGTATGAGCTGATAGTTTACCGACAAGGGCTTAGGAGCAAACAGTACAAGGTGACTGGTTTTGACGATGAAGGTATTTACATACAGATCGTACGTACGGAAGTGAGTGCAAGACTAGGGTTAGACCCTTGAGATCACCTGCCGGATCACAGGCATTCGAGCGAGGATGTTTCCTAACAAATTTCTCATGTATTGCTATAAATGGCATTCTGTATATCCATCAGCTCTTTTGGCCCGTTCTCAGAGATATGGGCTCCCAACTTCATTGGAAAGGCTTCCTCAGGTACCCATTAACCCATGAGTAAAGGAAAATAGATCGGGAAAGACTGCAATAGCAGCGGCCAAGTCTGGGAAATTCTTTCCTATCCGCAGTCATATCCCCGCAGAACCCTTCAACGGCGTCCTGAGAGATATCTTTCTGGAACCTCGTCGCCAGTGACCTGTAAGTCCTCCTTTTCGAACCACTTCCTCAGCACGTCTCTTGTAGAGTCACCCAACCAATCAGGACTATCTATATGTACCCTTTCCACGCCAGAGAAATACTTCCCAGGCATATGCTTTGGATGCAAGTCCTCTTCATACTCTTCGTAGGTACCTCCCTGAGTCATCCTCATCGCTGTTGATACGACGTGAGAGTCAACAGACAGCGAGGTGATGAGGCTGCAATACTTGGAGTTGAGACTTTTGCGAGAAAGCCATTCCTCGTAACTGGACACTTCGAATGTCGCGAGACCATACATGAGTGTGATGGCCTCAGAGTAGAATTGTTTGCAAGTGAGAAGGAAGGTTTGGGTGAATCGACAAGCGGTTACAGGACCTTCGGAGCGCTCATCGTACTCCTTTCCGTACCTGACTGTAGACGAACGACAGATGTATTTGTAGATTTCGTTGCGGATCTCGCCCGGTAGACAGAGGATGGGCGAGTTGAAATGGTTTTCAGTGGCGCTATGCGAGTTAGTCAGTGATGTGTGAAGCGGGTAAGCGCCCGATATAGCGCCATGTTAGAAAACTTACATTAAATCACCCTCTTCGGTGGTGGCTGCGCGCTTGAGCAGTTCGGCCCACTCTGTAAGTTCCTTTTCGCGGTCCCAGGCGGCGGAGGTCATCTTGCGGACTTTGGTATCGTACTGAGTATTGTAGTCGGATGGGAAGACTTCTTGCAAGACTCTGGCATGGAGGTCGCTGTAGTGAGGTGAAGTTCAAAGGTGATCGCGTTCCAAGGCTGTGTTAAATATCACACGATGATGGACCGAGTGTAGAGTCACGTGTGGGTTCAGAGCATCCTCGTCTCTCACCTGTGTCTCTCACATGGCTTTTACTCCTACGCTTGAGACTTTTCTATCGCCTTCAAACATAAGTGGGCAGCGTGTTAGTCACGATGATCTTGAAAGCAAGACTCGATACACTAGTAAGATCAGGGAGGACTTGAGAAGATAGATGTCTTATAACATTCTTAAGTATTCGATCTAATATGTACATTAAACGGAAACCGCGTACTTTACACTCGGTCAACTTCACCACATCTAGGCCTTGGGGCCGTTGGGCTTCTTCATGTAGGTTGGCTCCAGAGGCGGGTCAGCGTTCTTGACCAGCATCTGCACGTACTCGTCGAACCAAGCACCAGCAGCCGGCGCGCCAGCAAGACCGCACTTTCCATCACTCTCGCCACCAGGCTTGATCCAGACCAAAGAGTCGACGTTGGTGTTGTTCTGCTTGGAGCCGGGTAGAGGACCGAATCCAGCAGGTTCGACGTTGCACCACTCACCCCACTCCTCACGAGCACCAGGAAGAGCGACGCGGCCCTGATCGATGATGAAGTGGGAAGGCAGACCCTCAGCCTCGAGGTAGGGAGAGAGCGATGTGGCGTAGTGGCTCTCATCCCAAGATGGCGAGTACTCGGTGTAGTTCTCACGGACCTTAGCTTGGAAGGAGTTGTAGTTGGATACATTCGTGGAGAAACCCCGGATCTTAGCCATAGGGTTGAGCTTCTTCGCCATCGCAACAACCCTGCCGAAGACCTCAGCAGTTGGCTTCAAATTGTCCGCCCAACCGAGCCAGCCGCCGTGCGCAGCGTCAATGTACAGATGTACGTTGGGGAACTGCAACTTGGAGATCGCGTACGCAATACCCTCCTCGTAGATTGGAGTGGCGTTGGCGCAGAAAGGAACGCCCTGGTTAGTGACGGCGTTACCCAGACTGTCAGGCTCGAGAACGATGGCAAAGTCGAGATCCCTGGCCTCAGAAACAAGCTTGGCGTACTTGTCGACAAACTCTTTCTTGTAGATCTGGAGGCCGTTGTTCGCGGAGCTGAGCTCACCGGCAGACTCGCCAGCAGAGCAATCACGGTCGGGCAAGTTGTACAGAACTAGTCCAACGATCATTTTCTTTGGGCCCTTCCTCTGTTGGCGAGCCTCCTTGATGGCTTGAGGAATGAGGCTGAGACCATCGCGTGTGGTGACCCAAGTGAAAGTCGAGATCTTTTGGGCGACTGTGCGAGTGCGCGCCGCATTGAGGGTGTCGTTCTGGGCCGTGAAGGCGGCAATAGTCTGGTCGAGCTTCTTGCCGTAGCTCTGAACAACGTAGCGGTCTTTGCCAGTCCAAGGGTTAACGTTGGGGCCTGGGGGTGGTTTGGGAGCTGCGGACGCAGCACCAGCGAGGGCGGCAGTTGCCAAAACGAATTGTGTGAGTTGCACCATGATGAAACGAGAGGCTTGGGAGTGACTCGAGGTGGTGATGATTCGTACGGTGGACTACCTAAGGCTTTTATAGGAAGCCATGAAGATGAGCGCCGCGGAAAAGACCCGTCCAATTATCTGTACCTCTTTCAGCAGGCTTGGTACAGGCTTGCCCTTTCGTTCACGTGGATATCTTTAGACTTGGTCAACGGTACCGTCGGCCCGTTGTACATTCCAATAGCACTCAAGACGGTCCAAGTCCTTGGTGAAAAAGCATTGACATCTCGCATACAAAGCGCCACGGCGGCGTTGCTGTAGTGCTTCATCGATGGCCTACTGTGCGCCTTCTTTGGCGAATGTGAGGAACGGTCGTTCGCCCCTAGATCGGTATGTAGTCCTGTTAACAGCAAATTAGCCAAGGCAAAGTCTACCGGGGCTGTTGCGGGTAGGCAATATATCTGAGCTGTTTACCCGGCTCCTACCCCAGCTTCATTGAAACATCGACCCCGCAATCCGGCTCGTGATATTGCGATCCCGAAAAGCGTCCCGCAGATTGGTCGGAGTGGCCAAGCTAATGCTGTGTATATTGCGCATAGAGTACTGGGAGGATCTTGTGTCATTTCGGACTGCAGCTCGCCATCTGCAGACACTGTACAGAAGATTCGCTGCATCTTCTAGCGCGTGTGTGAGCGGCTGTACCCTGAGGCTGAGTTGGATGTAGATGCTGCACGTACGATGCAGAAGTTCCAACACAAGATAGATGTCGAAAGTGATATCGCAAGCTTAGGTACTGAGGTTGGGACGACCGCGCAGATCGAAGGCCCCATGGCATACACACGTTGAGAATTCAGTTGACCTTCTTTCAGAATGGATGCGAGCTTCAAATGGAGTGCGTTACGATAGCCGTAACGAGGTATTTCACCACCTGACTACATATCGTCATCCAGATATCCCGAGATCTGGCTGAAGGCGTGTTTTGCGGATGGAGCGCGAAAGAGCACTAAGATGATGGTGCTGTGCGACGCGCGTGGCGTGCATGACAGTCGAAGTCGAGCAGACCGCCTTTCAAAGAACAACGTGTCGGAGGTCCCAAGAACGCAGCAGTCACGTAGTCGCTCGCGTCAATTGAGTTGAAATGGGGTGCAGTCGGACGCGTGACATTTCGTAGTGAACGCAACGCGGGTGCCGGGGCGGGAAGCTGATTTCGTTGCCGTTAGCGTCTTGGCGGTGATTGTAGCGTTTTCCAATGCGCGTCCCAACGTCCTTTCAATCCGCTGCAATGTCCAACGCTACAACGCATCAACTTTCTGGAAAGTATTTAGCGCTGTCTACGTTCATCAATCACACTACGAACATGCCGAACTGTACGGAGTCCATCGCTCTGACCATCCACTCAAAGCCAACGCTGCACTGCCGAATTTTCGATATGGTCAATCATCATGTGCCGAGAGTTTCAGCCTTAATTTCATCGGCTTTTACGCTGTTCGCAACTGCGTACTGGTCTAAACACCCTCACCAAGTGTGACTAGAAATTATGTCGCATTCTTGAAAATATTATCAGAAATAGACGTGTACCTAGATACGCTGTCTTACTGACTACTTATCCATCAAGAACTATATGTATGTCTGCGACACGCATTATAGCCACGAGGACTACGAGACTCTACGAAGACAAGCATGAAGCACCGGTTCCTGTGAGGTACTTGATTTGTGGCCCTCCCTATTCGTGAGAATCTTCTCGCATCTATAGAAGAGCGGCATTTGTAGTTCGCTTGTCGCTCCTGCGCCATTACAGTACCATGGATGGAGGCCACGGTTTCTTTGACTGCGCGCCAACTTTGACCTGCATAGTCCACGTCTAATTCTAACACTACAGAAAATCAGATCCAACTCTGCACCAGCGAAAACGAAGCTTTAGCATGGAGACCTCTACCCTTTACACCATCTTGATGATCGAGCAAAGATGCCTCGCTCGAACGTGTCAAGAAAGCTTGCCGAAAGATCCAATTGGAAAATCTTCCAGAAAAGACGAAAGGTCTTCCAGAAGCCCAGCGATTTGCCTGCGAAAACATATCAAAAGCTGTAAATGTTGCACATGAAGTCCTTTCCAACCCGAAACTACGGTCAGTGTATGATGACAGCATAGGCCCAAAGTCCTATCATGCTCCACAAACGCAACCTCAGCAACCTTACGCCTCGCAAACATCGCCCCCAAGAGGCGATCACGAACCCAGGCTAGATATAGATACCAGAAATCCGTCCTACATACCGTCTTGTAGGCCCGGGAAGTTTCCAAACAAACTACACATCACAGGAGTATTCAGCTTCAGAATCAGACTAGAAGGAGCCTATGAGCCGTACGACTGGGGGCCACAAACGGTCTTCGAAGAAGCGGATAAGATAATCATCTCGATGGGCATACGTCCAAACCCCTGTTCCACTCCCGGAAAGTCTGATGTCGCCATTGCAGTAAGTAAAACACCATCGGGTCGCCGCGCCACGGATATCGAATCGATGGTGAAAAGCGATGGCTCCCGAAAGACATTACGCGTCACCATTTCCGCTGCATAAGACTCTAGTGGGCGTCACCTCTACAACGAAATTATGGGAAATTGTCTCAAAAACAGCAGAGCCTGGCACTACTCTTGGTACCTTGGTCCACCCGATCTTCCCCACAAATATCCCTCCATGAAACTGGACTGCGACGTATGGCGCGATTGTCAGGTATTCATGGCCAAGAAACCGCGCGAGTTAAGCTTCTTGCCGAAACCAAAAAATGTGTTCTTGCAAGATACACATCGAAAGATGGATGGAGGAGAAGGCGAGACGTTCAAATTGATGCTTTCGCCGCCCTGGCTTCAGAGTAGAGAAATTGAGGTGAAGAGGAATAAGATGTAGTGGATAGCTGCGAGTGCGCATCGGTTGGGAGCGAACCAAATGGCAATATGGCAGTGATTCATGTTTCGTACCTTTGCGAAATTGACCAGCTCCTTGTAGTTGAAAGATCTAGATCACTGCATGTGCGAAATGAATGGTGTCGAGCTTCAATATTCACGAGTAACATCATCAGCGAAATCAAATTCTCAGAGTAAAAATGTACATTGAATTGAAATCTATTCTACAAACTATTCATAAGGAGTGCCATGTCGTCGTGTCGTATCATGTTGTTGTTACAAAGGAAGGGCTCGTCTTAGCGACGATGAAGAAGAAGTAGGTGGTACTCATATCTGACACACCTTTTAGACTCACTTGATGATGATTTATGATCACAACAAGGTCTCAGCCACCAACGCTAATAACCTAGCACTGGCGGACGTACATGCCAATGGGGCTTGGGTTGTAGTCCTGGAAGTAATCCATGGAGAAGTCGCCGCTACCGCAAATCATATAGCTAACGGTCTTGCCAGCCTCGCAATCACCGGTCTCGACAGAGTAGGTGTGGCCAGGAGTCATCTCCATGGAGGCAACATCCTTCTCCTTGGGGGGCATGTTCTTGTAAGTGGTCGTTGCATCAGCAGGGCCCTTGAGCTTGCTGATGGTGCACTTTCCGTGGCCAGACATGGTGTAGTCGGAGGTCTCGAGGTCCTCCTTCTTGGGAAGCATGAACATGGCAGAGCACTTCTTGCCAGCCATAGAGGCGGGAATGTCGAAGTTGAAGATAGTGCAAGTGTGGCTATCGACCTTACCGTTGTAGGAGGTGTCATGGGCCTTGTCGGGTTGCTCAGAATCAACGGGTACGATCAGGTGGGGGTACTCATAGTTGCCGTTGAGGTCCTGCGGGCATGAACCCTCACCGCCGTTGTTAACACCGTCGTCGGGGTTCTCGGGGGTTTCAGCGGGCTTACTCCCCGCTGGAGGAGCGGGCATGGTCCCGGAAGCAGCAGGATGAGTCTCGGCAGGAGGAGCGGGGTGCGTCTCGGCAGGAGGAGCGGGGTGCGTCTCGGCAGGAGGAGCAGGGTTGGTCTCGGCAGGAGGAGCTGGCTTGGTCTCAGAGGGAGCGGGGTTGGTCTCCGCTGGAGGAGCAGCAGGCGCAGTGACAGTGACGGTCACGACGCTGGGAACGCACTCAGACTCTTGAGGGACACCTGGTGCAGGCTGAGAGGGCTTCTGGCCTTCGGACATGGCGGGGTAGCCTGGCTTGCCTGATTGCTGAGGCTTCCCAGGTTGGCCAGGGTACTCGGGCATGCCAGAAGGCTTTCCAGGCATACCTGAAGGCTGCCCTGGGTAGCCAGTGCTACCTGGCATACCGGGGGTACCGGAAGGAGGGGTGCCAGCAGGAGGTGTGCCAGCAGGAGGTGTACCAGCAGGTACAGTAGCAGTAGCAGTAGCAACAGGGGGTGTGGCGGCAGGTCCAGTGGCAGTGGCTACGGGAGGTGTACCAGCGGGCTGAGAGCCAGCAGGCTGGGTGGCGCCAGCTCCACATGAACCGGCAGAGCCAAGAGAGATCTCGACGCACTTGGCTTGACCAGGGGCGGGAGTTGTGTAGACGTTGTACTCGCCGTTGTCGTTGACGGGGCAAGCGTAGAACTTGCCTGAGCCGTTGTATGTAACGCCACCGTTGGGGCCGACCGCAAAGCCGTTGGTGGGAGTGGCACCAACATCGCACTGGAACTGTGTGGTCGGAGGAGTTAGGATGCAACCCCGTCCATTGGAATCAGTGAAGCCACCGTTGCCGTCCAAGCAGTAGCAGCCGGTAGGCAGACCACCATTACCGACACGGTTCTGGCCGTCGTCGAGCTGGCCAAGTACACCTGATGCGCCACCCGACGCCTCAAGCTTGAAGCACTGTGTAGCCTGACGAACGACAAGGGCGTTGGCTCCGAGGCCGAACGCGATGGGAGCGAAAGCGTATCTCATATTGGAAGACGGAGCGACTGTGGGATGAGATGGAGTTCGAGGATGCCTTTCAATACGTCCGAACTGCTTGCCTCTTATACTGCTTTGCGGTCCGGAGACATTGACACCGGGTACTGCTAAAGGTTCCTAGCTGCTCTCAGTGGCGCGGCAGCAACGTAGGTTGTTGGGATTCTAGCAGGGCTGGGTGTGGTTTCCATCGTCATAACGAGAACAATGATATCAGTACCTGGATGCTTGTACAAGCATTTGTGGAGACTAGTATCCAGGCCTGTCAAGGCTTGAGGCTTCCAGTTGCCTGGCTGTAGCCGTGTGGCCCGCTTTAACGTTCAAAAATGTCGCGCTTTCAAGTAACAGCAAATGCAGTCATTGGTCGGAACTGGAAAGTCGTTGCGGGAACTGTGGTTCTCGACGCCCGCCAAACCCGATTTTGTGGGGTAGGATCGACAGGAACACGTTGCTCTGCCCCATGCAATGTACACAACTCGAGCCCGAGAAGGATGTCATCGAGAAGTATCACGGGTGTTGTATGTTGAGACTGGTCGCAAATGCGGCTGCTACTTGGATGTCAGCAAGATGAACTGCATCGCTGTACGTGGACCTCCCGATCTTGCAATGGCAGACGATGAGCTCTTCGAAAGTAAGACGAAGCTTGATGCGTTGCGGAGTGCATTCCGACGGTAAGGTCGGCGTAGTCTAGAGAATCAAGACTATTGGCATGAGCCTTAGCTGTTGACAACGACGAGCAGAGTTTCCCAACATAGTAACAAACCGTTGCCGAGTGTTCCGCTACGGTCGTCATGTATGCAAGATGAGCAAATAAGCGATGTGGTGCATCTTACCCCAGACTTCTGTAGACCTGAATTCATGGGGTACGCCGACAGCCAGACCGGCCCGGAAGATCACGTGAAAGCCGCGTACCATGCTAGCAGCCGGTCTGCATGGTCTACAAAAGAGACAAAAGGTTGAAGTGCTGAGCAGTATGAAAAACAGGCATGTCATCATGATGTTTTACAGCTCTCCTGCAAAACTGGATCGCATCGAAATTTAAGCTGGCATTTCCATAGCCCCCACGGCATAGCGGGACCTGTCAAGGCTGGCGGATGTGGTCTCCGTTATGGAAACAGTCAGACAAATGATTCGCAAGTCAAGCGCACGCTGTCTGGCTGGAAGAGCACGGCGCAATGTGGAGGCCTTTCGTCACTTTGACATGATAACATCCGGAGGATCCAGTGTCGGTGGCATTTCGCCGATCAGAGATTGGTGGAGATCCAAGCCCAGCTCCTGCAGTGCTGAGTGGCATGTTTGAATACCGGTCATTATCCCGGTGGTGCAGAAGAGTCGAAGCGACGCAGGTCCCTAGGGAGGTCTTTAGGCAACCAGAGGGAGACTTCGCATCTTGCGCGTCGTCAGACGTGGGCTGTGTTTAGCCATCTGCTGACGCATTCACCCAGGAGTACCTCAGCGGGTGTATGTCGGAAAGTCGATCGTTATTTCTGGTGTTCTGGTCCACCTTAGCTGGCCCCCGGTCGTGGTAGGTTGGTGGACCGGTCGCGCGGTGTTTGCTCCTAGGGATTGTCTGAGGGGTTCTGGATGCTGGAACTATACAGGGAGTAGGTTTGTGCCACCAGAAACGGCGTGAGGTGTTTTCGAGCCCCACGGCATGAAGGCGATGTTCATTGGATGCTGCGGCGAACGCGTCGTACGCAAAGGGAGTTTCGAGGTTGGGATGCGACCCTGTCTTGACCTAATTTTCGCGTTACGTCATTTGCGACTAATACCCACTCGGCCTAGTGGCATCCGCTTTGGGTCGAAGACCCACTTGCCATTTCTGCGTCCGGAGTTTTCCTTCAAGGTACAATACCACGACAGTGCAGCCATCTATCAAGTATCTCCGATAACTCTGATGCTCGATCTGTTCAATATTTCTGGAACCTTTTTCTCGCTTCCCAAATATCCCCATCAGAACCGGGCTCCTAGCTAAGCTACCAGCGCATCCTTGGATGATTGCGAAGTACGATGGACGACATGTGACTTCGCACAGTCTCGCTGAGCTTCTATCCCAGTACCAAAACGGGGGGTCACGCACTCAAAGGCTATTTCGCTGTTGTAAAGTTTGCAAGTCGATCCTACCCCGCCGGTGCCGACTGCACTGCAGTTCAAGATACCTAGGTAGCTTCCACGGCTTCCACGGCTTTCACGGCTTTCACGGCCCGTTCCCATTCCCTATGGTCAATTGGGAGACGCTGTTGAACGCAATATACCCGGCCACTAGCAAGAGTGCGAACCTTCGGCATCCTATGTACGGGAGTGACCCGCTGCAAAGGGTCTGTCAGCATACAGGTTTTGCGCAGCTGTATTCAAACCCAATGATGAAGACTGGACAGATTGAGATGTACAGCCCGAGGAAATAGCTCAATATATGGCACTCCTAGAGCGACAGGAGGCTATTGATCAAATGTGATGAACAATGCTACTTTCATACGATGAAACCCGCATCAGATCGCGCATCATTTTCCCCGCCAACTGCATTCAAGTATCGTCGCATTTTGATACCCCATGAGCAAGAATTTGATCAGACCAAAGGCTTGCCACAATGATGCGGTGGGTCCACATAGCTCACTGGGAAGTGGCGCGAACACCTCCGCCGACTCGTATTGGCGCCAGCGCAATCCAAGTGCTGGCGCAACGTAGGAGCCGCCTGATCAGGGCAGATGATATTTCTCCAGTTTTGGTGTTGACTAGGGTATCTAGGATAGCTGATGAACGCGTGGAGACCTGCTAGAATGGTATCATGCGGAGCAGGCTCTGAAGGTATTAGAAGTGGGTAGGTAGCCGTATAGAGTAGGATGTGAATGGAATGAATAGCGATTGCTACATGAACCGCAGATGCAGAGGTTTTGGTCATTCGTCGCTACTCTTAAGTGTCAGGACAATTGGATACAATGCCGTGGAGTAATCTTGTCAAGTCTGATTCTATTTCATATACCACGACACTAAACGTGTCTATCGTGAAGCAAGAAAACGGAGAGTTCTGAACGCATTGGATGATAGCATATACTGCAAGAAGTAAAGCCGAAGTGACATGTAACATAGCATGCGATACTATGCGCACAATATTGTAAAGTCAAATTGAAGCTTGTACGTACACAATCCATTTGTACGGCCTAGTCACGTCTCACCCTCTTGCTTCACAGAGCAATGGTGCCTAGGTAGCTGCATCGCAGACTTCACAGCGAGCGAAAGGATGATAGCTATGCGTTGTTAGTATTCTAGCGACACTACTAAGATAATTTTTCCAGCCGCTACCTCTAAATCTCCAATACATTGGAACATATTGATACCAATCATGCAGGGCCTGTGTCGCAATTCCACAAGCACAAGACCTAGTTCAACTCACAGCCCCGAACCCGCATGTTACAAAAAGCGTCAAGCGGACCAACACATGCCTGTAGATGATGACGAGGGACCTGACACGTCAATCGCAGAGCCTGAATATGATGAACTGAGCGACTGGGATAGTCTTGAAGTCGACGATATTGAGTACACAGATGAAGACCTAAAGGACTTTGGACGGCCCGGAAGACGACGCCATGTAGGAGACCAAGATTCAACCCTTTTCGACAACATGCATGAGGCGAAGAATATGAGTTGCCAAAGGCGGAGATGCGTTGATGGGAACGGTCAGACTGGTCGAGAGAGACCTAGCGAGGAAGATCGACAACAACCAGGAAACTCTGTGGAAGCACTGAAGATTCGACTTCAACGAGCGGGAAATATTGCAATGCCTCGCAGAAGATCGCAAAGCACGTGTAGTATTTGTGGGCGCAAACGACGAGAGAAGTAGACCCCGACTCCTGTAGAGAGAAAACCTTTGAGGAAGCCGAGGAAAACCCTGCATGCTTAGGGAATAGCCATCAAGGGTACCACCGTCAGCTACCGTGAGCTGACAATGATATCAATATACTCACTGATAAACTCAGAACACATCAATACATCACTTCTCGATATCGCAACATACCCCAAACCTTGAATGCCATTCCAAGGTTCGCTTGCAACCTTCACATCTCCACATTGCCATCCTCTCGATCGACGTTGGCCACCCTCCCATTCCTGCAGATCGTTCCCTCGCCATTGCGCGCTGGTGCTCCAGAAGCGTTCCACGATAGAAGTTCGCAGACGGGCTAATCTGTTTCCGTGTCTCAACACCCCGCTTGCAGTTAGTGGGAAACGGCTCCGCTGGGGGCAATCTTGGAAGCTTGGCCACTGGACCCAAAAGCTGCGCACGGTGCGAGGCGATCATGATGAAGACGTTTCTGTTTGTGGGTTTGTTCAGATTCCCGAGGTCATTGTTACCCGCATTGCGATCGTGTTCATGGGGTAGCAATCAGGAGCCGGGCCGCAAGGCGAACACCACTCTTTCGATGGTTGTAGATCGCATATGTGTTGAGATGGAAATTGTGATGGACGCGCATGGCCCCTCAGCCCCCCATAACCCACGGACAACATAAGTGATGAAGATCTGGAGATTTAACGTTTCTCATGACATCATGTCTGTTAGCGCGAGTCCCTTGCACCGCATCTCGTCTAGCCTCGCTTCTAGCCGGCGATCTGAATTGCCCCCCCCGACGCCAGATCTTCAGCATCACGAACACCCAGCCACTCACACTGCAAGGGCCGCCGCATCATGCATTGCCATCCCCTCTGCGGGCTTCTCCCAAACTCGGGGATAAGGGTTTCATGCAGGGATGCTGACCTGCGTGGCTGAACGTGCCGAACATGGTGATCGTGGCTCACGGCCAGTATCGCAAAGATGTGAGACGTGCGGCTGCGTTATTGGAACGCCATAACGCCATAATGCCATCACGGGTGAACCGTCAGTCTCACTGTACCTAAGTACGCCGCGGGTCTACGTCAGACCCCCGCCCGAGCGCCGACGACTATTATGGCGCTGAGACTTGTGGAAGACGTTAGGTCTGTTAGGAAAGGCTGGGTGGTTCTTAGTGAGTTCTCGTTTTAACTCTCAGCTGGGGGCTACACAACCTTGGAAATCCCTTTGATCCAGTTCATTCTTTACTGTCTGTCAGCCTTTTGGGCATCTTTTGTCTTTGCATAGCGTACAACTCGCTGTTTGGCACCAGTACTACTTACTATCCGAGTCTGTCACCTTGTGTCTAGGCTGTCGAAATGGCGCTCAAGAACATCCTCCCGTTACACAAGAAGGAGTCGGTATCGCGACTTCAGGGCACTCCTCACAGCAATGGCTCTCCTCCAGGTCGGCCTCAAAAGGCAAAGAGCTTTATGCCCAACCGATGGCGCAATGAACTGGTTGCCGCTGCAGCAGAGTTTGCCGGAACGTTCATGTTCCTGTTCTTTGCGTTTGGAGGAACGAGTGTAGCCAACACTGCGGCGACATACAGCAACCGAGTCACCTCTGGACAAGACAACAACAGCATCACACAGGCGCCAGACACAAGCGTGCTGTTGTACATCAGTCTGATCTTCGGCTTCAGTTTGATGGTCAACGTCTGGGTATTCTTCAGAGTGAGCGGAGGACTCTTCAACCCTGCCGTAAGTCAGCCTGCTCAAACAATATCATGCGAATGATAACTAACAATAACCACAGGTAACACTGGGTCTCTGGCTCATTGGCGCCGTCCCAACCATTCGAGCATGCCTCTGCTTCATGTCACAAATGCTCGCCGGCATGGCCGCCGCAGGCGTAATCCAAGCCATCATCCCCGGCCCTCTCAACGTCTCCACCACCCTCGGCGTAGGCGTATCCGCCGCTCGCGGTGTCTTCCTCGAGATGTTCCTCACCTCCCTCCTCGTCTTCACCATCTTCATGCTCGCAGCCGAGAAGCACAAAGCCACCTTCCTGGCCCCGATCGGCATCGGCCTAGCTCTTTTCGTCGCAGAAATGGTCGGCGTGTTCTTCACGGGTGGCAGCCTGAACCCTGCGAGGAGCTTTGGGCCCTGCGTCGCCACACACAACTTCCCCGAGTATCATTACATCTACTGGTTCGGGCCTCTCATGGGCACGCTTCTGGCTTTTGGCATGTACCGTATTGTTAAACTGGTTGAGTATGAGACTGTCAACCCGGGTCAGGACTTTGATGACCACGAGGCTGCGCTGTTTAACCCGCCTGAAGATCCAGAGCATGCTGGGCAGGTCGAACGACCGAATGTCGCTGCACATGCTATGGCGGACGCGATACGCAGGACTAACTCTGGCTTTAATGGGGAAAACCAGTTTGGCATCGACTCGATGCTAGAGAGTAAGGACGACGAGAAGTCCACACCCCCACGGTCGCCACACAAGGAACAGGAGTTGTTAGAGAGAACCGGTCATGCACCGGCAGCGAACGGCGAACGCCACGAGTGTTGTTAACCCTCGTCTCTTATCTAGACTGGCAGTGTGCGTCTGAGCAGTAATATGTTTCTATTCTAGCGTTTCTAGCGGGTGCGGGTGCTCATTTACAATAGCGAATCTCATTTTCATCTTATGCTGCGCATAAGCATAACCTCATCTCTCCGCCTTGCATGATGCCGCGCCGTGCTTCTCCTAACCTGGCTTCAGTCTTGTACACGAGGAACCATGCTAGACAGTGAGCTACTAGGATTGCGAAGGCGAGGATGAATAGCAGGAATGCTAGTACGGCGACGCATATCCAGATCGCGGACATGGCACTGAGTCTGCGTTTGCTTTTGTTCTTCTGCGATGAAGGTTCTGAGATAGTGTCGTAGGCAAGATCTTGCGGAGTTCGGGCAGACGTATGTGTCGGTTGGGGAGTAGCTTCGCAATCCATCTCGGGTATCTCGTCCTTCGGCTCCCGGTCGTATGTATACTCGCCCTCCCCATCCGGAGGAAACAGTCGAATCGCAACGCCTTTCGCTTCCATCTCCCTCCCCGTCTTCTTCTGCGGCGTACTCAGCACATCGAACCCTTCACTCCCCATCCCCATTCCCATCCCCCTCCGCCCCATCCTTCTCACCGGCGGATCCCAAGGTTTCCTCCCCACCTCCCTCCCATCCGCCTTTTCTTTCCCCTTCCCCTCCACTTTCAATACCGCCTTCGGCTGTCGATGGATCTCCTCTGACCCCGTGCTCTCTCCCTCCCTGCCCTCGTCTCTGGCTCCACTATCCGCACCGTCCGTCGCTTGCCTTCCCCCTTGTTGTTCTTCACTTCGCGGCGTTGAGGTTGGCCTTCGCGGTCGTAGGCGTCGTCGTAGGGATGGTGGCCGTTGGTGTAGCGGGGATCGGTTTTCTGTTAAGGGTTCTGAGCGGGGAGGTTGTACATGGAGATGGGATAGGAGGCGGGGGAGCTGTACACTGAGGATTGGTAGGCAGATCGCTAGGAGGCAGGCTAGGAAGAGGATGCTCATTTCTACCTGGGAGGAGGGTGGTTTGCGTAGTAGGTGGGTGCGTACAGGTGGGTGTAGCGTTGTGTAGGTTGTTACGGCGAGGAGGTGTAGTATATATTGTTTAGAGAGTCTGTGTAGTGATAAATCCGAGGATAGCGTGGTAAGAGAGGTATGTCGCTCGATATGGCTTGTCGTGAGGTGTAATAGTCCACACTTGAGGCTTGTGTCGTTCCTGCCGTTGAAGACGGAGCCATGTGGTGTAGTGGCTCGCGACTGCCATGTTGCGGCGTTGATGCTTCTGGCACTCCTTCTCCGTAGACTTGATCTTCCTCAGTCACCTCTCAAATCTCTGACCCAACTAAGCCTCTCATGTCTGTCATCCAAGATTCTCCCAGAGCCAAGTAAGAGTTGGCATACGCATGCCAGTATATTCTCGCGCCTCAACACATTCCCAGCCCACTCTTTAGCTACTCCAGCAATTCTTCGCGCTATGTCATTGTGGTCACCTCCTTTACGCTTAGCGATTGTTTAATGCACGTGTTCAAAAACATGGAGTTCACCTCGGACTCGCGAGCCATATCCGCCGAGCATTGGCATCCGTTCTCATCTTCCACGTGACGTGCACCACACACTCCCGAGGTCGTGATACGCATGTTCGCCGGCTATGTAGCAAAGCGAACATTCGAGACGTCTAGAATATAGATGTGCAGGTGTCGCACGTTGCGTCTATGCTTGCGGCCGGGTAAATGCTATGGCATGCTTGGGAGTGTTTCAGATGCGTGGCGATAGGTCGGTAGGAGGGAGAAGCGAGAGAGGGAGGAAGTAAGATTGTACTAGTTGTGCGAGCCATGTCTTTGGGTAGATTGAGGAAGAGCTTGGGAGCGGTATTTCAGCTGAATGCATTAGGTGCGATGAGGAGTTCATGATATTCTTCTTGGCGCAATGCAACATCTGGCTCGCGCGCTGGCGTAGTGTGTGTGTAATACTAGGAAGGGTATACAAGGTGAAATATACAGGGTAATACAGCATTCAGTCTACCATACCAAGTTTCATAGCTCTGAATATGGCACTCTTGAAGGATGAGTCCTAATCTTCCATCTTGTCATCGTCCGCCTCATCGTACTCCACCTCCGCTGTATCGCCCTCTTCATATCCACCACCTTCGCCATCCTCATCTTCACTGTCCGACCCCGAGCCCTCGCTCTCGCCTTCACTACCCGGATCAAAGTCATCATCCTCTTCCTCATCGTCCTCCTGATCCTGCAATTCCCTCTCTGCCTTCTGCAATTCGCTTTCTTCTTCCTCGCCACCAACATCCTCGACCGCCGCGCCGTTCTCCTTCTTGCCACCCACTTTGTTCACATTGAGCTTCTTCGCGCGTCGATCCGCAGCCAGACTAGCATCTTGCAAGCCGTGTTTCTGGACGTATTCGTTTATGCCGGCGAAGTCTGCTTGGTCGAGCATGCTGAATTCGATGTCCCCGCTGCTGGGCGTGGTGAAGACGATGTTGAAGGTGTTGCGCAGCACATTGGTGTAGGATATGCTTTCTATAGAGGCGAAGTCAAAGAAGGCGAGGGGCTTCTTGAAGCCGTAGAGAATGCCTACGGAGGTGAAGAAGAGGTAGCCTGGCGTGTGTTAGCTAGATTTCCAGATTGTGAGGTTTAGGTGTCACGTACCCTCTTTGCTTCCTCTGTGCGCCTTGACGTGATATGCCTTCTCGCCCTTCCTATGGCTTTCTGGTACTGCGCTCGCGAACTCATCGGCGTCGGGGAAGATGACCTCCTTTCCAGTGCCTGCTTGAATCAAGCAGTGGTGTATCGCCTCAGCCATTGGTCCTGGCCCTGGGTCTTCGCCTTCGACTATGTTCTTTCCTGTCGCCTCCTCAAAGGTCCATACTATTGGCTCCGGCGGCGAGCCCTTCAGTTCCTCTGGTACAGGCGCCACTCCATCGCCATGCACTGGTATAATGACGAAATGATGCTGTTTCTTGGCCTTCTCGGGTATAGGCAGGCAGAAGACCTGATCGACGTCCTTCCATGCGATGGCAAATTCGACGTTGCCATTGGCGCCCACGGCTCTTATGCCGCCATCCTTCTTGTCGAGTAGCTCGAGGGTGAACTTCTTTCGTTGTGGTATCGAGAAGCTGACGGCTGGGTATGTTTGGAACGCTTTTGTCGCAGTGCTCGTAAGACTGCCTCCTGCTGTCGATGCGCCATTTTGCGGGGCGGCACTCTCTTCGATCTTGCGTTTCTTTGTCGCTGGCTCAGCGGCGGGTTGCGAGGTCTGATTGAGGATGTATGTGGAAATGTCGCGAAATAGAGTACTTTGGGTAGGGTTTTGGTCTAGGGCATGTTAGCATAATCTCAGTCGTTGAATGGCATCACATACCTATCGCGGCGTGCACGCGCTTGCGCAGCTCATGATTGCTAGCGAAAGCGACATCAATTTCCTGTGGATGGGGCACGGGAGTTGGCGCTGCTACCGGCGCAGGGGCAGGCGCAGATGGTGCAGGTGCTTGCACGGGTACTATGGGTGCCGAAGGCTTGTTGTTAAGCGCTGTAAAGGCCATCGTGGGTTGTTAAGGGCAATTGGTTGTTGTTGGTTGAAATGTCTCGTGAACGCGTCGACGGTTAATCGCGACTCCTCGATAATTAGCGCCCGGGGCAGGTCTGACATCACCGCCGCTCACCATCCTTCACCACTCCAATCCTCTATTCACCACCCACATTCACGCTGAATAACCACTTTGACATCGCTAGTTGTATACGGCATGTATTTCTTCATCATTGCTTGCAACGTCGTGCGTCTCCCAGCGGGATAGTATCGCTCTCGACCGAAACCGATCATAGACCTCCCGCTACAGCCTACAGTTCGTGCGGTCCTATCAGCCTGACGATCACTAAACACGTGGATAATAATAGCTAGACGACGCGTCGTGTCGATGCGAACATTCATGCGGACGATCTACAGAGCGTGCTGCGCGATATTCTATGCGACCCATGAATGGATCAACCGCTATCGTTGCTGATATATCATCAACATCCGCTTCAATCGCCATGAAAACTACGCGAATACCCAAGCGACATCTCTAACGCTTAATTGCGTGTATTATTGCGACGTGCGAGAACCATCATCGGTGCGGTGGGTGGAGCGTGCGCGTTGCGCATCTCACACACTTCCCGTCGCGACACATCATGACGACCAATACACGATGAACCGACCGTTTGACACCTGTCAGTTGCATTACGATTCATCTACAACAGGCCGGAAATGTACTGGACCGTTCAAGCGAATCCTTGACAGCTGCCACGAAGTAGCCCTATGCCGGTAGGATAGCATTGACAGGCTGATATTCTCTCAGCAGACATCGTAAGGTAGGAGTAGATGCGGTACGGGCGAATATCCAAGCATGTATCTCTTGGGACGATGTCTCGGCAGTGACCAGATGTTATGTTAATCTACTGTGTCTCCTTGACATCAGTCAACTAACGCCTAATACTCCCACTCGTAGTCTTCTTGCCTTTCTCCACCTCGTCCTTCCGTGAAGAGTCAAAACAGGATCACCGCCAAGATGACGAAAGTCAAATTCACCCTCCCACCGGCAGCCGATAAAGTCACATCGCTCTTCCACACTAAGCAGATCAGGGAGGATGACCCGCCAGTCTTCAACCAACCATTCAACACCAGCTCATGTCCGCATCACCGTATCTCGAGGCTGCTCTACAGCATCTCCCTCACTCTCTTGCTCGTTATAGCAGTCCCGGTTATCGCACTTAAAGCATTAACCTATAGCTTCATCGAGGACAACCGTATGATGGGATTCACTTTCCAGACGAGAGAAAAGAATGGCGACCCCGGCGATGCCATCATCATGGCCGCTCTACCAAGGATGCTATACGCCGTACCAGCAAAACTAGCCATCATCGCCGGTACAGTCGGCATATGTCTAGCCGCCGCACATCTCGGATTCGTCTGCACAGATTGGAAAAAGGGCAACAGGGTACGTCCAGTCCTCCACAAGACCATGGCATTATTTCAACTAATATCTGTAAAGACGCAATCCTACGCTTTCCGTCGCAACATAATGTTTCTCCACATCACCAACGCCATCCTCGTCCTCTTCGCCCTCGTCTCAATCTACGTAACACACAAGAACACATCCCACTTCCGTGAGGGCGTTGTCAACTTCCAAGTCTCACGTATTAACGACACCACCTCCACCTCCACCCAACAATCCCCGGCCTTCTTCCGCTACAACTTCGGTACCTTTGACCTCGAAACCTGGGCTTGCGAGCTCGCGAATGTTGAGGGTGCAGGTATGGTAAGGGAAGACTATGGCAAGCAGTGCGGGATTGAGATCGCAGGAAGAGCGGTTATGATCCCTTTTGTGGTTGTTGTTTGGGGGGTTGCGGCGATTGGGCTTTGGGGATTTGTGGGCGGTGGACGGAGGGGGCCGGATGGGGAGAGGATGAAGACTGACGAGGTGGGGTTGGAGATGGGGAAGATGAATGCTACAGATGACTGAGCGTCATCTCATCCTTCCTCACCACTCTGAAAGTATGGCGGCGTCTGGTTATTCTCGGCATTTCTGGCGTTTGGTGGTTTCTTCGCATCTTTCTCGGTAATGTTTCTCTCCTCGTTTCTTTACTTCTCGCATACACGACAGCGATGATACCCTCTATTCACTTCTCAACTCCTATCGTTTTCTCGCATTCAGGCCTTTTGCTGGTCAAAGGTCTTGTCTTCTTTTTTTCCGGTTGTTTGGATCAAACGTCGCCAAGTGCTGGGGCGTTTCATAATTTACTTTTTTGCATGGCATGACATGGCATAATGTTCAGTCTGATATACATCAACGCGTTCTCATATTATTGCTACCTGGCGAAATATTACGACAGCGATACTTGACATTCTAGAGAACCTCTTTGTATGGATGTGGAGTTCGGGAGTCGTGAGTCTTGAGCCGGCGATGGGTAATCGCAGTACCATGGTTATCTTGTTACTGGCGCACACTCGAATGCGATGCTATTGACTCATATCATCTTCAAAACAACACAGCCGGTACAGTCATCATGCTGCACAGCAGATATAGGACAAACTCGGTTGATATGGAGAAGATGATCAGTATCAAGAGCAAGTCAGCAAACACGCCCCACACTCCGTTCCAGTGCAAGACACACACCCGCGCGAAAAGCAGTATACTCAAGTCCCCCCCCATTGACAGAGAGCTGTAGAGTACGAACAAAAGAGCAAAGTCGCAATAAAACCCTTGCCCGACCGGTAACACCGTACTCCACCATCGCCGCACCCAAAAGACGCCTTAGTTCATACCCATCGTTGCGTGGGTAGCAATCGAAGCATAGCTACCCGTCAGAAACACCGCCGTCTCCGTAGGCGTACCCAGACTCGGCATCTCCACAGTTATCTCTCGCCTGTCAACCCACTCGGTCGTGATGATGGTGTTGGTTACCACATTGCCAGTCCCACCTGCAGCCGCACCTCCGGCTCCGGTCGCGGTACCAGCCAAAGGACTCAACGAGTTAGCTGTCTGACTCATGCGACCCTTGATCGTGGTAATTCTCGTGGCGACTAGTCCTTGGAAGCAATGGATACCGTGTTGGCCCGTCTTGCCATCTCCGCCGCACACACATGGGAGTCGTTTTTCGTGCATCTTGAGCCATGCTTTAAATGCTTTCATGGCTTCGTTGTCGGGTTTCTTCTTGTCTTGGCTGTCTAGAGAGGTGCCGTTACCTGGAGCTTGGTCGTTTCCCGGGTTCGTGCCGTTGCCTTTGGGATTCTCCTGGATGAAGTCTTCCCAGTCATCGTCATCTGGACCAACCTCTTCTCGATCCCATTCCGCGTCTTCCTTGGCCTTGGCCTCTTCCTTGTCGTCATCATCATCATCGACGAAATCGCAGATGTCATGGGCGGATTGCTCAACGCACTTGTTGTCATCAGGGTAGCAGCCATGCTCGCCGTTTCGGACAGAGGAGTCGACGGTGTAGTTGAAGTGTGACTCTCGGATCTCATAAACGACATCCACGATACAGTACGGCCCGTTGCATGCGCCTTGCGACGTTATGTTCTTGGGTGTGTTCTTCGGATAGCGCGTTTCCTCGTGGAGGAGTTGGGTGGTAACTTGCATGATGGGCTCTCGGGTGGGTGTTGGTGATTGCATTGGGTCGCAACCTGGAGATACAGATGATGAGCTTGTCGAGTTCGAGTCAGGCTGGGTAAGCTGTGGTGGTCCCAGCGGATGCGATTTGTGATGGTTGAAGTCACAGCCGCCAAACCAGGCCTTCTTCATATGCTTCGGTGGTTTGTCCTCGTCATCAACTTCTAGCAATGCCTTCCAACTAGTGTCCATCCTTTCACAGTCGTGGCACTTCTTGCCGAAGTTGTCGAAGTTGTACAAGCCGCTGTCTTTGACGAAATGCTTAGTCGCTGCCATTGTCCAGTTGGTGGGCGCATCCCACGAGGCTGCGTATGTGGGGTTCATGGGATCGCATTGGCATGGCGCGTTCTGGTTGTCCGTGCTGCCGGTGCTAGAGATGGCTTCGCCGAGCCAGCTGCGACATACTGCAACGTCAAAGCCGTCAGGAGCGTTGCCATAATCTTCGAGATACTCTACCTCGCCTGGAAAGTGTTTAGAGTTCGAGTCTGATGAACTCGTAATGTTCGTGTCCGGTGGTCCCTTACCATCCAGATTCACCGGTTCTGGAGCAGTCACGTTCTGCAGTTTATCGTTGTTGACTGATGGACAAGAGGCTGAATCTGTAGAATTCCGGTCACGTTCCTCCTTCTTACGGTGCGGCCAATAGACCTCGTCTTTCCAAAGACCAGATCGGACCACGTCGCTAGCGAAGAGGCCGTGAAAGCCTTCTTCACTGGTGAGATACTCCCATCCGGGTGGACTGCGCGTCTTTTTGTCCTTGTAGTTCGTCATTGCGTACACCCAGTACGACCTGTCAGGGCGTTCTTCAAGGCAGATCTTGTTCTCGGCTGGTCCACGGTCGTCTTGGTCACAGTCGCCGCCGGGTTTAGCCCAGCTCTCAACGACGTAAACGCCTTCCGTTTTCCATAAAGCGCTTATGATGGTTGCGTAAGACTTCATTCCAATCACAAAGTCGACATAGGATCGGAAGTGGACGTTGGCGCCGTGGAAGAAATCCTTGGCGAAGAGATCGATAATGTCGTGGCCATTGCGAGTTTTGTAGCCTGACGCAAGAATTCGCATTCCATCTCGGGCTTCGTCGACTGCGTTGGTATCGATATCGGCAAGTGCTGCACGCACGGCTTCCAGGGTTTTGTCATACCCTTTCCTTCTTAATATTAGCACTTGCGTTGTTGAAGGTACAGCACTCGCAACTTACAAATCCTTCTTGTGGTCAATCTTTTTGACTACCTCTTTGGTCAAAGCTTGCGAACCTAGCCAGCCCCCACTGGTGATGGTCCACAATTCTACTCAGTGTTAGTTCAACCTTTTGCGTTCAAAACTATGACTTACTCTGAAAGTTCTCGATCGATTTGGGCATAAGCAAACCATATGGTTCCCCGGGCGTACCATCTGCGTTCACTGTCGGCGTCCTCCGGCTTGCCAAGTTCTTGATGCCCGTATATTTCGAAATTCCTGGCAACTTTTTGGTCGTCCATGCCAAACTCCGCTGCCACCTCGAAGCCAGTCTGTTTAGCCTAGAGAAGCTCTTGACCCAATTAGTGATTACGTCGGGTCTGTAGTTCATCATGTTGGCGGCTGTAGTAAATAGTTGAAAGACCGCCGTAATAATTCCGAAGGCCAACTCCATAGCGGCTAGTGCCTTCTTCTTCTTCTCATCCTTCTTGACTGCGGCGTCTTGTTGTTCGTCTGCATACGTGAACCACCTCGTGAGGGCATCAATATCTTCGAGAATGTGCCTGTAATGGTCCTGGATAGCTTCGCTGGTGATGTGGAAGGAATGGTCGAGACCTGAGACGAACTCGAAGAACAACATGACTGCGCGTTGTTCCGCGGGAGTGTGCTGTGCGCCGATGTCCTTGCAGCTTGGAGACTGTTGATGGCGTTAAAGTGAGCTGGATTGCAAACTGAATGTAAACTGCTTACTCTACACATGCCCATGCCATCACAGAGCATGCTACTGGGTGGTAGGTTGGGAGCGTATCGCTTCGCCAGGAAGGCAGGGAAAGTGATCTCATCGTCCGCAAGTTTCCTTGCCCTCTGTATAAGTTGGAACTCCTTGAGGCGCTTTCTCAAGAAGAATGCGTCTTCGTGTCGATTTTGTAACCATAGGTGTTCGGTGATCCTGGGAAAGTTTGGGCAGTCGTTGCTCCATTCGTAGGTACCTGGAAGATCCGTGATGTGACAGTAGGGACTTCTGGCACATTCGTTGTCGAAATAATCTCCCTCCCATCCGGGACCTTGTGTAGTTACATTCGAAACGGGGTCCTGTCCAGTCGCATTCGACCAAGCAACGCTTGTAGATGCATTAACGACATCGAAGACGTGTAAGACGGCATGTATCCATGCGAAGGACCGCATTATGGCAAGCTAGTGAGTGTATAGCAAGTCCAAAAAGAACACGGTTTGAGAATAAAGCACTATTTGATCGGTGTAGACAAAATATAGTCTGTTCCTTCACTCTCGCTCTCGTAAAAGATTAAGGTTGGATGCTGAATTCCATAAAAAAAAGGAGCGCCAGCATCCCACATGGCAACAACCCGAATGAAAAGTATCCCTGATCTTGTTTAACAAGATACTACCACGATCTATCGCCATTGGGTGATCATCTCCCATTCTCGGAAACGACTTCTTTTTGAAAAGTCTCAACGGCTGGAGTGAGCAAAATCATGACCGCTGAACATGTGGACAAAATCTACCCCGCAGAGATGTTAGTAACAATGATTACTGCAAGACATGTAACGGATACGGGGTGACCAATCGATGATGTAGCTAGATTCCCGCAATATGACAAGTATTTGCGCAATCTAGTACCATCGGTCTGTATCATTGCGCTCATTTTCTCCCCCTGCAGACTGTTTGTCAAATTCCGAACCAATCGTTCACCCACGTCCTTGGTCCTGTGTTATCGATGACGGAGAGGCAAAGGGACAACTCTGATCCTTGGACATTGGGGGCCCAAAGAACTGAAAAGTCCTTACACGTTCAAACTATCATAGGTTCATCTCATGCTTTTTTGATAACCCTCGAATGCGTGATTTACAACGTTCGCGATGGTAGGAAGCACAGTAACTCAAGATGGCATTATGATTTTATGATCCTTGCGGCCTCACAACGGATGTAAAACAAATCTTTTGGTCAATGTGCGAGTTTGCCGGCTGAACGTCTCAACACTGTAGCTGTCATAGCTGATTCGAGCTGTCATCCCCCTGCTTTTGCATTGACGTACTACATCTTACCCTGTTGAGGTCAACTTGCCATCCAAACAGAACCTGATGGAAGGATCCAATAAATGACAGCGGCGCAGGTTTTGATCGACATTGGATAACAGAGAAGAATTCCTATCTATGAATGATTACCATTACAATAATCAGGGCCAGACGTCTTTGACCCCGGACCAAAAGAACTCAAACCCGTGTTTGACCTCAGTGGCTGGCGCGCGCGCCAGAAGGATTATCAGTACTGAGCTTGACCGGTTCACACCGAGATTTTCTTGAAGCTATGAGCAGTACATATCTGCTCTACCCATATTCGCCCTCCAAGGGTCTCGGAATTGGACTCCTGGGCGTGAACACCATCACGTATATAAAGCGAGTCCAGTTGGACGATGAGTGATTATCGCAACTCGCACTCCTGATTCGATCTCCTGCCTACTCAACACTTTCGACGATCTCCACCATCTTTATCGAAGTCTCAGCAACGCTACTTGCTTGTGGTTTGCGATGATTCATTCTCGCTACCTTGCGGTGGCTTTCGGTAGCCTCGTTGCCACCGCTGCACTAATCCCCACGAAGGCGTCTCAGGTATGTCTTACATGTTCACTGTGTTTTCGGCCCAATCTAATTCGAATTATCCAGCAGCCCGCCATTGCTGCAGCCGATGTGATTATCCCTACTGCAGATCTCTCTCCGGCCAAGACGGTCCGACGCTACTCCAAGGATGATGAAGAGACAGCCCTCGAAGACTTGGCCCTGAACACCTTCATGGTGACCTCTAAAGAGCCGCTCGAGGCCCAGGAGATTTACAGCGAGTTTGCCCTCTTCCAGAAGCTGGCGGAATGCATCACGAGAAAAGGCGCCGACCCTACCCCGATCGAAGGCCAATCGCTCATCGGCAATACTACCCTCGAGGAAGTAAGATACTCTCAGTGCAACGTCGCTCTTTCTGAATGCGCCAAAATCGCTATGGTCGAGGGCGACAAAAACTTGATCGGATGGCCTGCTTTCGACGACGAGGAGAGGCCTGTCCTTAGAACGCATTCGCTCAACCTCTGCGTCGGCACCTGTCGTCGAATCGCTGCTTTGGATAACCGTCTGGTTTCCGAAAAGTCCGGAATGACCAAAGAGCAATTTCGTGCGCTAGCGACGATTGCAAACTGCAACGTCAAACTCGTCAAATGTCTTGAAACTTGCTCGACGAAGTACATGGAGGTTATGTTCGATTGGGACGCGCGAAACCCCTAGATGTGAGCCATGAGCTCAGCCATGTTTCTGGTGTCGTTCGCGATATCTCGGCCTGGGAAGCTTTCTTGAGGTGAAAGAGGGCGGCCATGAGATGGTTTGATTGTACTTCTGCTCTTTCTCTATCTGGCTTTACTTGTATTCATCACGTAGCTCTTGTTATATGGAGTCAATATACCCCCACGCTCATTAAGAACCAACTTTGCTTTGCATGCTTGATCAACTTTGCGTATCTTGTGGTAGCTTGACTGCAATGATTCTTCAAAAGCCGAGCATGTTCCCCTCACCCTCGAAGCTACGTTGATATCGATGACCAACTCATCAGCTCGGAATGCGGTAGAGCACGTGAAGCTGATCGCCGGGTCCTGATATCTGATGCGCCGTCTCCACAACAGGTTCTAGGTCATGACCCGCGGCCGCTGGTTGTGACATACCTGCTTCACCTCAACGAATAACTAGTGGACTACTACCCTCCTTTTGACCGTCAGCATGATGCCGCGACATGAAGGCACGCGATCATGTTGCAACATAGCCTTGCCGTCCCGACTTTGCTTTTGCTGATCCGTCCTGCCAATCTTGGTTCAGGGGCGCCGTTTGCTTTTGCGGTTGCCTCCACTCTTCCCCTGTTGAACAACAATGCACCCCGCAAACTGACAAAAGACCAGCGAAGCTAGAAGCGTCTGAAACCGTACCTGCATTCCAAGATGGCTATGCATGCTATCCGCCGCGGGAAGGGCCTGCTTGCCTCAAGTGGGCCCCCTGAGAAGATCATGACGATCATCCGCATTGAGATGTCGCATCCAGAACGCCTTCGTCCTAAATGTAGTGGCTTTGCTGTTGCGCAGGGCTGACTAGGGGGTGCGAGGGTCGCGCGGGGTCTAAATGCGATGAGCGGTCATGACGATGTGCTGAGCTGCGGTATCGGGTCGACCACGTATCGTTGATGCTATCAGACTCTTAGGAATACGATACGATCCAGATGCGAATCGCAGCGACTTTGTACTTGCAGTCGAGGGCCTCCTGCAACAAATGCATGATGGATTTGCAGTGAACGGGACAAGCAAGTTGGCGAGGCGAAAACATGCAATTCGGGTGATGCGTATTTTCGATCATGTCAGCGGCAGTCCCCGCAACGCTAGAGCGGGGCCCACTTGCTTTTCCGTCCTCTTCTCATCGCCAACATCCTCCACCAGCTTTTCTGAGTGCCTGAGACGTCACTCCGCGTCATGCTCCATCGTCTGCATCATATTCACTTTGGAAAGAAATGCACACAGCCCTCTGACATGTTGCCTGATGTGTCTCGGCAGAACTCAATGATCTCGCAGCGCCACTCGGCTCCCCAGCGTAATCACCGACCTCTTGTCGCTGACTTTGCATAACCTCGCAGACAACACGAGAGTCGCTGCAGTGCACATATGCAGTATAGTGAAGCTACCCACCTCTGACAGCTCAGGGTCTATCCAGGTCATATTAATAGACGCCATCGGACGCGCACGAAAAGCTCTGTGGCGTAAAGCCAAGTTGTGCAACATCGGTGGTTTTGGAACTGGCGCGCCGATGCTTTTGATGGCTGTGGATGGTGTGCGAGAAGCAGGTCGCATTCGCCAGAAGCAATCGCCGTCTTACTGCACCGTTGCGCCTCTTGGTCGTGCTGCGGATGCGACTGCGGAACATTTCTTGGTCTGTTAGATGTGTTACTGAGATGTGCTTCTTGTTTGGACTGTTCATGCGACGTTCATGCGAAGAATCGACGCCTGTCTATGACTATAATACTCTTCACCCCTATAGCTCATGTCCGTATATCTCTGCATATTGTTACGTTCTCGTTTCTTTGGACCTCTTGTACGTTCGGCTGCAAGCAACAAATCGGGCTTCAGCACACGCACCCAATATTTCCGGATTGATACCTAAGGCTTACTGTCGAGATTGAGACAATGGCGGCGCCTCCTCCGTTCATACCGAAGTACCGAGGGGCACGCCCCGCCGCGTTTTCCATCATATCATCCATATCATCACGCCCATCCACACACGAGCTCACCGAAGTGAGATGGCACGCACGCACCAACTCAGAAGAGCGCAGCTTGATCTCTGATATCCTCCAGGATCTGGCTGACAACTGCGAGACTGCGTTCGATCGAGCAACTGACCAAGCACGGTTAGGCACAGCCTCATATATCTCTTACAACGCACAAGGACAAGACCTCGCCAAAGACCTCGCTCAGTCACAACCATATCTGCAGAGGCGGGAGTGCGCTACCTCTTACACAACCAACAACCTACGAGAAGATCTACAAGAAATCCGACCTTACCTCCGGGCAAGCACTCTAATGGCACTAGAAGGGATATTGCGGCTGAATGAAGCCAACGAGGCTAATGCAGCCAACGCAGCTTTCCGCCGGAACACGATAAGACGGGTTTCAACATCCGAGGATGGCGATCACGTACCAGTCATAATGGACCCATACGACGATACAAATTACTCCAGTCCCACGAGCTTCAAGTTCGACGACGAGAGCATCATGGACTCACCACTTAGCCCAGCAATGGGCAAAGACCTACACAGAAACTTCCGCAGAAGTAATCTCCGGGATGCGCATTCAATGAGCGACGAACCTTTTGAGCCACCGACCATTTACGACATCGAACGACAAAGAGGAGCGCCGAAGGCACCATCTCCATACCCGTCCACTGCGAAGACAGCAATCATAATGCTCTCGTTGTACATCTCGATCTTCCTTGTCGCTCTTGACCGAACTATCATCGGTCCAGCGATCCCCGCCATCACGAACGAGTTCAGTAGCATTGGCGATATCGGATGGTACGGTAGCGCGTACATGCTCACAGCAGCCGGGTTCATCTTGTTGTATGGTCGCATATACACATTCTTCCCCACCAAGCCAGTCTTCCTATCCGGTATTTTCTTGTTCGAACTCGGAAGCATCATCTGCGGCGCTGCGCGCAATAGCAACATGCTCATCGTCGGGCGTGCGGTTGCGGGCCTAGGCAGTAGCGGTATCTTCACTGGCGCAATCTTGATCATGTTCAACACCGTACCGCTGGCGAAGCGACCCATGCTGCAAGGTCTCTTTGGCGCATGCTTTGGCGTCGCGAGTGTGGCCGGCCCGTTGTTAGGCGGGGCGTTCACCAGCAGCAGCGCAACCTGGAGGTCAGTAACACAGTTGACAAATCGCATATGAGATGCATGCTAACATGATCCAGATGGTGCTTCTACATCAACCTCCCGCTCGGTGGTTTCACCCTCCTCATAGTGTGCTTCCTGCTGAAGTTGGACGAAAAGAAGCCGCAACTCAAGACGTGGGGAGAGACAATACGACAACTAGATCCCTTAGGCACCGCATTGTTCCTTCCGTCGATAACCTGTCTCTTGCTAGCACTGGAGTGGGGCGCAGCCGACTACCCATGGACCTCACCGCGGATGGTCATACTTCTTGTCGCCTTCGCAATGCTATTGATAGCGTTCGTATTGTGGCAATACGTCACCAGGCACACCACAGCGACTTTGCCAGCACGCATCATCTTCCAGCGTAGCGTTACATTTGGTAGCGCATCCCAGTTCTGCGTAGGCGCGACTATGCTCACAGTCTCCATCTACGTCCCTCTCTGGTTCCAGGCCATCAAAGGTGCATCTGCGATGCAGTCCGGCATCAACACCATTCCGCTCGTTCTTTCGGTTGTCTTCGGCTCGATCGTGTCTGGAGCTCTGGTACAGCGCATCGGATACTACACTCCTTTCATGATCCTTGGCTCGGGCTTGATGGCCATCGGAGCTGGTCTCATCACCACCTGGGAGATGACCACCGATAACGCCATGTGGATTGGAACGCAAATCGTTGTGGGCTTTGGGGTTGGCTGCACCATGCAACATCCAAACATAGCTGTGCAAACCGTACTGCCAAAGGAGGATGTTCCAACTGGTACGGCAGTCCTTTCGCTATTCCAAACACTCGGTGGCGCAGTCTTCACAGCCGTTGGCCAGAATTTGTACATACACAAGTTTTCGTCTGGCCTGGAGCAAATCGGAGGTTTAGACCCTCAAAAGATCCTGGACGCAGGAGCCACGAACCTAACGGCTGGTGTAACTCCAGCCATTAAGGCCCTGATACTGGCAGCCTACAACGACTCGCTGACACATGGAACGTTCTTTGCGGCACTTGTCATAGCTTGCCTTGCGATACCAGCTGCTGTAGGCATGGAGTGGCGAAGCGTCAAAGCTAAGCCAGACACGTCTGTACGGCGAGACGATGAGAAACGGGATCAAAAGCCACACCAACCCCGTGGTATCCTGAAAACTCCAGGCACTGGTGCCGGTCGACAAGAAGCGAATCAACCGGCGGTGACAGCGCCCGCGCCAGCTTTGAAGAAGATGTTCCGGCAAAGCGGTCACTTTGCATCGTATTTGACAGCCACGATCAATCCTGACCTCCGTGATCATTTGGGTCCGGGTAAGCAAGTTCGCAGGTGACGAAGCTGGCTCTTCTTTCCCGGAATTAGATGTATGGATGAATTCGAGGTCCTTTAGCGTGTAATGATGATAGGGCAGATACCATATCGCATCGTATCTCTGCCATTAATGCATAATGTATTAGCCACTAGCTCTCACTTCCCATTGTTATCTGCTTGAAGTCTGTCGGCTCTGGGGCTGTTTTCGTTTGTGCCACGTGTAGCGAGGGGCGAAAATGCGCAAGATCACAGCACGTGATCCTTGATTTTCGCAAGGAAGCAGACTTCGGGGCCTTTCCGATTCGCAGCTTACCAAACAGGCAATGCGTAAGCGAAGCCACCAAGCCATGACGCTGATCATCCCACGTCCAAGACAATCAATCAAGCAAAGCCGAGCTCTAGTGAAGCTTTATTAACTACATGCATCTTTGAGCCCCACTCTTGCGATATCATTCCCGCTTGATTCAGGTGATTGAGGGTTGGGGTCCATGTCGCTATCAGGCTCCAACATGCATCTACTCCGCCAACACAGGCGCGATTATCGCCATGAAGCCACTCTTCTCGCGGTGAGACCACACTTCGGTGGTTTCGGAGTCGGATTGGTGCGTCATCCTGGCCAGCTCCGAGATTGCGTGTACACCATTGGTTGTTCGTAAACCTAAAGGCTGCTTACAACAACCACTAACTCGTACTCAGGCAAGCAGTCTGCCGTGCGATCTGTCATAGCAAACAATAAGACTAGCAATGCGCGTTGTATACCAATGGCGTTGCCAGATGTCTCGTCTCGCCGCGCACGGTCCGTGAGCGCACGTATCCCACTCACAGCTGGCGGGAAGCTGCTCGTACTACCTGTCAGATTCTCGAGTACACTTAGGGGTCCGATTTTCCAAAGGGCCGAATGTAATCTCGATACCGGATCGCACTTTCCGCGGTTCCCCACAGCTCTCGGACGTCGTAGTATGGTCATGCCACGTAGCTGGGTCGGTCTTAAGTAATACGCAGTGTTGGACTGGCTATCGTATAGCAGTAACGAGCTTCTATCCAAACGGTGAGCTGACACCGATAAGCTCTGACATGGCGAGAGACAGCCGCAGCTGTACAATGCGGCTCATCTCGGACCTTGTCGTTTCGGAGATCATAGAGGAGAGACGAATATGATCGACGCCGGATTTAGAGAATGCTGCATACCTGCATGACGACTTCCATGGTGTTTTGTATAAGAGCCAATACACTGAGGCACCTTGGAATACAGTCTGTGTTAAAGAACTGATCGTCGTTACTGTTCAACCTACTCTTGTGCGATAACAAGTGCAACATCGGGCAACATGGCTTCCCAAAACGTCCACATCGTGCTCAGCGTAGCATGGCAAGACGCTGGAGATACGACACGTGCCATTGCGATGGCTATTGCGTTCCGGGATATGTGTCCGTCCAACATCAATCTGCGAATCGACTTCCTGTCCTGTGGCGCGCGGTTCGAATATCAAATCACGGACGTTGGCTTCAACATTGTCCCAGCTCAACCACGCGTGAAGGGCATCTCCGTGGCGCATGACCTCGGATGGGACTGGCCTGAGTTCTTCGGTTCAGAAGAAATCGCAAAGTCGTTCATCGATGGCCAACTTGCAGCGTTCAAAGAGTTGAAGCCGGATATTGTGTTCCATGGCATGTGGGCTCCAGCGTCTATTGCTGCACGACTCCTTGGTATCCGAACGATCAACTTCCTCCCGGTGCCGTTGCATCCTGGAGCCTTTGCTCACGGCCTGATTCGCGATCTTCCTGATATGATGCCGTTATTCACACGACTTCCCCGACCAGTTCGACAGCGCATGGCATGGTGGGCCAGTGGTTTGATGGTAAACGCTCCCATCTTCCGACAGAAGCGCCTAGGAGCTGCAGCTGCAGCCTGCGGATGGCCTACAACAGGCCCCATCTCTCTCTTCGAAATGAATATGGCCGATCTCAACTTGGTCAATGACCATCCCATATTCCATCAAGAATACCTGCATCGCCTCCCAAAGAACATAGTCCTCACGGGTCCCTTGTACGCACGAAACGACTCCAAGCTGGATGAAGACATATCGGCACATCTGACAAAGGGTCCCGGTCCATCGATCCTGGTTACAATGGGCAGCTCGGGAACGGAAGAGTTCTTGTTCGAAGCGATCAAGGCTCTAAGATTAAGACCTGACGACAACTGGAATGCAGTCGTGCTGGCTTCGAAATCCATCTGCGACATTGATAAGGCAATTGAGATCGCTGGGGGAGATGCCCGCCTTCTGGTGACTGATCGGTTCATCCCAGCACCGGCCGCCAATGCGCTTGCCGATTTGATCGTCACACATGGAGGTCAAGGCACTGTACAATGCGCCTTGGCTGCGGGAAAGCCTCTAGTCGGAGTCGCGCTACAAGTCGAGCAGCAGACGAACTTGGACAACGCCATGAACGCTGGAGCAGGTATCCGTATGCAGAAACAGAATTGGAAGGCGAAGCACATTCGTAGCACGGTAGTGACGGTGCTCAAGGATCCTTCTTATGCAGCGAGAGCGAGGATGTTGGCGGAGACGTTGAATTCCATGGACGGCGCAAAGACGGCGGCAGAGGTAATGTGGAAGTTCATCGTTGAGGAACAGACAGAGAAGGTCAAAGTTTAGGTTTGGCAAGCAAGAGTGTCATGGCATGATGACGCGCTGGCGCGCGAGGTTTGACGGCCGGAAACGCGACGCGGTTTGATTGGCCAGATTATCATGATGCTGCTGTCGACGCGCCGTCCAGATAGAGATGTTTCTTTTGTTTTGGGATACTTTGAAGGTTCAGAATTTCCTGCCACAGCAATGCAGTCCGTGGGAGTGCAAGGATGAAGGTCGAGAACGCGTTGTATGTCGGGTAGAGGGGAAGACGCGTGGGAAGCCAGCCGACGCATTAAGCTAGCAGCTTGGCATGTTCTGAGCACTGTCCAAAGATCTTGTTGTTCGCGACCGCCCCTGGCTGCTGCCCTTCGCATTTTCACATCCAGCACAAAACCGCGCGCTTTTCCATTTGAGTCCCCATGCACACCCTCTCGGTTCATCTGCGAACGTACACAGCAGGTTTGCGAACGCTCTAACATTGTGGCCATGGAATTTCTTTAAAGACAGCAGAGGCTCTCAATACAGAGTCTGATGAAGCCTAGTGTGCGTTACAGAGTCTTCCGCCGTTCGCTGGAATCTCATCATGAATGGAAATTGGGAGGTTTCGCATGCAACACTAGGCCGAGTTAACTTTCGCTGGTTCTGATTGTACGCGAAGAGCCCGACCGCAACCTCGTCATATTCGTTGGCCTGGACGAGAGGACCTATGACAAAGAACATGCTGAAGTGGTGGCGGAGATGTACATCCAAGCAGTGACGCAAGTGGTTGCTCAAAGCCGAACTATTAGCGCCATCGACATGGACCTCATCCCCCTGGAAGAGCGTGAGCAAAGCATGGTGCACGATGCTGGACCGGAGCTTCAAGTCTCTTTCAGCAGCGTGCTCGAGAAGCTGCAAGAGATCGCCATAACGGCTCCCGATCGTGTCGCTATAAAGGATGAGCGCAACCATAAGATTACATATGTCGACCTCATACGTCGCGCGATCGCCATGTCTTCGGATCTGAAGAAGCACGAAGTCGCTCGTGGTACTCCTGTGTGCGTACTCGGTCCTCCAACCGTCGATTTTCTTTGCAGTGTCGTCGCGATCTGGTGCGCTGGTGGCGTCTATGTTCCAGTCGATCACCGTCTCTCGATCCATGACAATCTTCCCATCGCTAAGAACTCCAACACTGTGTTTTGCATCGTCAGCATGCCATATCTACTTGACTACGCATTGAAATTCCAGCTTGGTACCGTGTTCTGCTGCGGCGACATGGTCTTCACGGAAGGTTTCGACAACATCGAAGAGCCGCTGCCGGACGATCTTGCTGTGGAATTGCATCTTCAGTCGTTCGACGGGTTGCCAAAAGGCGTCATCTTAACACACGAGAACTTGGAGGTGTTTGTAGCTTCCACTGCTCACTACTTCGAGGACGAAAAGCCGGTCGTACTACAGCACAGCAACTGGACGTCGGAAATGTCGCTCTTCCAGATCTTGTTCGCACTAACGTCTGGAGGCACGCTCTTCGTAGCCGCAGACTCATTTCCCGCCAATGTGACCAAGGTCATGGTGCACCAGAAGATCACCGCCACTATTGCTACACCATCCGACTACTCACTTTGGTTCCAACATCCTCGCAACATGCTCAATGATTGCAAATCTTGAAGATTCGCGTTGAGTGGCAGAGAGAAAATCTCGCCGAGTGTTATTCGCAACTTCACTGAGCTTCGGCTCAACAACCTGGAGCTTGCAAGCTTCTTTGGGGCGACCGAGACCACAATCGCTTCTTCAATGGGCTTTGTCGACTACAAGGCGTACGCGGCCAACAAAGAAGGACAGCTCATCCCTATGGGAAACCCGTTACCGAACAACAAGATCTGGGTTGGTAATCACCTGGGTAGACCACTTCCTGTAGTTTGGACCGGTGATATATGGGTCGCCGGCCCAGGTATTGGGATGGGCTACTTTGGTTCCAAGGTGGACGACCATCGCTTCTAGACACATCTCGGGACCGGTGTGAAGTGTTTCCGGACTGGTGACTGGGGTTTCATTAACAATACTGGGGTGCTTTTCGTTACCTCTCGACGCTTGGACGAGTCAATCGCGCAAGTCGGCGGTTTTCACATCGAGCTAGGAGATGTCTCGCGAACTATCATTGACCAGGCAAAGGGAAGAGTGGAGGAAGCAGTCACGGTTCTTCAAGGCAATGAAGGGCAGGAAGAACCGCAGATTCTGGCTATTGTTGTCATGACCGGGACGCTCAACGCTGCATCGCGGCGGTATCTGCAGAAGTTGCTTCGCGGCCTCAATCTCCCCGTGTATATGCGTCCGACACGCGCCGTAGTCTGGAAGCAGCTGCCACGCACGTCTGGAGGAAAGTTCGATCGTCACGCCGTGATGGCAACCGCGATACCAGATACCGATATTATCCGGGTCATGTAACCGACGAGCGTCCTCGATGAGTCATATGGACGCTGGAGTTCTATGCAGACGTTGGGATAATTTGGGTATGTGGAAAGCTGTGATCTTCAGTCGATATAAAGGCATGTATCTAGAAACCACAACACCTTTGTATCGTTAGCCAAAGAAGTAATGTGATGCGTGTTTCAGAGAACGAGGGGCTAAAGTCGAAGAACATGCCCCTCATCCCCTCTACAGCCCCAATCACCCCTCCATCTCCGCCTCACACGACCCATTGCGGCTCGCGCCGCATATTGCATGCCGCAAAGAATGCATCCGTGACCAGAACACAGCCCGCCAGCTCACGACCTTCTCTATGCTTCCGGTGACTTCCAACACCAAGGCAGCGTATGAGCCCAACTCCCCCACATGCCCAGCCAATCAGCATCTGCCATCTTTCGCACCGGCGGCGTCACCGTACTTTGGGCCATGCAGATGCAAAACAACTAGCTAGCGCTGCGCGGGAGCCCAAAACAACGCGTCTTTCTTAAATGTTAGGATCCCCAGATTTTTCTGTCGTTTAGTAATTTCCCTGCCTTTTGGTGATTGCGTGACGTTTGCCAGTTTTGAAGATGGCGGAATTAGTTGTTGCGGGCCCGCCTGCCCCACCTCCGATGACGTTTCGCGATCGGTTGTCGCAGTTTAGGATTCTGGAGGAGAAGAGGTGTGAGCTTATCGAGGTATGCTACTGGAGGCTTCATGGACAGGATGATGATCTTGACGATATAGTAGGAACTCCTAGACAAGCTCGAAAAGACAGAAGCACGCCTCGCACAATGTGAACTCGACCTCGGCTCCGAACAGAATGTCAGGCGGACATTGCAAGCGGAAATCGCAGATGTCACGCGGACAATGCAAGGGCAGCTGTCAGAATCAAAGGCAAAAGAAGAAGCTCTGGTGCAGTCGCAGTCCAAGCGGCCGTTCGTATTAGTACTCATAGATGCCGATGCTGAGGGTTTCCTGGTGCGTACTGTGGTAAACTTTCCTACTTTATCTATTGACTAACTGTCCCAGTTCCAAGACAAATACATAACACGGAAAGCCCAAGGTGGTGAGACATTAGCAGATGAAATCAACATACGGATACGGGAATACTTGCGGGAGCAGTTCGACGATGCTGACTCACTCGACATCATTGTCCGCATATATGCCAACTTGGAGGGTATGGCCAACTACCTTGTACGACTGGAGAAGGTGCGAAACTTGGGTCAGCTGCGGGCGTTCTCAACTGGCTTCTGCGGAAGGATAACGAGCTTCGACTGGATTGACACCGGAGTGGGAAAGGAAGGCGGAGCAGGACGAAAAGTGCGAGGTATGTACTCATGGACGCTCGAGGTAGGAAGCCATGAGATCGCTAACCTGATACAGAAAACTTGTCATTCTTCGCTTCCAACACGCATCTACGGCACACGATAGTCGCATGCTCACCCGTCGACCTACCCGCTTCTCTCCTCACCTCCATACCACTCGAGAAGCTAACGCTGATCGAATCTCTCCCGCTACCATCGTCGCTCACTACACTACCTCTGAAAACCGCCAAGTTCCCCTCTCTGTTCCCTCCACCACCACCCACCAAGAACGCGAAGCCCAGTCGAGAGCGTGGCCGTAACGACCGCGGACTAAGCGAAACGGATGTGAGACGAGGCGATAGGGATATGCGAAGAGGAGATGAGCGAGGCGGAGGACCACAGCTGCAGCTCATGGAGCAAGAACATGAAGGTGGAGGCTCAACATGGCTGGTCATACAGCCCGAGAGGAGTAAGAGCCAGACTGTCAGCGGAAGAGACAGGGACAGGGACAGGAGGAGGGCTCCAAGCGAAGATGATACCAGCAGTTTGAGCATCAGCATCGGGCCAGACAACACTGTCAGTGTTGACAGTGGGAGGCGGCGGAGATTGATGGGCTAATCTTGGTTTGGCACATGGGATCTGAGATCCCTGCTGCGAAGGAAAGGTCACGTCGCGTACTGTTTGATGAGTTTGATAGCATGGCATAGCATAGCGTAGCGGCATATATTCCTAGTGTTCATGGTACGCTGGCATAGCGGCGGGCAGTACAGCCCGAATCTACAGCGTTTGTCGGAAGCCTTCTTGGCCCTCCAGAATCCTCTCTCCACGGTCAGCTTGGCGATTGGCTCGTGAGTAGACCCAGAAGTTCTTCAGCACGTGTAGTATGCTCAGAACTTGGGTCGCAATAACAACAGCCATAGCAGGTCTCTACAGGTCAGCTTCAAATCTCTATGCATCATGATGTACGGAACTTACATGTACTTCGGCGCATCCTGTTGTCGGAAGATATTCGATGCTGCGATACCTCCACAAGCACCACCTCCGATCAGCAATGCACTCGCGACACTCCTCTTCATCTGGCCCACGATGTTGTTGTGCATATAACTCAGTATGCTCGGCACATTCGCATTCGCGCCACTGACGCCCAGAAAGACTCCCGCATACCTCGCGCGAGCGTTGCTAAGAAAAGCCATCATGCATACACCCAGAACAGCCCATGCGCAGTTGAACACGATGATCGCTCCGCGCATTCTGTATCGGTCAGCGACCCACGCCGTACCAAACATCCAAGCCGCAGCCAGAACGTATGGCGGGAAAGACAGGATCTGGCTCATGGCGACAGAATAACCCATATCGTTGCGCAAGATGATTGGCAGGAAGTATCCCCAGCTGTATGCGACGACGTTATTGAGGAAGTAGAGCCACGCAAACTCCCAGATCTTCCAGTCGCGGAGATGTTTGGCGACGGTCGGCCAAGTGAGCTTGTCAGCGATGGCATCACCGCGGTCGCGTTGAATGCGGGCCAGAATTATGTTGGCCTCCCCAGAGGTCAAGAAAGGGCGTTTTGTTATGGGGCTGGGTTGACTGGCTTTATCGGGGAAGTCGATGATAGTCAGGTAGCCAACGAAACCGAGTAGGACGGTGATGGCGCCCTCCTAAAATGGGTCAGCAACTGATGTGGGCAGGAAAGAGCTCGACTTACAATTGCGAAGATCCATTGCCAGCCATTTAATCCTCCTAGGCCTCTCATCTCACTCAGTCCCCAAGCCAAGATGTTTGAGAATCCACTTGCCAGAAGCGCTAGCAGGTAGAATCCACTGAACCTCTTTTGCACCTCGAATCTCACATACCAACAGCTCAGCAGGAAGACACAGCCAGGATAATAGCCCGCTTCGAGCACACCTAGTATGACTCGGCATCCGAGTGCTTGCGTCCAGTTGTTCGTAAAACCCATGCCAATCGTGACGGCGCCCCAGCAAACAACTAAGGAGGGTAGCCATACGGCAGGACCCAACTTACGTATGATTATGTTTGCTGGAAACTGGAAAATTATATATGGTATGAAGAAGATCATCGTGAGTATCGAGTAGCGTGAACCAATGGAGAGACCCAGGTCCTCGTCCATGCCTGCGATGCGCGCCTGAAAGTTGAGTCAGCTTATGACATACAACTTCAACTAAGAGTAGGCCGTACATTGGGAAGATTAACGCGGTCTATGAGTGCGAAGGCATAGATGACAGCTAGTGTTGGCAAGAGCCTGAGATCTATCTTTCGAATGATGCGACGTGTTTCCTTGTCATCCTTTTCGATAGGTGACGATGCCGGTCCCGAGGAGTCATTCGCTGGGTCTACGGTGTCGTCGAGATTGACACGGTCGTCTCTATCGCCATAGCTTTTCTCGTCGAGCGAGACCTTCTGTCGTCAGCGCATCGTTCCAGGAGGGCTTGGATGAACACTGACATGTTCCTTCCGCTCGGCTTCAAGATCCTTCTCTTTGAACGACATGTTTTCTCGTGGCAGGCTCACTGAAACACCGTGCCCTGTACACACACGCTCAACCTTCTTATCGCTGCATCCCCTCCAATTCTCCAACGATAGATCCCCGCCAAACGTCTCCCGAATCGCGGGGTGCAGCGCACATCTTTACTCAATCCGGCTATGACAGGTCGTTTGTTGGAGTAAGAGTTCGCTTCGCGGGCTTAGCTTCATGCATTGTTACCTACGAAATTCAGCTTCAGCAGCGGAGTGGAGGCTTGGCTGTTGAGATGTTCGGGTTAATGAAGTTCGTGAATGACGTGTGTTGACTCGACTTTGCGATGTCAGCGTCGGCAAAGGGAAGAATGCAAGCTTGAACGATGCGCTCGCTTATTGGCCAGGTTCCCTGGATGGTGTTTGCACCTGCTGTAGCGATCTAATAGTCTGCGCCATAGACAAAAGCGTGCTGTCCGTGAATAGGGAGTCATAGCTGCGGTTGGCATTCGTGTGGCACGGCACCTCTGTGATGGGGTTTTCGTATCGCGATCATCGATAGAACAGTTGCATCAGCATCAAAAGGGAGCAGATAACATGCAGGGACCGATGCGACGTCGACGCGATTGCTGATAGATGTTGACCACGTGACTGTGCCCAACTGGGACTAGCTCATCGCGAATCTTCCACGCTAAACTTCAGCGCGTTCCCGACCTCAACACCGCACTCTGCCATCATACCTAGCGATGCCCGCCTTCTTAGATGATAATATTGCAAAGGGACGATGCTTGGATTGAATCCCAAAATATCCTTCCGTCTACATCGCAATCGCTCTTAGTCCTAAGATGTTCGGACACCGAACGTACGCGCGTCCACATGGAGCACCCACTCATCGAACATCATCGCTACTGGCTTGCTGACAACGAAGCAAATTTACCTGAGGTCTCGGTCAACCAAAGGTTTTCAATTGATAGTTCTATGTCTTCTTATGCTAGGTCTCTGGATGCAACTCGAACGCCGCCATTACCGCACCATATTGATGTGTTGTTCTCGATCGCTTCGACTATCTTCCCATTCTTTGTTCACGGTGCAGATGCTAGTTTGAGGGTGAGCTTGAACCATCGCTAATGTGTCATTCTCTTATCAGAACCAAACAGAACACTGGAAAACCAAGCAGAACCATAGGCAAAGCTAATCGAGGAGAGGGCACTAATCGATCAACATCCAACATCCAACAACCAACGTCGCACAAAGAGTCATCGTACACCAACGTAGCTTGAGCCAAGTCCTACGCATTCTCGTGCGCCGCGAAAGACCATCTGGCGGACCTGGGTTTTCTCCCCACCGCGAAATGCCGCATCAAACCTGATGTTAAGGTCAATGCTTCAATAACAGCGTTTGCTTCGATCACGTGCGACCAATGCAAACGCACGGCGGCGCATGCTGACAGTCGCGACATCTGCGTGCATTTTACTCAAAGCCTCCTCACATCATCCCATCATGGCTTTTAATCGCGCTCGAGTGCCTGACCCGGCATCTCCCATCCACCCTCTTGCGATTAAGCCTCTCTTCGACAAGCTCCCAAATCATGACAAGCTCTACGCTCACTATCTCTCGAAAGCAGCCTGGGCGGGTACCCGCATCATCTTCCGCCAAACATCCGAGGAGTCTGAAGACATCTTTGATCTTATCATGAAGACCTATCTTGCGTGCGAGGGCAAATGGAGCTTGCTGGTAGAAGCATGTGCGCTGACCGACGCTGAAATCAAGGCTTTCTCGAGCTACGCAGGACTGTTTCTATACTATCTTAGAAACTTCTATGTAAGTTGCAGAAGCTGTAAGCGTGGGAGGGACTCTGTGCTACCTTTTTAAGGCGAGGGAGGCCAGAAGTTCGTGCCAGACCTTTGCAAAGAGTCGCTTAGTGAGATCATGCGATACGCTGGCATACCAGAACCAGCCGCTGGAAGCCTCATTGAGAGCATGACTGCAAGAACCCCGCATGGCATAGGGTACCCTAACGATACCACTGCATCGAGCTACTACCTGGGCGATCGCATCACCCGCGAGGAGATCGAGGAAGTTCAGCAATTTATGCAGGACAAAGGCACCAAGTCTGAGAACACGAGGGTATGAAAGAAAATCCAAGATGGCAACACAGTCTACCAAGTTCTCCAGGCCTCCAGTGAGTCTCCCGGTCAGAAGCCTACTACGACAGGACGACATCCTGGCTCGAAAGTTCGAATAGTGAGAGGAGATCATCAGCGTGAGATGTCTAATATCTGCAAGCAGTAAGTCTATCATCATCTTGCTATTATCCAATCATAGACGACGGCATCAAGATTGCAGCAAGACTAACGAACTACCACAGTCTCAAGAGCGCCAAAACGTACGCACAGAGTACCGATCGGGAGCTGATGCTTGATTACTACATACTCAGCTTTGAGCAAGGAAGCCTTACTGCGTATCGACAAGGCCAGGAGTTCTGGGCCAAAGACGTCTCCCCATCCATCGAACACATCCTCGGCTTCGTAGAATCCTATCGCGACCCTCATGGCGCGCGAGCGGAATGGGAAGGTGTAGTGTGTATCGCCAATCCGGAAGAGACGAAGAAGATGGAAGCCCCCAAGGCCAGTGCTGGGAGATTTTGCACATCTCTACCCTGGGTGACATCGGAGAATGCGGGCAAGGGCTTATTCGAGAAGGATGTGGTTGTCATACCGCATTGCGCTATTGTGCATGGTGTGTGCTGGCGCTATCCGTGCATAATCTCATGCTAACGTCGATGATGCAGCTCTAACAGTCTGCTGCCCGTATGTTTGGGAAGCGTCGAATCTCCCCAACGTAAGTCCTCTGAACTGTCATCCACACCTCAATAATCTAGTCACTCACCTCTAACTGCTCAGTACAACGACATTCGCGAAAACCACGGCTCAAAGAACATTATCATCGTCAACCGAATGAGCGCGAACCGTAACTCCCCCGGCGCATCCATCTACCTTCAGCCCTCAGACCGCGACCTCTACCGTCAGGACCTCCGCACCATCCGCTTCGTAGCAACAGTCATCCACGAACTCCTCGGTCACGGCACGGGAAAACTCCTAAGCGAAACAGGCCCCGATATCTTCAACTTCGATGTCACAAACCCGCCAATTGACCCCCTGATGGGCCAAGAGGTGGCTTCCTGGTACCACCTCAACGAAACATATTGGAGCATATTTGAAGATACTGCCCATTCAGTTGAATAGTGTAGGGCTATACTCATGTCAGCGTACCTCATAGACAACAAAGACATTCTCGGAATCTTCGTGTACGATGGAAAGAGTACATTGACGGCCGATGACTTGTTCTACCTTTCGTACCTGCACCTCGGTGTAGAAGGCCTACGCTCTCTAGAACACTACAACCCAGATACAAAGAAACTGACCCAAGCGCATAGCCAAGGCTACTTCGCTATCTTCAAACACCTCCTCACGGAAGGAAACGGCGTTCTCACGGTCCACCACGACGCAAACACATCCGGCCTACACGTCACCGTAGACCGTACCAAGATCATATCTGATGGAAAACCTGCGCTGGGCCGCATGATGTTTTATTTTGCATATCTGGCGGTGCACAGCGAATGCCGAGGTATATAGACCGTTCTATGAGAGCTTAACGAGTGTAGAGGGGGTATATGAGGCGTGGAGAAGCGTTGTTGCGACGAGGCCGGCGCGGAGGGCGAAGTTCGTGCAGGGGAACATTTTTTTTGGTGGGTGGGGAGGTAGTGTGCAAAGAGTATGAGGAAAGTGATGAGGGAATCATTAGGTCGTGGGCTGAGAGGGCGGTTTAGAGGAGGATTTTCGTGGAGGGATGTTTAAAGTGGGAAAATAGCTGATCCTGACCTTGACTTCATGCTGAGTAGTGCTGTGTCTGGCAGCCACGTTGCTTTATGCTTGCGAGTTCCTACCAAATCGAGTTTGCCGAGAATAATAGAGAGAAACGATATTACAATCTTTGAAGTATGTAAGAATGTTGATCTAGATATCATTGATTGAAAGGTATTCCGTGCCTCGCTCTTCAGTCTTGTCGATGGGGAAGCCGTCATAACACCACAGGCAATTCTTAACGACTGCTTATATTTCAAGGAGAGTACCTTTCAGGTAGAACGTTAGTCCCCACCGAGGCATTCGACATACATCCTTCATGTGATCTCCCACCATTGACGCTACACCCCTGGTAGGTGGATCAGTCGTGTTGTCTTTGCTAAACTCAACCTCCTGTTCAATAGTTGTAATCCCCGGGACTGTTTCGCAGAGGATTGCCAGCGGGGCCTCCCTTATGCTTCGTGATATCCGCGATGGGTGAGCGGATAGCAAAACGAGATTTGCCAGCGGCCAGTACCAAGGTATCTTTGTCGACTTCAAGTAGGGCCTGGCGGTTGTTCATAAAGCTTATTCGTGTGACCGTTTCTTCTGCAAAGTCTTCTACGCGACGACGATCTTGCTGGTCGCATCTTGAATCCTCGAAGATCATTGGCACTTTGATGTGAAGCTTGAGTTCTAGCCAATGAACTAGTTCGAAGGCAAGAAGGATAAGGTATTTTTCCAGACCACGGTCGTCGCGACGAAGGCTATCTGGACCATCTTCGCTCTCGCTGCCGTCCAGTTCGCCGAATCCAAAGCAAATGACCTTGTTGAGGTTGGCAGCTGGGAACTTTGCTGGCTACTTCTCGTCCAAGGTGCCCAGGAAGTTGTTGCGTACCAAGCTCTCTTTCCATGCGATGTTTACCTTTGTGTCTACTTTTAACAAACTGTCGATAGGCCTATCAGATCGATCGCGAGCCAGGCGAGGCAAGATATACATGTTGATCTTGGCGTCCAGGAGGTATGGAAAGCGGGTCAGGCGCAACGGCAACTCAGCGTGGTCCGGCCCTGCGGCAGACCAAAAAGCGAAATCGAGAGGCGTAAAGAAGTAGACGTCCTGCGTGCCGCAGGAACGCAGCATTACCGGTTGCAAGTTCCCATCCATATCCATCAATCTGCACGCATTGATTCCTTCTGCCAACGACACAAACTGCTTCGCATTGTACTCGACGACTTTCTCCGTATGGAAAGTTTGGTCTTCAAGCACTCTGTCCAAGTCGCCCAGCTCTTGACAGATTTTGGCATCCTCTGCGGCATCTTCTTGTACCCGTGCCTGTTCCTTTGCGCTTGACATGGCTGACGCGGTGGCGATATGTAACGCTTGTGAAAGTGTCGAGAGGTAAATAGCTGCTAGAAGCAAGGATGCCTTGCAGTAGTCATGAGTGCGTGTCAATTCCCGCGAGCTTTTATACTTCGCCATGACTCTTTAGTATGCGCATTCGGACTCTTGTCATGTTGTACAGTCAGTGCGCGTGAGTCAGTACATTCGCCTGCAGCACAGTTGCCAGCTGCACTTTTGTGCGACGTTGGAAGGTATGAAGTCCGAGCTGATCGTAAGTGTGACTCAGTATAGCTTGTCAGTCCTCGAGAGAAAGGTGTGTATTGACGTTCATTTCTTCCACTTCCTCCAAGCATCTACAAACCCAGTCTCCTCCGCCGCCTCGTCGCGACCGCTCAAGCCACCAGCTCCTTCACCCAAACCTCCCAGATTAACAAGCGGCACCATACTAGGCCGTCCATGCGCGCACATAAACGGAAAGACACAGCCTGCCAAATTCCTCACTAAAGCCTTACAGTCATCAATACTGAGCTCATCGTTGAACATGATAGCGGAGCGACAAGCACGAGAATTGATGAGATCAACGAGACCAGGTGGACAGGTAGCTAGGCGTCTGACCCAGTCGGAAGGGTCGTTTGCTGATGAGCTAGATGGTGTGGACAGAGGGGGAAAGTGTGGATCCTCTGCGTACTTCCAGACTGTTGAGCGCAGAAAAGCGATCAGGACTTTGGGGTCGGCTTTGCATCTTTCGGATATACCGGTTGGAAGACTCATAACGGACAAGATATACTTCTCCTTGTCGGCAGTGCTGGAAAGAGATGAAGACGTTGTTGTCTGGAGGACATTGTAGAGAATACCCCACGCTGCGAATCTGGCGGCATGCGTTGTGAAGTGCGTTTGTTCCTGCGGCGAGATTGCAAACTGGGTTGGCTTATCCAGAACGACGGAAGCTACCTGTGCCTTATGACCGAGCTTCGACTGATAACCTTCTTCACCTTGTGACGGACTGCACAGCTGGCTCAGGAGCGACTCTACCTGCACACGCTCGTCTGCTGCATGCTGGTCAATCAACACAAGGAGCCCCACTCGCGCATCTTCTACCCGTGTTGAGTCTTGCATCTTGACAAGGATAAACTTCTTGTCGACCTGCCCAATGACTTGAGCGTCTTGCAGCCCTTCTTTTGACAGTCTACTAGGGCCGCTCGATGAAGTTTGGTTGAAAGCTCTGTCGATATCGATGCGAGAACAGCCATGTCTAGACTGATGGTGTCTGTGGTCGACCTCATCTTCGTGCAACACAGCTTGTTGTATACGCTTCTCACTTGGCTTGAAGACTGGGTTCTCCCACGTGTCTAGTACAGCATCAAGCCAGGGTGTCTTGCCAACCACAGCAGTCGAAGCCCGTGTCGGTAATCGCATTGACCTATTTGATATGTTCTGGGATATCGAATTCGAGAGTGTAGCTGAGTCGGTACTTGGTCGCGCGCGAGCGTCAGGTACCACACAACCTGTTCTAGCGTTCAGTAGATGCGTCTTCTTAGTCGTTGGATCCGTCCACAAGATGGCGTCGTCGTTCTCCTTATCATCGGTTTCCAGGTTCTCTGCAAGCAGCGAAACGTCGTCGCGCTGTTCTTGTCCGCTCAGAGCACCTTGAGCTAGCGGCGCTACGTCAAAGTGGGCGAAAGCTTCGGGGTTTGCGCCAAGTGAAGTATCAAATGCGGTCTTGGACTTCGGCACATTCAATACGCTGCTGAAGAACTCGGGCTTGCCACTCTTGATGCGTGACCACTCTGCAAAAGCCCCAGAGCGGGACCTGTCGACCAACTCGCGTGACGCTATCTTGTCTGGACGCTTCCTCTTGAGAGACTGTGACGAAGTTGAGCTTTGCTTTGGTGTTACCGAGCGCACTCTTGCATCGTATCCTCGGAAAGCCATGTTAGTTGTGGGACTGTCCGTGGATGGCGTGTTGACAGCAGCGTACTCAGCAGTACTAGAAGCAGTACCAGGCCGTTCGCGCTTCTTGCGAGGTTGCCGGGGTCTGAAGTGATGGACCGACAACCATTGAGTCACCATTTCACTCAGGACCTCCATCACGTTTTGTAGGTTCGCTTCATCTCCGATAAACTGATCTTCGGAAACGCTTCTTCTGCGAGCCTCCTTCAACGAGATGCGAATGTGAAACATGGGATATCTGTCGACGTCTTTGCGTGCTTTGAGTTGTTTGTTTGTGTAGCCATCCTGCTTGAAGCGCTTGTCTGTCTGTCGTCGGACTTTCTCCTGCTCATCGACTTCGGCATTTTCCTCGATGGTACCAAAGCTGGACAATGCGAAGAGGCGATTTATTGCATCAAAAAGTTCGTTGTGACCGGCCTCCGCAGAAAGCGGTCTTATGCCCAGCGAGATGAACTGTACATGCTTGCTGGGTGCTGGAGTTAGTGATATAGCGCCTTTGATGGAGATGGCAGACGTGGAAGCCGACGCTGGTACCCACGACGCCCACTCATCGATGGCGATGTAGTTGGCCTGGGTCAATACGTTGAGGAGAGAAGAGAGGTGTTGTGCAGATCGTAGCTTCGCAATCTCACTTTCTTTTCTTTTCGTGGCTGCTTCCGAGCCGGGTATGCCGAGATTGAGAATCAGCCTGTTGTCGCCGTCCCGTATACGAATAGCGACCGGACGCTGCCAACTAAGCAAGAGACTCGTTACGTCCCTCTTCAACCCACCCCAGAGTCTGTCGTGTTCGGCTCTTTGCTCTGAGATTATCGCGCGCTGCTTCACGCGCACGGGCATGTTGCCGAACAAGTTCCGCACGGTGACGCGGGTGCCATGCCTGCCTGATATCTCGTGATGCGCCGACGCCGGAAGTTGCCTTTCCACGGCCTTGGATTGGTGGAACGTTATCGCGTTATGTGAACGGTGTTGGTAGTGGTGCGAGGAGATGGTCAGGAGTGACATAGCAGCGAGGGACGCGAGGAAGGTGCCATTGCGGCCAAGGACAGGTTCGGTCGCATGGTACTTGGACGTGCCTGTCGCCGTCAATTATTCATCTACATGTCTGTCGGCGTGTACACATACAGTAGAGCTTGCCCAGGCCTCCTTCCTCGCGAAACTCGAGGGGAGATACGCCGAGACCGTCATCTTCTACCGAGCATCCGCCGCGCGCGAAGTCAATCGCGGCCTCTACCTTGGTCGCTTTCGCATCCAAAGAATTCTTCAGGAGCTCCAGCACAACTCCCGTGAGCGAAACAATTGCCGTCGACGACTTGATTTGGGCGATCACCTCGGCGGGCAGGGGCAGTATGCTTCGCGTGGAAGCATTGGGGATAGCATGTTTGGCGCCAATAGACGTGTTTCGGGTCATGACGTAGTGATGAGTTTGGCGGGCGCCCCCTCAGCCCTCGTTGTTTGATGACCCGTGTTCGATCATGTTAAGGGGTCGCTCCGTGATCAGTGTTGAGTTTGGGTGGGCGATAACATGGAGATCTGCAGAACATACGCAATCGTGTGTCGTGAAGGGAACACGGCGGCTTAGCGCGGCGGGCGGCAGGTGCGCTGGGGAAAAGGGTCAGGGTCCAGCCGGAGATATGAGCAGGAGCGACCAGCAGCTCCTCGCTCTTTCCACATCAGCGCAGCCTCCCCGGCCCCAACCGCGCAACTTAGACTGCCTCAATCGCCTCAGATTACTGATAGCAGCGATACGACTTGCTGTCTCGCCATTCGACAATCGCGCCCCGGCCGCCTGCGCTGGCTTTCACGACGCACACCGCGCTACCGACAGCTGCGTCCCCATTACTCCAGTAGATTCGACGTGGGATCGTCAGACTAAACGTGGCATCCCGCGCCTAACTAGTCCAACGACCTCCTTCACTCACCACCGGCACTCTATATTTGGCAGCCGGCATAATGGCTACGGCCGAAGCCGCGTCGAGACCCCATGGTACGGTGAACTAGTCTTGCACAGCCATTGTCTCAGACAACTACCCAAATTATATCCTCCCTACACCACGCCCGCTCTCCCCTCGACAAGTTATGCTCACCATGCTAACGCGATACAAAGACCGACATGCGCGCAAGCGACCCTTTGCGGGTTGGATGAAGCGCCTGGCCAACCTCAAGCCCTCCTCATCCGACGCCCCAGGCAAGAAGGGCAACACGGTTAAGAAAGGCGCCCCAAAGAACAACCCCTATCCTGAGTCTGGCTACATCAACACCAACGTACCGCCTGCCGACAACTCGTCCGTCACGACCCCAGCCACATTACGATCGCACGACAGCTATACGTCCATAGAGGAGCCCGCGGCCGGACAGCGACAGGCGATAGAGAAGAGCAACAAGTCGACAGCCCCGACGGTAGCCACAGTCCCCGAGACAGTCCACTCGTCACGGTCAAAGGCAGAGACAGGCGGTAGCAACTTTGTCAATGGCGGCAGCACTTTCTCGTCTCCGCATGGCTCAGAGCACTCCCTCACCACCACCCTGACCACCATACAATCGACCGCGCCCTCAAATATCCTCAACCTCGGCCAAGCGCAACCCCAGAACAATGCGACAACCACAAGTACCACTCCCGTACACTTTTCGCACCAATTCCCCACCTCCCCGCCGCCGTCAGCTATTCCGCCGCATCTGGCGCCCCAGCAGCCGCAGCAGCAGCCCAACTCATATCAGGGCGCCACCGCGAACAACATCCTCTCCGATAATGCGTCCATCCTCACACTCGCCTCGTCATCGAAGCGCCGCCGTCGCAACTCCGTAGATACCAATGCCTCCATGCGAGCTTTGGCCCCCTCGTCCCATTACGGCGGCAGTCGCGAATCGCTACCCCTCAGCGTACTATCCGCGAACCCCGACACCATATACTCGCCCTCCAACAGGCCAAGCAACGTCGGTGCTTTTGTAAACGCCGAGCGCGCAAGCGTCTACTCAGCGTCCGGTGTCACAGCCCCGGTCCTGCCCAGCGAGCGCAACAGCTACTACGCGACCAAGCAAGCCGACGGACTCAGCGTACGCAGCGGGCTCCTTGGCCACGGCCGCACTGATAGTATCAGCAGCATGCGCGCCACGCCCACCAGCCCGCTCGCCAGCCCCCGCGAAAACCCCATGGGTCCCGCCCGCATCAGCCGGAAGAGCTCAGAGTGGAAAGACGCGAGAGAAGCGAGCGACGAGGACGAGGCGCCTGCAAGTCCGATCGTCGAAGAGCACGAGGATAAGCCGACACCGAATGCTCAGACCTGAGTCCCAACGAAGGAAGCCGCACGAGTACAAAGTTATGATAACCGAGATACCAATACTGGCGTTGGTGGGATTGGAATGGGGCTGTGTCACGATATTCGGATTAATAGGGCAGTACGGGATACGGCTACTGGTACTGGTGACTCTTGAATGAAAGGAGGATGGCGTTAGTATGGGGTTGAGCTGGATGGGTGGGTTTGTGGTATTTTGGCTTCTTAATCTTATACCCTAGTATCGAATGGAGCTTTTTCTTTCTTTGCGATTGTGAGTGCACCATTTTGAGTTTGAGTGTTTTGATTCGGGGAGGTGCGACTAAGCTATGTGAGGTGAGATGTGAGATTAGTCATTTTGATCACTCCTTCTACGTTGAGGCCAAACAGCACGGCACAGTGAATGTGCAATATACAACGCACATGGACGAATTTGTAAACAACCAGGTCTAGCACTCGACATCAGAGTACTGACCTACACAGTGTAGGAGCAGACATGCTACTAGAGTGTCTACTCCGTCCGTTCTATCCTAGTCCACCCGGATCGCCCTAGGACTGCTTTCGCGGGTCACATCTCCACCTGCGAAAATTCCCGGGCTTTTCTTCGCAGCCATTATTTCTTTGCATTTTGTTGGCAAGCCTTCTTCTCCTTTTCAGATGCATGAAGATGATAGTCGCACGCGTTCAGCTTTATGTCTGTGCACTCTTGTCCCTTCAGCTCATCTTGCCTGAGCATGACAGCTAGAAGGAACTCCTGCGGTAATTGCGGCCATAGCAGCTTCTCTTCCTCGTCATCGTCCTCGATCTCCCATATAACGCACTGCAGCTCGACTGCCAGATCGATAAGTGGGCTACCTTTCGGTAAATTGTCGTAGATCCAGATAACTACCTCGTACGCCAAGCTACTGTGGTCGCCGGATTCCACAACAAATCTGTTCACGAATGTATTGTGTGCAAGACGATGGAACACCGGTGCAAGAAATCGATCACCGAAGACGGAAGCCATTAAGAGAAGCTTGGAGGCACTCTTCCGTTCAGGAAGGGAATTACCGCATGTGGCATCTGGTACTGCGATCTCCAGGAGTGACTTCGAGCCTGTCGGTAGCTTTTTCGCGTAGAGCCAGTGCACGAAAAGGTTGAACACCTTGACTTCGACGTCTTCCAGTGTTACGCCTTCCTCAAACTCTTTCCAGCGTCCATTGAAAGCGGCTCGGAAGTACTCCGAATGATAGCATATGACGTCTTTGTGGACAATGTAGCGTTTCTTTTTGGGACCGATGAAGACGGTAACGATCTCGCCTTGGGCAGCAGCTCTATCCGTACTGTTAGGAACTGCGATAGCTGGGGTTACAGTGAGTGAACTACTTACCCAAGCGCGGGTGCGGCTTGAGGTACTTCCGGCTTGTCCGCCATAGCGCCGATGGATTTGTGTGATCGTGGTGGGTGTAAAGGGAGAAGAGAGATAAGGTGGGAGGAAGCGTCGGTGCAGACTCCTCGCGGCTTGGTCAAATCTTGGAAGTGAAGGTGAGCCTGTAGCGAACACTAGTCCAGAAATCATCCTAGCGTATCTCGGTTTCTCTCATTCCCTGTGAAATTACGAAGTGCTTTTGGGAATACGTTGTGTGGTGTGAAGCATCTTCGAGAGGGGATGAGGTAGCGTGTAGGACTTCAAGTAGGACGCGGTGTTGTTAAGCGAGTTCATGAGGTGTTTATATGGCTACATAGGTTTCTGACTGATTGATACAAGGCTGTGAGAAGGCTTGAGTACCTCCTGGGTCTGGTGAGGTTGTTGATTTCGTCGTGAGAGAGGTCGATATAGCCGTCTCGCACTGCTCGATTGTCCGTGATATTGATCTCGGAATGGCTCCGAAGTACCGTCTGATACTGTATCTGAGCCATCCCAAACCATGTTAGAGTACCATCTCGATTACCTCCTGACTTCTCGAATGCCCTGTGCGGCGAGGAGTCAAATATGACTCTCGCATGTGAAGGAGTCAACACCACAGTCGCAACACCGTATATGACTCTTGTGAACGTGAATCAACGCTGTGACTGTGTGTACGTATAAGAGCAAAATGTCGTGGTCGAAATGCACCCATACTCAAATCCCTTTCGCCGACAATTACCCAACCACAAAGATATCGTTACATGGTTCCGTCAATCCAATCTATCATCGATCTTCTTGCCCAGTGCAAAGAGCGATACCAAGACGGGTCTGATCTGGCACCAAGCATCGAAGATCCAATTCAAAAATTGCGAGGAGATGCGGAGAAGATCATGAGTGCTCTCGAAACCAACAAAAGTCGTCAAGACGCCGGGCTTCAGCTCCAGAAACTCCACGGCTGCGCGACGACTTTGCGCCATACCGATGCTGAAGAGAAGGCTACCGCGGCGCTAAAAGCCTTTCAGACAGCGTTGGCGAGGGCCTCAACATGTTGGAGCGTGGAGGTAAATAATCAGGAGAGATAGGAAGGACATGACGCAACACTCATCGCCATGTTGGTAATCGCGCTATATGAGAAACCTCAAATTATCTTGATCGTTTGCTGTATCACACCATCAAACCATCCCGCTACTTGTACACCTGACATCTGTGACATAATACCAACGCGATGGAATGTATTACACTGACCATTCACAGGGCTAAGAACGAGGACACATCGACTCTGCACGCATGGATCCAGAAAGCGCATGACGAGAAGTGCATGCAACTCGCTCCAACCCTGAGTACACACATCATATGTTTCGTCGGGCTCTATCTCGATGCCGTACTCGCTGGGTATATCTTCAGTCGGAAGAGGCTGCTCCTCATCATGTGTGGCGTAAATTGAGTACTCGTTGCGCATCAGCCATTTTATCTTCCGAATTGGCCCTTTTGCCCATATGTGCCCATTCTCAACCTGGCCCCAACACGACTTGACGTATGAGATTTGTACGTCGAGAATAATCGATGTAAATTCGTATGCGTGATTCCAGTGGCGCAGCTGGAAGTCAATTTGTCCGTCCGTAGAGGCCCACGACCACGTCGGTGCAATATATGTCGCAGGACGCGGGCCGCAAAGCGTACAAGTCCAGAGCAACGCATGCGGCAGGTGTATGTTCCATATCCCAGCGATATATTGGACGTCCCCATCTATCTTACTCCTCCAGTCTAACCATACACTTTGTGCCATTCCAGAAAGGGCTATGAGTTTATCGCTTAGATTAGATAGATCACACCGCGTGTACTCAGTGACGAGAGCCTCCCACGTCATCTGCATTTGTGCTGCAACCGATCGACTAGCAATATCGAAGATGCGAGGATGGACTATGGCTTCAGTAAAGGAATAGGTACGTATCTTCTCTTATGTCGCTTTAGGTAGGATATCCGTTCTGCCTATCACATCTTGTGGGACGCCCTCCGGAAATGTTTCGCAGTAATTTGCTGTACAGCATTCCCAAAACAACTGCTTTCTTCCGAAGTGCAGTACGCGGCTAGCAAGAAAACGTTCCTGGAAGATCCAAGCGCGGTCGAAGGTATATGTCCTAGCACACAGGTTTGTGTAGAAGTCCCCAGGTACAAGATACCAATTACGGCAGAGCAGATTTTGGGTGTCTCGCTTACATTCATCGCTTAAAGAAGCCGGACATCGTGGGAATGGGCAAATATCTTGGGTGTTCCTGTCAAAGTAAAGTCCTTTGCTAGCCTCTGAAGCACCAGCTGCAGAGAGACACAACGCCGAGTTGCGGTAAACTTGGCACATCATGTTTGACTCCTCTCTCTAATCGTCGAGCGAGTCCTGAATGATACAGAGACTGTCTATCCAAAGGTAACGGAGCCCGAGTTCCTTGCAGAAGTCGATTGCATCGCGGAAGGTTTTCGGTAAAAGGGCCGGATCGATGCCCTTACGGAATGAGCCGTAGTTGTCACGAAGCAGCCTAATGATGGGCAAGGAGCCCCAGCAGTGACCAAGGCACGCATACCCTCCATCGAGTAGGCGGGCTTTGGTCTCGATCAGCACGGGTTCCAACTTTCGAGGCTGGATCTCTAGCAGGCGTGTAGGATACCAGCATGGATTGGATTTATCCATACATGTATCGTGCCTTGCAGTGCACAATGCAAGCCACTTGCGTGCCAGTGTCGAAGCTCTTAAAAGGCTTGAGTGAGGCGGTACTTCAACGGTCATTTGGTCAAGCATGTCTAAATGATCAGCTGTGTCTCATAACACTTCAGCGTCGTACTTGCACGGAGTCAACAACGTGAAGTGCAAGCTGTCGAGGAAGATCATCCGACTATTGCCAGACATAGTAGCTTTGAGATAGAATTGGAGCTCAGCACTCTTCATAACATCTTCTCCTTCTCTCGCCTTTGTCGCAGCAACGTAACATGTAATGGGATGGAGCTCAAATTTCCCCTCGCACACGAACTCTGACAGCTTTATAAGCAATCTGGCGCAGATGTAACATTTTGCTTGTTGTGAGTAATACAAGTCAAGGAACGACTCGGAGTGATTGCGATAGGCCGTATGCGGTATCTCTGCATTAGTCGTCGTTCGATAGAAAACTGGGCGTATCGCCTGGCAGAACTTGCAGAAGTGCATTGGCCTGATGCGAAAATGAGACTGCCGATGTGAACGCTTGACTGTGGTTAGGGTAGTGACTTCCCAGTGGCACTTGGCGGAATTAGATTGGAGAGGACACGCTTCCTGCTGATCCGACGAGATCTGTCACGCTGAGGCGACTGGAGAGAGTATCGTGAGGGAGATGTACAAAGGCAATGACGCACTCCGTGAGCGGGGCTGAGGTACCATGCACGAGTGTGGCACAGTGGCACTACGTCGGACTTTGTGGAGTCATCCAGCAAGAGCGGTTACGGAATTCTCCAATCATGTTTGCGTCCGCATCGTCTCCACCAGTTAGATGTTGCTGCAGCTGAAGTCGCTCGGCGCTTCCTCGTCGTGCAATATGGTCATTCGATACCTTGGTGACCTTGGAACAACATCAACACCATGTGACTACCCGCAAGCCGAGAGTGGTCATGTGTATCCGTGTCTTGGAGACACAATGATCATTTCTGCCCTGTAATTTTTTGGACGGGTATGACCTCTGCTGGCGCAAAATATACGTTGGGCGTAGTACCCTCATCTCTTCGAAAGTATCTCGGGGGCTTCGGCATGGGATAGGGTGTATGAACGTTTGTGAACATGTCGGAAGGAAGAGGCGGCAATAGAAAAAAAGTCGATATCGAGGTGCTTGGTAGCGGAGATCTGTAGGATTGGTGCTGCGATGCTAGCCGGGTGGTCAAGGGAACGCTGGGATGGAGCAACAGGATAATAAGATGGTAGTCATGCCTCCGCTAAGTGCATCGGAGGATCCATACAAAAGATCATGGTCGCTAATACAACTCACCTCGGTGTCACTCCCACGAATGCACAAAAGCCTGCAATACCGCGACCTGAGGTCTTTCAAACATTGCGTTCTGAACAACCAGATCGCATCACCGGTCTCTCTAAACTCTCAAGACTTCCGTCGCCCCGTTTATATCGGCGAAAGAAGCGACACGCTGCCATACGTCGCACTAGATTCTCATGTAACAGAGGAGCTAGGCTAGTCGCAGCAACAACGCGCCCAGTCGGTCGTTCGTGAACGGACAAGATCGAACTTTGTTAAGCAGTTGACATCTTCGTTCCTGCATACGCGGCTGAGCTCCAACTCTCTGTACATTAGCGATGAGCTAAGGGAAGGACTTTGCGCGAAGAAGCTTTTGCCCAGTGGATAAGGTATTGTCCACGCGGCGTGGCAGATGGGAGTAGAACAACAATTGGCGACTACCTTCAATTGCAGTTTTCGGATCTTTGGTTGGCTGATTCGAAAGTCCCATCCACTGAGCATATGGTATGTCTCGCGACGCGATTTGACGTGCGGGAGATGAAATGGAAAGCATAGGATAATGAGGGCGACGGTGTTCGCGTTCTGGCCCGCAAACCGCGCGGCGATACGCGCCCGGGTACTTCCAGGGCTGGACACCTGCATCCAGGGGCTCTCGCGCTAATATAGGGGAGGATTAGCGCGCTTGGCAACCCATGTTTTCCGCCCTGGATGCGTGCGTCACCTCAACAACCTCCAGGGCTCAAAGTTCGTTTTCCAGAACTGACACGGCTTCGAGTCCGCTTCAACGCACACGTGTCTCTGCTTGACAGAGACTTCCGTCCTCACAAGACCATCACCGACTATTGAAATCGCCATCTCCAGCGTAGTCTGGGTTAGCTGGCATAATACCTAGCTCATTAACGTTGCACATCAACCACGACGCGAACATGTCGCTTCTGTGGTATGGAATGCAACTCCCGACCCCGCGTTGTGCTGGTAGATCGGAAAACGGTGCCCGTACCTGCGTATGTACCCCGCCACAGCATCCATTCTAGCGTTCGCTACCCCGCCACGCTATCGGAGAACATGTGGAAGAGAAGTGTGACCGCTCAGTGATTCACTGGTGACTTATAGGTGTGAGTCTTCCAAAAGGAGCTGGCGATGCTTCTCCGAGCGACCTATCAGTATCCTACACCGTAAGGGTATTTGACGATCCTTCCAAGCGATGTATACTTAACGGACGCATCTATTATCGGCTTGTAGCATATCGTTTCAGTCAATATCCTGCATTCATATCTTCATTTTTTCGCATGATGTCTACACAGGTCTCTAGTCTGCATCTCCTCTCCTACGTAACAATCCCGAACATCATCCTCACATTCGTTGCATATATTACCATCACATGCAGTTACCAGATTATCTACTATCGATACTTCCACCCGCTACGACACTTCCCGGGTCCCTTCTGGGCCAGCGTGACGCGGCTATGGATCGCCTATCACAACATCAAAGCTGATGAATGCGAGGTCGAACTCGCACTACACCGCAAATATGGCCCCATTCTTCGTGTCACGCCAACCCTACTTTTGGTCTCCGATGCGACAAAGCTCCCTGAAGTGTACAACCGTCAATCGAACAAGTCAAATCATTACATCACCGGCAGCTTCGGCAAGACCGAGAGTCTGTTCAATATGCGGGAACACAAGCACCACGCGCACTTTCGCAAGATCGCTGCTGGCCCATATAGTTTCAGCAACGTCAGGAAGATGGAAGGGCTAGTGGATGATCGCATCCAGCAGTGGACTGACAAGCTGGAGGAAGTCTTCGGCGATAGCAGTAGATTTGACTTTGCGCCCTGGGTATGCTTCGCACTATCGTTATGCCGGCGATCAGGGGCACTGACAGTTTATGTAGGCAGTATATATGGCATATGACATCATATCGGAGATTGGCTTTGGCGCACCCATCGGATTCATCGAGAGCGGCTCCGATATCGACGGCTTGATCAAAGGCTTCCACGATGGTCTACTTCCTTTTGGTCTAATGGCTCGGCTCTGGCCATTCACACAATGGGCGAAAGGCACATGGTTCGGCGAGAAATATCTCGTGGCGAAGCCCGAGGACGACTCTGGTATTGGCACGCTGATGCGTTTCCGTGACAAGCTCATTGCCAAGCGAATCCAAGATATCGAAGCTGGTAAAGTCGACAGAGTCGATCTGCTACAGACTTTTCTCGACGCAAGGACGGAAGACGGTGCGCCGCTGGATTTGGACTACATCAAAGCTGAAATCCTTCTCGTATTGCTCGCTGGCGCTGATACGACAGGCACTGCATTCCAGGCGATGATTGCGTACATTACCTCTGATGCTCAAGTATACGCGAAGTTGATGGAAGAGTTAGATCGCGTCACTCGCGAGGGCAAGTTGAGCCCCATGCCGCAGTATGACGAAGTGTTGGAGCATTGTCCATACTACGTTGCTTGTGTCAAAGAAAGCATGCGGTAGGTTATGATAATCCTTTCCACTGTTACTCCTATGTACTGACGAATACAGCCTCTGTCCTTCCGCTCCGAACATCTTCCCTCGTGTAGTGGGTGCGTCAGGGATGCACCTGCATGGCCGCTACGCGCCGCCCGGTACCGAAATAACCTGCAACCCCTGGCTCGTGCACCGCGACGAGAAGATCTATGGTGAAGATGCCTGTGATTTTCGTCCAGGAAGGTGGCTCGAAAGCGAAGAGAAAGCAAAGGAGTACAACAAATATAACATGGGCTTCGGATATGGTGCAAGAGTCTGCCTTGGAAAGGATATCGCGCTCATGGAGTTGTACAAGGCTCCGTTGCAATTCTTCAGGACGTTCAAGATTGAGATCGACGAAAGCCGGAAAGGCAATTTTGTAGTCAAAGGTGGTGTAGGATTCTGGGAGGACATGTGGATCGGTATCAAGCGGCGGAAGACGGCGTCGTGATACAATAGATCGAGATGGCCGTTAAGTGTATGCTAGTCAGTATTCAGCGCTGAAGTCCTCAAATCTAACTGATGAATGGTGCAATGGTGCGTGTTGACGCAATGACGAGCTGGTGATCTAGACCATCCCGCTCCGGCCTCGTCACGTGTTGGCGCGATGAGTTACCGCTAGCGGGAGCTTGGCGAAACAACTCGAAACGACCGCAATTACGCTACCCATTCTACGGTCCGCGCCTCAGCAACCCAACCACTCGCAGCTCTCACCTGGCCTCCAGACAGGCGCATCGGTCCCCGCACTGGGGTGCACTGCAAATGTTTCCGAGATGATCCTCGATTGGCGCCGTCTTCTTGGTCCAGGCCTCAGGCCCCAGCGGAAATGGCTTGTTTCATTGCCCGCCTGGTTATATAGGAGAGCGACTCCAACATGACGACGACCTGCTACCGCCCTCACGATCATTCGCATCGATTACATTCTTTTTACCGTCTCTCACAGACACACTGACCTGGTTCGCTGGTCGTTCACTCTTTATTTCTTGTTTGATCATCTGCTAGCATCATGATGCACTCTGCTTTCTTTTTCTCCCTGCTTGCCGGCACGGCCGTTGCTCAGTATGGCGATAACAGTTACAACGCCCCTGCTGGAGGCTCGAAGCCTGCTCCCTCCGTTACAGCACCTGCTGGGTACGGTTCGCCCGTTCCAAACCCGATTGCGTCCCTGGTGCCCATAGTACCCATCGTCTCTGTTATTACATCCGCCCTCGGAGCTATACCCTCAGGGTTCATTCCCGACAATGATCTGCCCAACCCTTTCAAGTCCATCTACATTCCCGCGTCCCAGCTATTCAACCCTGCTATTGCACCTGCTTTCACAGAGACTGCTGCGGTCCCTCTTCTGTCCCTCCTGCCGGTCTACTCGAGCACACCCAGCTCGTCCGTTGTCGAGCCTACCGGCTCTGCTGAATACCCGGTAGCGACTCCTCCCGTCGAGACTTCCAAGCCTGCAACCTCTACGACTTGCACCGAGAGCAAGGCCCAAAGCACCCGCGTTCCCCTTGACGCTACTGCTTCATCGGCTGTGCCTCAGAAGCCTACTGGCACAAGCTCGGCAGCTACCTCTACCGTTGCGACACCCAAACCCGCAACCTCCACATCTTGCACCAAGAGCAAGGCTCAGAGCACTCGCGTACCCCTTGACGCTACTGCTTCGTCGCCTCTTCCCCAGCGTCCTACCGGAACAGGCTCAGCAGCAGCCTACCCCACCGGAACCGGCATGCGTCCCTCTGGTACCCCTCGCCCAGACTACTTCCACAACGGCAGCCGTCCCCAAGGCGGCTTCGGCTGGGGCCGCCCAAGGCCTTCTGGAAAGTGGCCTCACGCCTACCCCAAGCCTACCCATGCTGCTCATCGCCCCACCAAGCCTTCTGCTGCCATGGGCTACGGAGGTGTCAAGGCCAGCAGCACGCCTTGCACTTTGGAGACCAGGGTCAGACCCAAGGCTACCCCTGCCCCTGCTTACTAGAGACCAAATACAACTTGAAGGTATCGCTTCCTGAACAATAATTATGTAAACGTAGTTCATGTATATACCTTATTATCCACAGACCTCCGAGTGGGGTAATACAGCACATGCAGTTGATAGGCTATGCGCCTAATGCGGTTTTCATTGCCCGCTTTGGTGTCCCACGTAACTTTGACTGAATTGAAGCTCCTTCACTGTTCGTTCTCAGCAGCACAATCAGTCTAGTGGGCTTGGCGAGCAAACGCCCTCTCTTTCACTTCTCTCACACACTCGCAAATTTGCTCATCTGCTTTTGCTATTGACAGCTGATCCAAATTTGCTCGCACATCTCTAGCAATCCCTCGACTCATTTCGCGCACCCGCGGCGATGGCGGAACATACAAAACTCATCACGATCGATCCCAACGGCGACACCCTGCTCAAGCTTAAGGACATCCGCTGGGAGCTACCGGAATGGATCGACGAAGCCACTCGTTTCGCGCCGCCAGTCGACGTCGCCGAGCCCGTGCTTGAAGATACTGCGGCGCAAGTTGCGGACGAGAGCGCCCAGCGCAAGCACCCCGAGGAAGTACACTTCTTGGTGTCATCACGTCAGCTGCGCCTTGTATCTACCTACTTCGACACCATGTTCAAGAGAAACTTCGCCGAGAGCGTCGCCGATTCCACGGATGGGAAATACCATATCTGGGCCACTGAGTGGAACCCCGAGGCTCTCGAACGTCTCATGAACATTGCGCATGCTCGAAGCACTGGCTTACGAGACCATGTCAACCTCGACGAACTGGCAGAGATGGTTTTGATAGTTGATTACTACGATATGCACGAGGCACCATATACTCATGTCAAGAGATGCTTTACTCGAATCGGCAACGGCATTCGTTCACTCGCATCCAATAATACCCTTGGTAGCGACGTGATTAAGTGGATGTTCTTATCGTACGTGTTCCAACAAGATCGTATCTTGGAAAGAGCAACAGAATTGGCGAAGAAACACAGCAAAGGGCCCCTGCAAGATCTGGGATTGCCATTAGGCAACATTCCAGGTAAGACTGCACATTGCCCCATCATACATGGCCTAGCTAATGTACACTAGAAAAACTGGAAGAGCACCGGCAGCAAGCAAGCTATCAAGGCGATCGTCGACCAGTTGGACAGTTTAATTCAACGTCTTGGCAAAGGTGAAGAGTGCTGTTACTTTACTTGCCGGGCTTCCCTCCTTGGCTCCTTGATATTGCTCAAGCAATCTGGTGGACTGTCGTCAGCGGTAGGAGGCACTATCTCACCGCCTTACTACGGCACAAGTCTCCAGGAAGCCTGTGCTGCTGTACAGGCTATGACAGTCAAGAAACACACCTCTGGTATCTATGGCGGAACAGATTCTGCATATACGCCCATAGGAGCATGCCAGAGATGCGACTTCGGGGGTTTGTTTGATCGGATCATGAAGAAGGTCGACGAGGATCTAGCGTACAAGCTCGATCCTGGTCCCTCCAAAGTTGTCAATTCCTCGAAATAAGGGTTCAGAGAAGACATTCGAGGCACCTATGTCCAGGCAATGCAGCGTGAGATGACTATGTACCAGACGGCGATGGAAGGGTAGTGGAGCATAGACAATCGATACAGCATCTGAGGGTTTACCCACTGGTGTCATAGTTGGTGTGAGCTTTGAAAGAAGATCTAGAAGTCACTGAGTCAAATCAATTTCATAGCCGAGTAAACAACTTGCCATTGTGAACTACTTGAACTAACGCAATCAGCTGCGACTTCCACCAACAGTAGCTGGTTTTACGCTTCCATGCTCATGTCTCTTAACCCCATCCCCACCCGAACAATGAGGAAATCCTCCCTCCCCCTCCTCCGATCCAACTCCCCTTCCTTCTCCCATCCTCCTACCCCAAAACACTTCCCATACCACACAGACAGCTCAGAATTATAATCCACTTTCTTTGCTTGATCGAAAAAGTCTTCCCGAGCAACTTGAGCAACGTAGATAGGGCTTTCTTCCAATCACGCCTGAAGGGAGTGAGGTGCTGTGTTCCGTCTACATTCTTTGCTGGTAGGATTGCGCGGTAGGCGGCGTCTACATCTATCACGTAGTGGGTGAGGTACATGGAACGTATAAGGCGGAGTAGTGGGGATATGTCCATAGTGGATGGCACGACGGTTCATCAGATAAGCGTATCAATACGGATAGCCTGGTTGGAGAACTCAATACACTGAGCTTTGCCAAGTATGGAACATGAGAAAGAGTGGCATGCGAAGCGTTCAGCATTGCTGGCCACGCGCATGTTAATGCATCCACCACAATATACGTGAACATTTGTCCGCCAACAGAAGAAGTGCGCACACAGTATTCCGTCTCCATCTACCACCCCAACGTCCGATCTCTACGTCTTCGCATCAAAAACAACGAATACCCAACATCTCCCCCCAGTCTACCGACCTCCCAGCAATATTCTATCCAAATCATGTCCTAGGACTTATTATCATGGTCCATGCCGATGTTTGTAATACCCTCGGACCTGGATTCCATTTCGTTTGCTGTGGTTCCTACTGCATCAGACGTACGATTGGAAGAACCGGGGTGGGCGCAGCTGTTGGTGCAACGTCAGTACACTGGGACAATCAAAACAGTTTCTCCGATGCTGTTTCAGGCCATGCTCCCGGCAAGGAGCAGAGCTTCTCACTCACTACCATCTGGGACGGGCTTGGTCGACACGACTAGGCCTACGCCGTTTTGAGCGTTGCTTTGGGTGTTATCCCGGGTGCCGTTCTGAGTACCATTCTGTGTCCCGTTTTGAGTGCTGTTCCGTGTGCCGTTGGACTTTTCAGTTTCGAGGCTAGTCTCTGCGATCCAGGCGTCGACGTCGTTCAAGGCCTTGAGAGGGTCGCCGCGGCAGCCTTGGAGGTAGTTCTGCACTTGTGCTGGAGAAACTGCAGGTCTTGTTAGCACGAATCTTGAGCCAACAAGAGTGAAGTACTTACATGTATTAGTAGGCATCTTATCGGCGAACTCAGTCGCCCAGTCCTCAATCTGTGCCATGGTAAACTCCGCATCATGAGCTAGAGCTGATCGACCGATTAAGCGCTTGAAGATGCTCTTGCCTGCACCAGGGTCCATGTTGCCAAAGTAGATTTTCTTGTCAATGCGACCGGGACGCGTCAAAGCCGCATCAAGCGTATCGGGGGCATTGGAGGTCATGATCAATAGTCTTCCTTCTTGAGAGGCGTTTCCGTCAATGGCGTTCAACAAGCCACTCAGCGTTACTGTGTTACTTCTACGGCCCACAGGGTAATCCCGAGTCCGAAGTTTTGGCAGAGGACCAATGCCACCTGGAATACTGGCGACGTCACCTAGAGTTTCATCGGCTTGCGCATGTGCTCCTGGTAGGGCAGGCGGCGGTGTTTGTTCGCGACCAATACCAGCAGAGTCGATATCTTCCAAAACTACTATACACTTTCGTGGAAGCCCTAGGAATAAGCGGTGAAGTGTTCCGTCATTGATGCTACCGGTGGAGAGGTTGATGTGATAAATGTCGCAACCAAGGTGACCCGCCAATGCCGCGCTGAACGAGCTCTTGCCAGTGCCCGGGGGGCCATGAAAGAGATATCCGCGCCGATACGGAATACCACAGTCTGCGAAGAATGACCGCGATTCCTCGCTGTAGTAGTATTCTGCGTCTCTGACCAGATCAGATTTGGTGGTTTCGTCCATGTCTATAGTGTCGAGCTTTCGAATGGCTTTGGAGACCGACTGCCAACCGTTACCGTATGGATCTGTGCGGTCTCCCGCGAAGTATACCGTTGTAGTACCCGTGAGGTTGTTGAGTCGGAACTCGCGGCAGAGACTAGTGAACTCCTTAAGTGGCTTGAGACTCCAACCGAGGGTCATGATAGTGAGAGAGTTTTGAAGCTGGCCACTGTCATCGAGCAAGTTACCAGTCATACCACTATTGGTCCGATAGCCAGGACCACCTCGGCGAGAGAATAGGTAAGGTCGAAACCCGACCCAAAACAGTCGTGTACCGATTGGCGGAAGACACAAAACCTCATCGTCAGCTTTTTCGGATGCCAGTCTCGGATTATGAGCGGCCATCATGCGGCGATGAAATTCGTCATTAGGATCCTGTGTGCCCCCTGTGACCAGCATAGCACTCCTCGTGTGGCTGTTGAGTATCACCTCCGAGCCCATCCACGCCAGAACCTCTCTAGCAACTGGATCGGTCTCTGGGATGGTGACTTGAACAGTAAAGGCCCATGTAAAGAAATCCTTTAGATGCTTGTACGCGGGACGAATAGCTTGGTAGAGACCGATGAGTGCGAGTAGCTTTTCGAGATCGCCGATGCCGCTTGGCCGGAGTCGATACAGTAGACGCTGAATGACCTCTAAGATGGGGAACTGTCCAGTCGCAGAGCGTTTGAGATGATGCGGGATGAGTCCCGGGGTGTCCAGACGCTCGGGCCATAGCTGGTCACTCATCCCTGGTGGAACCATGAGCTCGTATCGCGGTTCAGACATTGAGGCTGGCAGGCGAGACCGATGTTACTTTGTAAGTTTGCGTGAGCAGGCCGTGAGCACAGTATTCAGAGGCGTGAAGATGTTTTGGAAAGATGAAGGAAGTAATAATCTCCAAGTTCTGGAGATTGTCGTGTATGTGCTACACGCCGTGGGTAGGCATCGTTAGACAACCGTGGATGAGTTGAAATTATAATGGAGTTTCAAGAAAGAGTGAAAGCAATGCGATGATGCGCGGAAGAGGCAAGTCGAACAAACAGCGGCGCGGTCATGGAAGCGACGGCCTGGACGTTGGAGCTCGAGGCTGGACGGCCTGAACGGCAAGTTTGCGCGAGACCGCATGAGGCAAGAGAGGCTGTGGCATGAGCGCGTTGGAGCTAAGCCTAATTGGGACAGGTGGGCTGTTTACAGCTGTACGTCATAGGCTAATTATACTAACAGAACTTCTACGTATTTTGCACGAACGTCTTACTCTTCGTCTTTGAACTTTGCAATTACGAAAACTACTCAACGTTCCTCGATTCATCCAAAAATTCACATCCAAACACCGCACAGAACAAAGACCTTCGATTCATCATGCCTCCCAAAGCGAACACTTCCGACCTTCACGTCGCGAAGCTCTTCTCAGTCAAGGACTATGTGTGCGTAGTAACTGGAGGCGGCTCTGGTATTGGCCTCATGGCCGCCCAGGCACTTGCCGCGAATGGCGCAAAAGTATGATCCTCCTTCTCGCGGATGAACAACCCTAACATCAGAAAGGTTTACATTACCGGTCGTCGACAAGAAGGTAAGCACGACTACAGCCCCCTCGAATTGAATAGACAGATAGACTGACCATCTTAGCCCTCGAGACCGCAGCAAAGTCACACAGCCCCGACCAAGGTGGTCAAATCATTCCTCTCTCACCATGTGACGTAACCAAGAAAGACGACTTGGAGCGCATGTACCAGGAGCTGGCGTCCAAGGAGAAGTGCATCAATCTTCTCATTGCCGCAGCCGGCATCTCAGGCGAGAAGGGGATCCCCGATGCGGATAACGCAACCGACATGAAGAAGAAGCTCTTCGACAACGAGACATTCGAGGGCTGGGCCGAGACTTACAACACCGATGTTACGGCCGTTTACTTCACCACTGTCGTCCTTCTGCCGCTTCTCCAAGCTGGAACTGAGAGCCATGGTCATCTTTCTGCCTCTGTCATTGTCATCTCGTCCATGTCGGGAATCATGAAGGACGCACAAGGCCACTTCAGCTACAACGCTGCCAAGGTGAGATACCCGTGTTGATGTGTGGAAGATCTCTACTGACTGTACATACTAGGGCGGTACAGTCCACCTTAGCAAACTCATGTCGGCGGAATTCCAGCAGCTTCGCATCCGCGTGAACAGCATTGCTCCGGGGTACTTCCCATCAGAGATGACGGCAAAGGAAAGCGACGAGCACCAGAAGAGCGACCTTCCGGATGAGAAGATCCAGGAGAAGGGCCACGTTCCACACGGTCGGGCGGGAAGCGACGCGGAGATGGCACAGGCCGTCATCTTCCTCACCAAGAACTCCTACGTAAACGGCCAGATCCTCACGGTAGATGGCGGTGTGCTAAACGTCGTGAGCTCTTAGAGTTTGGTGGCGAAGATGTGAGGGAAATGATGGAAGTAGCCTGAGGATGAGAAATGATACCAGCTGTTAGGCGTCTCAGCTTGACTCGTGCATCGGCACTTCCTCTTCGGTCGGGTTTCCACAAGCTGACCGAAGCCGATTCCCCACATTCCCCGCGACAGCGATAAGACCATGCTGATGATGCTTGATTGCGATAGTAAGCGATAGCGGTAGGGATAGCTGATGTGACGCAAGCATCTGATGATGACGGGGCGAGTCGTAGGCCATGGAGATGGTATGGCTGTGGCTTATGCAAGGGGCTAGCGCACGTGGAGAGGATGTGTTTGATGACAATGTGTCTTTGTGACGAGATTTTGCTGTGAAGAACAAAACGTACACAGCGCGTCGCGTCGCATTGCTTGCACCTACATGCATACGTGCATATACAATTTTCGGAACCGGAGGCAGCCATGAGGTGCAGCGTGGTGAGTGGATGCTACCGGGCAGGGCGCATGAAGCGAGGATGCGAGCTTGCAACGGCGCGGCCGCTACTGCGCGCAGGTCGAGTAGCAACAAGACATTCACCGCAGCTCGAGTCGCCGCCCGCCTAGCGACTCCCCGTCTGCCTGAATCTCCGCGGCAGCATTGGGCGACGATTCCTGACATAACGGCAGCCTCTGGCAGGCGAGAGCGACTCTGGGATTCGCTGGGCGTGCTAGAGCGTGTTTCGCGGCCAGGATCCCCAAGTGATAATTGCTTTGCGCTGGTAACGGGCCCCTCCAACGCATAATCTGGGCCGCGCATGGGCAACAACAACAATTGCGACTTTGCCCGCGACGCTGCCGTCCGTCTGGATTCCCGGGTGCGTGTTGAGGGAGGATATGCACACCGCAGCCCGCCATTCACCGCCGCCGCCGCCCAACTTCGCCAACGCACCGCCGCCGCGCGACAGACCAAGCCCCGACGATAGGACGGCATAGCAGCTGGCTCGGGCCAGAGGAAGACGTCAATATGGTCTCACACCCCTCCAGACCGGCGCACGCGGCCTCGAACTCGCGCTCGTCGCAACCCGCCGCCCCAACCGCCAACACGCCGGGCCACGCGAAGAAGTCGTCGTCCTCTTCCAACCACAATGGCCAGCCCCGCGAGCGCGACCAGCGGCCGAGCAGAGAGGGCACCGCGCAAAAGGCCGCCCAGGGCGTCGACGGCCTCAAGGACTTCCAGCTGGGCGACTGCCTGGGCAAAGGCGCATTCGGCAGCGTGTACCGCGCCCTCAACTGGGGCACCGGCGAGGCGGTCGCCATCAAGCAGGTCCGCCTGGAGAACCTGGGCACCGCAGACCTCAAGAACATGGAGATGGAGATTGACCTGCTCAAGAACCTGAACCACCCCAATATCGTCAAGTACAACGGCTTCGTAAGGAGCTCCGAGAGTCTGTACATTATTCTGGAGTGAGTAGACCGAAATGGATATCCAAGGCGTAGCTAATGAGGTCAGGTACTGCGAAAACGGATCGTTGCACAGCATCTGCAAGAACTTTGGAAAATTCCCCGAAAACCTCGTCGCGCTGTACATGTCCCAGGTCCTCCACGGTCTCCTCTACCTCCACGAACAGGGTGTCATACATCGGGATATCAAGGGCGCAAACATTCTGACGACCAAGGAGGGCCTCGTCAAGCTGGCAGACTTTGGTGTAGCCACCAAGCAGTCAGGCCTGGATCAGTCGAGTGTTGTCGGCACGCCGTACTGGATGGCTCCCGAGGTAATCGAACTATCCGGCGCTACCACGTCGTCAGACATATGGAGTTTGGGATGCACAGTCATTGAGCTTATCGAAGGGAAGCCGCCCTACCACAAGCTACAGCCCATGCAGGCCTTGTTCAGAATTGTCAACGATGAGCACCCGCCGATACCTGGCAGTGCCTCACCGGTAAGTATTTCCCCCAGACGTGTACCCCAAATTCTGACCCGTGCAGCTGCTGCGTGAGTTCCTCATGGAATGCTTCCAGAAAAATCCCACGCTCCGCATCTCCGCAAAACGCCTCCTCAAGCACCCATGGATTCTCAGCGCCAAGCGGACTGTCCCTGCAGTACCCACAAAACCTACCGAGTATCAGGAAGCAGTCAAGTCCGTGCAGGAATGGAACGAGGCATTAAAGTCACCCAGCTCCCTGCGCCGAAGCTCCCGTCTTGTGTCGGGCTTGCAGAAAGCCAGTCCCGCTGCTTCATCTCGCAAGAATCCGGCCAATGTTAATCTCAACATCCCGAAGCACAGACCTACTGCAGAGTCGTTCCGCTCCCCGGAGCTAGACCATGACGACAATTGGGATAATGACTTTGCCGAAAGTATATCGCCCCGCGCCCTGCAGATGCCACACTTGAAGCCACAGGACAACTTTGGCGGTCTCTTTTCGAGCGACAAGCTCAAGGCTTTTGCCAGTTTTGAATCGGTTACAGAGATGGCAGAGTATGATGGCGAGGCTACGGTGAAGAGTCCGATGAACTTGGCGCAATTCCAGAGCTTTCCTAAAGCATCGGGCCATAGAGCGGTTGAGAGGTCGAGAGGCGCCAACGGTAGACCTAGGACGTCTGCGTCTTCATCGAACACATCTTCAAGATCAAATTCGAACGCTTCCACATCAGAGTATGAGGATAGACATGAACCTCAGCCGAGAACAGCATTCCTGCGAGGTACACCAAGGGCTGCACAGCCTCCCAAGCCAAAGACTACAGCGCCAGCGCGGCCAAGCCAGCTCTTTCGCGAGGACACTGTTGAGGATTACTCGGATCTCATGCCAGCTGACGAAGGTGCCTTTGAGCGTAAGCTGGCGTCCATGCAGTACGCGAATTCGCCAGCCGTACCATCTAGACAAGTAATCGTCACCAACTCCAGCCCACCATCTGACACGTTCTCCCCACGATTGTTCCATCCCAGCGACCTGAAAGCAGGTCCGAAGTCAACACGCGATCTCAAGTCTAACGGCAATGTCCATCAGAGATCGACGAGCTCAACATCAACACGGAAGCAACTGCAACGGACGCAGTCAGAAATCGAGATTCAAAAGTACGCTGAGGATGAAGGTGACGACTTTTCAGATGTCTTTGGTGATATCAAGAGCCAGCTTGCTAACCCTAGCCGAGCCGAGAGTGATAGTGGGAGTGAGCACAGCAGTCTTGCCATGATCACATCTAAGATGGCGAACTCCTTCATCATAGCTGACGAGGATGACCTTGATCCATTCGCCAACCTGGATGAGGGTCTTGACAATATCAACTTGGAGAACAACGTCGCGCGAGACCGGGACGATCGGTTGACGAAGATGACGGAAAGCCTCGTAGGCTGTCTGAAGACTAGTCAACCCGACGATGAATTGCTCGACATTGCAGATCAACTACTACAGGTACTACACGAGTCTCCGGACAAGCGATCAATCATACTACGAAGCCACGGCATGCTGCCTATATTGGAGATTCTGGGAACTAGGCCGCACAACGAGGTGGTGCTACCTCTTTTGAAGATCATCAATTTGATCATCCTGGAAGACTCTGAATCACAAGAGAGCTTGTCGTTCTTGGGTGGCATTCCGACTATTTGCTACTTCGCTTCCAAGAAGTTCCCTAGCGACATCCGGAAAGAGGCCGCAGCTTTTGTACGGCAAATGTATCAAACAAGCACATTAACGCTACAGATGTTCATTGGCTGTGGTGGCATCAATGTGCTAGTTGAGTTCTTGGAAGAGGACATTGACGCCGAGCGCGACCTGGTGCTCATCGGTGTCAACGGCGTATTTGGCGTTTTCGAATTGCAAGGACCGACTCCTAAGAATGACTTTTGTCGCATCTTCTCGAGATCGAGCGTACTATACCCTCTCAGTTTGGTGTTGAACCGTATGGTAGAGGAGGATGGCGAGGTTGCACGCCTAATCGTCGGCAGGATTGTACAAATCTTCCTCATCTTCTCACAAGCGGAGAGTCATGTCAAGGATCTCGTGGCAGATCGGATGATTCTGAAGCGTAAGTTGTCCCTCAAATTGCAGAGACTTAGGCAGTTCGACGGTGTTGTTGCAAACTCAAACATAGCTAACAACGCACAGGTGTATTGAAAGATCTCCGCAAGATGGCGCCACCGCACCAGATCACCATGCTCAAGTTTATCAAGAATCTCAGCTCGCTCTCCTCAACCCACGAAGCCTTACAAAACTCCAACGCGATCGACATCCTAATCGAACTACTCAAGTCGACTCGACAGAAAGACGCATTGAGCCGCAGTCAACAAAGATCCGCTTCTGACCCAGCGCGACTACCTCCCTTCCACCGCGAGATCTCGAACCAGATCCTCAACACCATGTACAACTTGTGTCGACACAACAAGAGCAGACAGGAGGAGGCTGCGTTGTCGGACATTATTCCTCTGTTGAAGGAAGTTGTGCGCGAAGGCGGCCCGCTCAAAGAGTTTGCTCTGCCGGTGTTGCTTGAGATGGTCAACTCTGGCAAGGTGGCACGAAAGATGCTGTGGGATGCAAAGGGTCTGGCATTCTACGTATCGCTGTTGGGCGACCGCAATTGGGCGGTGACTGCCCTGGACGCCATCTTCGTGTGGTATGTGTTTCACGATGTCTTTAGGATTCTGTACAGCATGCTAATTATTACAGGCTCCAGGAAGAAACCGCGCGCGTCGAGCAATACCTCCTCTCCCCGCAATCAAACTTCACCGTCGCCATCATCTCCGCGTATACCTCCGCCGACCTCCCACACTCCACCTTTGAAAACATGCTCGAGCCACTGCAGAAGGTGGTTCGTTTATCCCCACCAATCGCCGCCTCCCTCGCCGTACCCGAGATCTTCGGTCGCACAGAACAGAAGCTGGGACACAAGGACGCAGTGACGCGTCTCAACTTCCTCCGTATCCTGCGGACGATTTGCGATGCAAAGGACGAGGGCTGCTGGCTTATACGTGCATTCGGCTGCTACGAGCGCATCAGCTGGCTCATGGAGCACGACTCTGCCGTGTTGGTACGCCAAATGGCCGAAGAGCTCGTCCGCGCCTGCGACGAAGTCGAACTCTCCGGCATCAGCAAAGGCTCCAACGGCAAACGAAGCCTTAGTCGCGCCTCTACCGTAGGCATGAACCTCCGGCGTCCCGCCTCCTCAGCCGGCCGCCGCGACGGCTCAGGCTCCAGCACCGGTTCCACCCTCGTGAGCAGCGGCATGGGCCTCACACCCCCCACACCCAACTCTCTCAAATCCACCTTCATGCTCCCACCCATGTCCGGCACACCGACAGGTCACCGCAGCGACCACCGCATCACGCGCTCCCAATCCTCAAGTACAATGTGGGATCTCGCCGAAGACCCCACTGCCGTCCTCCCTCCCTCCTCTTCCGGCCGCTCCAAACCACCCGCTCTCGCACGTAGTTCCACTTCCTTCGCCGCCCTTCAATCAAGCACTAGCACACCAACCGGTCCTCGCACTTCCTCGCGTCCTCCATCCCGGGACGCAGCAACCAGTCTCGCGCGCATAGAAGCGAATCACAATAACGCGAAGTCCTCGTCGAGATTACCTAAAGCGCGTCAGGGGCGGATTAGCGAGGCGGTGAGTCGAAGAAGGCAGAGTGTTGTTGGAGGTGAGAATGAGACGCCAGGACATGCGCATGGGCATAGTACTGGATCCCCTGCCCCGAGTGCACCGGCAGTGCATTCGACGAGTAATGCACCCCCGCTCCCACGGTTGCAGATCGTGAGGAGGAGAAGAGAGACTAGTGGGGGTGAGATGAGTACCGCGGCTAGGAAGGGGGTACAGGATTAGAAATCTGGGGAGACAAAGTCGCCTGAAAGAGAAAGACAGGGTGGAAATGGGGGTGGAGATGGGTATTTAACCCAGGTACGACGAAGAAGGGGGTGGACTGGTCTTTGACCTTCACACCACTCTATCGTGTGTGGATGTGTTTCCTTTGTACATTTCTTTTGGCTTTTCATGGCATGTTTATGCTCAGCGGTGGATATGGAAATGGCGTCGTGTTGCGGTATTTCAAGGCGTCACGGTCTCGCCTGGCTTTGGCTTTGGACACGGGTTAAAGCATCGTTAGGTTGTATTGCATAGCATGGCGTTTTCGTTGTGTTCAAGACGTACATCGTCCTTGGTCTTAACGCCCTTGGTTTTTAGGGCAGAGAAGATAGACCGGAGAAGGGAGAAGGGGGTAGTGCGGAAGTGTGGATACTGATTACTGGTTGCATAAAATGAGATTGTTGAGAGACGATGACGATTTGTTGCTGTACTTTCCCATTCGTGATATGAGTGAAACGTGGACATATAAAGAGTCAATGACTTGTGGTATGACTTGTGGTGCGAGAGCTGTACCGGGATAAATGTAGATATGACTATCATCCTACACACGGGCGAATAACTTCCTGGGGAGAGGGAGACGATAGGAGAGTAGAAAGCAGTGTAGGGATACGGGAGTATAAGAGCTCGATGAGGTCCTATACTGTAACGGAGCCACTACGTAGTCCCAGCATATCTGACTCTGTATCGTGTATGAGTCTACTTCAACGCACTGTCGTATAGAAACTCATATCCAAAGAGTCAGAATAGTCTATAAAAAGCGTCTCCCTCAGTTCATGTTTACGGCTTTACACCTTGCAAAGCTGCGTCCCCGAGATATTAATATTGTTAAACATGTACAAAGCGAACGAAACGTCCAACCAAAGCAGTAGTCACGCGGAAAAAAGCCCGGACGACGCTCACAACGATGTGCTAGAATTCTGCCATGGATATACGAAAACAGCCACGGACCTTGACGTGAAGAGCTGTAGCTGGCGACTCTCCCTCCTTTTCTCGCGACACTTTCAATGGAAAGACGGAGACGTGACTGACCAAGCACAACGGAACGACGACCACAGTGCAAAAAGATTGACCCTTGAACTGCTCATCACCCGCAGACCCGTCCCTAGCTCGAGTATGGCCGCTCGAACCAACGTCCCTGGACTCATCATCGAAGTCGAAGCTTCTCCGGAAGGTTGTGGCGTATGCGGTGTCCAATCGCTGTACACAGTTATACCAGGTTCATCCCCATGAGGGCGCTTGTCCATCATCATGACCGCTTCTCCTGACTATTCGTTCAATCGACCGCGGAACATAGGCTTCGACTTCGATATGGACCGTGGTCGTATCGAGCCAGGCAAGAAGCACGGCACTTGTGTGATCTTCAGTTGCGAAGAGCTGCCTCAAAAAGCGAGAAGCGGACAGGGTTTAGGTACGCCTGAAGCAGCATTGCTGGGAATCGGAAACTTGGGGGTGGACGAGTTCGTTGATCTTGGTGATGAGAAGGCCATGTTATACTCGTACAAGAAGATTTCTCTGTGGAGGCTTGCAGCGGTTGGGTATCGAAGATGAAGGGCTGTGCGGTATGCGGTCTTCGAGGTCGTCCTCGTACGTGGTGGCTGGATGTGCTGTAGGTACATACCCAAGCTGTTGAAAACTTGGAATGAGTGACGGAGCAAAAGGAGTAGCGAAACGGCATAGTATGACGAGACTCCAACGGACTACTCTTGACGCACAATTCTCCAGTAGGCACTACCGCGATCCGCCATGATACACGCATGCTGCGTGCGGCGAGGTGACTTTTCGTATCCCCAACCCAACAATATTGGTGTAACAACCTTCTACCTCGCACCTGTCATCTCCCCAGCCATTTCCGTTAAAAAATCCCAATTTCTCCACCAAAAATAAACAAAAACACAGCACAGCAACGCCCTACCACAACGACGACGAGCGCAAAAAGATGGACTTGCAGGGAATCGAACCCTGGACCACTCCCATGCTAAGGGAGTATTATACCACTAAACCACAAGCCCGTTTTTGCTGTTCCGTGAAGAGGAGCTGCTTTGATGGGAGATGGAGAAAATACAAAATTCATATTGGTAGACACAACAGTTAAGATCGATGGGTGCGGTGGGAAGAGACAGGATGGCCCCACATCTGTAATGCGGTGAGCTTTGCCGCTAGATGGCTCCAGAGGTTTGCCGCGACCACAGACATCATCGGAGTGGGGTTCATGTCGGTGGTAGTGCCAACACGAATGGGCATCTACTGTTGACTTGGTCGAAGGTTATGTTGGTATAGCCATCGAAGGTATTTCCACTCGAGCGACCGACGCTGACAAGGTTTCTGCATTTCGGTAACCGCATAGGAGCAGCACGACGACGATGCTAAACCACATCCACACCACAGTCGCTCGGACAATATTTCTGTATCGTCGGTGGTCGCTAACGCCATCTCTTTCATATCCCACAACATATCGATAGCGCTGCGCGAAATCGTCCGAGAAGATTGTCTTGAGTGCATCGAAGTTGATCGAGCGCTTGCATTCATCAGGGCCGGTCTTGGAGCCGCTTCGTTATCGCGAGAGTACTGCACGTTGAGGTTGTTTCAGGTCTGCGCGAAGAAGACGTGGTGGTGGAATGGAGTAGATGGCTGCGTCGCGACTTGAGCGCGGAGACTGCATTGGTGAGTAACTACGTCGCGGATCGTCATTCGCCCTCGTAGTAATCGCGACTGGAACGATTCAGGGCAGCGCAGAGACGACGCGCTGGTGCCGTGCCGTGAATTCCTGCGTCGCGAACTGAGCGCGAAGGCTACATAACCTTGTGACCAGGTCGCGGATCGTCAAACCTCCCTTGTTGGCATGACGCGATGGCATCCTTTAACTCGCATCGCGCGGCACCGGTGGCGCTCATGAAGGATTTAAGCGCGTGTATACCAGGGCGCGCAACGTGCACAACGGGAGTCGCGATGGAGCGGAGTGAGTGTAAGATGGGTCTAGAGAAAGAGTTTGCAAGACGGGGGTCGTTGAGATAAGCAGTTTGAAAAGACAGCACAGACGCGGTGAAAGTGAAGGGGAAAGGGAAGTGCCGCTTTGAGACACATGCCTTCCTGCTAGAAGGAGCATGACACGTCACTACACGACTCTCTCGACACAACACCATTTCAGACCAAGATACCATAACTCAAATATCATTTATCAGAACTTCATACACTACACCTCGTCACACTTCACCCCCAACCCCAACCTCCAACGCCCTACTCAACCTTAACCCTCTCCCACCTCAACCCCTCCTCAATACTCCCCCTCGTAACCCCCCAGTTATCCGCAAACCAATTATCCCTCGGCTTCCAGGGCCCCGCATCCGCACAATTCGGCATCTTCTTCATCGCCACATTGACATACGTGCTGTTGAGCGGACTAGCACTAACCGTCTTCTGGCGGCTCTTCTCATCAATGACAGGCGTCACACTGGTATACCCCTGTTCCTGCTGATGCTTGATCAAACGGACGAAAAGGCGGGACGCGGCGTCTGAGCCTAAAGTCCAGGAAGCGTTCCAGTAGCCGATGATGTTACCGAGGTTGGGGAGGGAGGTAAGCATGGCGTTGCGCCACATGTATTGCTGCGAGATGTCTATCTTCTCGCCGTCGACGCGCACGTCGATGCCGCCGAGGAAACGCATGTTGAGGCCCGTGGCAGTAACAATGATATCAGCGTCGAGTTTGTTTCCGCTGTTGAGTTCGATGCCGTCGGCGACAACGCTCTTGATGGTGTCGGTGACGATGTGTGCTTTTCCGCTGCTGAAGGCTTTGAAGTAGTCGCCGTCGGGACAGAGGCACATGCGTTGTTGCCACGGGTTGTAGCCAGGTTTGAAGTGCGGGTCGACGGGGAAATCGGGTGGGAGTTGTTGGGCGGCTTTCTTGACGAGGAAGTTGGAGGCGAGGGTGGGGAACCAGATGCAGAATTTGTAGAGGAGGATGGGGACGAGAGTGAACATGAAGCCTGGGGTTGTTAGTATGGGGCTGATAGATGAAGGAGAGAAGACTTACGCTTGTAGCGTAGGGTGAACCACTCCGGCGCCCACTTCTCAAACCACACCTGGTCCTTCTGCGGTAGGCTCATAATGTACGTCGGACTTCTCTGCAACTGCGTCACACTACCCACACCGTTATCCACCATCGCAGGCATCATGGTAATAGTGGTCGCGCCACTACCCACGATGATCATCTTCTTGCCCTTGTAATCCAGATCCTCAGGCCAAAATTGCGGATGAACGACCTTGCCCTTGAAGTTGTCGATACCGGGGATATTCGCCTTCAGAGGGGTGTCGTAGTTGTAGTAACCAGTACCAGTGATCAGCCACTTGGTCCAGTACACCACTGTCCGCGGCTCTCGTCCAACATCATTTCCAACCTCCACTTCGAGCCTCCACCGCTGCTCCTCGCTCCTCCAATCTGCCTTCATAACCTTGTGTCTATACCGAATCTTCTTGTCCAAATCAAACTTGTGCGCCGTCTCCTGCAGGTAGCTCATGATGCTCTCGCCGCTCGCAATCGGGTTCTTCGCTCTCCATGGATAGAACTGGAAGCCCAGGGTATGCAAATCGGAATCCGACCGTACACCGGGGTACTTGAATTGTGACCATGTTCCTCCGAGTTCGTGGCGGGCTTCGAGGACGGCGAATTTGGCGTCTGGCAGCGACTCTTGGACACGGTAGGCGGAGTTGATGCCGCTGAGGCCGCTGCCGATTATTAACACGTCGAAGTACGAGTCGATCATGGCGGGCCGGTTGTGCTGACGATGCTGACGATGGAGAAAGGATGCCGGCGCAGGTACGCGAATGTGGGGAGGTGGGGAGGAAGCAGGTGAAGTAGACCGATCACTCAATCAATCTTCGCGACACAAAATATATGCTCAGCGTCCGACGAATACAAAAGCTATGACACCAAGTCAGTGGTGGGCAATTGCCAGGGGAGCCGGTGCATGTCGACCTTTGTACCAAATCAACTCAACCTCCGAGGTGGCTCCACCCCCATCGTGCGACGCCACACGTTGCGCACGCTACCCCACCACTAGATATTTCGTCCATCTTCTAGTCCTTGACGGCCGCCTTTCACCGCCGTGCGATTGGGGTGTTCGTTCGCAATCTTAGTGTTGTTGTAGCGGTAAATACGTCACCGAGTTTTTTGCCGAGGCAGATCCTTAGTTGCTTTTTTCCCGCACGCCGCTCACCTTGCCACAAAAGGAAACATGACTGGAGCGCGACAGGCATGACTCGCTCTGTTGACCCCTTTTGGATTACCATGGGCGAGAGAGGTTACGGCTGGTGAGATGCATTGAGGGTTGATTTGAGAGTCCCAGTCACATGTACCCCGCAGATCATGATCACCAGCTAACTCGTGGCTGCCTTATCGGAAGGATTCGTAGGGCTGGTATACAACTACGCTACAAGCCCCTGTTTTTATCGGAAACTCAAGACTTCCGTAGGCCAGATACCTCGGTATGACCACGCGAACGGTGCCTGAACACCTCGATGTTCACGAGACAACATGCGACGACGAATAGCGATCGCGGAGCGCACCGAGGCAGGCAGACAAACAGCTAGTGAGGATTCCGAAGCGTTGGTAGACGTAGCAGATGGTCGAGTCTAATATAGGGACACATTAAGCGAATGCGAAAAGCTTCCAGCCCTCATCCCACGCATCTCATTATCTATTCTGACTCCTTTCCTAGAATGATCATCTCCCCCTCCGCCCCACTATCGCTAGTAATATACATCCTACCATACCTATCCTGCGCGATACTCACGGGTCTGAAACATTGCGTGGTCGAGCAAGAATCCACATCCGGATTCCAGAAGACGTCAGCCCAGTTCTGCGTATTATTCACCGCTGCTTTCGGTCCGAAGCCGTTCGCGCCCTTGGTAAACGGCACTTCAATGATCTTGTATCCAATCGAAGGATTGCGGTTCCAAGATCCATGGAGGGTAATGTACATGCTAGTGAAGTTCTTGTTGAAGCTCGCATCGAGGGGTGCAGAGTGTGCGGGAAGAGCAAGACGCGACGGTATACTGCGTGTCTTACAGGTATCGTCTGTGAAGGTAGCGTTGGGCTCCAAGACGAATTGCTCACCCATCATGAATGGTTTATCTGCAATCGATGCCGGGTTGAAGACTGTGTAACAGGTGGGGTACCCATACCAGTCCGTGTTTTCTTTGGATGGATCTCCAAGGTAGTTGATCTCATCCGCTGGGTTATCGGTATGGATATCCACGGATACCCCGTCAATAGTGCGATGTAGCTCGTCCGACGAGTTTTCGACTCCCCAAAGCATGCCATCAGCATCGAATGCCAGACCGACTTCATTCCGGAGCCCGTAACCCATCTGATAGCCACCGGTTGCGTAGTCGTAGCCATCTGTGGGGACAGCGGCCGTGTCGAAAACTTTGATACAAGATCGGCCCGTTGCAATGTCCGCAGAGCCGTAGTCAAAGTTGTCGTTCGATCCATGCGAGACGAGGAGGAGGTTCGGGTACTTGGGCGGAATCTCCAGCGTCCTGGTGACATGTCCTCTACTGTCCATGCCTGTCACGACTGTCGTCGAGTTCTCGGAGACACTCATGGTAGCTGCATCGTATGACCAGGAGAATACTGAAGTTGCAGAGCTAGCGAATAGCGTCTTCCCATCGTGGCTGAGCACAATGCCATGGTTGAGATTACGTTGAGCGATGACGGTCTTGGACGAGGTGAGGCAGCCGTTTCGCGCAACTTTGTGAGCTGTAATACCCATACCATTCTGTACGACAAGAAGGTTTCCAGCGTTATCGAATATGAGCCCTCTTGGCTGGTTCAGTCCTCCCGCGACCTTCGTAGCCTTCCATCCTTTCGCAGTGTTCACAGGAAATGCGAGGTTAGCAACATCAGCGCACAAATAAGGGATTCCTGTCTGGATTGGTTGTGGTAATCCCGAAGTGACAGTACTCATACTCATCGTAGTCGATATTGCGCTGAAAGTCGAGCTCGGTACTGGGGTGCTGCTTGATATTGGTGGGCCATTGTCGACGAGGTTCGCAGCCACTAGCTCATCAAAGTCCGTGTTTTGACCTCGCATGAGGTCGATTCTGTAGTTTCCAAATGAATTGTGCACGTTGAAAGTAGATCTGTTATTCGCTGGTTCAGCAGGCGATCTACTCGACAAGCCATAGGCGAACTTTTGCGCAGATGCATTTGCGTCGATGGAGACCAGATTACCGTTCACATCGTGCCATTGGGAGCAGCCTCTACACCGCACAGTCAGAGTCCAGTGAGTCGCATTGTATCCAGTCCCTTTGATGTACGAGTATTCGGCATCGGCGTAGGGCTGAGGCAAACTCAGGCCAAAAGCCATTCTTGACGAGTAGATGGAGGTGTTTGATGCACTATTCATCCATCCGACTGTAAGTGGGACATATGGCATCGTTCCGCCCCAACTGAATCCGACCCAACCATTCTTGATAGGCGACACAATTTGCAAGACGGTATCGAAAGGCGCAGCTTTCGACTGGGGTAGAGCGACACCAAAGGTGATACCATTCGTGCCGGTCCACCCAGAATAGCAAATCGAGGTTTCCAAATCGCAGTACCGCTTGGTAGTTTGGCTATATGCTGCAATAGCGTCAATCAAGAGATGTGAAGTGAAATACATATGTGTATAGGAGCAAGTACCTGTATGACTGACAGCAACAAGCGTCAAGAATAGCCTGCCTATCCTCATCGTCGGCGAAAAACGTAGACTCTACCAGATGATAACGTTATACCGTAGCGGAGAGCTGAATCCTGTCGAAGACGCGGATGGTAACCACGAGATACAAGATGTGCTCGCTTTTTGTAACAGAAAACTCGCAGACCACACAGATAGCCGCGAGGCGCTTATACATATGCGCCATGGATCCCTTTGTCCAATGCCGGGAGACGCAATACGTATCATACGATGATCGTCGGCCGAGTGCTGTATCATCATCCGCTCATGCAATAAGCTTTCAGAAGGTATTATGATGACCGAAAGTACGAACGGCAGTACTTTCTGTTGAGTGTTGGATCCGCTTCCACGTTGGTGGTATATTGTTGCTGCATTCCGCTTGCGGCAAAATACTCCGGATGTCAGTAGCTTCCTCGAGTTGCATGGCGTCTTATTCTCATGTACCCGTTACACAGGTCCGGAAGATGCGTGGATGTGTAGTCATACGAGCCTTGATTGCTGTTCTTTGAGCCTCAACTCAGACCAGGTATGACATTGCGTCCCGTATCTGTCCTTTGCAGGACACGTCGCGCGACAGATTGGAGCCACTAGAACCGGAATGCCCGGGTCTAGTCAATTGCACATGGTGCTGTTGGGCATGTTGGCGATGATTTAATCTGAATGGAGATCGGCAGGACTGAATAAATGAAGCGACGCTTTTAGCCTTTGACTGTCAGCATCAGATATATAGTTTTAATCGATACACGAGTACATCTGCTTATACGTATACTCGGATATTGTCGATAGCCCGATAGGCGCATTTTCTCGGTCCGGTCGCCGAAGAGACGAGTGTGGTTGTCAGAATCGATGGCGATCAAATGTCACGCATCAAGTAGAAGTCCTCGTGCGTCGTGACGGGTTGCTCAGTGTACGCGATGGCTCTGACATACCCAAGGACAGTCGATGGAAGAAAAATCATTGCTGCGATAGGTTGTTCTGAAGTGAGATGAGGCGAAAGGAAGTTGCGATGGGATGATGCGCGGGTCCATGACGAAATGAGGCACGTCCACGCGAATTGTGGAAGGAACCAGCTACATACTATGCACCTCACTCCAAATTCACAGAACCCGAGAACTCTAAATCTTCGCCTTCGCAGGCGCAGTAACCATCTTACCATGCACATAACAAATCCCCCTTATCTTCTCCGCCGCCTCGCCCCAAAGCTCATTCCTCAGCACACTATACACGCCCATCTTAGCCCTCCCTTGCACATCCCTCGCCTTCTTCAGCGCAACCTCAAGCATAACCTTCGGCTCCGCAATCTCATCCACAATGCCATCCTCGTATGCCTCCTTGCCCGTCCAGCGATGCGCCTCAAGCAACATCTTCCTTGCAATCTGCGGCCTTAGCTTAAGCCTTGGAAGAAACCCGATGCCAGGGAAGTGCAGACCGAGGTTCACAGGCGGCATAGAGAAGAAGCCGCGCGACGAGTTCATAATGCGGTAGTCGTGCGCGAGAGCGAAGGGGCAGGCTCCGCCGAATGTGTGGCCTGTTAGCAGAGCGATGGTGGGGAACGGGTAGTCGAGCAAGGTGGCTAGGAGCGGGAAGAAACCATCGCTGTTTGCGAACGGGTTTGTGTCGCTCTCGTCTAGCTCGAGTCCTGTGCACCAGAACTTCTCGTCGTTTCCTCGCGTTATCACACAGCCTTCTGAGTCGGCGCCTAGTTCTTGCTCGATGTCGCGGAGCGCGCGTATTATTTCTTGTGCGAAGGCGACGTTTATTCGGTTCTCAGGGGCTTTTGCGAGCGTGATGACGAAGACGCGGTCGTGGCGGTCGACGCGTAGGTTGGTGTAGTTTCCCAGTGCCATTGTGTTTGGGTATCGCGATTACGACGTCAATGGCGGTGCGAGGTCACCCAGGTATAGGTGAGCTTTTGAGTAGAGCCTGTGCTGTGAGCTCTCGCGGGTTCAAAAAGCTACGCATCGTTTTGCGGTCTCAAGATGCCAAACTTCATGGTGTTGAAGCCTCGGCAGCCAGATGCGGGGAAAGACCCTGGCCGCAATCGCGCGTTGGAGCGTGTGCTTCCCGTGCCATTCGATGACTCGACGGAGACATAGATACTGCTCTCCTCAGGCGAGATCCGGCCAAAGCGCAGCTGCTGTTGCGGGCGTAGACAACATATGGCATGGAGAGGTAAGGAGTCAAGGCTTGCAGCGCGTGGCAATTGTGGAGCCGCATTGGCCTTTTCTTAGACCGTCCCGTCTTTCCACACGTCGCTCTATCATCACGACCAAAGATCATCTCACCCTCCCTTTTCCATGCCTCAGCCTTGGGTCACCCTTACGCTCATAATTACTCGCGTATGCGAACTGTAACGTATCGGGTATTGGCAGGTTGTACAACGGCAGATGCTGCGATGTGAACTGATCGCCGCCAACAGACCTTTTTTCTGATTTGTCTCTAACCTATCGCGCCATGACCTCTCCGTTTTAAATCTTAGCCTTCTCTGATTACTATCACGCTATATCTAAGCGTTGCAGGCCGTATTGTGGACATGGGGAGACACCAAAGTCAACACCTACCAAGATCCACCATGCAATGGGAGCAACGCGATACAGAGCCCTGTCGTGTATCACTCGACAGTGGCCTACCCTTTCAGCCATCTTCAGCCACGATCTACGCGAGGTGAGAGCAAAGGGCAAAGGGTAGAAGGCTGGAAACTCAACGGGACGTGCGATCGGTGTGGTCCCGCAGCATCGCTCCACACATATCGGTACAATCAATGTGTATTGTATGCAATTCGACAGCACATCATCGCCCGTGGTTGGGCCCTTTACGCTTCCATGAAAAATGAGCACGCATCCGGAAGACTTGGCATGAAGTCACGTCAATTGAAGACGGCCAGTGTGCATCTTACATTCAATTCATTGGAGAGGCTGAGATTCGGGCTTAACATCACTATCAGCAGGACGCCCCTTTGTTGCATACCAATGGGTGTTACACGGCATGTTCAGCATCTCCGTGGACGTGACCTCACTTCCCGACAACCATCTTCAAGTATAAGGTGCAAACGAACCTGTACCTCACATCACGTACCAAACCAATTCTTCTCTCACTCGCATGCGTAATAGTATCAATAGACAGCTTCTGAGGGTTCCCACCACCCCGATCATAGACACCAAGAATCTTATTTCAATCAAAGAGAGCAACATTTTCTCACAGACAGTAATGACCGAACAAAAGATCATCGCCATCATCGGCTCCACAGGCTTCCTGGGCCCTTACATCACCGCCTCTCTCCTTCAGAAGCACCCCAACGCCAATATACTCTGTCTAAACCGTAGCAAAGACGCAGAACAACGCACCACCTCCTCTCTATCCCGCATCAGCAACGACGACCTCACCCGCCTCACCTTCATAACAGCCGACATCACACTCCCAAACCTCGGTCTAGACCTTATCCAATACACCCACTTCAAGACCTCCGTCTCAGAAATTGTTTTCAACGCCTGGAACGCAAACTGGACGACGCCCCTCATCGGCTACTTACCCCTCCTCAACGCTGTTCAACATGTTATCACAGCATGTACCGCTTCGCCCCAAACACCCCAACCTCGTATAACCTTCATCTCCTCCAACACTTCGATAATGAACCACCCAACCCAGCATCCTTCCACCGCGCTCATTCCTGAAGTCCCCGCCTGGGACTTTTCCAGCGCAGCGAATACCGGCTACGGTCAGAGCAAATGTCTCGCGGAGCAACTCCTCGCTCGCGCAGGACAAGAACACAGGGTACGCGTGGCTATCGTACGCGCAGGCCAGATTGGTGGTGCGTCGTCTGCTTTGCCTGAGGCGCCGCAGTGGCCGATCCAAGGTTGGCTGTACGTCACGTTTAAGACGGCGCAGACACTGGGGTACTGGCCCGTAAGGATGAATGCTGTGGATTGGATACCTGTGAATTCGTTGGCGGAGGGCATCGCCAACATCACATTATCGCCACCGAGCTCAGACGCTCACACAGACACGGTTAAGGTCTACAACATGATGCACCCCCGCCCCGCGCCTTGGGTATTGCTGCAGAAGGTGTTGGTCGAGCGGTTTGGACTGGAGGTAAAGGAGTGTAGTCTGCCGCAGTGGTTGGGAATGTTGGACTCGGAAAAGTTCAAGATGCATGCGTTTTTGATGGAGGCGGGTGAGGGGAGGGAAGACGAGGCATTGGTTTTCGGGAATGAGAATGCGAGGGAGGTGTTGCCGGAGGTGGAGGATGTGACGGAGGGTTTGGTGGAGAGGTGGTTGATGGGGTGGGGTTTGAGGTTGAGGGAGGTGAGGGCGAGGCTGTGAATTGGGGTTCCGCGTATGTAGAGGTGGGCATGTGGTGGCCAGTTGCAGCACACGGTAAGAGACACTGGGTGGAGTGATTTGACATGGAGTGGATAGTTGTCATTTCTTAGCGGTATATGATACCATGCAACTACACCATACGGTCCTGCCGTCAAAGTACTTAATGCGTACCATCTACAAAGTCTGCTTGCCTCTCGTCTCAATTGGCAGCACCAACATACTGAAAAAGGCCGCAATGAATAATCCACCACTGGCGTAGATTGGCGCCTTGGGGTTACTTCCACCCGCTTGAATAGCAACAATAGGCGCGCAAAGTCCAGCAACACGGTTCAAGAAACTGCTCATTCCAGTACCAGTGCCACGGATTGGGGCGGGGAACACCTCAGGTGTGTACGCGTACAAGACACCGTACATGATGTTCTGGAAGAAAGCCTCGAGACAAGTGAAAGCGAGCTGGAAGTCGGAATCGGAAGAGATGGTGAAGAGGAAGACGAAAACACCAGTGATGACGGTGGCGACGGCCATTGTGCCCTTGCGGCCAACGTACTTGAGGTCGACAGTGTAGCAAGCGAGGATGGATCCGGGGACACCGACGATGGCGGTGATGGCGTAGTTACGGTAAACGATGCTGATGTCGTTCTCAACGCCACCGCCCGAGTTCTTCAGGTACTGTGGGAGGAAAGCATTGAAAAGCGGGTAAGCCATACCGATGGTCGACCATTGGAACCAAAGCAGTGCGGTGGTGAGACCAATCTTCTTGTCCTGGAAAAGGGTCTTGAAGCGCTTCATCGAGAAACGGCTAAGGGAGCGCTTGACGATTTCGAAGACGCCGAGCTTGATGTCTTCTCCGGTGACTTCCTGGTCGCCACCGATTTGGTTGAGAATGTCCTCGGTGAGCCAAGTGTGCGTCTTGTTGTAGTGCGCAATACCATAAACGGTGGCGACAGCCTCAGCCTGACGACCGCGAGACAATAGGAACTTGGGTGACTCGTAAAGATGGAAGAGGAAGAAGCGGCAGATGAACATGAAGAATGTGATCGCGCCGAGAGTCAGAATGAGATATCGCCAGCCCATGTTGTCTTCCATTCTGCACTGTCCGATGGGAGTACCGTCGGCGCATGAGAAGTTGGGAATGAAAGCCCAAGCCACTGGGGATCGTTAGCAAGTCATCAGGACAGCGAGCGGTGTCAACTTACGAAGCGAGGCAACCAAGTTACCGACGGGCCAGAAGATGGAAAGGAGCGTAAGGAGGTTTCCCGATGTTTGAGGCAGGAATTCAAGGAACAAAGCGCCGTCAACTGGGAGGTTACCACCGACACCAAGACCAATGCAAGCGTAGAGTGCGCATGTGCCGATCCAGTTGGGCCCGCCGCCGGATGCAAGACCAAAGACACCAGCGAGGAAAAGAGTAAAGTTGAAAGCGAGACGGCGACCGATAATGTCAGAAGCGGTACCCCAGAAGGAAGCGCCGATGCAGAGACCAAGGAAGAGCGCCAGTGTGGTGTATCTGACTTCCGTCTCACTGACACCGAACTCAACGCTGAGTTGTGGTAGTGTAAGAGCAACACCCTGTATCTTGGTAAGTCCTGTTGGTTGATGGGAGGTTTGATATGCGCACCTGCAGCCACAAGTTGTCGGCCATCCAACCGCCACCGCAAAGGGCAAAAAGCTGCCATTGATAACGGCCCATGCCCATATCTTGCAAGGCTTTGTTAATAACCTTGGATTTGCCTGTGAAAGATCAGTACTGTTTCCTCGCGAAAATTACCGGAGGTGATAGGAGAAGCCGCACGACGTACGGTCATATGGCGTGTCGTTGTCTGAAGCAGCGACCTCTGCTTCAATCTCTGCCTTCAATGCTGCAACTGTCAAGCCATGGTTAACAACACCACTAGATGCATTACTGTCAGGGCGCGTGAGGCCATCTTCTGGTTTGTCGTCTTTGGTCGTTTTCTCTGTTGCAGCGAGGGAGGCGCGTGGGTGGGTGGAAGCTACAGAAGCGCGATGGGTGGAATCATCAAGAGGCACATGGACGCCGGGGAATTCGTCGACATGATGAGCCTTGAAGGGATTCACAAACATAGTTCGGACCATCTTGGCGTAATGATAGCGGTGGTAGCGCGATGGAGGATAGGCGTGGAGTTGTTGCTTGGGGTTGGCGCAATGGTAAAGAGGGGTGCGATAATGGGGCAGTCGCGATTGGGATGGTGCTGTCCAGGGTCGTCGAGTCGTCGATGTTGCTGTAATCTGGTGGTTTTGTCGTGTGTCGAACCGTCACGGCGTCTTCACCCAAGCAGGATGCTAAAGGCTTGTGAGGCTTGGAAAAGCTTGTATATTGGATATGGCAAGCTTCCGCGACTACAGGGTCGCAGGAAATTGATGACAAGAGTTACACGAGCTCGGTCCTGGAGGAGGGTCATGGCCCCTCATATACTCCAGCTCTCCCCGGCGCCGCCCCTGTCAAAAAATCTTTTGGAACGGACAGATGGTGTGGAGTCGTTGGTACGGTGCGCCAAGGTAGCGGCATTAAGGCGCGCGGTGACGTAGTGCTTGGTGGACCAAGCATCAAACCCCATCACGTTCCTCTACCGTTCACTGCAAAGATCATCCCACGTCGCCTCTGTGGTTCGCTCGATCCTATTAGGCTTGGCCTTAGCCAATACCATCGGTCTGGTAAGCTTTGCAGTCTCACTGCTTGTGCGTGGGTGCGCCTGCGGCAGCGCGCCTCATGCGCAATGACAGAAGTCTACACGCTGAGCCATCGATGAACATATCAGCTCACAGACCAGGTGCATCGGTGCCGTTGATGGCTGTCAACACAGATCGTCGTCGCGACCACTACGTTGACCTCGCGTCGATTGCGAGGCCGTTCGCTTGTGGCGGACCCGAAGAATTTTGCCGCGTGCCGAAACGCGACTAGACTAAAGACGTGCCGATTACGTTTACTTTCTCAGGCTTTGCACACGCGAAATGGCTAAGAAGACCGGCCTCAAATTATCGACAGACGTTAATCACACCGACAGTAAGCGGGGTGGCTCGGGTGTTCTCGTTGCATGCCCAGATCAGGCATGACGTCCCAGAGATATCAATCACAGAAGGCGCGGGATGCTTTCGACCCCAACATCGATGGGAGATCGACATTCCCTGAATGCGCGGCCTGCCACTGCTAATCTACTGGAAATACCGAGACCGACACGCCCGAATTGCAACGAGAAATCTGCCGTTCACTATAGCAGGCTGTTGGACCCTTGCCCGGCTCCACACCTGCCAAACACTACAGTAAGTTCAGCGGTCTCCTCCGAATGCAACACTTTCCCTGGCAGCACGTGCCGAGCAGGCGCGAAGGTGGACCTGCCCTAAAGCAAGTCGTATCGACAACGGGCAATGTCACGCGATATGCTCGATTCAAGGATCCATAGCCTTTCTGTTGACCTCGTATCGCCTTGGTACTGTAGCGCTACCCGAATGTAACCTACGTACGACATTACTTGGCGAAGGTAGGATCAAGAATCTTTCGGTTCTGTCCACCATGTATCGCCTGAATCTAACACCGACTGCCTCACCCGAGCTACACTACAGGCAAAGCTGCAAGAACGGCAATGTTCATCGCTGATGGTTGTATGTGCACTGTCCGTCGTCTGTCGGCATCTTCCTAGTATCAGCCCTAAAAAGATACATGTTGTTTGATTCGATCTTTCCATCTCTCCTCACTCCAACTGCTACCGCCTTGCGTCGAGGCTGCTTCGCGGTGAGATGCGTTTTCATCCCACATGGCAACGGCGAACGACGTTTCAAACTAGACGAGGTAGTAGCCCTCGCCATTGATCCGCTCTATTATGGGTCAGCCTTCCTTCGAGTGACATGCACCAGCATGTTCCATCAGCAGTGCCATAAACACCACCCATCAATAGCACCGCCATCATTTCTATCACCTGTTACCACCAGCTACCAATATGTGCGGCGCCGAACCTCTCGTCAGCATGAACAGCGCTGAATCCGTCGATGCCTTCTACGCGCTACTAGCAGAACGGAAACATCTTGCTGCATCCCGATCGGTCGAAGCTGCGCCCAAATGGCCAGCAGCCCGCAATGATCACTACTGCCACCAAGAGGTGTGTCGACACGATGTCATCGATCTGTCCTCTATATGCGAGCCGTCCGACAGCGATGGCGATGGGCATTCACACATCGTTCTTGACGACGAATTTTATGACAGTGAATACGAAACTCCATCGAGGAGTAAACAGTACGAAATTGAGAGCTGTCGTTCAGGCTATTCGGATGAGTACGTTATCGAGGATGTTCTGGTCAGGTAAGTGGCTTGCTGACATCACATAGATTCGTCCCTCTCCGTTACAACACACCACCCACATTCTACGATGCCCAAGAACCCGGAAGCCGTCAGATGTCTCCGATAGACCCCAAAGCAAGCATCCGTGCCCTCCGACAAGAACTCGATATTCTACAAATCAGCAGCGCAAAGTCATGTCTCGACCTTGAAGAGCGCTTCGATAACCTCTCCTTGTTATACGGCACTCTGCGTAGAGACTACGAAGATTTTGCCCACAAACACGACGTACTCCTGCGGATTTCATTGAAGCAGTGTGAAGATTTAGACAACCAAGCGAAGGTCCTGATGGAATTGGGCGAGTGGAAGATGCGCACGCAGAACAGTTTTGCTGAGGTACAAGTTCAAGGACAAGAACCGGAGGTTTTGTATCTTGGCACACCGCGTTCGACATCCACAGTAAGTATCGGACTAGAGAATCTAAGAGCTACTCCTCTAGCGACGGAGAATCAGGATGTTACATCGACGTCGAATAGACGAGAAAAAGGTGTCGGAAGGATGCCGCCACCTCCGATCACGCCCGCCACGACGCCTGAACGATGTGCCACACATGCGCGCTTGGTCCTGAGGCTATAAGCCAAGCAAGATATCGAGGAGGAAGTCATGAAATTAACTGGTGCTCTGGTATCGGACGAGCCGGCACGCCCAAAGCGGGTCAGAAAGCCCACGGAGAAACGCAAGGCCGCTGAGCTGGAAGCCAAGTCCACGGGAAAGAAAGCGAAGAATTCCCTGACTTGCACATCCGCCTCGTTCTGATTGTGTGAGCATCATGTCTGGTCCGTGGTTCGTGTGTGTTGAGGAATAAGTGAGACCATTGGTTAAGTTTGGTGGCCTGCAGTGGGTACATCAACAATGATACCCTTGCTTTTCCCTGACTACATGTTTCCAAGAAGGAATTTGCCAAACAAAAGCTCACTTCCCTGCACCGCCACACGTGACGATGTTCGCGTCGACTTAGGGCCTCCGAAGGTTTTCGGGGTTGAGCTACCCTGCGATATTTAACATCAGCGCTACCCGCCCTTCTCAGAACCATCGAAATCGAAGGCACTTGAAATCTGGACTTTGAACGTGTCGTCTCCAGGAAGTTTGCAGTCGTAAGTGCGAGGTTTGGACGTCACGTCGGGGAGAATGCGACTGCGAGTGTATGTACAAGTAAGGTACGATATTATTACTACTTGGCTTGCTATCTGTCGAAAAAGCTAACACGTGTGCTGAATGTAGAAAGAGAGTCCCGAGAAACCAGGCGCACGATGATTACGGTACTGCCCACGAGCTGATGACTCGCTCGCTATCAAAATTTGCGAACAAATGTCGCGCGACACCCCCCTTCGTCTGCTACTGAATCGAATCCAGCCCAGCGCCTACCACAGTAGCACGCAGTGCCTAGGGGGTACCGAACGTTTGGCCATATGCTACAGATCTGATAATCTGTTCTTGTTTTTCGCCTCCCAGAAGCCGTAGCTTCGCACTCGAGATGATGCCGGGAGTGACACCCATTGGTAAGGTTCCATAGGTGGTATCGTCAAGATCCATCACCGGTACCATTCCAACCATCCGGTTCTCCCTGCGCGTACACGTCTATATGTAGATCCTGCCAGTCCCAAATCTGCTCCATGCCGCCCATGTCGACAGCAGCCGGATCACCGACCGTGCCAAAGGGGTTCTGGGCGAGAAACTGATCGATATCGAACGAAAGCTCATCCGAGATCGTCATCGCCGGAACATCACTAGCAGTAGAAAGTCCTATTGCAGCAGTCGGCTCCGGAGGCGCCGTGTTCTTCACTGGCGGCATGACCGCAACAGGTGCAGGTTCATGCGCCGGCACCGGCGGTGTCGTTGTAGGTACCGAGGAAGAAGTTTGTCGTTGCCGCTTGCTGGCTGATGAGTACCGCGAAAGTTCTGGTGTGGCCTGCACGAGCTTGAAGAGGAAGTTGTAGGACGTAGCGCCTAGTTTCGTTGTCCCGCTGAGTTGATGCAGCATATCCAGAGAGCTTTCGATAGCATCAAAGATCTCTTCGCGATGAGGGAGGAGATGCTCGCGGTCGTGGATGATGGCGGAGCAAAGCAAGGTCGCCGTGTCGAAGATCGCAAAGACAACCATGTGGAATTTGGCGTTGATGGGGAACTCGTGGTCGAAGAGTTGGCGCGCTACTTTCAGTAAGCGCAACGCGATATCTACGCCTTTCTTCCGGAACTCGTCGTCTTGGTCGACTATCGCGTCTCGCCGTTCTCGGGTCAGGTACGGCTTGAAGAAGTTGAGCATCGTCACAAAGATAACGCAATGTAGCTGACAGCGCTGGAACACGAAGAAAGGATGGGACTCATCGAATGATGTGTCGGGGTCTGTGAAGCGGAAGATGGGGGGTAGTTCCTCGATGAACTTTTCGCATTCCGCTTCTATCGCCAAGACCTGCTTGTCCGAGAGAGCGTGTTCAGACTGGGCGTTTCCCATAGTAGCGGCAATTTTACGACCGAGGGTTGCTTGAAGGGCGATGTGTGCAAAGGGTGATAGCAGGTTGGGCTCCGTGGTCGACTGGTCGAGCCGTAGATTGGGGAATTTGAAGTCGAGATTCTTTTGGTCGATGAGGTTTGGACGGCCGAGCCATGCCGACATTTGCCTGCGCGAGAGTCAAGTCATGATTCGAAGATAGGCATTTTTGTGCTTACCAGTCCCAGATGTACAGCAGCGTCCAAAGACGTCTCCTTATCTCTATATCGAACTCGCACAGGCCTTCAATACCCCCATCTTTATCGATGCCCAGCTCTTGTGCTTCTCGAATTGTGCGCGAAAGCGCATGCCACGACTCCACTATCTTCGACTCAGCCTTCAACCAAACGCACTTTAGAAACAGCTCTTGCACGCGTTCAACGCTTGTTCTTGCTGCGCCAAAACTCCGGCTCAGTTCTTCCGCTGCGTCGGAGAACCGGTCGGTCAGAGTCTGGCAATTGCAAGCCAACTCAAACTCAATCATTTTGCGGAGCGCAGGTGTGAGGTACTGCACTGAGTACGCGCAGATCCTCAGGAGCAGGCAGGTGAATTCTGGAGAAAGTTGCTTGCCGGCAGCGCGATCTGCCCACCATTGGACATACTGTTCGGCTAATGTTGGCCCATATATTGCGGTGTAGCGGTAGTTGACGACATTGAGGAAGTGGTTAACAAACGCATCTGTCCATGGTTAGAGAATGGATCGCTAAAATCTCGCGATTTTGTGCCTACCCGTTATTGATCTTGGTGGAACGGCTGAAAGAACTCTCTCGAGAACGTCCGTCGTAACGGAGCTCTCTGTCGGTGAGTCTTTCCGCGGACCGTTCTTGAAGTTGTTAGTTGATATCAATGTTGTGAGAAATGCTGTTACCTCTTCCACTGTGCCGACTTTGTAGTGGACATGGCCAGGCATGTACCCCCACGCTTTCAGCCCATCTTCGAGCTCTTCCTGCTCGCCATCCTGCGATAGAAATTGGGGCTCTGCAGAGTCGGGAGCGCTTCTTTTTGTGCCTTTGGTGCTGGAGGCCGAATTTTCACTGCGCAATCGCTGTTACCACTGGGTTCCGCTAACTGCGGGGTAGACAGAACGATCTACATACCGAGACGACTCTGGAGAAGGCTCCTGCTGCCCTCTTTTGACCGAGAATTGACAAAGATGGGGAACTTTTCGTGCCTGGCAATGATTGCAGGGCCATTCTCGCGAGCACTAGCGGCGTCATTAGTTCAAGGGGTAGATGCAGGGCCAATGTGGAGTGTCGTCACCTTTTGTTTCCTCCGTTGGCATTCGGTGCAGGAAGTCGTCGCGCGACTGTCTTTCAACGATTGCATAGTTGCCATTACACTTGATGAAGACCGGTCAAGATTGAGTAGTTCAAGTTTTATGAAAGCATGGCGAACGGACGAATCCAACGCTGTTGAGTTGTGGATCGGACCCTAAGACCGACCCCACCAGATCCACAAGAGCCGCTGCGCCACCTCCACGGGCCGAAGTTTTGGAGCCAGCCAGAGCTGACCCTGATTTCTCAGCACGTCATGTGATGTGTGGCGATGCTTTTCCGTACGAGAACCTTGGAAAACTGTCATGTCTACGCGACTGCGCACATCAATTCTGCAGGATCAACGGAACCTTCGACATTGGCACCTTCCGCCCAGGCGGCATTTGATTAAATCGCGCGGCATTGCGGCCTCCGAGGAGTTCCTGGCGAAAGATACCGCGAGGAAGCTCGTCTTCCTCCGCCTCATTCATACCGTAAGTGGTGTCGCCTACACGTTCCTGGCATTAGTTTTGCGGATCTGCGCGCATTGTCTAGACCGCACGACGCTCGCTTGCGTATTTCGAAATACCTTCCAGAGTTCCGAAGCGTCGTACCTGACAAGGTGGACGGTTGCGCGCCGACTACCTATGTACGGCTCAGTACGGTTCACGTGTTCATCGTATTACTATGCCTTTCACTGTCACATAGCATCATGTCACCACAGTCGCGGCCATCGTGAAAGTCCTCCCCAGTGTTGCCTTGGTCACTCCAAGCATGACGTCATCGCACCTCAACTATCGCTTGTAGCCTGGCAGCTAATCTCAAAACACCACGATATCGGCACATAGCGACACCTACGCTTAGCAGCTGAGTTCGCGGTGGGACATTTTTTTGGACTTCAGATATAAGAAGGCGCTTCGAGAATGCCAGTTCAACTTTTCCCACAGCACCGCCTAGTCCACAACTTTCGATACCATGGCACGCGCACTACCTCTCATACCTTGGTCAAAGACCTCCATCTTTACTAGTCGCATGCATCTGTACTCCTCAAGAATGGTGCAAAAGGCCGCTCTGGACTTGTTTGTACTAGGATTCACTCAACAGGCCAACAAACTTCTCGAATCAATCCGTATATACGGTCTTGACACAACAACCCAAGACTATTACGGCCTGACAACCAAGAATCAGTTGCAACGGGCCTAGGACGCTAGCAATTCTTTTCCAACATGGGCAAACAGACTAGATGATGCGGATGCGGATACTATCAGCACCACAGGCTTACCTAAAGACGTTGCATCGAAAGCTAAAGAAGGCACGCTGAGTAAAGAAGACGTAGACGCTGTGTGCGAGCGCTTGAATGCAAACCCGGATACTTACTACAAAATTCCTGAGAAAACGATGACGCTCGGTGCGGCGATACATGTCGCATTGCTCGCAGGCGAAGAACGTGTAGCTACTAGCTTGGTGGAGAACAACATGAAGGAGTTGTACCAGTACTTGCTGGAAGGTTGGCACGATCCCGACATAAGCGGAGACGAAACCAGAGAGTGGCTTCATAAACGCCAGGGCCTGGAGCATTGTCCAGGCATATGGAATGTCCTCGTATCGGCAAAACTCGGAGAAGTTCTCGGCGTGCGCGCATCCGACGTGGATGAATATGTCGATGAGGGTTGCGCCCTCTTCGAAGAGCGCTCTACCAAAGGCCCAGTCCGAACGTATCTATCCAAAACCATTGCCGAACTCGTAAATATGATGGACAAAAACATCCTCACCCAACGCGAAGACGACGGTCAAGACGCAGTACCCACTGTCCTTAACGACGGCGCATCGGAAGCTCAAATTGCCGCCCTCGAAGAACGCCTCTCGTCACCCGACGAAGACTCATTTGTTGCGCTCCCCGGTGAAAAGCTTCCCGATGACTACAAAGACTTCTTACGCGCGAGCAACGGCATCGAAGAAGATTTGTTCTTTAGCACAGAGGAAGTTGATACGTCAGGAAGCTGGATGCATGATATGAGCTACACTCTGTTCCCTGACGAAGCAGACGGCCATCTCCTTCACGGAAGCGATAGAGACATCGAAGAGATCGAACTAGGCGAATATGCGTGCTTCACTATCGGCACGGGTGACCACGAAGGCAACGTTACTCTTATACCACCTGCTTCAGTCAGACCCATCGTCGAGAAGTTCGAAAAGGTGTATGCGCAAGCAAGCGAGACGAACAAGACAGTCTATGAGCGCGCAGCCTTTGATCTGTATGGTGGTATAGATCAGCTCAGGGCGTTGGAGTGGCTGTGTATTGAGTTTCAGCACTCCGCGTATGAGGAGAGGATTTGGGGTGGACTGAAGCCTTTTCTGGAGGAATATGTTAGGCGTGAAGTTGATCAATGGGATGCAGTTGGGAGACGGGAAAGGAGAGATGTGAAGAAGAAGCAGGAGGGCGAGGCTAAAAAAAGAAAGAGAGAAGATGGTGAGCCTGATGGGGTTAGTGACGATACCAAGTCCCTTCGTAAGACGTAGGATTGGTATTTCGTCATATGGAAGCTGTGGCCCCACCTGTATGCTCACTGTCAGCTTCGTTGTGGTGCAGTCGCGGCTTACTTAGTTCAGGCAGGAAGCATTACTGGGAGCGATGATGCCTCGTTTTTTAGCCGGTAGTGTCGGCAAAACCTTTGCTGTGGCGTCCTGCGTAGCCTCACTACAGCAGTGGTCGTGCTGACCGATAAGCAGAGGCCCATTTATCCAGGCCAGAGACGTCGGAGGTTGGAGCAGGAAGGGAAGCGGACTACCCCTGAATAACGTTTCAAAGGTGACTATCTACCACATATTGCAGCCGTGCGGCTCCTAACGCCTCGTTGCCTTTTCGCAGGCAGAAGGCAGAAGGCAGAAGGCTCTGGTAGGCTGTCACCACAGACTACCTGCACCTGTGACGTGTTCCAGCTGCAATCTATATAACGTTTTTGGTGAGCGCGCCTATTGGCACGTCACCATTCGCCCCTGTATTAGTTGTTCAAGGTCCCTATCTCAAGATAAAGAAACGTCGATTTACCAATGGGCGAGGCTGCTTACCGACGATCGATATTCAGACAGACCCATGTCTCCCTAGGACACGTTACACGGCTGACATCCCCGTAAGATGACTTGCGGCGCGTACAAGTACGGTGCGCGCCCCAACGGCCAGCATCCAGTCCCAGGAATGCTTAGCTCCCAACGTCATGTCCGCCATCGTTGCCGCTACGTGTTCTCGCTGCACGGGCATCCTTCTAGACGAGGGAATTTTCTATGCTCTCGAGAGCTTGGACAACATGACCAGATCACAGTGTCCAGGCTGCGACTTCTTCCTCAAGGTTGCTAGAAGACACGGAGTGAATGTAATCTCTGAAGCACAAACACAGATTCTCTTAGTACGACGTTCCAAGGACGGAAATCTCATCAAAGTGTACTATTTTCGCAATAACAACTCCCAACTGTCCATTGCAGAAACATGTGAGCTAAGGCTTTGTGCGGCTTTCGGTATGTGCCTGAGGCGATTTCGATCACTTTAGTTCTAATCTTAACCATGTTCAGGGTTCGAAATACCGTTCTGTGCAGACTTCGAGGGTCTGGATGACAGGTACTTGGGCCGCCGTATAGCGTCGCAAGCAGACAGCGCAGAGCGCTTCGATGTCGCAAAAAGCTGGCTTGAGCGTTGCACTCGATCGCATGGTGCAGCCTGCGCCCTTGAAGCGGCCGTGGGTTTCCCGACGCGCCTTGTTCATATATCTCGCGACGATCCCAGCCAGCTAAAGCTATGCCTGACACAAAACATGAAAGGGCGATACGTTGCTTTGAGCTATTCCTGGGGCACAGGGAATACCTACAAGACCACGGCCAAATCCATCGATAGGCTGAGATCCGGCTTCCGAACAGCGGATCTACCGAAGACTCTACAGCATGCTGTTGCCATAGCACACAAGATGGATTTCGAGTGGATCTGGATCGACCAATTATGTATTCTCCAGGACAGCGTCGATGACTGGAGTTTTGAATCATCTCATATGGCTAAAGTTTATGGTAATTCAGCCTTCACTATCTGCGCAGACTCATCCAGTAACACAGAAGATGGTATATTCCACGACCGCACAGTGCTACAGTCACATTCTTTTGGGCCTAACTTCGCGATGTGCCTTCAAACTATCTGTACACCTTGGAGAGACATGGTCAACCATCCGCTGTATCATCGCGGATGGGCTTTCCAGGAACGAATCCTTTCCGCTCGCAACTTACACTTCTTGCAAAGCCAGATTGCTTGGGAGTGTAACACTACGCTGTATCTGGAAGAAGGCCGGGGAAGACACAGCAACCCGGATACTCATTTCCCTAAGCACATGTTCACCAAATTCTACCATCAACAAGAGGACGTTGATCCAGATCCCACAGAATTCGAAATCATCAAGAGGATTGGAGCCTGGAACTCAATTCTACAAGAGATGGCTGTCCGTCAACTTACAAAGGAAACAGATAAGTTTCCATCCATCTCCGGTTTGGCAACAGCAGTAAAGACACCTGAGATGGGCGACTACATGGCTGGAGTCTGGGCACATAACCCCTTCATTTCCATGGCTTGGTTTCCACGTTTCCCGCAGAAACAGCCAGAAGTTTACCGGAGCCCATCATGGAGCTGCAGATGGACAGATCATCAAATAGTCTGGTATTACGACACGTGGCTCGGAAGCGATGATAAATCTACTGACGTTATATCTGACTGGGTGTTATGGAATGATCGATACGGACCGCGCTTGGAACAGCACAACATCATTCTCATGAATGAGGATAAAAAAGGCAGGGTCAAAGAAGGTAGCAGCTTGACTATGACTGGGCATTGCCGCTCAATTTACGTGGCAAATCTTCCACACTCGGACTTTGACCACAACTTCAATGAAGTAGATTGGGCTATCGGAAAAATAAATAGTTCAGCACACCGTGTGTGTATGGACGAGAGGCTAGGGTCCTGCGACGATGTGTGCTCCTTCACGGCAGATTTTCCGGGTGTCGATCAACAGTACGATCGCGAGAATGTCAGAGAGTACTTATGTGTTCAGATTGTGCGAGAGCGGAAAGAAAAATGGAAGAACCCAAAAGTTATAGGCTTGGTCCTTGAAAGATCAAAGGGCTCTGCCGAAGAAGCTTTTCGACGTGTCGGGCTCACCGACTTTGACATGACCGATGGCGCATGGGTGCGAAAGACTTTGAAGTTGCTATAATTGGCAAAATGGACTGCGTTAGGTCAGTACCACAATCGAGCTTCCATCTTGCCCACGAAAGCATGAATCCTTATGCAATCTCGAGCTAACAAACCACTAAAGGCCAAAAAGGAGATGGAGATGTACGGCATGGAAGGCCCTGATGGACGGGGGTACCACTTTTACAACGTGCTATGGGTTGAGCGTCAGGAAGGAACAGTATAGCGGCGCGCGGCAGAACGCGTATCGAAAGCAGTATGATATGGGATGCAAACCGCACCCCGTCAACGAAACCCATTTTTGGTTAATCACGATTTTTCGACAGACCAGAATGCACCTCTACTTAGCCTCTACGACAACATCACTCTCTTGTATTTGTAACCAAGACCCTAGTCAAGTAGGCGGCATCACATGCGCGGAGACGGGCCAGTCAGCTTCGCACTACGAGTATGCGTTCGCAGCTCTAGGAGCTACGTACAGATGGTGCGCAGCAATCACGTTGAATGCGCCACTGGTTCAAATTTCGGACGAAAATCGACGGTGTCCGTCCCTGGACGACATCATGTCTCCATAAACGGAGTAATCAGCAGAAATAAATATAAACCGATGTCGTCTGCTATACTGAGAAAGATTCTGTATCGGTCCGACTGCTGTTGGTATACATTCTGTTTCTAGAACAGTTCTCGTCATGGTAAAAATATTTGTGTAAGTTTTCCCTCGAAAAAGTTGAAAGACACTCGCTGATCTTGGCGTTAATTCTACAGCATTGGGATTACAGGTTGGATTGGCAATGCAAGCGCTCGCGCGATCGTAGCTGCGCACCCCGACTACGAGTGGACGGTTCTCCTTCGCAACAAGACAAAAGAAGAGAGCGTGAAGCAATTATTCCCCCCAGAAATGCGATTCGTGATCGGAGACTTTGACAGTCACGATGTCATCTCCTCTGCAGCAGCTGTCGCAGACGTTGTCATAAACTGGGGTAGTAGCGACCACGAGCCGTTGACCAAGTCCATCATCGACGGGATGAAGAAGAACAAGTCTACCTGCTACCTAATCCACACCTCAGGCGGCGGTATACTTACGGGCGAAGTTGCCAGGACGGGGGCCTACGGCCAGGCTACCACCAAGGTCTACGACGACTGGGACAATGCAAGCGACCTCCTCACGCTCCCTCCCGAAGCGCCACACGTGAGCGTCGATACCATGATCCTGGCGCTCGACCACGAAGCGCCGCATATCAAGACCATGATCGTCTGCCCGCCAATTATATACGGCATGAGCAACGCCCAGGACATACAGGAGCGCAGCGCCGCACGACAATACGTAAATTCCATCCTAGACCGCAAAAAGGGCTTCGCGGTCTGTGACGGCAAGGCTATCGTCAATACGTTACACGTTACCGATCTAGCGAACTTCTTCGTCAAGGCTACGGAAGCAGCCGCGCAGGGCGGTGGCGCTGCAACGTGGGGAGGTGTGGAGTCGTACTACTTTGTGGAAAACGGAGAGATAGTCTGGGACGAATTCGCGCAAGCTGTTAGCAAAGCGGCTTTTGAGAGAGGGCTGCTGGATACCCCGGATGTGGACTATCTGAGCGCAGAGGAGGCGATGAAGCTTGATCCAATTAGCCAAATTGCTTACGGTTCCAGTGCAAGGTTTAAGGCGATTCGAGCTGGAAAGACTCTTGGTTGGAAGCCAGAGATGCCGGGGATCTATGAGGACTACCTGTCGAATTGGCGGTTCAAGGCGGGCGAACAGCACTTGTTCATGTAATGTGAACCCAGTTCCAAATCATCGGCTTGCATTTGCTACGATAGCTTAGTATGTCGTCTTCGCCGCCTTGGCGTCTGTTATACGCACGCGTACTTCTTTTTTGGTGTCATTGTGTAGTTCTTTAGGCGCGAAAGCGATTAACACGTGCCATGAAGCCATGCCTAGCTGCACCCCTAGACTGTGAGCAAAAAGAATTCTGTTCTAAGATCCACCACATGAGGTGCAAAACGATGAAGCGCGCCATCTTCTTACGCGATCCAGATGGTTTTTGCATGGAGAGACGGCGGTTGGTGGATTTAGAGGGTGCAAAAAAAGTCAAAAACATACAACAGCGGGGATTCGCTAGTGGTCACCCACCTAACTACTAATCCGCCGGTATCATGCTTGTATATGGCTGAGCGGACGGGAAGCCTAATTTTCATGATCCTATGGTCGTATGTGCAAGAACAATCGGTTTTTGCCAATATATAGTCATTAATGCGGCTTCCTCGACGCGTAGCTGGCACTGGTGTGGATCGAACATCGGTGTCGCGGGCGAAGAATTGGTAGAGCTACCAGTCTGGTCTGTTCCAACGCTGTGCCAGCTCACAGTTGACGATAACGCGGGCTCCAGGCTCGAAAAAGCAACAGTACGCCGACGAATACGGGGGTAGCAATCGAGTTGGCCATGTCGCATGGCGTGTTCGTGGTGACGGCGCTGGTGACTATTTGAATATTGCGTCGACGCGGGAAGAGGAGAAAATCGTAGAGTTCCGGCGCAGTGGATGATTGAGGGGCTTTTATATATCGGCAATCATTTGCGCGGCGCAGTCGCCCCTGAGTCCCTGAGATCTGGGTAGGAGATGCCCGCACTACAATCCCTGTTCGCGACTGCACAGAGCGCGCCTTAACGACCTGGATCCTGTTTTGATGCCGACATGTTGCTATTAGTCCATCTAATTAACTCGGCTATATAACTAAGTCTCTGCTACATCTCCGTATCGCTTGACGATCTTCTCAAACACCTCGTCCAGAGTTGCCTTACCCACGCTGTAAAATTCCACATTCAGGTCATCCTTCGCCGCTTCCAATGTCCTAATCAAGCCTGCGAACTCATTACCCTCGGCCGGAATCTCAAATCTGACCTGACCGCCCTGCGTCTCGCGACTGACGTTCGCCAAGGGAAAGGTGAGAGCAATCCATTCCTTCATCTTCTGCAGTTCCTGTGGCGAGGTGCAAGGTGCTGCGCGCGACACGAGATGAATGTGATATTCGCTGCCCGCACGCTGCTTCAGGTCTTCGCGGTCGCCAAGAGCGAGCATGCGCGACGAGACAATGCCAATGCGGTCAGCCAAGGCGTCGGCCTCCTCCATCGAGTGCGTCGTGAGTACAACGGCGCGTCGCTTTGCAATGGTTTGCAGGCAGTGCCACATGACGCGCTTTGCGTTCGCGTCGAGCGCCGAAGAAGGTTCGTCGAGCACCAGGACACGCGGGTTACCGACAAGTGCGACAGCCAGAGACAGTTTGCGCTTCGTACCGCCAGAAAGCTTCTGCGCCAACTGGTCAGTCCAGTCGTTGAGACCACACGCTGCAATTACGGTCGACACATTATGTTCCACGTCCTTGACTCCTCTTATTTTGGCAAAGAAGCGCAGCGTCTCACGGACAGTGAGGACGTCGGCAGAGTCAAACTGTGGGCACACACCAAGGCTGGAGCGTGCTGCAAGGGGACTGGTCAGAATTGGGTTTCCGGCGATGTCGATTACAGATCCTGGTGTTGAGGGTCTAATGTCGCCACGAATCATCGAGATGATGGTCGATTTGCCAGCACCGTTGGGTCCAAGTAGAGCAAAGATCTCCGATGTCTTGACGCCGAATGTGACATCGTCGACTGCAAGGTTCTTGCCAAAAGACCTAGTCACAGACTCAACCCTGAGGTCAATGTCAGGTGATGCCAGCCGTCTACGTTCGGTGAGAAGATCAGTCGTATACATGTCTGTCGCCTCTGTATCGCTGACCAGACTTTCGCGGCGCAATGAAGGCAAAGCGAAGCCACTGTCCCACCAAATGAGAAGCGCAAACAAGAGAACGATTTGCACAACCAAGAATAAGATGGGCCCGCCATAGAGGTAGAGGGACCCGTCACTGTGGCCGTTGCACTTCAACCCAAGCTGCTGAAGACCGATGAACAGCGTCCTTTCCAAGCTGACTACTGGCGATACTATGGCAAGACCAAAGTACAGGGCGTTCATCGTGGACTCCAGTTTTGCGTAGGGTGTAGTGGCCTGGATCTCAATCAAGCCAGCAAAGTAGGCAAAATAGACAATGACCTGCATCAAGGCCATCAAGAACCAAGCAGTGACCGGTTTCTTTGTAAACATGGAGAAAATGTAGCTGAGTAGCGCGCACGCAATGCCATACAGAAGGAAGATGACGAAGACCAGGCCGAGTCCGTGCCAAACGGGGGTCGACATGGAAAGAAGACCTGTAGCAACAGCACTGATTATGATGACGAAGCTACCATCGAAAGCCAGATGCGAAAGCCAAAGTGGCACCGGACGGATCCCGTTGGAGTATTGCATTGAGCGGACGTTTGACAGGCGCTCATCCGTCGGGTATAAGACAAAAAACACTGGGTAGCTATCGTTCATGTCAGCTTTGTTGTGCTACTTGCGCGACTGGTTAAAACGTACCATGCCATGATCAATCCATAATAAATGATGAACATGGTAGGATCGGAAGCGATGAGACTCGGAATGACAGTGCTGGCGAATTCGTTGTAAGAACTCGAGATGCCAACACCACCAGCCATGACGTTGTAGAAGTTCAGCATCTGTTGCATGGCGGCGCCTCCGCTGATGTCGCCCATGATAGTGGGGCTGGTTGAGCTATCGCCCATCCAGATTCCGCCTCTGATTTCTGTGATGGGAAACCCACCACCAAAGCTGTATCTGGGACGGGCCACTAATTCTTTCCAGTCGTTCTGAACTGCTTGCGCGAATTCTTCGTACGTATCAACTATCAAAAGCTGGTTCTCAAGCTGCGAAGAATTCGTGTACCCGGACTTATAGGTGTCTGAGTAACTGAAAGTGTGATTGGTAGAGTATACGTCTACCATCAAACCAATCCGTGTTGAGTTGAGTTTATCGGAGGGCCCAGCAACGTACGACTTTCGAAGCTCGTTTGTGCCGGAGTAATAGGCATTACTCTCTGCATAGAAAACACCAATGTCGTTCCGATACGCGTTGTTATCGATGAGGTCTGCTTGCACCGGGCATCCAAGCGGAGCATCGAACTTCTTGATGAGTAGAGGCGCAATACCTGCTCCGACAAGAGCGAAAGCAACGGCGACAAAATAAGGTAGCCACCGACGTTTAAGGACCTTTACTCTCTTGAGCAGCAGAATCCACCACTGCTTGAGAAGAGAAACGGGTTGCCCTTCGGACAGTTCATAGTCCAATTCGGTTGCGTCAACAATGATGTTTGCAGTCTTCGCTTTGACAGTGTCATCTTCCTCGGCCTTCTCCTCCAAAGGTTGGATTGAATCACCGGTGATCTTGATGAACAGTTCCTCCATGGTCGGTCCGGAAAGCTGATAGCCATCGAGGTGGTGATTGTCAAGCTCGGCAGCAACCTCTGCAGCGTGAGCGGCTGTCGTGACATGGTACGTGGTCATATGCCGCGATTGTTCCGTTTGGAGCGGCCCAGAAATGCTGATATCGACGTCTGTCTTGTAAGGCAATCTGACAGTATAGCCGTCTCCAAAGCCATGTTTCAAGGAGGCTGAAGTGCCTGCAGCTCGAATAGTTCCTTTGTACATGATGGCGATATCATCAGCAAGGTAATCGACTTCGTCGAGGAAGTGAGTCGTCATGATGATGGTGCGTTGTTGCCGCTCAGTAAGTAAGATCTCCCAGATTCTTCGCCGGGAAATTGGATCGAGGCCGGTGGAGACTTCATCCACGCAGCAGACGGCACTTCCACCCGCGAACATCATTGCCATCTGGAGCTTCCGCTTCTGGCCACCAGAGAGTGTCTTGGCTCTAGCTGAAAGCTTCTTCAGAAGATCGACACCCTTGGCGAGATCGTTCACGGCCTCGTGGTTCGCTGCTGACAGACATTTCAGATCGCTAAAGATGCGGATATGTTCTTGGACCGTCAACTCAGGCCAGATGACATTGTTCTGTGGAGCGTAACCGAGTCCGCCTGTTGGGTCGATGATGATGTTTCCAGACGTAACCCTCTGTTCACCCGTGATGCAGTTCAACGTCGTTGACTTGCCACTTCCATTAGGTCCAAGCAAGCAGAAAATCTGTCCAGGGTATGCGTTAAAATCGACACCTTTGACCGCATCGACATTCTTACGGCGTCGAAACATTCGAGCAAAGAAGCCGGGCTTGTATGTTTTGCAAAAGCCAGATACTCTGACGGTCGGATCACCTGCGCTTGCGGGCCGTTCAAAACGTCTATGAGGAGATGCTGTTGAGAAGAGAAGATGTTCTACTAGAAAAGCCAAGATCGGAAACACGAGTACGTGTAAGAGCAATATGAGCCAGTGGATGTACAGCGGAAAACGCCAATGTTCGGACTCGCTCGCCTCACTGACTCGATGCATCATGCTAACCGGTTTGCCGGCTGCTTCGAATGTTGCCATACCAGTAATGAAGTACGTCAAGTTCGCTGAAGGGAACAAGACGCTCAGTATGGCGCAAACAGTACTCGTCTGGTTGAAAAGCACCGCTGGGAGGATGGCGGCGACTAGTGTAACGACCACCATGATGGGGCCACTCAACTGGGCTTTCTTGAAGAAAGAGGCCCCAAAGAGAGAAAATCCAGTCACTGCGAGTCCATAAAGGAGAATGAATCCCACGGGTAGATAGTTAGAAGTGACGGGCAAGATAGCGGCGGAGATGACGATGGCCACTGCCAACCAGCCGGGAAAGTAGACCAGCGCGAATGATGCGTAAGTCGCGATTTGTCGAATAGCTATGCCCCGGAACTTGGAGCCTCCCATTATCATGGTGTCGATCAAACTAGACATTCCTAGCTAAGGTCAGTCCGTGTTCTGTAAATGACTGTTAGCACGTACCAATTTCGCGCTCGCGAGCAACAAATGAAGTCAGATGATCGACCACGCCAATCAGTGTAAGAGTAAATATGGGTGGAAAGGCCCATGTAACAAGGTTCAGGTACTTTTCGGTTCGAGACGCTTCTAGTGCTCCCTGGTCCTGACGGGTGAATGCGATGATATCTAGTTTGGATGGAATCTGCGATGCGTTGTCTGGTTGGGACCGTGCGATAATCTCGAGCTCGAGCGCGCGCTGCAGAGGGGATGTGGCTACCTCGATAGCATTGTTGGTGCTCGTAATGTCGATGGGATCATACGGCGTGGTCAAACCCTGAATTGTGTAGTTCCAATATCCGGCTGGCGAATCGTTGGTTCCCTCGGTTGGACTGGAGAAGAATACGATGGCGCTGTAGCATGGTGATTCGCCATTGTTGTCGGTTCGGCAAACTAGAGCAAGGCTTTTTGTATCGTTGTATAGCTCTGGTGTTTTCCCAGCAGCACTGATCCGTCGTGAGAGCGAATCAATGACAGATGCGACCTCTCCTCCTTTCATGCCGTTGTCGACGAAGCCTACAATGTCATGGTCGGGACTAGCCTGAAGTCCTTCTTCGAGGGAACGTAGCTGTTCGAGTGTGAGTATTGCCTTCGATTCTGCGTTGGTGCCTCAAAGCTGTGGAGGTCACTTACCTGGTGAGCCGAAGACACACCCCAATGCCCCCCAGAAGCAAACCACGTCTTGCTAAAAGCGATAACAAGAATGACAACAAGCGGAATGGCGAGTGCACGGATAAAAGTGGTGATTGGTTTTCTCAAGCAGACAAGCAAGAGATTCTTGCGCATGAGCGCCCAAATTTGGCGGAATAGCAAATCCATGGTTCCGATTAGGGAAGAGCAAAGAAAGGTTCAAGAAGGCATTCAGCGAAGGTTCAGATGGAAGAAACTTGAGTTCTTGAGGTATACGAAAGGTGCTCAAGTTAGGCTTGGGGGGTATAGGGTGTTGATAGTCAAATTGTCGTAGAGCTAGTTTGCACACGCCTAGTGATACAAGCATTAGCCCAGAGAGAAGGGGCTGTGCTAACGCAAGTGCGGGTAAGCTAGTGTGCCTGTGCGTAGACAGCGACCGTTTCGTCCCGCATCTTTTGCGAATCACGAATGCGGTCCCTTTCCTACTGGGGTCCGCGGGTGTCTCCGCTAGCAACGTAGCACAGAAGACAGAGAAATGCACGGACTGGCCGACGCGTTCGCCTACGGACAGCTTAACACATGCTTTTGGTTTTTGCTCTCTGTGCTCGTGAAATTAGCTTACTCCCGAGGTCTCCTTACCCATGCCCTTAGCTATGTGGTTTTGGACTACTATGCGTTGTGCCACGAGAAGAAAAACAGACTACCAAATGTGCACTTGCGCTCCAGTGCGAAATACAGCCGTACGGGACTCCAAGAGCGGGTCAGTGCGCAAGGCGGAGTTCGTGCTCGGGTCCTCTGGGTCGTGATTGCAGCGCTCGGGTTATCCGTGTGATGATTGGACGGCTATACGCTAGGCGAGGCTGAGTGGAGAACCCTAATACCCGAAGCTTCGCACCGCACTAACGGTCGTAAGGACGGGCATTCTGTGTCATCATACCGTCGTTGATACCTCCCCTCCGGCGTGTGGTTGAGCAGTGGGGAGTTGCGCGACCACGGCCGTCGCGCGCACAAGTACATCAGACCGCCGCTCCAGTCTTCTTGAACAGTGCCAGTCTCCATTCTAACACAGGCTCAGGAAAGTAGCAGCCTACCGACTGGCATCATGATAGCAATAGGGTGAGATGGGGGCGCGTATCGCACCACGCGTTGGTCGTGAGGACAATAGCGACTCCCTTAGGCATCACTGCGTCAACGTGGAAAGAAGTGGATGTTGGACACTCTTTTTACAATCGATGGACAACGGGATACCTTTATACATCCGCAATTATCTTGGTGGCGTAGTCGCCCCTAAGTCCCTTACAGAAGATGCACTTCCCTGCGCGCAGCTACACAGCGCGCGCAATCACGAAATATTAAAACAGACTTGACGCTATCATCGCTTGGCCATCGCAAGGATCATGAACAGCCATCTGACTCTTCAAATGGCTGTCCCTCCATAACTATGGGTGAGCCTCTTCAAGATGCGGTGATCTGTGTATGACGGGCAGGCGCCCCGCTTCCGCTTCAGCCTTGCGCGTTGATTTGGCCCCCACACTTATCCTACATAGCCTCCACCATCTCACAAGATGGCGCAGCTAGGGTTGTGGCTACTTAGACCTTTCAAACATAACGATTTACAAGTCCTCAACTTCCTGTCTTTATCCTCCTGATTCTTGCACTCTCGTCAATGTTTGTACAATCATGGCCCGGCTAAACGGTTGCTTCCCGAAGCTCCTCCCCACGCTAACCGGATGGAGGAGATTAGCCATCCTGAACATCGGCGCGATGACCCTTCTGACGCTGTTACTATGCGGCTTCACCGTGGCTTCGATCCTCAAAACAGACCTCACACAGATAGGAAGATATCACATCAATGGCGAATACAACTTCGAGCGAGGGGCCGCCGTGCGCAACGGTTTTCTGTTCCACTCTTCGCCGTGTCGCGAACCGACGGCGGGTAACATCAACACGGTCCTCCATCTACTCGTCAACGCCGTGTCCAGCGCGATCTTGGCGTCTTCTAGTTTCTTCTCGCAGGTACTCAGCTCGCCAACGCGTGCAGAGGTGGACGTTTCGCACGCGCGGGGCAGATCTGTCGACGTCGGAGTGCTGTCATGGCGTAATGCACTGCGATTGTCTCCCTTCAAGACTGTGGCTTGGGTCGCACTGTTGGTCACATCGCTGCCACTGCACTTGCTCTTCAACAGTGCCATACTGCAGTCGGTCGATTCTGAGGTCTCGCTCCAGGGGGATGATGCCGCCTGTTATGTAGGCGTCTCGAACCCGCTTCTCTTAACGGTCACGCTAGCCTGTCTGGTTAAAGTAATAATCTGCGTAACAGTCGTGTGGGTTCTAGGACGCCAGGAGCCTTTGGTCACGCCTGGGGATGCGGTGGCTTCGTTCATCTCCATGCCGGACCCGTCTACCGCTGGCAGGCTAGACATGCTGATACCAGCTTGGAAGCACGGGGCTAGCATTGGTAGTCCGATACTATGGCGGCATACCCCTCGAAGAAGGGCATCTTGTCTCTCCTCACGGACATGGGCATATACGTACATTCTGTTCATCGCCTGCATCGCGGCTGCAGCTGGCATTCTTGGGAAAGAATATCATATGATACAGAAAGACGGATGGTAAGTTTTTGTCTTACATGGATATACTCACTACTTAATCCCATAATCTAGGCTTCCAGCGAGCTTTCGCGACTCTAGCAGCGCCTACACAATCATGCCACCCAAATCTTCCGTTCCCTTCATCACCACGATGCTTCTGGCCAACATCCCACAACTTGTCCTTTCAGTCTGGTATCTTGCGTACAACGCCATCCTGACTCGGCTGCAACTCAGCCAGGAATGGGCTCTGCTTTCCGCATCGTGCCGGCCCCTTCGTGTCTCTCAGCCCAAGTATTTCCTCCCTTTCCCTTCAATGTGCTAAAGTCTACATGGTACCATCATCATCTTTAAGCAGAAAAAAATATTGTGTGCTGACCAGAGTTTTGTTAAGAGGTCGACAAGTCGGTACATATAGGCTTCAGCTCCCATACAGATACAGCATCCTCCTTATCAGTCTTAGCGCTGTCATGCATTTCCTGCTCTCCAAGAGCTCGTTTGTGCTACTCTACACGGATGGTATGTATCTAGACCAGGATACCACACATAATCTCAACATGCATGCGCTGATTTTACGCATTAGACGATCACTCACCAGGTTTTGACAGTTTCGAAGACTTGCAAACCCTACCCAGAGACCTTTTAGTCGCCTGGGGTCTATCTCCAACATACTTAGCCGCCCTACTTGCCCTAGCCGTGACCGCTATCCAGATTCCCTGGCTTCTGGGATTGTTGCGACTGCCTGGGTACATGCCACCCGTCGGATCAGACTCGCAGGCCATCGCGGCTGCTTGTCATGTCTCACCGTTAGCTAAAGCTCCTCTTAGCGAGCAAATGGAAGGGAAAGGAGAAGGCTACGAGCCCGTGTCGATGGCCGACGAAGAGGGAAATAGTGGTCTTCTAGCCGTGTCTAGAAGTCTTCTCTCATGGGGCGTGGTGAAGATGCCTCAGGATTGGTATGATGCTCAGGTGGATCGACGTGATAGTTCAGGAACCGGCCGGCCGGTGGAGCATTTGAGTTTTGGTACGGCATTGGATGGTGTAAAAAGGCCTATCAGGGGACGTTTCTACTCATAATCATGATTTGGGTATCTTCATACATTCGATTTATAGCGAAATATCCATCTATAGATCCCTTCTGGTATCTACGCGCCTATTGCAGCTCTGCTTGATGTGATTGCACTAGATCAGGTCCAGTCAAATGCATCGTTGATCTTACGATCAAGTTGCGAAAAGGTGAGGTTATAATGAGTTGAAGCAGTTTAGGCAAGTATGCATGTGTTGTCGCGCAAGGCTGTGCGGGGCTGTGTAGGCAAAAAGCATAGATGGTGGCGTTTTAGGCCTTCGATGATGACTGCAGAAACACATCACGGAGGGCTGCGACTTTGATTGTGGAACGCGATGTCAGATCAGTAGGAGAAACAGATAGGCAATTAGGTGCCATTGTCATTACATCCCTAATGCATCAATGTAACGTGACAGGATCAACTACAGAAAGTGCACCCTGAGGAAAGGAGGTTGTCTGAAGATGAGCAGAAGCGCCACAAAACACATCCTCGCATGCGGGGCGCCTCACTATCAAAGCCACAGACGCCTCGGCACCCTTCTTCCGCTTACGACTGGTTCAAGATCGCTTTGGCCCCCAACAAACTGATAGTTGCGTAGCCATGAAAACAGCTTGGTCCCCAATCAATGTCTGCTACTTTCAAGCCTGTTCAATCTCCATCGAAGCTTCGAAATTTCTCTATACAAAACACAACCATGACTGCGACACCAACAGCAACGTTTATAACCGACCAGAACGTTATTGAAGGATTCAATCGGGGTTCCATAACTACCGTTTTCACGCCTCCACCCTCATGCACCGAAACTATTACTTCCGCCACCGGTGCTTTATTCGTCGGACACTATAGACTCGACTTTGACCAGGAGTGTTATCCGAAAGCGTCTGGTCCATCTGAAGCACCGGCACCGTCTTCTGGATGGGATGCATATTACTGTGCGCGAATAATACCCCAGATTGGATATATACGACTAATGCTATGTAGATAGCCCGGCTATATGCCCTGCCGGTTGGACCGCTGCGACTACATTCACGAGCGCCATTCCCATACACCCAACACCATCGGCATATTCTCTCGGATCTGCCACTACCGCAGCTTTATGCTGTCCTCTGTAAGGTATCATGATTCTCGTCACCAGATTCGAAGTTCTGATCACTCTACAGTGGATACTCGTTGTTCCTCGATGGCCACCAATGCTCATCCATAATTACAGCAAACCAAGTTCTCACAGTACGCATCTACGATGGGCCATTCAGCTCCAGCAATTTGAGCATAAGCACGCAAGCCTCCGATTGGTGGGTGTTTGGTGACGGCGTGCCTATCATGTGGCAATCAACAGACTCGGCGGTACTTGCGCGCGCTACTTTCACGGCATCGAGCCAAACGATCACTGGGCCAACGCAGATATCACCAAGTACATCTCCTACGGATAAAATTTCGTCTACCGAGACTCCGTCGTCATCGCCGGGCGGCCTGTCTACGGGTGTGAAAGCCGGATTGGGTGTTGGCATAACAGTGGCTGTTATCGTGCTGCTAGTGGTTGCTTTTCTTCTTGGGAAAAGAAGGCGACGACACTATGAGCACACGCCAGCCACCCAAGAATACGCCATGCCAGGTCACGATGTTCCAAAGCATGGAGAATTTGACCAGGGAAATCTGGGATACCATGAGATGCAGGCGGATCATGCGAGAACGGAGATGCAAGCAAACCCAGTGGAGATAACAAACCAACATGAGCTGCCGAATGTAGCGCATTAAGAGGATGCTGCCTATGTGAGAGAACGAAGCAAAATGATGTATAATCTAAGACTAGAGATTTGACTAGCGCAAGCTTGGTATGCCATGAAGAGATGGTAAGGACGGTAAGGACGAAACCGTAAAGCTGTATGTCGGTACAGACAATGTGATGAAGGAGCGGTATTGTTGTTGGCCGGTAAGATAGTGTTATCGTGGGGGCTTGATGGTTTTTGCGAATCCGTAGGAAAGCTTCGTCATTTGTTCATTTGGACTTGATGTGATGCTCAAGCCAGGAAGTGTTGCGAAACGGTGAAGAATATGTTGCTTAAGCACTACATCGCACCTTTGCCTGAAACGGAACTACCTCCGGACTCCACCAATCGAGCGCAGTGAAGAAGTTTTGCCTGGCCTGCTTCGGCATGTATTTCTCCAACCGTTCTTGGAAGCGGCCATCAGGTAGGTCCATGTGAGCACTTCCCCAGTTTGTTTTCAAGAGCCTTGAAGCGAGAGTGTTGTTCATGACATCAATCTGTTGAAGGTGACACGCCTGCCATCTCCCCAAAGCGTTCTGGATCTTATCATCCGCCGCCTTCGCGAGCCGAAGAGATGCCGTGTTCCCAGTGTCATAGTGCGCAACGAGCTTCGAGTGGTTGCCCTCCGAGCGAACATTTCGTGGGTCGGCATCGTCATCTAGGTTGAAAAGTTAGCCAAGACACCGAGCGGTCAGGGAGTTATTTCAGCTCGTAAAATCGCCATGAGCAGACCACATGACGGACCACACCTGGCCCCCACGCGTCCAGATCATGGCATGCTCCCAATCATGGCGACGGGAACTTCACCTGCCCCAGTCCATCCCGCTGTAATAGCCGTACATATATACGCACCACCCATGATTGCATCGCTCACGTGCGTACGTGTTACAGTGCGACAGGCGGGACGCGTCGCGACATACGCTCTCGGAAGAGCTTGGCTCTAGGCCCGGATTGGTATTGTCATTGGAATCGATTGTGGAGGTTTGGTAGCAAGTGTCTTTGTCCCAGTCAAGGACTGGCTGCCGCTTCAACACTCCTTCTGTCCCCCTGATGAGTGGATTCAGTATCACTCCGGTCAAGCTGGCAGTGGTCACGCAGATGAAGGCGAAGAGCAGGGCTGTTTTGACGATCGAGATGCGAGGCATGGCATGGGTTGACTTGGTAAGGGAATTGTTTGACTGTGAAGTTGTGAATGCAATAAATTAAACGATTAGGCTGCTAGTATGTGCTCGAACTCCTATTCTTAATGATTGCTTGATGTTCCCAGCTGTTGTTGTAGATGCGCGGACGACCTTAAATTCATACCAATCGCGCTCTAAGCTGGCTTCTTATCTCCCACGCGCCTTTGGTAAGTGATTCTGGACTTCTCGGACGTTCGGCGACAGTGATGTTCAGCGCTTTCTCAGCTAGTCTGGTGTGTACTACTCGAGTAATATCCTCAGCTGTCGGTGCGATCATGGCGTCGTATGATCCTCTGTAATCGTGACTTGCAGTTATTTGGAGGTAATACAGATGTCAGACCAGTACAATGAGTACGACGTGTCGTGCCAGCGGCGATCTCCTTCGTGGTCATGCTTTTGCATGGCACCCAAACCGAAGTTTCTGGATATGGTCTTAAGCTAAACCGTAAAGGACTCAGCCCGACCATTGCTTATACCAAGACACTTTTCATCGCGTTTGCTTAGAGATGCGTGGAACTGTACTTTTATACTAGCGGCAATTTATGTCAGTATTGCTGTAACACGCCCAGGCTTTGTTTCAAGCTGAACGTCCTCACAAACAAAGTGGACTCTGCTTCGTTGTTTAGCTTACCTTGTAGTGTGAATGGAGCTAGATATGAAGATCATGCGCCCTCATCTCATACCGTCATCGAACGTCATGTCATACAGCCTCGTTGGGAGGCGCTCTGGTTTGCGGGAAAAAACTGAATGCGAAAAGAAGTCTGCGCTTTCGTAAAGGTATGAGATGGTGAGGAGAGCCGATAATGGCTTTGAAGGATGAAATGTGAATGAGTGCATTACAGTCTAGGTATTGATGCTAAATGGAGACGGGTATGAAGGCGCAAGCCTGAACAAGAAAAAAGAGTGATGGACAAGACGAAGGTGCTAACTAAGCCTTGAGCTCAGTGGTAGCAGCCTCATCACTGCTACGGTTCTCAACTTTGCGCGCATGCTCCATACCGGTGATACTCTCATCACCCATGTCCCAGTCTTGTGCAAGGTCCTCGAGAGTCCTGCGCTTGGTCTCCGGGATCAGCAGGGTAGTGAAGATACCACAGAACATGAAGGCTGAAAAGATTTGCATGACGTGGTTCAACCATGGGTTCTTGTTAGTCGCTGTAGCGCCCCGAGTTCGGAGAGGAGAGATAGCTCCCTGAGCGATGATGGAACCGATCTTTCCTGAGCCAGCAGAGATTCCGTGAGACGTGGAACGGTAGCGAGTTGGGAAGCACTCTCCGGGCACGATGAAGGTGGTCGTGTTGGGGCCCCAGTTGAAGAAGAGCTGGATCAGGACGTAGATGGCCAACATGGCGTGGTGGCTGAGGTGACTGTAGGCAAATCCCTAAGTGACAGTTAGTGCGTGTCTTGGATGGATTAGATTAGAATATATACGTACCCAGACGATGAAGAGGATGGTGAGAATGGTAAAACCAGCGAGTTGGAGTGTTTTGCGTCCAACAGTATCGATAGTCGCTACCGCAAGCCAGTATCCAGGAATAGCTCCAGCGCACACCAAGATAGCGTTACCGGCAGCAAGGTTGTGCAGATTGAGATATAGATTGTCACCGTTGGCGTAGCCAATAGCTTGCAGCACAGTCGAGGAGTTCAGACCAAGTCCGTAGAATGCAACATCGAGGAGGAGCCATGACATAGCGGTACCGAAAAGAATCTTGCCGTTGCGGAGCTTGCCGTAGAACCTGAAGAAGTCGCCAAAAGAAGCCTTAGGAACTTCTAGCTGAGCAGTGGCCTGGGTCTGGGCAACTTGGGCGATCGCATCAGGGTCGCCGTTGCCGTGCTTACCAGAGAGATACTGGTTGGTGTCTGCGTTAGCCTTCTCGACGTCACGGGCGACATCGAACGTGTAGCGAGGAGTCTCGGGGATGGTGAGACGGTAGTAGAGCGCGATGCATGCTGGGACAATGCCAATTCCGATAAGGGCACGCCACATCTTGTCAACGGCGATAGAACACTGACCATCACAGTCTGCGTAGCCCTTGGCGCTGGAAAGTGTGTCCTTGAAACCGGCAACGAGGCAAAGCATGACCAGAGCTCCACCGAGCTGACCAAAACCTTGCATGGCGAAGACGGCACCCATCATCGCACCACGCCACTTGGTCGTGGCGAACTCGGAAGTGATGATAGATGATAGCGGATAGTCACCACCGATACCTGATAGTGATTAGCAAGGTTCAAGTGTAAGAATTGAATGATCCCTACCAATGCCCATCAATACACGCCAGAAGATGATCAATCCGACAACTGAAGTGCCGGGACCGGGGCCAGTGAGAGACTGAGCGAGTGTGGCGACGATGATGAGGATCAACTCAAGACCGTACATCTTCTTACGTCCGACAATATCGGCCAGTGTACCGAATCCAACTTGTCCAAGAACAGTACCAGCTGATGTTGCAAGCTTGATAGCTGTGTCTTGTTGTGTGAGAAGGACACCCTTGTTGTCGTGCTTGTAGACGATACCCAACATGATCGTCAAGAGAGACACGCAGAAGATATCGTACGAATCCGTGAAGAAACCGGTACCTGCCACCAAGATGGCGCGCACATGGTACCAGCCAAAGGGCGCCTTGTCGATCTCAGCGAGCGCAAGTCGGCGTCGCTCATTAGGGTCTTCAATATGCTAATAACAGTCAGTAACGCTGATGTTTGAGGTCTCGATCGTGTTACCATACCGCGAAGTCATTGTTGAAGTTGTGGAACGCGGCGTTGCCGCCAGCTGTCTTGTGAGCCATCGTGAAGCTTTGCCGAGACTTGTCAAGAGATTAGACGAGGCTTGAGTCCGGAAAAGACGGCCGTGGGAGCTGGAGATCAGTGGTAGAGGGTGCAGGCCAAGCTATATATCTGCACTCAAGCTTACGCCGAGTCCTGAGCATCATGCTTGTGGGCCAAACCTACGGTACCCACGGACCAGTAAGATCATTCCATTCTGGCACGCCCGCAGATTTGCAATCTTTCCTTCGGCCGTTCCGCTGTAAGCAGCAGACTCACTCGTGAAAATGCGCCTTTGCAAGCCCAGGCCGCCACAAGGCTTGACGCGTCTTGAGGGTTATCCTTGCCGCGCATCTGGCGTGGTGAAGGGAACACGAGGAGAGGACGTTCAGTCCAATCATGTACCCCACGTGCTATGCCAAGGCGCTAAAGGTGGCACGGCCAGAACGCCTTCTCCCAACATCGCCCCGATTGATGTTTGAGGGATTGGAGCTTCTTCGCACTCAAGATTCTCTTGGAAAGCTTGGGTGCATCCCTATGATTGTGTGGCGTGCCATTAGACGCCTGATCAACATTCACGATGACATCCAACGCGTATGCCGGCGACCTATCTGATCTCTTTTGTCTTGTCTTCTCCCTAGGAATGCAACACGCTCGAACCGAACTTGGCTCCGTACCCCATGCCTGGACCGACTAGTACAGGGTCCGTCAGATGGGGTTGCATGCATCAAGCAACTGTCTCCGCTAGCCTGCCATGCGAGACCCGTCTTCTGGACTGTCGGTTGGTCCCGATACCAAACTACTTACCAGCACATTGGCGAATTAGCTTGCTCACTAACACCCAACCGGTTATCAGGGAGCAAAATTCTGACACTTTGAGGCGCAGGTCATCGGAGGACACCCCGTCTAGGGTTGCTACAATGACCGACCTGAGGTTTCATTGGAAACCCCCACCGACATCCATGTTTGACTGCCGCATGATTCTTACCCAATCCCACCGTCGCACGTGGGAGAGCACTGCAGCGATCGAATTTATTGGTGCTATAAGCGTTTCGGTCCCTGGACCCGAGCGGCAATCGTACCACCAACCCAACATCAGGTGAAGAGAGCCTACATCGCAAGTAATACACTGTTCCAGGGTTCAAATTGTTGAGGCTTTGGCAAGATAAACGGACTTTCGTCGCATTCGCATATGTGATTGTATCCACACAATTGACCGTGTTCAATTTGGACTCACCCAAGACAGCGGTTTTAGGAGTGGGTCACTGCAAGACATGCAGGGGAGTTGCAGTTGGGTGCCGCGGCCGGGCTGTACAATCCCGCAATGCAGCATTACGACTCTCTACTGGGTACCCTCGTCTCTAATGGCAGTGCATCGCGGCCTCGCCGAGGTTCAGAGGCTTTGCTTCATACCAATGCCATCGCCTCTTACAACATCTTGAACCGAAAATATAGTTCCTACCAGTCACTCCATTTGCCGGCATACAGTCCGCGGATTCACCCAATGGACTTCTCACAATTTGCACCATTCGGCGTCTCTAATTACGGCACGGATTTTCACACGATATGGCGCTACGCACCATCTACCAGACCAAACACAAGACAGAAGTAATTCGGTATAGAGTAGCGGAGTTTAAGAACCAAACACAGTAATCCTGGACGACGATCTTTCCGCGGATGTACCATCTAAACTGCCGTTCGCCACTGCGCAAATGAATGTAAACGCGGCTGTTATCGATCTGTCGTCTCTACCCGATTCTAGGGATGTGGTGTCGCCTGTTTCCTTCCGCTGGCTTTCCTTCCATCGGCGCTTGATGCCCTCATCGCGATTTCCTTTCTCTACCGCTTGGGCGGCTCGTACAGCCATAGGGGCTGTCTGCTCTTTGGGTGGAGATGTCATCTTCTATCGCTTGACAATCCATTCTGTCAAGTACTGAGGATCCTCACAGCGGAAGTCGTTCCAGAACCGTCCTCTAGCGCGTCCACACTCGTCTTCCAGTACTTCCCTCAGCAACTTCCGTTTCCGCGCCGGCTGCTTCACCCAAGGCCATGGTCACTTGAACGCGTGTGTGATTCTAGTCGCTTGGCTGCCTTGTGGTAGTTGCCTGTGGTTATCTTCTTCCGGTCTCTTCCTCCTCGGATGGAGAGTTGGGCGACGAAAGTCGTGCATCATACAGGATGTTTTCTTGGGTTCAAAAGCGTCGTCGTCCCTTCCTGGACGCTTCTTCTCTGGTTGAGGAAGGCGGTCAGGAGTACTTCCACCTGGCTCACGATCCCGTGGGAAATCTTGAGACGATCGTTCCTCGTTCGGAACATCACATTGCGACTTCATAATCGACTGCGGTGGCGGAATTTCATGAAAAGGGCTCAGCTCGAGTAGCTTTCCTTGAGTCGTTGCGCATTGCAAGGCCAAGCTCCTGGCGGCGAAGGCCTCCATCGTGGAAAGAAGATACCTTCGGGCCATCCCGTCCATGGAGTCTTCTTCACCCTCCTCAACCCTTGTCTACTTGGATTGAATCGCCGAGCATCCTGCGTTAGTTTGGACTAAAGATTGTTGTCATACTGCGTCCGTAAGATTGGGTTGGCTAATATCTCGTACATGCGATTGATCTCTTCCATGCGCTGCGGTTCTGCCATGTCTTCAGTAAAAATTGGAGGTGTATATCTCCTTTTTCACCTAGAACACCAGTTGGCGGTCCCAGGAAAAAGATCGAAAAGCGTTCAGGATGCGGAAGCCGTATCGTGAAATTGCGCAAATCTTCTTGGTCCTTACATTGTGCAGAATCGTCTCAATACTTGGTCTCCGTGGTCCAATGGAAAACCTCTCAACAAAGGATCTTGCATCCGTTCAGTCAATGCGGCATTCTGCTTTGTCGCATTATCGCTCGTATGACAAGCACCAAGTTTCGACAAGCATCGTCGCACAGTTATGGGGGAGTACTGGATCGCAAGGCTGTCAAGGCCCTGATAGAAAGGACTTGGTGTTTGGAGTATGGACGAATGCTTCATCAGCTTCACTTGCTACAAGCTTGTAGCCTGTAACATGGCGAAATAGCGGTGTCACGCACTCGTTGTTCGAGGCCTCTGGGGCAACCTCGGTCTCGCCATAGCGTTAGTCCACGATAAGGAAGCCAAGGCGGTTGAAATGCTCCGCTCATTCGACATGTGCTCACTTTCTGTCGAATAACGCAGGAGTCAACTGGTCTTGCTCGTATGTTGTCTTCGCCGATCTACATGCGATGTTTACTTGGGCATCAAGGCAAAAACCTCTGTGGCTGCGACAGGCAAGTCGAGCGCGCGCAGATATTGCAATGCTGAGATAGCCTTGAAAGCTTCCATGGCTCATCTCGCTTCTAGAAACCACTTTCGAAATACGCTTCGGTGACAAGAACCTTAAGATGCAGCAAAATAACCAGGCAGGGAACCGCGGTCCGTACTGGTGGAAATGCGTGCCAAGCCGATTCCCCCGTATTTTCCCCGCTGTCCGAAGAGGCGATCGAGCCTTCCAGCCACGGGAAAATCTGGGGACGCGTCTTTCCACCACTCAACACCACAACCCGCAGCCACCAGTCTAACGTTGCGCAATACCTTCTGCCGTTCCTGGGGCGGAATGCACGTCCGCCAAGATAGGCCAAGATGAAGTACAGCATCACGGTGATAGACGCAGCATACACTTGCGCGATTGGAGTTTTTCGAGCCTGTACGACAGTGCGCCATCAGCCATTTTGCCGGAAGAATTGCAATGATGGACGCCTCGAAGCCTGGAAGCCGACTGCATGCTGTGTTCTGGCTTTTCGGTTGCCGACGCTCAAAATGGCAGAATATAAAATGTAAGTGATGTCGCTGGTTGATCGGCATCAGATCACCCAAAGCCATCTGTATCCTCTATCTCAAGATGAAGCTCTCAATTCTATCTCTCTTTTCCCTCACCCTGTCTGCGACTGCAGCCCCTGCAGGTGCCGACTTTAGCCTCGTCGGCTTCGCGAAGGACAACCCACTTGGACCTACCACTGGTGGGGCTGGCAAAAATGGCAAGAGCGTCACTGTTCAGACGGTCGCCGAGTTCATCAAAGCTGTGAACGGCAGCGATCCGACAGTCGTTTACGCCAAGGGCAACTTCAATCTTACATCAAGAGTCCAAGTAGGATCGAATAAGTCTCTCATCGGGTTGGGCAAAGGAGCCCAAATCACTGGTTCGGGCTTAAACATCTACAACAAGACCAATGTCATCATTCGGAACTTCGGGTTCACAGCCATTGCCGACGACTGCATGACGATTCGTAACAGTACCCGCGTATGGATCGACCACAACGAGTTCACCACTGGCAACTTCCCTGCTCTAGGCCCTGACGCGTATGACGGCCAAGTAGATATCATCCGCGCCTCAGATTGGATCACAGTCTCATGGAACTACTTCCACGACCATTGGAAGAGCTCTCTGATTGGCAACAGCGATGCGCTCAGGGATGTCGACGAGGGTCACCTCCACATTACCTACCACCACAACTACTGGCGCAACGAGGGCACCCGTGGCCCTGCCGGTCGTTTCGGTCACCAGCACATCTACAATAACCTTTACGTCGACTTCCTGTACCAAGCCATTCATTCTCGCAGCGACAACCAGGTCCTCGTTGAAGGCAATGTCTTCAAGGGCAAGACACGCGAGGCTCTCAGCACATACGGATTGGTAATCCCGGAGGATAGCCCCAACACCAGCCCCGATGGCGACTTTGAGATTGACGGCTTCGCGAACCTTGGTGCAAAGAACGACTTCGGAAAGGCGACTGTCAATATTACTCAAGTCGGCAACTTCACCAAGGCTCCGTACAAGTACAAGCTTACTAAGCTCAAGGAAGTCGAGAAGATCGTGAAGAAGGGTGCTGGTCTTGGCAAGATCTGAGTGACATCTTGGCAGCCGGAGATATGTATAAAGTAGTCATGTGCTAATAGTAATGTTATTGTTTAGTTCTCAGCATCTTCTTCCTATCCCGCCTCTCCATTGCTAATCCCACTGACTAACCAGAACATCCCACTCCTCCGGAAACTTCCCCCTCTCCTCCTCCCGTATACCCTTCAACTCCAGCCGTGGCACCCCACCTCCTCCTCCATCCCCTCCTCTGCCCAGAAACTCAATGAAACAATCCCTCAAATCATCCGGCATAGGTAGCACAGAAAGCACCTTATCAGGCTCACACCCAATCATCACCGCCTCAACAGCCAAACGCCTAACCCCGACCATCCCACTCTCCCCCAGAACAGCAATCCAATGCTCTGGCACACTGTCATACTCCGCCGGCCCCAAGTCCCCCATATCAAACACTACCTCATCCGGTCCCGGATATCTAATCCACAGCTCTACACTTTTCACCTTCTTACAATTCCTCGCCCCGATTTGTCGTTCAAATGCGGGGACTTGGCCTGGATGCGGGAATTTGAAGGTGTTTGTACCGTAGAGGGTGGTGCTGGCTTCGACGTGGATTTGTCTGTTTGCGAGCAGGAGGGAGGGAGTTGGTGGTTTGAGGGGGTGGAGGACGGGGTCATGCCAGTAGCCGGGGGAGGGGAGGATAGAACCTATGTCGATAGGGGTGGGAATACGGAGGGCGTTGGTGTAGATTTTGTCGCGGAGTTCGCGGGGGAGGGTGAGGAATGTTGTTGGCGTTTTGGAGGGGGTGGGGGTGGGTGGCATCTTGTTCGGGGCGTGAGTGTTGTTATGATAGCTTATTGCTGGGAATGAGCGATTTTGTTGCAACAGAAGAGCGCGAAGGGCGATGCCTCTTTCTAGAGCGACGCTGTTTGTATTCGCTCTGACGTCGGGCACTCTTTTAGGCCAACCGCGGGACCGGCGTACATCATGCGCTAATCATCATCAGGTGCCATTGGCTGACGCATAACGCTCACAAAAAGCTTCGCTAAGACGTTCAATGTCGTTGACAACGCCACCACAAAGGCGCGACACCGAGACATTCTCGTACATCGACGAGAAAGTGGTAAGGATATCGGGGTCGGAGAGCCTTTTCGCGTACACTGAAAGTTCGGTTCTTTGTTCAAATCTAGTTGATCAAGAACGGTGTCAAGCCAACGACGCCAGGTCGCGCTTCAATGCGCCCCACTATCCAGGAGTGTGGTGCTAGCATATGGCCACGTGTATAAAGGCCTCTTTCTCCTCAGCGTTCTTTCTTCCTTCTATCCACATCTTACCGAACTTGATTCTAAAAAGGAAGGAAATGACACTCATGATCTTCTGGTTCCGACAGTCTCAAAAACAGTACGGATACGTCGCATGTGTCACAGCTTCAAAAGCTTACGAACGGTACCTGTATGTGTTCGTGGGGACGCAGCTACAAAGAACTCTACAAGGATGGCATGTTATCCCCGCCTTACGATCTTCAACTATCTATTATGAAGATTTTGTCACATATAACGACCTATCTCATCAGCACCCTCTCTTCTCGTACCTGCACCTTCCAATTCTACATTCTAAAACAAAGAGCGATACACCTCATGTGTTTTCTGGTTTGGAAAATTCCAAGAAGAGATTATTGATAAGTTATGCTTTCCAAAAACCTTCGAAGAACGCATCGAATATCTCTGGGGCGAGACTGTTCCATGTTATCAGCCTCGCCAACGCATGATCTTCGCCTTGAAACCTTCAGTCATCTACTACGAAAATGTTGTTTCTTGTCGACACTTGAACAGCATTGCCACTTATTTCCAGATGTATGAGGCATCGAAAGCATGCCATCAAGCTCTGGTCGCCTTTCCTGGCGTACATAGACTGATCACTCACGATTACTTTGCTCTCTCTTCATTACAAATCTTGCCATCATATTTTCCAAAGGCAATGGGAAAGCAATTCACGTCTGAGTGTCCTCCCTCTTTTGAAACACGTCGATCCATACTCCATGGAAGCTGCCTTTGGGGGATACCAACGAATTTCGAGGTATCTAACACAGCATACAAGATACACATCAGAGGGTCTGGCTGGCGAGAGGCAGCCGTCAATTTCCAAAAACGTACGAGGTTTTGATGGATGCTTCCGACAAAAAAGAGTGTCGATGGAAACCAGAAGGGCGACTTTCTTATGGCCGCGACCTACAGCCTCACCTTCGAAGTGTAAGAAGCCTTCCTTGCGGCGTTACTCCTAGTCTCTTATCTACCACCTTCAAAAAATCGCTTTTCTCGAAAATGGCGATGGTGATGGCGATGTGCTGCCTGGCATGTATCCCAAAATCTATACAGACTTCTGCGATGTTTTCTTAGGCGAAACAAAAGTCTACAAAAGTCTCTACTCGACTATTTCGCTCAAAAGACCTGGTACTCGATCTCATGGAGTCTGCTGTCCGCTTCGAAGCAGAAGTCAAATTGCTCCCGCTTCATATGCGTCCTGATTTGAGCATCTTGTGTCAAAACACTGAGTGCTTCGCTACATGGATTCTAAAAGACGCCAGCGAGCTTACGATGCTGGGTCGGCTCGCATGTAAATGATCTTTTCGTGGGGAAGAGATAACCGCGGTAATTCCTACTGAAGAAGATCTGATGTAGAGAAAAGTATAGAGGGGCTATTCATGTATGGACAGTGTAGTCTCAGGACGTACCAACCCAAACCCAAAACGATAAAGGTTTATGTGTCTTTGTGAAGCACCAGGGATTTAAAATGACATGAAGCACAATAATGTCATTGAAAGCCAGCCATGGGAATATCATGTTCTGCTCCGCCGAGCCTGGTCGCAACGGATATAAATATCATGCAGTCTTGGGTCTTACTCCTTCATTACACACGTTTTTTTCCAAACACCAAAAGGCATATTGGCACTACCTATGGTGTTGTTCGCCTCTTCCTCCAAAATGCAGTTACCATGCACCTATGTTTGAGCGAACACAAACAACTTACCGGACCAAAAGCCACTCTTTTTGGTGAGACCTTTTAGAAAGACAGTGAGACAACTCAATGTCTCGTTCCGGGCTTTCTTCGTTTACAAACCCTTTGAACAATTGTTCCAAAACATTAAGACCATCAGAAAATGGGCGGGCGGAAGACACCCAGTCTGGTGTATGGAAACCAAATCTGTCCGGCGGTATCCGATGTCTGTTCCGGCCCAGAGCTTTGGGTATAGAATACTCTTCTCGCCCTTCGAAGTCTGTCCTTCCTATATCACACTCGACAGGACGCATTTTCCAAAAACGCATGAGGTCGAAGGCATGTTCGACTCTCTGGAGTGATCAAAATGCAAAACGAATTCAACAATGGCGGTCGCGCTCCTCAAAATTCAAGAAATTCTGTGACGCGAGATCCGGGCTCGCAGCTGGAAAAGGGATGTCCACTAGATCATGGTCGCGGGCTCGCTTTCGCGGTTGAGATATAAAACTCCTTCTTTCCATTGCTCTTGTAGCTCAAATCCGGAGAAGAACCGGGCATGTTCAAAATTATTCGTCCGACAGCTCATGCTGTCTTCTGGGGAATATCTGAATGAAATGTAGACGGGTAGATCACATGACTGTGCTGCCTGGGGTTCGCCAAAATATATGTGGGAAAGAAGGGACGAGGTGAAAAAGATACACCTCCTCAACATGCATTGAGAGAATTGAGATTCTTGACCCCGTATGCTACTGCGTTCATCAATACGCTGATGATGATCAGCACCATCGCGATGCCGTCGACGCTCTCCTCATGCCCACACATTCCCATTGTCCAGACAGGGCGTGTCTCATATTCGTTGAATTGAACCGATCGTAATCGTAATCTACACAAAATATACAATATCCCCACCCCCAACCTACGCATGCGCCGCCACACCCCCCATGGGCCTCTGCCCCTGCGGATTATTCGGCGCACTGGGCTGAATCTCCTGCACCGCCTCATCATACTCCGCCGTACTCATTTCTGCAGCGTCGCCCAACCCCTCCTCCTGCTGCCCACTAAACATCTGCGCGCGCATGCTCTGCTCATCCTCAATCTGCTGGGCAGCCCACGCCTTCCAGTTCTCCCATGTGCGGTCTTCAAGCTCCATTCCGATTTCGAGGGGCCCCTTGCCGAAGTAGGCGCCGACGTGTAGGGCTTCTTCTTTTGCGATCCGTTGGCGGATTTCAGAGAGGTGGCGGTGTTGGTAGAACTCTCGGCGGGCGAGGTCGTAGGCGGAGGCTTTGGAGAGGGAGGCGTGCTTCATTAGCCACATTTGGCGTTGGACGACGCTGGGTGTGTGTTAGTTATATGGTGGGTGGATGGTAGAGGCAGGGGGAGGTACCTTTCGCCGTCTAATTGCTTCCCTGTCTGGACAATCTTACTCCAGTCGTATTTCTTGGAGTCATTTCCGCTGTCTTCTACGACTAGCCTCGGTCGTGCCAGTTCCCATGGGTGGTCGCCGAAGAATTCTGAACGCAGCTTGTCTTCTGGGTATGCGATGGGTAGTGGTTGGAATAGTTTGCTGGCTTTCCGCGCCTTTCGCATCTTGGGTATGCGCAGGACTGGGCGTGCGAGCGTCTCGCCTGGCGGTATGTTTCCGACTACGTCGTACCATTGCGGTAGGTTGGGTTCTCGTTTGGAGTCGAAGAGGGCTTTCGCGGTCTGGCGCACCCGCATCGGGCGGAAGTCGTAGCGGCCCATGGCGGGCGGTGTTTTAATCTATATGGGCAGATATATTATCGCATCGGCGTGGGCTCCGGGGGAAGACCGGGCGTGTAGGAACAGGTCGGGCGGCGCAATTGGTCGTGTCGTGGATATTGGGGTTCTTGCCCGCAAAGTCCGCAACTCCGCCAAGACTTCGCGACGCCGAAATCTTTGGATAGTATGACCGCAACACTCCGCACCCGCCACGATACCCGCACACCCAGGCAGCTCTTCAATGAGCTCCTCGTAATCAATTGCGCCCGAAACCCCCGAATGGACACCGTCTGAACTGGCTCCCTCTGACACAATGCTCGACCTCTCATGTCCCTCTTCCGCACCCTCGACCGGACCTCTGCAGTCTCCAATACCACCCTTGCACGCCCCTTCCTCACGTTCCTGTACCCGAATTCTGAGAAGAAAACAGCAAAGAGACGGTTCAGCAAGAAGGCGATAGACAATGCTCCGTTACCCGATAGGCCGTCTGCTCGCATGGACACTTTCTTCATCCAGGCATTGGTGCGGGCCGGATCATGCCCAAAGCATGCAAAGCATATACATACCCCGCGCGAGGTAGCATCGTCGACACCGAAACACCAAACATCACGAAGGAAGAGCACGTGGGCCAAGTCTGAGAAGAAGCTCGACATTCTCCCCGAGCGCAAAGGACCGCTCAAGAAAGTCAAAAACTTCGCTGAGAAGGAGCTGCAAGCCTTGGTAGACTACTATGGCATGGAAATTGATACTCGGCCTGAAGCTGATATTCCCGACGAGGGAAAGCTGGTATGGAATGTTGGTGATAGCCACGAACCCTGGCCCCTCCGCGACCCAGCAGATGCTCTGCATATCAAGAAGTTGGAGACGCTGCTGAACGATGACGAGTCGCTGCACGACGAGGTGTTTGATACGTACAAGAAGCTGCAGTCACCAGGAGTCGTGTACCTTACTACCGTTACTATTCGAGCGCTACTGCACCATCTCGCTATTGTCGAACGACCCACACCCATCGCAGCGCAACGGTTTCTTTCAGTCCTAGACGATATGAAGACGGCGCATATACATATAGTACGCTCAGAGTGGACATCGGCCATACATCTCACCGGACGCGCCATGGGAACCGTGTCCGATGACGACCTGCAAAACACGCTTCGCATTTGGCAGGATATGGAGCACCGAGCTGGTCTAAAGGGTGGATATGTCACATTCAACGTGCTCTTCAACATTGCTGTTAAGGCGGGCAAGTACACACTTGCTGAGACCTTTATGAAAGAGATGCAAGCCCGAAAGCTACCCATGCATCGACATTACCGCGTAGCACTCCTCTACTACTACGGCGTTCTCCAGAACGGGGATGCCGTCCGGAAAGCATATCTAGATCTCGTCTCAGCCGGCGACGTCGTAGACACCGTCGTCATGAACGCCGTCGTAGCATCACTAATGCGCGCCGGCGAGCCCTCGGCCGCCGAGCACGTTTTCGAGCGCATGAAGCGACTCCACGCACAGCGCAGCGCCACAGCCCGAGGCCACGTCTTCTTCAACCGCAACTGGCGGGACCGCCGCGTCCTAGGCATGAAATTCCGCGACGAAGCACGCAGACTCAAGAAAGAAGGTGGAGACGAAGAACTAAAGCAACTCCAAGATCTCGCGCCCATCGGTCCTGATTCAAGGACTTATGGGATACTGATACGACATCATGCAGCTGTAGCCGGTAATATCGACCGCGTCAACGAGCTCCTCCAGGAAATGAAATACAACTCCGTATCCCTCGACGGCACAATCTTCATCGTCATATTTCACGGCTTTAACTCTTTCGGCGGCGTCAGATACTCCTCCTGGACACTCTCCCGCCTGGAAAAGATCTGGACCCAATACCTCAGAGCGCTCAACAGCGATATGGAGCGTACCTGGCTGTCCAGTCTGGCTGTCATCGCGGCGCTCCGTGCATTCGGTAGATGCGCACCCCCCGAACGCATACTCAAGGCGTGGGAAGAGATTCGCGCGTTGTGGCATCCGGATGAACGGGAACTTGAGGCTGCGTTGACGGTGCTGAGGAAACTTGTGCCGAGTCAGTTGGACGGTGGGAATATGGATGAGGTGGCTAGGCCGGGGTTCTTTGATGGACGGAGGCCGTCTTGAGGGATGGCTGCTTGTATTAACAGTTGTGTTGTTAGTGTAACACGCGTTTTGTCTCACTATTCTCTTCTTGGTCTGTAAATATATTGGTTGCTATCCAGACTGCGAGGCACGTGTATGTACATTTGGAATATGTCGCCGTATACACCGGTGAAGTCGCGGTGGGATAGACGGAAATGGCTGTTTAGTGTATCATTATCATCATTGTCATCACGCTGTACCGTCTCGCACCCTGCTCTACCTACTTCCTACTCCAACACCACAATCAAACAAGATAAGATACCCAACCAAACCAAACCCAGCATCACCCTGCCCATCTTACCATGCTTCCCTCCCCATATTTACGCAATCTCAAATCAAAGGAAATGTAACAGGGATATATGATGGAGAGAATGCACAAGGATCTTCCTGTGTAGTCGGGCATGTCATCTCCGGTTCTTTGGAGGAAATATCGGATTAGCTAATTCAGACTATTGTGATCTACTTCGATGTACATGGGTCTTGGCACGGGTAGATTGGTTAATTTGAGTGCACTGCGTGGGATGGCATGAATTGGGGTAATTTCGGGGGAAGGGAACGATGGGTATGGGATGGGCATGGGAATTTGGGAATGCGGGTTTCGGAGGATGGGAGATTGGAGATGGGGGTTTTGGCGTTGGCGTTGGCGTTGATGGTGGTGGGTCTGTGATTGCGATTGCTGCTGTTTGGAGTGGTCGTTCTGCTCGCGTCGGTTTTGGGTAGTGTTTGGTGGTTGGTGAAAGGCTATCTAGGTCATGTCCAGGTGTTGCTTCGTCTCGTGGACGTTTATAGGAGTTGGGGTTTATAAAGTTGCGCTCGCATTAGTGTTGGTTGGTGCTTGAACTCTGAGGCTGTATCGATCGTCATGCTGCTTCGTCTCGAGGGCGTAGACAAGATTGCACGATGGAGGGAGTACGCCCTTGAATCAAACTAGGGTCTGGCTATGCTTTGGGCTGGTTGTTAAACTTGTCTTCTAATCTACCGGGTGAAGAATTGAGGGCTCGCATGTTTTGTTGGCTTGTATGTTTGTCGCTGTAGTAGAGATTAGAAACAGAAAAAGTAGAAAGTAGAACTTAATTACATTTATAGCAAGAGTTGGTTAAAGTAGAGGGGATCTAGTAGTACGCTTGATAATATCGAGTAGACTCTATGAGATCGACAGATTTGTAGAGCCAATCTAATACAACTCGAACTCGTTTAAGATTCCCTCTCCATCAAAGGTCTCCCATGTAGAGCAGCATGTTCGGTGCCGGCTTGGTCGGAGATCGCCAAATCTTGATCCTGTTAATCCTTTTCTTGCCAAAGATGGCCCGGTAGTAAACGCCCAAGTACGCAGGACCAGCGGCATGGGAGCTTCCAAGCAAGCCGAAGAAAGCCTCCGCTTGAGGCGTCAATGGCTCATTCAAGGGGTCGTCTCCCGGCACGAAATCAACGCCAGGCCACTGCGCCAAGTCATCCAAGTCACCGCTCGGCAGCCTGTTGACCTTCAACAAGGCCGATTCCACGAGGTCTTTCGTCTGGGGTGTGGCGACACCGGATCGGTATACGCGCTTGAGGTCTTTGCCGGCCGCGTACTGGTCCCACATTACTGCCATGATGTCGGTCCATTTTGTAGTCGGCCACATCCAGTCCGGCACGTCCAAGCCTTTCGAAGCTGCCGCGGGCCCAAAATTGTCACCGGCGATTATGTAACCATCATCTCCGTTAACGATGTTGCCCATCGAAGCTGTGGTGGGCTATAAAGCCAAGACATGCATGTCAGTAAAGTCAATGGTTGCTCTACAAGACTGTGACCACGTACCGTTCTGACCCTACCATCATCGCCCGTCCAGTACTCTACATGGTACCATATCCGAGGGACCTCGTTAGCAGTGTTCAACAGACTATCGGCCCTCCCTAATGGCAGGCGCCAGCCTGCCGGTAGGTCTTCGTCGTCATCTTCGTCCCATCCAATCGACACGAGTTCCTCCAGCGTCACGGTCCCGGGTTTCACGTCATCACTGTTCATCTTGCACCAGATACCTGTTCTCGTCATCAGCAGATGGGATGGAGAAAGCTCTCGTTTCGAACCGCTTACTACATGAATATTAGCAAAGAAACTAAGTACAATGCCTGCCTTTGCCTCCAGCAAATAGCTGCATGGCTTAGAATAGCCTGTACAGATTCAAAGCAAGTTGATTCAACAGCTCGCTTTCGCTCGTACATGACAATGAGAAGTACTTTGACTCACCCCTTTCCACTTCTAACCTTCTGATCCCATATTGCTGCGTCAGCTGCACGAGAAACAAGCGAGTCGTTGAGTCCACGTGGAACGTCGAAAAGGCTTCGTTTTTGCACGTCGGATGACTGTTGGTCATGCGAGCTGTGGGAGGAGTGGGAGCCAGTGATTACAGCAAGGCAGATACCCACAACAAGAGCGAAGAGACGGTATCGAGGAAGACGTCTTCTAGCCTCGGTTGGCCTGGCGCCATTGAAAATACCAACAGAAATCATGGCGAACAGCTGAAGAAACGAATTGAACAGCGAGTGAAGAAAAACGCAGGCATGGGCAGAAGCCTCGTTCTAGGAATATATACCACCTAGACATGCGCGGTTGTCGAGGCGAGCATATGAGCTACTTGGCCCGGTAACACATGATCCATTGTCCCAAAAGCGTATGCGTCAAGCGTTCACATGGGTACAGAACGCTTTCTGGGCCATGTCAGCTCCTCGGTCTTCGTTGCGTGGCAAGGAATCCATTTTTTCTGTCCGTCCTGGTCGGGGGCTCCGGCGCAATTTCCAAGTTTTCTAGAATCTGGTTAAGCTCTACTGTTGCTATTCCTTCGCTAGCTTTCGCGAATAGTCCACGATGCAGGTGTGGCACATCTAGACGCCAGACGGGGATGGCAGAATGAGCGATGTAACCTCATACAAATCCAAGTCTAGGTAAAGGATCGCACTATTCTGTAGGCCAGCATTCCTGTTTGTTCGGGGTCACCATGCCGATGATAGGTTGAATCCTTCTGTGGAGTTTCGACGATGCAGGTACGTTATAAGCTCGCAAGGGAGAGGGCCTAAAATAGCGCCTTGGCTAACAAAATCAACCCTGCAAAGGCAGCAAATCGCGGCAGAACTGCCAAAGCATAATATTATAGTTATCCTATTGGCTACCCCTACGTCGGGCCGTCCCTCCCTCTCTCTCTCTCGGTTATACATCTCTTTCTATTGCCTATCTTAATCTCTTGCCGATCACACGGGAGCTTGATGCTGGCGGGGAAAACGGCTTGAATATGCATTGCACACAGGTCGTAACGGAATGAATAGAGTGCGCCTTTGAATCAGACTGCTGTCCGGTATTGGTTCGGGCTGGTTATCAAGATTGTGCTTTGGTATACGGTATGATTGCGATGGCTTTGATGACACAACCCCTAACACATGTCTTCCTCCGTCAAGATGCTCCACCATCGAAAAGAGTAAGAAATAGAGTTAGCAAGAAATGGCGCTTTCGTCGGGTGCCGCATGCCCAGATCAACCATGCGCTTGTCATCCCATATGGCAAACCCATATTTACGCCAGATCTGAAAGGGGTGGGGAAGCCTGAGAAAAGCTCCATCAAGCCATCCATCCTTTGACGACATGGCGCACCAAAAGCGATACGCCCATGTATTACTGTTGAAATTTTCTGCACCCTGACATAATTTGTCCTTACCGAGCTCGAAGAAGAGCGGCTCGGCACAGAAACACCTCGAGACTGCCCCTCCAACCCAACGTATTGTTGGCAAAGTATAAGTGTTGTGGTGAACAGCTTTCACCGAAGTAATGGTTCCAGAGGTGACTGCGCCGAGAAAATCGCATGCGGTCAAAATCTGCTCCCTCTCATAGTCAAACACGTCGTAAAAGCCATCCGCGCTGATCTGTGACAATGCATCAACTTCGTGTCTCGGCCAATTGGTGTCCAGGCGGCCCTTGTGACCGGCGCCCTGCAGTTCCATGAAATACTGCAGTTGCCAGAATGATCTGATCATTCGCTGCTCCTCCACCCACGAAGGCGGGCCGGTATCCTGTGGAATATAGTCCTTTCGACTCTCAGCGTTTTCGAATTCCTCCCGGCGTGTATAGCCGGGCCCATTTTTGATGAGTGTAGAGGGCCTTAGCTCCATAGATTTCCGTATCAAATGTTCGAGGCAGGCATGGGACCAAGCATGCACATTCGCGGCGCTGGTGAGCAAGGACCGTACTACCGTGGCGGCCCGGTCCAGTCCAGACGAACGCATTTTGTCGGTGGCCATAGTCGAGTCAGTTTCAGCAACAGTTTGAGCCTCGGATAAGGATGCTGGGAAGTCTGAAAACTGAGCTTTGAGCACCGCGCCCATGAGGCGACGGGTCTGCAAAGGAACGGTAACCTCGAGAACCACCTCCACAATTTCAAGCGGATATCTGTCGAGCACTCTGCCCATAGCGGGCGACGCATGGGCCAAGCTCCGTAGTGAAAAAGGGTCCGGAGAAAGTTTCATTATCTTGATCCTGAGCTCCTCGGGTAGTTGACCAAATGGGTCTTGTTGAGTGTTCGCTTTCATCGTCGCTTGTAGAACTCTCGGTTTTTTTTCCGAGGTGGGTGTCTGGAGGGAAGAAGGAGCCGCGGACTCAACATAAATTATGCAACCTCCCTGCTTGCGCGACAAACAATCCAGTGGGCCGATGTTATCCAATGAGAGGAAGCGTGAGGTCGAATGACATGCTACTCTTGCGCTCTAGCCGACTTCGGCCCACTGGGTTGTTTGTCGCGCAGGAAGGTTAATGAACGTAACCGAGCACACGTCATAACGCTCGCAGGATGATTGACCTTGATCCTTCGTTTCCCTAGTCCTTCACGTTCGAAGCAGATCTAAGCCTTTTCCGTTTCTTGGCAGTTTCTTGGCAATTGCTTGCGCCTACAGCCAATTCTAATTCCTCCCAGACCACAACCTTGCAAGTCGCGGCGATCGCCCTGACAGGATCAAACTACGTACAATATGGTGACATTGTTCCCACCTAACATTCATTTATGTCTTGGCGGCACGGGTATCACGGGAGGCGTAACAAGCGAAGGATCAGCCCCGCAAAACCCACATGTTCCTTCTCTATCCACTGTGGTACCATCAGGTATCTTGGCCGGTGGCAAAGAAGAAGCCCAAGCTTAAGCTGTTTGGAATTGAATGCAGCGCCAATGAGAAACGCAGGGCCTTGAACCAGCTGTTTGTTTGGGTTGTTCGAGTGGAACCACAATATGGCACGAAAATTTTGATCTCATCCTGGACCGCGCCGTACAGGGTTGAAGTGGGTTAGTAGGCTCTCAAGTGAATGCACGCTACGGGGAGGAAGAGTAGGAAAAGACCCAAATTTGAGACTGGAGGATGGGCAAGAGCCGTCAGACCCGTGGAGTGAATACTAGAGACCTGGCATAAGCGGAACAGCAGTAGTACTACATGCTCAGGTGTACATAAAACCAACATCTTCATATGTAGATGACGATCCTGCCACGAAGCTTCTCCTCTTTTCCTCAAGGCAACTGTTCCAGCGTCGAAAATGGCACGCGTCAAGACATCAGCGCGTCTTCTTGGACTCGCTTTCTTTGCCCTGCAGGGCGCTCTGGCGGCTAAAGCCCCGGACATCACCCACCAGTCCCCAGAGCACGCACCGCCCATTCCCTATCTCAACCTCATGGCCTTGTTCACAATGCCCCAGAATGTCAGCCACGATTCATCCGAAGAGTCAGATCTCCTGCCCAACCTCTTTGACAAGAGACAACGCGAAGAGGATGGGAACGGAGGCCTCTTGTGCAAGAAGGGTCCCTGTCCCGACGGAAGGTGAGTTAACATGCTTTAACCTTGGAAAGAAAGGAGCGCTTAAGAAAAGATTCTTTCTGACTGTACTAGTTGCTGCGGCCCTGCGGGGGTCTGTGGTTACGGTGAGGATTTCTGTGGCGTCGGCTGCAGCAGCAACTGTGATGCCGTGGCCATGTGCGGCGAATTCTCCGACGGAGGAAACACAAAGTGCGGCATGAACCTGTGCTGTAGTTGGGGTGAGTGATGGCAATGTTCATTGATCCTGTAGTCTCTTACTGAACATTGTTCTAGGTGGATGGTGTGGAACATCCGAAGTTCATTGCATCGGGCCAAACAAGTTCACACCGTGCCAGGAAGGGTTCGGCTCGTGCGAGATCATCCGGCCAAAGACATGCGGCGAGGGCTCTGGAACGACAAAGGGCCGGACCGTTGGGTATTACCTGGCGTCCAACAGCAGAGACCGTCTCTGCAACCGCATCTTTCCCAAGGATATCAAGGCCGCGGATTACACCCATCTCTTCTTCTCCTTTGCATCCATCGACCACAAGACGTTTAAGATCCGGCCCTGGGATGACGCCGACATTCCGCTGATGAGGGAGTTCACGGCTCTCGAGACGAATACCTGGATCGCCGTCGGCGGCTACACATTTAGCAACGTGGGCGACACGCACACGACTTGGAGTGACGTGTGTTCCACCCCTCAGAACAGGGCCGCCTTCATCCAGTCGTCGGCTGAGTTCATGGCCAAGTACGGCTTCACAGGAATCGACCTAGACTGGGAGTACCCTGTGGAGCCTAAGCGGGGAGGCTCCAAGGGAGACACTGAAAACTTCGTCAAGCTCGTCAAGGAGATGAGAGCGGCCTACGGAACCAAGTACGGTATCAGTTTGACTCTTGCGCCCGACTATTGGTATCTTCGGTACTTTGACGCAGAGGCCATGCAGCCCTATGTCGACTTTTTCGGCTTCATGGCGTACGATTTGCATGGGTCCTGGGACTCTGACGTGCAAACTTTGGGATCTCTGGTGCGTGGCCAGGCAGATGTGCGAGAGATTTATAATGGTGAGCCATGATGAAGCCCTGTCATTTGAGTCGTTTGCTAATGCCTTGCAGTGAGTATTCAGTCACGACCGACTTTGTGGTCTCTGGCCAAGACATATGGCTGCGGGATTATACTAACTGGTTGTGAGCCAGAACACCTTGCCCCTCTGGTATGCAAACCTGGATCCGGCCAAGATCAACTTTGGCCTTGCGTGGTACGGAAGAGGATACACGCTGTCCGGTAAGCAGCTGCCCTTCCCAACGATTGCCAGTGCATGTCAACTGACGATTCATTGTAGACGCCAGCTGCAACACGCTCGGATGCCCGTTTGCGGGCCCCAGCAAGGCGGCCGAGTGCACCCACCAGAACGGCGTCATGTCGCTTCTGGAGATCAAGAAGCTCATCAAGGAGAAGAACCTGATGCCGCGCCTCAACAGCGAGTCGATGATGAAAGAGCTCATCTGGGACGACCAGTGGATCGGCTACGACGACGAGGAGACGCACGAGATGAAGCGCAAGTTCGCCAACAACCTCTGCTTCGGCGGCACCATGGCGTGGTCCGTCGACTTCAACTCGGGCACTGGCGACGGCGACAGCGCGCCCGTCTCCACCGACGGACGATGTGGTCCCGCTGGCGGCGGCTTCAGGTGCGAGGGCAGCACGTTTGGCGACTGCTGTTCGTCGTTTGGATATTGCGGAAGCAGCGAGACGCACTGCGGCTCTGGCTGCGTGAGCGGGAAGTGTTTGGAGGGACAGGAGACGACGGACGGAACCTGCGGCGCGTCGGCGCACGGGGCCTTCTGTGGTCTGTGGCCCCAGGGGAGCTGCTGCTCGTCCTCTGGATACTGCGGTGACAGCGAGGGTCACTGCGGTGCGGGCTGCCAGAGCGGCGCCTGTCTCGATGAGCCGGCCAGTGGCAAGGGCTCGGGGCCCATCTACATTGCGCCTGAGGTCTACAAGAGCCCGGACCCGGTCGCGCAGTGCTTCCCGCCGTGCACGCTAATCATGCCGCCGTGGTCCCTCGCCAAGCCGACGACCATCTCCCGCCCCGCCACCACCGTCTCGTATCTCGACACATGGGACACGACCGTCGTGACGACCAGCACCGTCATCACGCTGCAACCCGTCACCACGACCCTGATCGAAGTATGGAACGTGATATGGATCGACGGCGACAACGAGAACGCCGAGACTCGCACTACCGTCGGCCTCACGTCGAGCGTCGACTTCCCGCCAGTCACGCTCACCAGGACCAGGACAGGACAGCCTCCCGTCACCTGGACATACTCGCCCGGGCCTTGGCCTACCATTGACTCGACCGACGACAACCCTTTCCCTCCGCCTCCCCCCCCTCCTGCGGGCCACCCACCATCTATTACTGCCGTGAGGGGCCCGCCAAAGCCGACCTGCAAGCCTGGGCAAAAGTGCGGAAGCCTTTGCAAGCACAATTGCAGCGGTGGAGATGACGATGACAACAGTGGCGGCGGCGGCGGTGGTGGTGGAGGCCGCGGGCGTCCTTGCATTGGCATCTGCGGCTGCATTGGCCCCATCTGCAACACTCCCAATCGCAACTGCGTTGGCCCGGTCTGTCCACCCGGCAGTGGTGGTGGAGGAGGTGGCAGCGGCGGCGGTGGTGATCCCAACAACCCGGAGGAAGAAGACGACGAGGATGACGAGTGCACCACGAGAACCGTGACCGACCGCTGGGTTTCTTGTGACGCTCAGCGGACAAAGGAGTGCACGACTTACTCTACCTCGCTTGTCAGCGAATGCTCAGCAACAGGCAAAGCAACGACTACCATAGGCGGAAGCTGCCCAATGTAAGTTTCGCGCTTGGTTCCCACTCAACTTTGCACAGCATGCTCACAAAGTTACAGACCTACCTATGACTACGACCTGCAGGATACACATGAACAGATCCCAGTCGGCTTCAGCCACACACAGGGAACAACCGTCTACAATGGAAGGACCCGGACGACTTATGGGTGGACCTTCAACCCACCAGGCGGCACTAAACCAACCCGCGGGGGCAACGGCAATGGAGGTCAGGGCACGCGTACCTCTGCCCAATCCAGCAGAGGCATCACTCCACGACCCACCATTACCTCGACACCATTTCATCTCCCAGGGGCGCCCACCCTCGCGACAGTCGAACCGCCTTATAGCGGCAGCGAGTGCAGCTCGTATCTGCACACGACTAGGTGCAATGCCGCTGGCGGCCTGCAGGCTTGCCTGACACAGGATCTGTGCGTCCCGACCAGGCCCTGCTACTATACATACGCTGCATCGGGCACCCCTTCGTGTTCGGGCGAGTACTCCATCTGTCTGAGCACCACTATCTTCACCAGATGCGGCTTGATAGGTGCCGTCGCTGCGCGGGCCGACGCGACTCCGGCTCCCTCCCTTAACTCTAATGTCATTGGCGATGCAACCGTCACAGCAGCACCATCGGTTCCGACATCTGATCCCAGTCTTAAGCTCGAAGAAGACCATGATCGTCATCATGCTCATCAGTCGGCCGAACCAGCCTCTCCTGGCCATGGCCACGACGAGTCGGCTGATAACGAACTGGTGGGTTCTGTCTCGAACGCCCCTCACAACCAGAGCAGCGCCGCGACGAACGAGTCGAGCCTCATTTCCGCTCGACAAAACGCCGTCGGCTGTGGCGGCAGCAGCAATGGTGGATGCGACTACCTCCGCTTCTGCGCGTCGGGCATGTGCGCCAAGGCAGAGAAGGTTCCTTGCCTTCAAGCGCGAATTAAGGCTCATATGGGCATCACTTCCGGTATCGACCTTGAAGCCACAGTCACGGAAGACGGTGTCCTGAAGTGCAAAGCCACGCGGCATTGCCCACTACTATGGGACGACGACTGCGGCGGCGTCGACACGTTCGACTGCGGCGACGGCAGCACCATGGGTTTCAAGTACAACTACGTCTCGTACTACAGTAAGAAGTACGACCGCAAGTATCCCATGTACCTCGAACTCTCCGTGGATGCGAGGCTGGTTTTTTGCACTCAAGACCTTCTCTTTAGGAAGATCCCGTATGTGTGTTGGGAGGATGAGTATGAGTGGAAAGATGGGCCTTGTAAGGGTCTTGGTCTCTGAACCAAGAATTGAGTGCACGCCACTATTGTTTAGCTATGTTATAAATATAATATCATCTCTGTCTGGCATACCCGAAAATGTCACACCTGGTGCACTAGCCGCATTCGGCATGATGGTCTATGCACACGCGTTTGAACTCCCATGAACACGACTGTGCCGCTCAACTGCATACCTGAGCAATACTTCGAAACATCAGTCTTGACGATGCTCAAGCCCAACCACTAGCACTGCCAGGTCGCCGGCATCAGTCGGTCTTCGCGCTGGGGCATCTTCGCAATCATGTCTCTCTCCACGATTGTTCGTCTCTCCATCTCGAGGCCTGCACTTGCAATTATTAGCTTCCCTGTTATGAGCACCGGCACTCGATTGAACGCTCATTGCAGTTTCCATGAGCGACTTGGCGCTGCAGAGCTGCATTCAAATGCCTTACGCAGATTTCGGAACGACCGCGATGTAAAAGTAGTGCTTAGACAGCCTAGCCAACATCGAAGTCTGTATGTTTTCGTACAGGCCCCAACTTCCGTGGTTCAGTCGTGCAACTTCTTTTCTTATTGGTATTATTACTTGCGCCTTCGGTAATTCAGCCTATGGGCCCAATTTTGCACACTTGAACTGATCATGTAGAGTTCTGCACTTTTTATATGTCATCCAGAACAACGTTCTCACCTCTGAACTAAGATACCCTTACCCGAACCCAACACCAACGGAACAGGAATGTTTGGAGTGTAATTTAACCGCTCTGCAGATACCTAGATCTTTCAGTATCTTGGCTTTTTCAATGGCGCGCCTTATACCATCTCACGTGTAGACATCATCCGAATCTCCGATGCATGTTTTGCCATGCGACAGGTCAAGTCGAGCATGCGTACATACCCATCGGCTATCCTAACGCGGGTCAATCCAAGGTCTAGCGCACTTCTGGATAACGTCGAGAGTATGCTGAAATCATACCAAGACGACCCTGCGGTGAAAGGCGAACTCGCCGATGTTGCGCCTGAAGAGCTTCCCAGTCTCACTAAACGAACCCTGGAGATCGTGGTCGATCTTTCCGAGTTCTACATGGTAAGTAGAGAGTTTCTAGCTGTGGAACTACCAGTCCCTGATGCTACAAAAACAACCACAGCTCTGCATCGACTCCTCAAATCGTGCGTTCGTTGGATCAGATAGATGGACGACAATAGAGCTCGTAGAGGCAATATTCCAGGACAAGAGCGAGGACGTCTCATAGATGGAAACATCTGGGATGCTAGGAGGTGGCAGAAGCGCTCTATAACTGAGGGCCAGCAGGTACTCCGTCTCCTTGATAGATATTATTCGACGCCAGGAGTTGAACACCTTCGGTCTCAAATCACTAGAATCGTGGGTTCGCACAAAAGAAGCTTTAGAAAGTATTAGCAACTCCTGGGTTCTTGAGCGAGCGCACATAAACGTGGTGTATCTGGAAGATTTCTCAGCCCGCGGTAGTATTCCAGTGAGGCTTCCGTCAACGTCGTCGGGCCGCTGGGGATTGGAACAGCCTATCTGAACATATGCAGCATTGGTGAAGGGTCAAGTGGGTTGGTATCCTAGTGGCCCGGGGTGTCCTGGGTCTGTGCTGGTATTGCATCGACAGCAATGATGGACACGATTAAGAGCCGATGCTCGCCGGCCACATCTCATTTCTCAGGGACCAGACAAACCCGATACTTCAATGTAGCTACTTTTGATATTACCGAGCAGCGCTATCAGTTGGGCGAGCACCAAGTCCTATCTTCCCGATTTTCCGAAACACCTGAAGAAAAGCGATGTACTACCACGTGACGAGGAAATGTGGGAAATCGGCACGAAGTCGGTGCCTCCACATCCCGCGTCTCCGATGCCAATGCCGATTTTGATCCTTTCCATCTCTTCAGCCTCAATGTTTCCATGGCACTCATGCATCGACCTTCCATGTGAAAGTCATCTCGCCATTCTTCCTCCTTCAAGCGACGAAGGATCTCGCTCGCGTATCGTGGTGACGCATAGACACACGAGATTCGGCGTTGTTTCCCGCCAATCTCGTCACGAAACCACCAGAACAATGGGACGCCGCATCGGAGGATTCATCGAAGGAACAAGATGCAAGTGTGTCATGTCGCGAATCCGAGGATCCTGCACCGATACATATACATAGCATTGCTGTTGTCCTTGCCGAGTGGTCGGGATCCCAGTACAAGAGATGAGACACAATCCTGCGCCGATCGATTGCGATTAGCGCGACACCCAAAGAAGAACTACGAGGCGAATCAGCGAGTCATCTGGCGTCGGAGGCTAACGATTGGCCCGGAAATTTCACCCTGCCCGTGTTTGAAGATCTGTGGCGGCCGTCCTTGTGCAGGATTATACTGGTGATGATATCAATGGCCAGTGCTCTCTGCGTAGGATTGCGCAAGGGGATGCGACGTCCAGCCAATCTTCGGGTTTGCTTCCAAACCTTGAATATTTGCGGCTGACTACTTGCGAGAACCTCAGCCGAGAACCTGCGTTCGTCGTCGACGGCAGACTGCAGATATTGACATGTCACTCCTGGTACCCTTGTACATATACTGGAGTCAGGGGCAATGAGGCGTAACAGCTCCGAAAAACCCACACTGCCACGGGACGCGGGATGGAAGCGTCGAAGCAAAGAAGGACCTCGACTTCAGTCCTTTTGAATGAACAACTACTCCAAGCAGGGACAGAGGGGTGTAGGGGAGCCGGGTAGCGCACACATGGACGTTTAAAAGCAACAATTGCGCTCACCGCCGTGGAACCTTCTCTCGCGCGCCGCACGCGCAGCCCGAGGAGCGATCCCTCAGGCCAGAAATCCGGCGTCCAGAAAGCGTTTCTTCCAGCGTTACCCCTGCGCAAAGTTTGGGCGAGAACCTGTCAAATGCAAGCATCCGCTAATCGCAGTTCGCTTATCATCTTAGCGTTGAGCCTCCAACACGTCTCCACCTGCGTTAGTCCTGCGTGGACGGCATGAACCCAGCTTGGCAACGGCCCTGAATCGTCAACCGTAGCCTCGTGGGAGAAGGCGGCAGACGGTATCCTGTCAGTCATTAGGGCTTGCGTTCCCGCCCTGCGGCGTGGGTCGTTCGCCAACCTTAGTTTCTGCATCTTCCAAAGCAGCGCCGGCGCTGGCGTTCACTTTACCTAGGTACGACGTTCTTCACGATGTCGACATGGGAGCAGATGTACACCGATATGGTGCTGCATGCACCAGATCCAGATGAGGAGCTGCCCTTGTCGAATCGCAGGGCGACGATGTTCGGCACAACGCTCACTTTCTTGGTATGATGTCGTGATATCTGTTGATGTATCATCCGCTAATTTCATAGAAAGACCATAGCATGGCTTGCAGTTTTCTTTCGTCTTTATGTCCGCATCAGAGTCGTCAAGGAATTGGGCTGGGATGATGCATTTGTGTTCATTGCTCAGGTACGTCACCTTTCACAGTTCTTACGTGTTCGGCATGCAGCTAACCCTCAATTTAGTCGTTGAACACAGCAGCCACTATCATCATGTGTCTTTGTAGGTCTACCATCCATGCGGTATGATCTCGGCTAATATATGTAGCTGTCAAGCAGGGACTGGGTGAGCACATGTTATACATTGGCTACAATCGTCTAGTAGAGTATCTGAGGGTATGCTTGTTCCTCAACTGAGTGATGCCACTTGCTAACCAAGCCAGTTGTACTACTTCGAAATGGCCATATACGTCACCAACTGCGGCGTCATCAAGATTGCTCTCTTGCTCCAGTACCTCCGCATCTTCAAGGCTGGACTCATGCGATGGATCTGTATTGGCCTCCTCGTCGCTGTGACTCTTTGGGCTATTGCCTTCTCAATCACTGCATGGTTTCCTTGCTTCCCAGTGCACGGGTACTGGGACCGTACTGTAGCTGCGAATTGCTACGGCTTCGGACTCGGAGACCTTGACAGCTTCATCGCTACGTACAAGGCGCAAGCGGCCACCAATATGTTGTTCGATATCTCCATCTTCATTGCGCCAATGGTGTTGTTCCGGACACCAAATCTGCGATCCAAGAACGTGTTCGCAATGGCTGGCGTGTTCACCTTTGGAGCTGTGTAAGTCGCTCATGCCACCCAGCTCAAGCATTCCATGTTAACATAACCACAGCGTTGTCGGAACATCAGTCTGGCGACTCCACGGCATCGTCGAAACCAAAGGCGCAACCTATCCCTACGTCGACTATACCTGGTGGTCACCAACACTCATCATCCTCACCTGCCTCGAAATCGACCTCGCCATCATCTGCGCCTCTATGCCCATCTTCTGGCCCATCATCGAGAAGTCACTCAGCGCCATCTTCGTCAGCTACGAAGTCCAGGTCGTAGAGGAGCGTGTCGACGATTACGGTCTCACGTATGAGCTGGAGCACATGAAGGGGGACGATAGACCGTGCAGTATAAAGAGCAGCGGGACGAGCACACAAGAATTGACGAATGACGACGAAGAGTCACATCCCAGGAGACCACAGTTTACGGTGGGCATTGATCCGCTGAGTGAGGAACAAAGAAACAATGGGTTGAGTACGAATGTTCAGTCGACAGCTCAGCCGAAATGGCAGCTCTAGATACATCCCAAACCCAATAAAAACACATGCAAACAATCACACAGCCACAATACGCATAGTTCACTCGTTCTAGCAGTAACACTAATACCATCTTCACAGCAAAACCTCTACTCACACCAACAGCCACGCATCACCACCCTACGTCATCCCAACTCCCCTTCGGCCCGCACGCCTACGATGCACTTTACCCAAGGAACCTCCTTGCCACCACCACCTCACCCCACAGCCCTGAAACTCAGAATCACCGAAGACATCTGTCGGCGACATTGTCATGAGCACACCACATAGATGACCCCACGCACCTGTTACGGCCGAACAAAAGCTGTCATTGAACCGCGAAGTCTGATGTCAATGTCACAAAGTACCACCGGCAACAGCGACACTAGTCGCGCGTCTAGATCCGCCAAAGGCGTCTGTGTCGCACGCTACATTCCGGTGTAACTAATCTGGGCAATCCATCTCCGTGGGGGCGCTGCTGTGTTAGCTGCGCCAGCACGCCAGGTACTGTTAGCAAAAAATTCTCCGGGCCTTTAGTGGAGTGCTGCTTGATTGCGCACAGTTGTGCATGAGTAGAACGTGGTCATGTGGGTTATGGGGTTATGGGGGCTGGGGTGCGAGATGTGATGGGTGTTGCATGTGAGGCTGAAGGTCCGAAAAGATGTCCACGGGTAAGGGTAGCGCCTGGGTGGGACGGTCGGGGAAGGGTGGAAGAGTGGAAGGTGGGAAAGTATGGCGGTGCGCATCGGGGAGGCCAAGTCGGTCCGATCGGAGGTTTATCGATAATGAGGTGTTGATGGATGGGCGATCTGGTGTGACGCGCAGAGCTTCAGCTGAGATGGAGAGGTGGTGGGGAGAAGGTGTGGCGAGATAGAGGTGGTGTATAGAGTCGTGTCGGGGATAGTGATGGTGTGCAAGATTTGCCGACGATAGTACCTTTTATGTTGTTGAACTCGCCATTGCCTGCCGTGTTGGACTTTTGCTATCTACTGTCGTCTTTGTCGCGACTTCCAGCTTGAAACATCGATCAGTCTGTTGCTCATCTGTCGTTCCCGGAGTTTCGATCCACTGTATTGAACCCTCTCGACAATATGAGCGTAAACTTTGATGATCCCTACGTTTCCATCATCGCATACCTCAAAGATATCGGCTGAAAATTTCCTTCCACCTACGCTGATCTTGACATGAAGACATCAACCAGTTTGCAAGATCATCACCACCACGCCGACGCGTTACCTTGAAACGCAAACGTCGACGTTAGGGCAGGTTGCCTTAGGCGAGCACTTTCTGGTGCGATATTCGTGATCACGACCAGTGAGACGTTAGTGTATTGCGCCGTTGAGAGGCTAGTGGTTAAATTGGTGTGTAGTGGTTTGAAGAGACGATGGTTTTAGCTTTCGTTGCTTTTACCACGTGCAGCTGGGAATTTGCTTTTGCTGATCTCGATGTGCAGTACCCGCACTTCCGGCAAACGTAAAGTGGCGAGGCTTATTTGCCGTATGGCGCATGGTGGCGTACACACCTCAGATGGCTTTACGCCGACTGGCGTGTATCTATGGGGAGGGATGCGCGCGGGGTTGCTAGGTGGTAGTGGCATGCATCCCTAGGGATAGCTACAATTCGTTTTGCATTCTACGCAAAAAATATCAAGGCAGAAGTATGCGTAACCTTGGCAGCAGCCTCTTTGTTAAAATTTGACAGTATGTACGCGACACAAACTCTTGCCACCCCTGGTGGCATTAGTTCGTTATGTGACGTTCTATTGCGTTCTTTTGGGCACTATGTAGTACACGGTGAGTTGAACAGGGCTTGAGCTGAGCTGAGCTTGCTGTTCTGGCAAAATGCGACGCGCCTTAAGGCGAACCGATTGGCAGCGGGGGTCACCACCTGGGCATCTCCCGATGTCTCTTCTTTCCAGATCTCGACGCGTCGCCAATGTCGCGGTGCATGTTCAGGGTCGTGACGATAGAGCATATCCATTCGGTCAAAATCGCAGCACTCATGCTACGAGTCTAAGTGGTTTTACTATCAGGCGGGTCAAATCAGACGGGAAGGTGGTTGGCCGGGCACATTTCGCGCTCGCTAAATCTGTTACCACGATTTCCAAGGTTCCTACCAAAAATCCGCAATCAACAACACCTTATTCGTCTACTTCAAGCAGTTACATCGCACCGCCTCGTTCTCTTCTTAGTTAGGCATGGCGTTACCCGCAAGTGAACGCATTGTCATAGCCGAAACTGGGGACGTCTTTCTTACCCTACGCAATCCCGGGGCACCTTTTGCTGTTTGGGAATTTGACACCGAAGATGTCGATGCCGCCAGTGAGATTGATTTCGAAGAAGAAGGTAATGAGCAAGAGGGCGAAGAAGAGAATGCGAATCGAGAGGGTCCGCGACAAAAGAAGAGGAAGATGGTGGTAAAATTGAGGGAGGGAGCAGAAGATCAAGATATGTCAGAGGATGGCGCAAACCCAGGAGCAATGACGGACGACACAATTCAACCCGCACACCCAAGTCTTGTGTACCAAGTCTCGTCGCAACACCTCATCACAGCTTCGCCAAAGTTCAAGAGCGAGTTGACCTCTTGGAGCGAGAGTGTTAAAGGAGATGATGATTTTTACCATGTAAACACGACGGATTGGGATCCAGAAGCCTTTGCTATACTGTTGAACGTGCTCCATCTCCGCATCCGGAAAGTGTCGAAGTCGCTCAGTTTGAAACTACTTGCCAAAGTCGCCATGCTAGTGGACTATTACAGATGCTGGGAGGCTTTCGACTTGATTGCTGATGTGTGGATCAAAGACCTTCGGAAGAAACACCCAGTACCAAAGACATATGGTCGCAAGCTGATGCTGTGGATGCTCATCTCTTGGGTGTTTAACCTGGACAGCGAATTTACCAGAACGACGAGAATAGCATTGCTGCAGAGTTCCGAGCCGAACATTAGGGACATGAAATTGGGGGTTCCACCAGCTATACTCCGTAGGTCTTGCGTAGTTGCGCAATACAAATCACTAGCTAACCCTAGCAGATGCCCTAGAATCTCGACGTTCAGAGACGATTGAGGCGATCATAGCACGTTGTCATGCTTCGGTTGACAGATTTAGCGATGCCTACACATGCCCTTTCTATGAAGAAGTCTCTTTCAATTGTAGCTCTATGCGGCTCGGTGCACTGGTGAAACAAATGAAAGCCCTCGGAATCTTTTCTCCGCAGCCGACTGCGCCGTATGAAGGCTTCAGTATCAAAGTTCTAGGCGAGAAAGTGGCGCTGATAAGGTCTCCAGAGTGGCACCATGCCACTCGCCGCGTTGGAGATGGTTACGTAAAACACCCGTGCAACCTCGACTTTCGGGTAAGCCGGGCTGTTACCGAGATTGTAGGGGGCGTTATTGGGCTCGTACGGGGTGATTTCGTGGATCGTGGTGACGTTGAGGCCGAGTAAGCGCTCTACTACAACGATAGTCCGAACGTCTGAGTGCGCTCGCTCCACTCACAGGCACAATCGGCTCCAGAGATCGCATCACCTTGCTTACGTACAAGTCATAGTCAACGAAGTGAACATCGTCAATAGTAAAGGATTGGTTATATGACGAGTATGTTGCATTTGGCTCGTCAACCATCTGCATCCCATACTTGACTCCGAACGCCCTCGTGGAAGTTGTAAGTGTGTTGACGTGAGTTGCAGGGCGACTACATCGACCCCAGTGGGCCACGTTATCAAGCGGTGAATGTATTGTAGCGTTCAGGGTCGTCCCTGACGGTGCCGAAGTGAAGAAAACCTGTCTTCTGTTTAACTGTCGCGAGATGACTGAGCACGGTACATTTCACTCCACTCAAGCGAAAATTGAGGTTTTGTCCACTCTAATCCCCTTCGTCAACAGACGCAGACCATCACAACACACTACCCGGATATGGCCACTAAGGAGCCTTCATCTTCTGACGCGGTGCTTCTCCTCGGGTGAGTTTGATACTGTATAGCACGACATAGTACTGACTATCAGATAGCATCGCGGTAACTTCACCTACCGTCATTGTCAAAGTCGGTGCTGAAGGCAAGGAGTACATCCTACATACCGAACTCCTTAAGCACCACTCCGGCTGTTTCCGCGGAGCACTATCCGGCGTATTCAGGGAAGCTGACGATAGTATTATGCCCATTACCGATATAGATACCGACGCATTCGAATCCTTCGTCGACTGGATATACCGCGGTGCACTAAACACGGTGCTGCGACCCGGTTCTCCCAAAGCTGACAAGGATTCCTCCCTCTCAAATCGAACTTACATTCTAGCAGATCGACTCCTCGTCCCCGGGCTGAAGTCAGCGCTTATGGATGATTACTTCGATTTTTTTCCTTCGCCCAAAGGTGGCGATACCGCCATGCTGCAGGATCACTGAACTCTTCAGCGATTTGCCTGAGCCGGAACCATTACTACGGTTTGTGGTGGACATATGGGTTACTCGCAAGGCGGTTTTCCACATGATCAAATGTGAAAAAGCTGATGCGTTGGATTTATCATAGGATTTTCTTGTTCGTTTGATGTTACGGATGAATGAATTGGGGGAGACGCCGCCGAAGCTGGAGAGTTTTAAGCGGGAAGATTATGGCGAGCTTGTGAGGATGAATGGATAGATGAAGGCTGACTTTGAAGTTTTGAAATAGTAAACATAGCCGATATCTTCGACTGTGCTTTGCAATTGTTGACAAGGGAGGTAAAGTTGAAGAGTAAACAGAAGCGCTGATAGAAGGTTTTGAGGTGATAGAACCGGTTGTCTCTCACCCGTCGCGATCCGCTAGCCATTTTGATATAAGTAGTAGGAAGTCTTGCGAAGTTTCTTCATACCCCCTTCCACATACACCACGCCCTTATCTACTATCCCAACGCGACCCTTGCAGACTACAAGCGACATCTGCGTTCTCCCATATCAACACTAAACAGGTACACATCACCTCTGAAGTGACACCATGAAGAAAGTCGAAGCACCTCGCGCAAGGTAAGTCACTGAGCACGTATTCCTCAGTTATTCGAAACCATGCTCATACCGTACAGTGCCGTTGCCGCATCAGAGACCGTCGTTATCGTCTTCGAAGTACGCGAGAAGCAAAAACGTTATACCCTACACAAGCGGCTGCTGAAATACCACTCTGGATATTTTCGACGCGCCCTTGTCGACGGATCGGAAATCTATCACGTTCCCCAACCCGCTGATCTCGATGCCATGGATTTCGACATTCTTATTGACTGGATGTATGAAAGGAGCCTTCCTTCCCTGATCGACATGGACTGTGAGGAGGACATGCTGAACGTTTACATACTAGCGGAAAATCTATCGATCGGAACCTTGAAGAACGCGTTGATGGATGTCTTGTTCGATTGGCTGTCAGATGGCTATCTCAGTGCGGAAAATGTCGAATTGATCTTCCGGGGGGACTTGCCGAAGGATGATACTCTAACCCACTTGGCTGTAGACTCGTTCTGTTGCAATGAAGGCGTTGAGGATATCATTGTCAAGGGGGAAGAATGGGCTGATAACCTGCCTCAGGAATTCTTGGTTCGTGTTCTTCGAAAGATGCATCATCTCAGCAAGCTACCGGAGGCCGATCGTAAGCTCAAACGTGAGGACTATGACATCGTTGAGTGTGTATCATCTGAGGACAAAGACGGAGAGTGAAAGGTCTCACGTTGGCAGAATGGAAAGGAAGTGGACCAATGTTTGGTGCAGGCAGTGCAAGAACCGGATGGCCACTTCGGCAGAACAAGGAAAAGCACGGTCAAGAAAAGCATAGAAGTTTTGAGAAGAATAAAATCAGTTTCGAGATCCATGGTGAAAGGCGTTGACAATGATATGACCGCGTAGAACAAAGGTGTTGGTCGTGAGTCTGACGCAGCTTCGCAACTGGCCCGTGCTTACATAAGTGAGGCTCCGCTGCCTAATTAGCGTCGCGCTACGAGCTTCCCCAGCGCCATTCGTCATTTCGTATGAGCAACAGTACCTTCACCTCCGTCAGCTGTCCTTCAGCCTACACACGCTCCACCAGCCATTTACACGTCGTCGCAATCTGTGATTGATCTTGTTGCAGCAAAAAGGAAATTCAACCGCCCAACGGTCGCAATTTAATTACCCTTCACGCCCTGGAACATTCACGTTAGCCCGGTAAGTCATGGACGGCCCATCAAATGCTCTCATTTACTGACGTGTCTCCTAGACCTTCAACTACACCTAAGCCATCATGTCCGACGCCGAGGTTATCGAACAGAAGCGCGAAGAGGATGAGCGCCTCGATACCGCGGAAGACCCTAACGACGAGGTACGATACCATCTACCCACGACGCGCGCGGAAGTCCCTCGGAAGGACAGCAGTGAATAGAGTCGCGGATACAGGTTACACATCTGCAAGAGCATGCTGACAGTGCAATGCAGGAAGAGATCTCAGCAATGAGGCGACGCGTACAAGAGATGGAGGAAGAAGCCCAGAAGCTACGCCAGATGCAGAGCGAGACGGACCTAGAACGACACGAGATGCGTGAGAGCAAAGAAGACGTCGACGCGCGCAGTGTCTTCGTCGGCAACGTCGACTACGGCGCTTCCCCCGAAGAGATCCAGGCCCACTTCCAGAGCATCGGGAGCATTAACCGTGTGACCATATTGCTCGACAAGTTCACAGGCCATCCTAAAGGGTCAGTACTAAGAGGAGGTTTTCCTTGAACGATTTGCGCTTTTCCAAGTTTTTTTTGCTTTCATACGTGAACTAGTTTGCGCGCACACAGTCGCGTGAAATGTCGGCGTTACAGTCGTTGCGAAAGTAGCTTTCGCTACCTGGCAAGAGTTTGGCAGAAAGATCGGAACGCTAATGAGCGTATGCAGGTATGCGTATGTGGAGTTCACAGAACCGCACCTGGTCAATGAGGCTTTGGTCCTTGACAACAGCCAGTTCCGCAGCCGGAATCTGAAGGTATGAGATACAGAACATATCCGGTGAACCGCGCGAAAACAAGCTGACATGCCCCTAGGTCGTCCCCAAGCGAACGAACCTCCCCGGTATGACACGAGGCGGACGCGGCGGCCGAGGCGGCCCTCGAGGCGGATACGGCGGACGCGGCTCACCATACGGCGGCCGTGGTGGCTACGGAGGCGGCTATGGCGGCGGCGCACCACGAGGAGGTGGTTACCGCGGTGGATACCGTGGCGGAAGAGGCGGATCGGCATACCGCCCATACTAAGGGGTGTGACAAGACGACACCGGCAAGCGTTATACCACCAGACCTAGGTCGCCGTTTCTGTATTGCTATTGGGGTTCTGAGGCAAGGGTGAACAAGGAAACAAAGGGCACAAAATTGGATTGGGAGTCGCGGTGGTTATCTGTAAGATCCGAGACTTGTACTATTAGGATGATTGTTGGACACATGTGAGGATGCGGCGAAAGGGCTGCTGGACTTCTTATCAACCGGGTTTTCTGAGGGACCGGATGGGTTTAATATATGTTTCTTTGCTTTGCTGCGTGCTGTCCTGACTTCCATATTGAATTTGCTGTAATCGTATGAGGCACATCATCCAGTATCCTCACCGCTATCATGTCTTTGGACGGTCGATCACATGAACATCCATTCGGAGAAAGACAAAGATGAACCAATCGTGTATATTACTCCATGCGCAATATGCCAGGAGGCTGAGAAGAAGTCAGGTGTCATAGCCACATGCGGCTTTTCTCCTCGCAATCTAAGAACCCATACTATGCTCGGTCGCCCCTCCCCCAAACGCCAGGATGCGTATCTTATCAAAAAGACGTTTCCATACTAAGCGCGCCGAAGCCAAGAAGTCAGAGGCAAGAAAGAAAGAAAATGCAAGAGCACATCGACATCGTCTGAGCAGTGTCTGCCGCGGCTGAACGGAAGAATGCTTGCGCCATCCACTCGAGCCCATCAAGGCCTGACCACACCATGCCGTACCCAACCCAAACCACATAACTCCCCTTCCTCCGGTCAAATAGAACCAAGCCTCCTCATCTCCCTATACAGGGCCTCTCCCCTATCTCCTCTCTCACAATATGTAGCCCCCTCTCTGGTGCTCTAACAACGCACTATGGCGCAGGGTTCTCCTTGACAATCTGCTTGACCTTGCGCTCGTACGCCGCCTTGTCCTTTTTGAACAGGTTGAATGCGTCGGCTTGTGCTGGGCTCTCTGGGTTGGGTTCGTCGAGGAGTGATTGGATGCCCAGCAGGATCTCCTTGATGTTTATGGCGGGCTTCCAGCCTTCTTCTTCGTTGAGGATGGACAGGCACACGGTGCCGGAGGGGTAGACGTTTGGGTGGAAGAGGGGTGGGACGAATTTGCCTGGTGTGTGTAAGCGAATGGTCATGCAGCTGTACTCGGAGATTCCAGGTAAGGGAGTCTGTGATGGGATCGGGGTGTAGATGGGAACGTACACTTCGGTGGCTTTGTTGGGTATTCATCTGGGAATGCGACTTCGAGCTTGAACAAACCGCCTTCCCATATCGTCTTCTCTTTTCCTGGGACACCACATTCCCACCGCTTCAGGTCCATCATGCCGTTGGAGCCGCGCATGGGCTTTGCGAAGAAGCCGAAGGGGTGATCTCGTCGCCATGACTTTCTGGCTGCTGCGTTAGCGGATATCATATACGTGGGGAAATGAAGGCGCATACCTCTCTTCCGAGAGTCGGTTGACGCAAAGAGACATGGTGTCGGTGTAGGTATCAGGCTGGCTGTTGCGCCTCTAGCTTGTCTTCTGGATTTCCGTACTAAAGTACTAGTAGAGCGTGTGGTAAAGAGAGAAAAACTGCAAAGACAGCAGATTATATATCGCGAGCTTGAGACTGTGGCGTCGCGCTTGTAAAGGTGCTACGATTGGGGTAAAAGTGAGGATTGCAGACGGTAAGAGGACCAGGTGAAGTCGAGTTACGGTTGCACGTGACCTGACAACAATTATCGGGCGCCGCAGCGTTGGGATTCGGGGCTAGATCCCGTCGCGCGAAGGTGGAAGGTGCGATACGCGATCTGCCCCGCGCTAGGTCTTGGCTTTGGTAGCCCCGCTTATGTGATCCAATGCCTATGCGCGGGCCGAGGCTGACATGGCATGTGTCTGGTCTGGACAGCTGCGATCTTCTTTGCCTGTTCCTATTTGTACTCCTTGTACCCTATAGAACCCTTACCTTGATCTCCGAGTGAGATTACACTAAGATGGCGGACACAGCCGTAAAGAAGGAAGAGCAGGAGCCCGCCAAACCCGCAACCACCAGCACTGCCCCTCCACCCGCCGAAGTAGCCTCCGACCCCGAAGAAGACGACCTCTCCGACCTCGACGATGTACTCGACGAATTCGCAAACACGAAGCTCGACGCCAAAGCCCCCACCGCCTCTTCAATAGAAGCAGCCTACCCCAAGTCCAGCGATGCGCCGGCGTCCTCCGGGCCCGGCAGGCCAGCCTCAGACATCTCCCCCGCTGAACTCATGATGGAAGACCAAGATGCGTTCCAGAAACAGTTGCAGAAGGAGATGGAACAGCTACTGGGTCAGGGCGACTTCCAAAAACAGTTTGACGAGATTATGAAGGAGATGAGTGCGGAGATGGGGGGCGCGAATCCGTTGGAAGATCCTGCGCTTGGGCATGGACATGCGCATGCGCATACGGGTGAGAGTGCGGGCGAGGTGAAAGAGAAAGCGGTGCCTGCTCAGTCCGAGAAGGCGACTGCTGCAAAGGCAGAGAAGACCTTCCAGGAAACTATCAAGAAGACTATGGAGCGCATGCAGTCTTCCTCTGACACCGCAACCTCCGCAGCCGCATCCTCGTCTCAAGACGATATTCTCGCGCAAATGCTTGCGTCTATGGAGTCTGGTGGTTTCGGTGGCGGGGGCGAGGGTGGCGACGAGGACTTCAGCAAAGTGCTCATGGGCATGATGGAGCAGCTTACCAACAAGGATATCCTGTACGAGCCGATGAAGGAGCTGGATGATAAGTTCCCTGCGTGGATGGAAAAGAACAAGGAGAAGGTTGAGAAAGACGATTTGAAAAGATATGAGGAGCAACAGACGCTGGTCAGGGAGATTGTGGGCAGGTTTGAAAGGAAAGGTTACAGTGACGACAATGCGCAGGATAGGGAGTATATTGTTGAGAGGATGCAGAAGGTATGTGATTGCTTTCTCATGTGTGATGCAACAGGTGCTAATATTAATGTAGATGCAAGCTGCTGGTTCTCCACCGCCTGATCTGGTAGGCGATATGAACGCTGCGCAGGAGGCGCTTCAGGATATGGATCAGGGCTGCCCGACTCAGTGATCTCCTTGTGCGATAACTCGTCTGCTTCATTCTTCCCAGATACCCAATGTACATATGATGCCTTCCCCAAAGCAATCTGTTCTAGTGAGATGACAATATTCCTATCTTACAACGTGTGCAGAGCTCCCATGATGTCACCACCAAGTCGCCTTCTTTGGGGCGATCTCTTGCTAATCTCGAGAGTCTCCAATTTCGAACGGTCTTTCAACAATCCATCATATCCATATCCATCGCGTCCCCTCCGAACGCGTCTTGTGCGCGTTGCGGTTCCTGCTGATACTGATCATGCCCTGCCGTCGCGCACTCCATGAATATCGAATCATAGTCGTCATCATCGCTACCATAGTGCTGCGACCGCGCATCCGACTCTTGCTCCATTGACGCGATCAGTTGTTGTAGCTCGTACTCTTCTTGTGCAGCAACGTAGTCGGCTTCGGTCATCTCGGGATCAGATTGAGGCGCGTATTGTGGGAGTACAGGTAGTGTCGCGTCATCCAAAATCTCCTCATCGATGTCGTCATTCTCCTGGGGTGCTTGACGCGCTTTCTCGGCTTCCCAGCGCTTGCGCTCAGACACAAAGTCTAGTTGTTGGATCTGCATCATCAGTTAGCATCGTTGGTCGCGTCCATATGCAATCGTATCACGTACCTGTTCGCCTCGCGACTCCCACTTCTTGTCATCCCGGTTGTTCTGGACGCGCTTGAAGAACATATCCCTCCTTCGCTTGGTAGTGGCGTCGCGCGTCTGCATCACCGGATTGGCCTTGAACGCGCGTTGTGGCATCGCTGACTTCTCTTTGAGAGGTGACGACATAGTGAAGTCGAAGGTTCGTGGGGATGCATTTGCGGAGCGCTCGGATAGTGGTGATGATCGCGGTGGCGTGTATGCGGAGTAGTGCGGCATTTGGTGTGAGAAGAAGGATGTCGTGAGCATCATTGTGAGGAAGTAGTTCGGCGGTGGTAATGTGAAGATAGATCGTGTGGGAGTGTGGGGTAGACGTAAAGATGTGATAGAATTTGTGTGGATGAGGGAGGGAGGGAAGGTGATGATGCGGGCGCGAAATGACAGTCGCGCTCGCGCGATGGTAGGTGCGTGTCGATAAGTCACGTGCTTTTTCATATCGCGGAAAGGGTCCCGAGGTCTGTTCCACAGTCTTCTCGGTCTACCACGAGACATTCTGTGGACTTTCGTCGCGTTACGAGAGGTCGAACAAAGAACAGTCGCAATGCGTATTACAAGCATTTTGAGACCCTGCAGCGCCCGGAAGCTACACGCAATGACATAGCTCCGACCGAACGAGAGCAGGTGGCTCTGTCTCGCGACTAAATTCGCCGTTTCGGCCTCTGCATCTTCCATCGCCTAGCTTTCATCCCGGATCGACCCGCAACATGGTGCATATGCGGAAGTACTGGATTTGGCGGCTGCAATGTCGTTCTTCGAGCTTTGAAGTAGCCGCACCGCCTCGATGAGACTCTCCATACAAGACGGGCACGAGATCTAGCTCACATCCTGCTCCTGACTTTCTGTCGACGATGTGTTGAAGGTTCTGGTGATTTCAAAAAGAGGAGGCAGATAAGGTCGACTCACTCGCGTTCCGTATGAGTAACATTGATTTCGGAGAGGTTCAACTGTTCAGCAAAGCTGCTGGATAGATCAACAAAAGGTCGGTGTGCAATCCCGTAAGAACATCATCAAGCTGCGTCCGACTGTCCATAAGTTTGCCATGATACATGGTGCGCGAAGAAAATCTCTCGAGTCAGTGCTCACAGTCGTACAGTATGTTTGGTGGTCCACGTCCTTCTCCTGCATCCTTCTTTGGGGCCGTCTTTGCAATAGCGGAGACATCTTTCACCAGTGCATTGTATCCGTCTGGATCCCGATTGTTCAAGCAAATCTAGGACTTGATTTTTAGATTTTCAAACCCGTTTGGTATGATTTTACTGTAATGCTAGAGTTTCTACGCCGCACAGCCTTGTCTGCGCTTTACATGATTGGCTTATCATACACCTAGTCTGAAGCCAGAGTAAATCAGCACGAGTGCACGTCACACACGCCCAGTGTGGATTTTACGGATTGATGACGCTTTTGATCTGAGTATAGGTCCTTGTCAGCGATGACATGTGCAGCTAGATAATTGAGTCAGTACTGAACTCGCTTTCACGGTGGCTCAATGAGTGGGCTGTGTAGAAGGCTGAGGCTGTGCGGAGAGGATGTTGTAGATTAGGCATATATGGACGCGCACGTCATCGTCGCAAATTCCAGTCCCCCCCACAACATCCTTTCCTTCTTGAATCTCATCCATCAATTATCCGATATTACGGCATCCCTCCAACCCACTCGTTGTTCGTAGGAATGGAAGCTCAAACGTACACAAATCGACCACAGAGCCCCCGTGATGTTTCGACAGCCAGTGGCTCTGTGCCTATGCGAGAACTGCCCAAGAATGACGGGGCTAAATGCGCAAGTCCCACAAACGGACCTCCCACTGACAAGTGGGTCACTATACACCTTGTGTACTGCTCCGGCACTCATCAGGACCATCAAGGTCATCATTCATGCGCATACTTTCTCGATCTCCCAGCTCTACCTACCGGCGCAAGTCCTACGACACCCCTTCGTGGCCGGGATCGCTTGCTGGATATTGGGAGCTATCTGCCTGGACGGGATGGTTTTGATTTTGTGATTTACCTTGAGTACGACTGCGAGGCTCATGATGAGCTTACCAAGGACACCTCGACATCCTTTCCGAAGCCTTGCATACTTCAGGATGAGGGTATTGAACTCAAGAATCTACCTGCAGAGCCTATTTCCGAGCGATTGCACCTGTCAGAAAGTCTCGAGGAAGCTTTGCGGGCGTTATACGATCAGGATACCAACAAACACCAAGAGTGGGACTTCGCAGAGGATGTCACATACCCGTACACAAAGTTGTATAATTGCAGATGTCTCTTCATCGACCCAATGATACAATTATTGGAACCGCAACAACAGCTAGAACTCGAGAGACTGTTCCACTACCTGGCGGGGCGCCTGAACGTGGATTACCAGAGGCTGGCGGAACTGTCCGCTGCGGGAGTCATAAGTCAAAAGTATTGGCCACTGCTATTTCGACCAAATGATACGGTAATCACAATCAAAAACGACCAGTATGAGGCATTTGTGATCACATCTTGCCGTTTGATCAATCAAACCACGCTAAACATGGAGTGCTGGACCTGGGAATACAATGGAAACTTCTTTCGAAAGCACTTCACTGTTACCAGTGAGTGGCCCTCTAGCTCAAAGCAAGTTCCAATCACCCAGCTCTCGGCGTATCCCGTTCGCTACGCCGTAGACGGGGTTGAGTACAAACTGCGCGAGCGTGGCTGTACCTTCTGGGGTTGCCGGCGACGAAAGTACGTGAACTACAATGTGCAATCCAAAGGCCTGCGCCCGCAGCTCGTAAGAAACCTGTCACGATTGGCGTGAGCTTTACTGACTCAATCAGACTAACCTACGTTACATGGTCGACATGGACACGTACAGGTCGACTCACAGTGCTGGTGATTACACATTAAAAGAGGGCGAGTTCCCGGATGATGTCCTTGAAAGTGACGAGATCCCACAAGGCTCACTTGCACTTTTGCTTCCGTCAACTATTATTGGATATGGTTTTCACAACAGGAAGTGGGGTAAGTTGACGGGAACACCCAGCCGTACAGCTAGTGACGAAAAGCATAGATAAACTCCTAGTAGATCACATTCGGGACATCGAATGGAACAGCGGAGTCTTTGGACATCAGCTGGTTCTCACGGAAGCGAAGAAAGAGCTGATTAAGGCTCTGGTTACTGTTCACATCGATGACAGCCGTACCACTAAAGCAGACTTCATGGACGGGAAAGGCGAAGGGCTTCTTATTCTGTTACACGGAGGGCCAGGTACCGGTAAAACGCTGACCGCTGAGAGCATTGCAGAACTCGTCAAGCGTCCACTCTTCAGGTTATCGTGCGGCGATCTCGGAACCGATGCCCAAAGTGTTGAGAAGAACCTGATATCCGCGTTGGCCTTTGGAAGTCACTGGGATTGCATAGGTCTTCTGGACGAGGCTGAGGTATTTGTCGAAGAGAGAGCATCGAATAGTTTTCAGCGTAACGCGCTACTCTCCGTGTTTTTGCGCATCTTGGAAACGTATGATGGCATCTTGATTTTGACAACAAATTGTGTCGGCGTCTTCGACGAAGCTATGACATCCCGCATTCAGCTTGCGCTTCACTATCCACCGCTGGATACGGATAGCCGTTGGAGGATCTGGAAGAACTTGGTCCAATCGATTTCGGAAACCGGTGAGAATATCAATGAGGAAGATATTACCACGAATCTCGACAGCATTGCGCGGTATAAACTAAACGGTCGAGCAATCAGGAATACGCTAACTACGGCTCGCCAGTTGGCGCGGTACAAAAAGGAAGCTTTGAATCACGCGCATATAAACCAGGCGCTTGGAGTCGTTAACGAATTTCTCGAATATATCATGAGAACAAAGGAAGGACTCAACGAGATTGACTTTGCATTTCGTAGGGGCTGGAGAGAAGATTCATCCTTCATTGAATAGGAAGCTGAAAAGAAGTCGAAAAGGGCAGATAGGGAGTGCTCGGACAGCTCGTTCTCTCCACATCTTTCCTAATTTTCCTCCACAGAACATTTTCGATTTACAGTCCGGCTTGTTAGTTTCTCTGCTTTGATTTCATGATCAGTTAGGTTGTTCGGTATGATGTTGTGCGTGGGCAGATTTGGGAGCACGAGCAATAAAATATAAGTCGTTGAGGTTTCCATCTCCAGATGGCCAGATCATCAAGAGGCAGCTAGAAGAGCTGATATATAATGTAAAATTCCATAATCAGCTGTGTTTCACAATGCCTCCCGAAGTGTTCTACTTCTGGCAAAAGGCTTCCCATCTTGGTAACAATCGCGATTTTGATTTGCTAGGATAATCATAGATTCCCTTGCCGCAACTGCATTGCGCATTAATTCAGTCCTCATTCTGACGGGCCATCTAATCCTTGGGAAAAAGGGAGGGTACAGGTAGTAAGTTTTATGCTGAAGCAGCGGTACACACCGCCGCTTGGCGGACGACTTTGCCAAGGCGCTAACGTCGCGACGCCGAAATAGCCTCGTCGTTTGATGTTGTCGTGCTCCTCGCCCAACACTTCTCCCATTAGTAGCCATCTCTTTGCAATTTATTGTCTGAAAATCGATAGACCGCGCACTCGTGCGTACCCGCATCTTCCAGGCCCTTGCATTTGAAGCAGCAACAGCTAGCACGCTGTGGGTTCGCCACATTTGCGGCCGAAACCACATTAACCTTTGTTAGAGGCCGACCTCGCCTGTCATTGGGGTGCACTTTGAGGGACCGAGATTAGAAACTGACCATACACACTTCTAAATGCTCTAAGGCAAATCTAGATGCAATGGGAATGCGGAACACAGAGGTGGCCAGTAAGAAGGTACCATGGTGCATTAGCGTAGCACCACCCAGGTGAGAAAAGCTACGCTAGCTCCCTGCCGACCCACAAGTCCTATCGCCGCCTGTGTTGAGTCGGCTCGTCTCGCGTGGCGATATGCAAACTTTCACTCCATAGCTCACGATGTCTGGTGTTTAGTGGATGCAAATAGTTACCGTTCTTCTCTTACGATTAAAGCGGCGAAGCATGGAGCCTGAGAAAGTTATTGGACGCCTACGATCTTCCGTGGGTTAGACGCCGGTACTGCGCATCATGGGTCAACAATCGAACAGCCGCGAGGGGACCAAGACGGACCGCTATGGGATGAGGAGAGAGCGCGATGTGTTGCTCCTCTATGGCGCAGCTTTTCGCAACATTCCACATGTCGACAATCTGGAAAACCATGTACCCCGCTTATCCCCAGATTCGACGCTGACAGCCTTGTGTCAACTTACAGCTATCCGGATGGGCGCCCAGCGGTCTATGATATCGCTCCTCGACGATGAACGACAACACATACTTGCGGAGGCGACTTGCGACTTACCGCTGCGGCCAGAAGCACCAGGAGAAGCCCCAAATAACTGTTGGCTTGGGAACGTGAGCATCCCGCGGAATTGGGGCATATGTGAAAAGGTCCTGGAATTGGACCGAAATGAAAACCCAGTTCTCATCATCAACGACCTCACCAAGAATCAGGGGACATGCTTTCGAGACGATGTCCAAGGGAATTCTGATATGCGCTTCTACGCCAGCGTCGCGTTGATGTCTCCTAATGACGCAATAGTTGGATCGCTTTGTATCTTCGACACCAAGGTCCGAGACGGTCTCTCCAAAGAAGAACTGGCTTTGTTTAAGGACCTGGGCTCTACGGTCATGAGCTACCTGAACACATATACGATCAGAGATCAGTACAGGCGAGGAGAAAGGTTCACTCGAGGTCTCGTCTCTTTTGCGGAAGGCGCATCTGTTCTGGCTCCTTTCGAAGGAGAAGTTCGGCACGATTCGACAGCAGTCGTTCAGACATCGTCCGATTACTCATCCGCGGCATCCAAAACGGACATGGACGGAGCGAAGGATACGCGAGATAAAGCTAAAACGGAACAGATCACTTCTGTTCAATCACCATCAGCAATGTCGAAGACAAGTCGTGCCAGATCTAATCGACATCGGTCAATCGGTACACTTCGTAAGGAATTTCCCTACCCAAAACTCATTCAAGATACGCACTGACTCGATGCAACAAATCTAGAGGATTCTATTCTACCCACCGACTCGAAGTCAATGTTCTCACGTGCTGCAAATGTGATGATGAGCTCGAGCGATCTGGACGGAGTACTCATCCTAGATGCGAGCGTTGCGGCAAGTGGGGGACAGCGTCGTGGCAACAGCGCATCAAGAAGCGATACCGACGCCCCCTCCGAATCGTATCGATCTAGGTCTTCGAGCGATGAGGCAAGCTCCAATAGCACCGAAGGATATGCCCGTGGCACTTCTTCGTCAAGTTCCAAAATGTGTCAGCTACTTGGAGTAGCAACCCCGAGTGACAAGGAGTCGGAATATGGGACTTTGCTGGAGCCTGACCTTTCGCGCTTATTTCACGAATATCCCCATGGTAAGATCTTTACCTTCAGCGCTGAAGGCTGTTCCTTATCTTCGAGCGAGGAAACGATTTTGAGCCCCAAAGTTGCTGAACATCTGTCACCTGCCCCGCCATCGAAACGCAAGACAAACGACCGACCGAAGCGGGGATCGGCTGCTATCCAGGCGATGTTTCCCAAGGCACGCAGTATCGCTTTTATTCCCTTTTGGGACTTCGAAAGGGCCAGATGGTTCGCCGGCTGTCTGTGCTGGAGCAACGATCCATACAGGCTACTGTCAGCATCTGTGGACATGGCATATTTCAAGATTTTCAGTCACTCAATTATGAGGGAGCTCTCACGACTAGATGCTGCGGCCTTGGATCAGGTGAGTAAGTGAAAAAGCCACCGATGTTGCAAGAGCTGAAAAGTCATCACAGGCCAAGTCGACGTTCATCTCTTCCGTTTCACATGAGTTACGTTCGCCCCTGCACGGCATACTTGGTACACTAGAGTTCATCAAAGACACACCGTTGGACTCATTCCAGACAAGTATGATGAACTCTTTGCACGCTTGCGGTACGACGCTCCTTGATACCATCAACCACCTTATGGACTACGCCAAGATTAGCGAGGAGATGAAGATAGTTTCTTCGAAGAAACTGAAAAACGAGAATACAATACGGCTATCTGCTAAGCCAGTGAAAAGCCGGCGAAGAAAGATTTCCGCATTTGATCTTGGGATCGCAACCGAAGAGGTCGTGGAAGCAGTATTCTCTGGGTCATCATATATTCCAGCCACCTCCAAGCTCATGGAAGCCCCTATATCGCCTACAGATGAACACGCAGTCTCGTTTCCTCAACGCAGAGCACGTTTTATCGTTTTCGATCTGGCTTACGATGATGATTGGGTCTTTTCATTTCCAATTGGATCGTGGAGAAGAATCGTGATGAATTTGTTTGGTAACGCTGTCAAGTATACTGAGACGGGGTACATTCATGTTTCCTTGAGATCCAACAAGCTAGCTGAAAATGCTGATGCGCCTGCAGCGATCACACTCACCATTACAGACACTGGCTCAGGCATGAGTTCTAGTTTTCTCGCAAACCGCCTCTTCCAGCCATTCTCCCAGGAGAATCCCCATGCGCCGGGTACAGGCCTGGGTATGAGTATTGTACGTCAGATAATTGACACGAATGGTGGCAAGGTTGAAGTTAGCAGTGACCCCAAAATCGGCACTAAACTCATTGTCAAACTTGCCCTTAACAAGTCAGAAATACCTGGTGCGATAACGACTGAACGAGCGCAATTTCTCTCTTATCTGCCAAGGTTAGAAGGTCGGAGAATATGCATCCTTCGCAAGAAGATAGAAAGACCAGCTGAAGACACAAGTCTCTCCAAAACGGACGAAGGTCTGTTACGCTTCACCAACGCACTGGTTTATACCTTGGAGACGCATCTTAAGATGGAGGTCGTGAAGACAAATGAGTGGGAAGGCCATGATGCGGATATGGTTATCTGCCCGGAGTTGTCGTTTGACTACCTCGCCACGATCCGGAAACGGAGGCTCAACGGTCAACGCGCCCCAGTGACCATCTTTGTGGGGATGGATGCTCTCGAAGCAGCGACTTTGCGCTCCGACGTCCGCGTTACCAACAGGGAGTCGGTAGTTGAGATCATCACGCAACCATGCGGACCCTACAAACTCGCATGGGTTCTCAACCGATGTCTGGACCGTTACGAACATCCAGCTGAGAACCTACAACCTGCTGGAATATCTAGTCCGCCTCCACAGCCCCAACAACAGTCGCATCCCTCTACGCCAACGAAGTCGATGCAGAATACCATGGAGTCTCTCAGCTTGTCGTCACCAGAACCAGTCGCTCCTTCTACCGCTGGATCTACAAGTGTGCAGCACTCGCTCACATCGCCTCCTCAAGAAGAAGACCCTGTGATATCGCACACTCTCATTGTGGACGACAATGTGCTGAATCGACGACTACTTGTCGCGTTCATGAAGAAGCATGGCCTTCAATTCGAACAAGCGGCGAACGGGCAGGAAGCTTTAAATAAGTACCAGGAAGCAGCGCGCAAATACGAAATCATCTTAATGGATATGTCTATGCCGGTCATGGATGGTATGAGCGCTACTCGTGCGATTCGCGAATACGAGAGAAGCAATAATTTGCCACGGTGCTCCATCATCGCACTTACTGGCTTAGCGTCTTCAAGTGCAAAGTTGGAAGCATGGAGTTCGGGAATTGATCACTTCATGACGAAGCCGGTCAATTTCAAGGCGCTTGGAGAGCTTCTCCGAAGTGATGAGGCGCGAAGACACGCAAGAGCGAGAACTGAGGAAAACGTACGGGCAGGCTGAAGAGCTCTCTAATGATGGGCCTAAAATGTGATCATAGCGCTATAGCTCAAAAGCAACAGCCGCTTTCGAGACGACAACAACAGACCAGAGATCTCTTCAGCCGTAAGAAGCACCATCAGGTTCAATGAACCGCCAACACCAAGTATATAGTGCCAAATGCACAGACACCCATACACAGCTATCCATCCTACTCTTCCTCCACCGTCACAGTGAATTCCGGCTTTTCCAAGCCATACAGCACCCTCCCATCTAAAACCCAATTGAACAAACAAGCCCCACATCCCGACAGCGCGCCAAAAGGATTGATCTCCACCAACTGCACACTCCCATCTTGTTGCAGCGCAACATCATAACTGAACCCATACCTCAAAAGTAACCCCACGATATTCCTACTCAGCTCTTTCTCAGCAAACGCCATAATGTCCCCAAACACTTTCTTCGCCCCTCCATCAACCAACTCAACAGTCTGCTGCAAATCAAACCCCCACGGCGCTTCAAACCCCATCGGCCACCTATACTGGCTAATCGCACTGATCTCAAACTCGCTCGCAACCGCCTCTCTCCCCGTCCTCGCAGCCGGCGACGGAACGAACACGCGAAACTCCTTTGCAGGATCCATGCCCTCGTCCCACGGATTCAACACGAGTTTAATCTTCATCTGCCTCCCTTCCTTCCTCGCATCTTCAAACTCACGCGTCAAACAGCCGTACGCGCGCATACTGGAGCATATCTTCGTGATGACGTCTTCGCAGGTTGAGCTGGGTGACTTACCTCCCATGGGCGAGTCTTTGGGCGACATCTGATCGAGGCGGATGAACCATTGCCGTTTTCCATCAAGGAGGCTAGCGAGTTTCTTGCCGGATTTAGTGCAGAGGAGTGTTTCGACGACGTCGTTGAGGAGAGAGGTGTGGATGCGGGATGTGGATACCCAGGCGCTGTGACAACGCAACAGATCCTCGTAGAGGAAGCTAGGGAGGAGGATCTCGTGGTATTCGGTTAGGTTTTGGGAGGAGGCGATTAGGGGGTGCCAGAGTGTGTAGCCGTATGCTGTCCAAGGAGGAGGTTCGTGGGTGAAGTGTGGATTTGATGGGACGACGGGGGTTATTTCTTCAAGACGGTGGCGTGCGGTGCTGAAGCGTTGGGAGCGGGAAGATGGGTTCGAGGAGTCAGTGTTGGCGGCTATGGCGGCGGTGTCGGTTAACACGAGGGAGTAGGGGATTTTGCGGAGGTGCATTTTGGGGGTTGTTGGGGGCTTTTGATGGGGAGGGAGGATTTAGTAGTCAAATGAAGATTGTGAAAGCTTGATGAAAGATGGGATGGTGTCTGTTATAAGGTAGATATATATCGTTGATGTTGGACGTGGAAGGTGTGTACCGTGGTCGCGATGGAGTCGCGACATCCACATCTGGAAAGGGAAGGGCGTAACCACATTTGATCATTCGAAATTGTCTATTTTTCCCTTTCAATGGAGCGAAGAGGCTTAATCATGAACGATGATGCTTGGTCGCTGAATCTCTCATGTATTCTCCTTCGATTACACTTACACAACCCACAGTCTACCGGCCCAACATGTTGTCCACTCGGTCATTTACTCCACACATTCTTCACACTGACCTATCTCAGATTCCTCCCTTCAAAAAGGTCGATTGCGTATTCCTGTTCATTGTTAAGGTTCTCACGTCCCAAAGCGACAAAACGTACCTCAATCCGAGTCTTTCTAGGACTCTTTCGAGCCCAGCCCAAACGTATCAATCTACCGTCGCACACATCCACCTGATCACCCACTCATCCCCACAAGAAAGAATGGAAACACCACTTACCTCCTCCCAACATCCCGTCCCTCGCAATCCCTAAAGGAAATGGTGCCTAGCACTTGGAAAACATTCAGGATGACACACCCGCACACACGAATACCCTCGAACAAACCTCCCTCTCTGAGGGCTAGGTTGGCGCTTCTTTGTGCATACAGGTGAGTTGTCTATCCCTCATCCCACTGCGTGACTTGCCGAAACAACAGACGAAGATGAGGAACAGACAATGGAATCCTCCGCGCGGAAGCAGGGATCAGAGGACTGTCTAGATTCCCCTGACCTGAAATGGGGTATTACTTGTTCATCGCTGGTACTGGAAATGAGATTGGAAAGATGAAAGAGTGCGTCTGCATCCCTTAGTGGGACGAGCAGAGAGGCATGATAACTTGGAATGCGGAAATGGTGATGGACGAGGGATGCGGGGGGCGAGCGTGGGAAGAGCAGCGCGCTCGCGCGAACGGGTTTGGTGGGATGGGTTGGTAGAGCCATGAGATGCTTGGCTGGGGGACTGGGGGACTGTTAGCATGGCGGTGGGAGTGTGAGACAATGGGACGGAAGGGGGAGGAGTGAGTGACTGGGTGGTTGACTGATTAGAGAAGAGGATGTAGGGAAGATCGTGAAGGCTGTATCTATCTAGTGGGGCTGGGTTTGCTGTCAAGCAGCTGATATGATCAATCATGCGTGTTGAGTCTAATTGACCTTTGTTTCTGCTCGGAAACTCGGGTTTTACCTGCGTGATCAATACAGCTGCACCCTAGACGACGATATTAGCATGACATATGTCGACAGTGATTGCAGGGTACATGAACAAAAGCTGTACAGCAACAAGATTACATTTTCCTGCCTATCCTACTCTGGAGCCTTCACAGCCCATGGTACTATATCTCTCTATACGCCAGTCCCTTGAACGCTAATGCAGGAAACCAAGAATAACATCAAACACCGTGATATCGTGCGAACGAGCGGGCGTGCGTGCGAAGAGCAAGGTCGATCTGGCAGAGCAAGTACGCGCCCTTCTTATCCACTGCGCAATCCACGCCTCCGGCTTGAGGCCTGCTGATCCGCAGCCAACAAAGCTTCGATGCCCGCCGCCTTCGCCGCCTCTCTCGTCTCCGCTTCTTCAGACACACCTTATCAGCAAGAGTGCCAACAAATCAGAAAGAAAGAAAAAGGAAATCCCCAACGTATCAGGGATTACCTCTTCTTACTTCCAGGCCTGGGCTTGCACTCGTCTCCTAGAATGGGGTGGAGTTTGATCTTGATGGGGTAGTTTTGCGTGTTGCCACCGTAGCCCTTGCTCCAGTCGTAGCTGACGGCGTAGGCAAAGATGTTGCCGTCCTTGCTGAAGCCGGTCGCGACGATGCTGCCGCCAACTTCGGGGTATCCCTTGAGACGGTGCTTGGCGTCCTTGTCCCAGAAGTGGAAGGTACCGTCGGAACCGGCGGTGGAGAAAGTGCCGTGTTGTGGATGGAAGGAGATGGCGTTTACGGAGTGGACTTTTGCGATGTCGCGGTTGGCGGGGTCTTGTTGGCGGTGGCACTTGAAGGAGAAGTTGAGGCTGAGATGGGTTAGATGGAGTGATGAAATATGTAGACGTGGGAATGCTTACCTGGTATCCTTGTCTTCGACATATTGAATGGCGCATCGTCCTTCGATGGAGCCGACGGCGAAGCCCGTGGCGTCTGTGAAGCAGCTCACGACTCTTGTCTGCCACTTGAGAGGACTGGTGATGGTCTTGTAGATGGTTGTGGGGTTCGAGAGGTTGACCATATGGATGTGGCGCTCGGCGGTTGCAATGACGAGCAATTGATCTTTGATGTCCATGCTGTAGACGCGCTCCTGGCAAGTCAGAGTACCGACAGGCTCAGCGCCCTGGAGGTCCCAGAACTTGACGGTCTTATCCCAGGAGCCGGTCGCGACGTAGTCCTTGCCGCCGGTCTGGAACCAGCGAACGCACTTGATGCCATTCTCGTGGGCTTTGGCTTGTTGCGCAGGGACGGTGCCGCTGGCGGGGGCAGTACGGAAGTCGACGATGTTGAGCATACCTGTTGAGTCGCCGGCTGCTATACGGGTGCCATCCTGTACAAGTTAGCTTTCAGCCATGACTTCCTATCACCTTTCTAAACGTACCTTTGACCATCCGAGACCCAGAACATGACCCTGGCATTCGAACATCCACTTTCCTTGCGCGCCATTGCCGTTGACCTCGTAGATGTAGACCTTCTTGTCCCAGCTTCCCACTGCGAGGAAGTCGTTCGTCGGCGAGAATTGGAGGTCAGATATGCTGTCGCTGGGCACTTGGCCGGCGGGGACTTCGACGTCTTTGCTGGTGTCACCGGTGGTGGAGCTTGTAGATGCGGCCGCTGCGGGCTGACCGAATAGAGCCATCTCTTCTATTTACGTCCCTTTCGCTGGGCGCGTCCGAAATGCGGCTGTTGGTTGTTGCGAAGCTTTGCGCGAGGTTGCGGTGTTGATCTCAAGCTTAGAGGAGAAAGCAGTTCGTACGCGCTCGTATGTAGTTTTCCTGTCACGTGGAGATGTTTCGAGCCTGGCAGCAGTGAATATGGTTGCTACGCGCAAAGAATACCAGATGACTTTATGTTCTTCACCGACAACGCGTTCAGCAAAGAAACAGGCGCTGCACCAAAGCTCTCCAGGCACCCTTGCAGGCGCCAGTCCGCCTCTGCCTAGCGCGCCTAGCTCGGCCCCCGGCCTCCGCCCCATCTTAAAAAGTTTCCGTCACGCACCTCTTTCTTCTTCCAACGTTCCTCGCTCGAAGAATCGCAACGAAGCTCACACACAGAGCGCCCGCAAGGGCGTCTCGTTTTGCGCTTTGGGAGAAAGTCCCCGGACAACGATCTTTCGCGATCGCACTTTCAGCAACGAACCGCCATAGAAGCCGCGGCTTCCATTACCGACTACGACTCTTTCCGCGTCTCTTTATCCGTTCGCACTCCCTGTTGGTTGGCATTCCGACGCCGTGGGTGGAGGGGCTGGCACCTGGATGATGATATGAGTCCGTTGGCTACCTTGCCCACATGCTGAGGTCTGCTGCAGTACTGGGAGGAGGAGGGAGACACCGGGAAGCGCCAGGTATGGAGGGTCTTCTCGTCCAGTTTATGGTTATGCGATTGCCTTCCTGCACTTTGGTCAATCAAGGTGTCATGGATGGTAACTCAATGGGGCTTATTCTTGAGGCGAGGAACGTTCATTCACCAACACACTTTTCGGATCTGAGGGTAGACGCTCTCTGACAACGGTTGGAGTTGATGGGCTACTACGCGCTTGGTCGAACAAGCCAGATTCATCCAGCCATACACGGTTCATATGATGAGACACATGGAAATAGAGTCAAGCTCTGAGGCTGTCTAATCCCAAAGTGGTATGACGGCCTTTGCTGAATTTTCTACGACGGTATCTGATGAACCTTATGGCTTAAATAGTCTTGAATTGAAAAAAATCGTATCATAACACGTCTTGCTTCTCTTCGCATTCTCGACTCTTTCCTGTGGTATCATCTGTGAAGCTTTTCATCCTTTCTCTGGTCTTCATGCCTCGCTGCCAACAACAAACTCTTTGACCTCCTTGTACGCCTTGTCCAAATCGTCGTTGATCACAATCTTGTCATGCGGCGCCTGCCCACTATGCGCAAACTCCATCTCGACCTTCGCCTGATTGAGTCTCTTCAGGATAGCCTCCTCCTTGTCCGTCGCGCGACTCCTCAACCGCTTCTCTAGAATCTCCATAGACGGCGGCTGCAAGAACAAGAACCGCGGGCGAGGGAACGTAGGGTGGTTTGCGACTTGCTTAACGCCCTGCAGTAAACGCTGTTAGCACAAGATGCGCTTCAAGGAAACAGCAAACGATGACTTACCTCCATCTCGATATCCAAGATACAAATTTGGCCCTTCTCGGCAATGTCGTTCACAGCCTTGACACTTGTACCATAGTGATTCCCACCAAACTGCGCATGCTCCACAAACCCCTTCTTCTCTACCAGATCCAGAAACTCTTCTTTCGTCACAAAGTAGTATTCTTTGCCATCTTGCTCTTCTCCCCTGGGCCCGCGCGTAGTGTGCGATATGCTGAAGCCGAATTTGCCGGGGAACTCCTCGAAGAGGCGCTTTAGAATGGTGGATTTGCCGGCGCCTGAAGGCCCGGAGATGACGATGGGTTGGTTGGCGGAGAGGGCGTCTTTGGAGGCGGGGACAGGGTCGGTGGGTGCCATGGTGGGAGGATGGGTGGTAAAGGTGCGGATAGATTGGGTGCTGAATGTGGGTTTTGTAGGGAAGGATGGCAGCGAGGGGTGAGTCAGGCGTAGATGGGAGGGTATCTTTAGGCAGCTACTTGGTGACTCTTTCAACAAGTTTCTGGAGATTCGCGAGAAAGTCAATGGCATGCCTAGTCGTGAATTGGGAGCTGTCGGGCGCGGCGGGGTGTGATTGGCGGTCAGACTAGGGGTCTTGCTGGTGTTTGGTGGGGCTGCAAGTGGGATGGCGGCGGGACTGGTGACATCGCGTTTTCGTGTTGCCCGTACTGACGACATCGAGCTGGAATTTAGCTCTCAGCTCCAAACACTGCGCATGTTACGATAGTCGCGCCCAAAAACAGGTCGGCGGAGCTGCAGATAATCCACTATGGTAGGCACCTTCCTCGGCGCTCTCAACGTCATTCTAACAACTCATAGTCGAAACAATACCTCACCCTCCACACGGTCGACTCGGCGCATCCCAAAGCAAGCGATATCTTCGCCGTAGCACCGACCAGCACCCAACTCCTCTCCGCCTCCGGCTCAAGCAGCATCAACGTCTACGACACCACACAAGCCGAATTCCCCGTAATACAAACACTCGACAAGGCGCATCCACTCGGCATACACCACCTTGTCACCGCAAGAGAAGAGAAAGCTCGACGGGCTGCGAGTGCAGGCTTCGAGGGCAAGGTCAAGATATGGAGTCAGGGCGAAGAGGGTGTGTGGAGTGAGGATGGGGAGATTGTTGGTGGGTACGCCTCTATGCTTTCTTTGGGATCGCAGGAAGTGGTGTTGTAGAAGGAGGAAGGTGCTGACAGCTTTGACAGACCAGAATAAACCCGGTGAGATTTGGGCTATTGCGCTGAGTGCAGATGGCCAATATCTCGCGAGCACCAGTATCAACGGCAAAATCAACGTCTGGAGCCTCAACAAAGAAGAGGGTATGCCCCGGATACGCGAGTACGAAACAAAAGGCAGCTTCGGTCTATCTGTGGATTTGGTACGTCGCCCTCCTTCCCCCATCCCATCCCACACCCCACTAACCCACACATCCAGAGTCGCAACGGCACGTACACCGCTTCCGGCCACGAAAATGGCTCTATCTATGTCTTCAACAACGAAACCGGACGCCTCGCGCACTCCCTCTCCGGCCTCGTCCACCCCGTCCGCGCCGTATCCTTCTCCCCCGCCTCAAAACTACTAGCCGCAGGCGGTGACGCACGCATCATCGCCCTCTACGACGTCACATCCGGCGAGCAGGTCGCAAACTTCACGGGTCACGGTGGGTGGGTGTTGAGTTTGGATTGGAGTGACACGGGGGAGTATTTGTTGAGTGGGTAAGTCATACCCATACCCATCCATTACCCATCATCTACCATTCCTCACCTGCTTCACTACCATACGCTTCCGGACAGTTGGAGGTACAAGTATGGACTTCTTGCTAACACCACACCTCACAGATCCCACGACTCAAAAGCAAAAGTCTGGCGCATAGAAACGCGGTCATGTGTAGCCACGCATTCCCACGGCGACAAACCGCTCTGGAGCGCAAAGTGGTTGCCTAAAGCGCCGGGCAAGAGTGAGATGTTTGCGTTGGCGGGTGGGAATAACTCGATTAGCTTTTACCGTGAGGCTGCTGGTTGAAGGAAAGGGGTGCAGAAGGTGACCGTGTATGTGCTGAAGCAGATGCAAGGAGCTGAGAGAGGAAAGAAAAATCTTGGAGATGGCGGCGTGATGTTAAGATTCTGGAGAGTTTCGTGGGAGCAGCATGAGAGAGCTGGCAAGGCTGGGAAAAGATTGAAGATGGGCGGCATGAGCGTCTTATAGCTGAGCTCGGTGAAGACAACGATTCCAAACCTCATTTTTTAAACTCACTTGCTGTACACCTTCGAGTCAGACTACCTCAACACTGGTACATCCCCAATGAATGATTTCCAGCAATACATTCCGACACAATAGAGTATTCGTAATGGTTGGTTTCAATGTAGCAGGTTCCTCTGCTCTTTTCGCGACGAAACGCGCTCATATACACTATACACTCCAAAAGGTAGTAAACCTTAAACGACATATCCTCGCTAAAACAGTGCCCTCTCATCGTCCTTTTCATAACGCCAGAACACCATTCCCTTGCCACCAGAGTAACGCCCTGCTCATCAACACAACAGCATGAAAGCAGCCCGTGGAAACTACACCGGTATCTCACGTACTAGAAACCCCAGCCCCAGCATTCTCAACACCAGCCGGCACATCAACCCTCTGCTTCTTAGCCTCAGGCCCCTCACTGCCCACATCTCCATTCCCATTAACACCCACATTGCTAACATCCTGCAGCGCGGCTCTTTCTCTCTTGACACCCCCGGGACCACCAGCACCACCAACAGGATTACCATTACCAGGCCCCGCACCGTTGAACGTAGGCGGCTTGTACGCACCACGATTCGCACTAGGACTCATGGCATAGTTCGGTGCGCCGGGCATGCCGATGCGGCGATCTGGCTGCATGTGTGGGTTTACGACGTTGGGGCGGTTGAAGGAGCCATTTGATGTGACGCCGGGTCGCTGAGGTGGTGGTTGAGGGGCAGGCGGTGCGCCGACGGCGTCGCGTTTGATGGGGATGCTGCGGGCGTGGTCGACGCCGGGGGTGCGTTTTTCTTTTGGTATGGGCGAGTCGGCGTTGGGGTTGAAGGAGGGGAGGTTAGTTAGGGAGGCGGAGTCTGAGGCTTGGAGGAGCTCGGCGGCGCGGGAGGTTACGAAGCCTACGGGGGGTCGGTGGTTGGGTGGAGGTGCGTTTTGTGCGGGTGTGTTCGTTTCTTGGGCTTGGGGTATTGGTCGTGCTTGGTTTGGTGGGGGTTGTGCTTGGGGTGGGGTTGGTCGGAGAGGTTGATTGTTAGGAGCGGGTTGTTGATTCTGTGGCTGCTGTCCTCCGGGCTTCGAGGCGGCGCCGTTGTCTATTGCTGGCGGGGCCATGCGACCGCCATTCTGCACAGGTCGAGGCTGTTGTTGAATAGGGGTTTGTGGCTGTCTTCCGTTCTGCATATGAGGAGCAGGTCTACCGGGTGCCTGGTTCGGTTGCTGCTGTTGCATGCCAGGTTGTCCACGTCCGGCTTGTGGGGGTCTGCCGTTGGGCTGGCGAGGGGGTCCTGTATTGCGGACAGGTGAAGTGCGACCAGACGATACACCATTTGGTTTCGCTGGCTGTATAGCGCGCGGTGCCGTCGTGTCTGGAGCGGACAAGGTCTCTGACAATGAGGACTCGTCGCCATGGCCCTCTGAGACATCAACTCCATCGAACAAGTTCTCGTCCGCATCGTCGTCAAAGTCAGCTCCGAACGACTCGTTGTTCAGGTGATCTGTACGCGTGCGAAGGACCTGGTTGGGCCGAACTGGTGTCTTGTGCGGCTCCTGCTTGACTACAAGTTGCTCCTCAGGTTGTGGTGGCGGTTTGAAATCATTATGTCGGTAGAGATTGTCTTCCTGGAATTTGATGGGCTTGACCTTCATAACCTGGACCTTCTTGAGATACTCTTTGTCGTATAAGCAGTTGCCGAGGACATTGCCGAACGTGCGTAATGAGCGCTTCAAACCGTCTGTTGCCGCCTCTTTCTTGGCCTTTTCAAATGAGGCTGCTTTGCCCTTGCCGTTCTCTATCGAGCCGTAGCCAATGTCCTGTCGCGATTTTAGCAGGAATGAGATGTAAAGAGCGACTTTATTACCTCGTGATATGTGCCATCCTTCAGCGTGATCCTCACTACTATTGAGAGACCCAAGCTGACCTTGCCGTTTTGATGCTCGTCGACCTATCTTTGTCAATATGCATTTCTCTCCCCGGTAGACGAAACATACGTAGTCGATCTGCACCTGCCCCAGCGAGCTTGACCAGCCATTGAACCCAAAGACTTCATTTGCAAGCGCTATCGCCTTGTTCCCCTCCAGGTACGCCACCTTACCACCGCCATTACCCGGCCGCTGGGATATGTATTCCGGACCGAGTTGTTTATTTAGCCGACTCTGCAGTGTCGCGATTTCCGTTGCTGTGAAGCCGTTTACGACGCGTTCTTCGAAGGGGTTCTTGACGTTGCCGCCGTTGTATTGGTCGCCTGGCCTGCATCGTTGTTAGCGGACTTTGTTGGTGTCGAGGATACCGTGTGTGAGGAACGCGTAAAGAATCTGTACGTACGCAGGCATTGTTGTTGTTACGGTGTGGTGAGCATGGGTCGCCGCTTTGCTGAAGTCGAGGCGTCGTGGCTGAAGATGACGCGCCTTGGGACGGCAGGAACGCGGTCGCGCTAGTCCCGCACTCACGTGCTCACAAGGCAGCATCGACCGGACCCACACCCGAGTGCAACACTAGGAAACCTCAACCAGGCTTCAGCCGCCTAAAGTCTCCATATACTCAGTATGTGGAGGCCCACGTGAGATGGGGCAATACCCAGGTATGCGCGTTACCATGATGCACCCATCATATACCAAGTGTGTGCTTGCAAGACAAAGTGATATAATTCGGCACCCTAATACGCCTGCAATGCTATAGTATCCCAACCTTATGTGTTTGTAAAGCGCCGTCACGAACATCCCAATCTATCACGATGCTTCCTTTCTCCTGCCGCGATCGCTCGAGCTAGCCTCCTCCTCATCACTATCGACGCCCAAAGAAAATGTGGAGTCATTGTGCGACTCTCGACCCTTCTCTGACCCCACGCTCGCATAGCCATTTCTTGGCTTCTTCGGCACGTCATCGAGATCATCGAGCTCCCGTTCGTCAAAGTCGGCAGCTTCAAGATCTTGCCTTCGTTCTTTTCTCCGGAAGTTGTCGAGGCCCATGCCAGTGAGAAGAGACTCTCGTCCTTCGTCATTGTCGGTGCCCTTGTATTCGCTAGTTGAGCGCCTGCTGCGCCACCATAAGAAGCCGCAGAGGCAGGCGACGATGATGACAACGACGAGTGCGACCTGGCCGGAGCGGGCGTAGGCCTTCCACTCTGCCGCCTTGAGCTCCTTGGTCTTGTCTTCTTCGGCTTGCGTCGAGTTAGGGTGGTCGCCAACGCTTGTCAATGGACCCTTCTCGCCATCGATTAGGCTGTCGGCAGGAGCACCACCGATGGCCTCAATGTTCACGCCCATGAAGCGGTCGAGCATGTCCCGAGTGCGTCTGGGGTAATCAAAAGGAACCATGTGGCTGGAGTTGTAGAAGACAACATATGTAAGGTTACGGGCCTCCTGCCATGTTCCAGCAGCTTCGCCTTCGAACATCCAGTCCTGCTTGGCGTTTTGTACACCAGGGGAGGCTTCAAAACCCTTTCCGCCGTTCCACTTCATGTTGCCAATCATAGCTTCTGTGCCAACGTGGTTGCAAATGAAATCCTTGTCGCCAGAGAAGAGGAGGACCGGAACCTGCTCGATGAGTTCGGGTAGGAACTTGACAGCAGGCTCGCTTTTTCTGGCACGGAAATGTCCAGAAACAGCGCCGTTGCACTCCTGCCAGCCGGTCTTCTTGTCGGGGTTGATGTGGAGAGCCTGAATGACATCTGGGCGGCGGAGGTAAGGAGTGACCTGCGCAAGATCCGGGGGCCAGTTCATTCCACAGGACGAGTCGTCGCGGAGACGGATGTCGTACATGTTGAGACACTGGTTCATCGTATCGGCCTTCCTGTTCTTGGTTTCTTCCAGGATTCTAACCATGATTTGCTCGCACTCGCTCGTGTCAACGGTGTTCATGCCACCTTCTTCGAGCTTCTTGACACATATTCTCTGTTGCTCTTCGACGCGCCTTGCCGAGTCGGTATCAGCCCGCATGAGGCCGTTCTGGTAAGCAAAGGGTATGTAGGCGAGATACTGATCGACGGGCGATATCCAGCCGTTTCCGATCATAAGTCCCTTGAGCGCCCATGGTGTTTTGGAGAGATTTTCTTTGTTTCGTTTAAGGATAGCGCGAGCGATGTAGGGAATGTGTTGTCCAGCGTACGATTCACCGGCAATGTAAAACTACCACATGTCAGTATCCCGCGGGTCCACTTAGTCAAGCCACTCACATCGTCATTCTCGTATTCGGGGAATAGCGCAAACCACTTCTCCAAAAAGATAATCATGTGGTCGGCCATCTGGTCGAGTTCAGTGAGGTAGCTGTTGGTGTTGACGTAGCTGAAGCCGGTTCCGACAGGCTGATCCACAAAGAGCAAGTTTGCGAACTCGTCCCACGAACCATTGTTGTATTCGAGATTGCCGCCTTCGCGCACTCTGTATGGGCCGACTTCCATCATGGCGCCGTCCATCGAGGAGCAGCCTGGCCCGCCGTTCAGCCATAATACAGTGCGCTGTTTGTCTGCGATGTGGCGGTTCTCGTAGTGCCAGAAGAAGAGGTTGCCGTTGTTCTCTGCATCCACTTCGATGTGTCTGTGCGATGGAGTCAGTATTGCTCTGTACGCGCGCATGCCTTTCCCAGTTCTGCTTACCCTGCGTGCATCTTCAGCAACGGCTTCGGCGCACCGGGCAGGTCATGTATGAAGTAGTCGGCCTGCGTCTTCTCCTGTGCCATTATGCTTGGTAGCCATGATACCGTCGCTAGGAGGCCACCCAGGAGCGCCGTCCGCCATCGCAGCGGAAAATGTGAGGAGGCCATAGTGAGGCCGCGTTTCGGAGTTGAGGCCGCGGAGGTTGCGGTGCGCAGTCGCTATATCATGGGAAGTGAAGGGAAATAGGGAACAGCGAGTGAAGGCAGAGTAACGATAGGTGAATGCGCAGCCTGGCACAGTGTAGGGTATAGGCGCTGAGATGCGAGAAGATCGGACTCCAGAGTACAGCTTAGGTGGCTACTGCGGCGGCGGCTGACGAGTCCGAGTTGGGATCCAGAACAGGGGCCTGTCAATGTAGATCGTGAGACACAAGACACGCGAGCGATCCACAAGGAGAACGATAATTTCAACGAATAATCTTACTCTTCAACAGTCGAGAACGAGCGAAGAAAGTTAACTGATATCAATATTATTGCGAGATGCCTGTTGAGGTACATCTTTGGGGTAGATATCGTCCAAGCTTCGTTCCACAGCCAATCACACGGCACAGTTCCGATTCCGGCTACTCCCATCTCCGCGTCTCGAGAACGCGCATCGCGCCCCAGCATCTGACACGATGCAGCGTTCACTCATGCTTCACACATGTGTCAGCTCCGTCCTCAGGCCGCAAATTTTCCGAATGCGAACTCCGAATAAAATGTACACGCGTCCCTAGCCGCCGATGTTCGCATGCAGTTGTCAATCTCATATCCCAAGGTTCGCCGGGCTGACAATAACTCTTTGGACTACGTAGACTACTATCCCTTTAGCACCAACTTGTTATGCCGTCATTCCGCGCCAACGTGAAAGACGTTCTAGAGCACCACAGCATCCGATTCGGTCCGTCTCGTCGATGCCCCGACAGAGAGCTAGAGTCCCGCCTAGTACTACACCGCGGACCCCTTTCCAATCCTCGAAATGCTTTTTTGGAATTCCCGCAAGCGGTACATGTCAATGATCGTTGATGACTGTGTGCCACAGTGGCGCATGCTCATCTTCCGTGCTGTTGGTACGCGAAGATGCGCGCCTGAAATGCGAAGGCAGCCCATGTTCAGAAGAGATCGTTCAGGCTCTTGGCTGAGTCTTTGACGATCAGCTCACGCATTCCCTGTGCATCCGATTAATATCGCGTGTTGAGGCATGGCAACGTCGGATACGCTTACCTTGGGCATGATAGGTTCCCCGTTATCGTCCTTGACGTAGCGGAACGGCATTTGCGTGCTCTCGTTCTTGTTGATCTTGAGATCAGGATGGTCGATGTACGGGATCTTGTCGACGGGTACTGCGCCTCGTCAGCACCTTGCATCAGCTTCTGAACTGTTCGGCATACCCTTGTCTTGCACGCAAATCCTCGTGACACGTACTGCTGTGTCGGTCGTCATCTGTACTGGTCCCAGGCGACGCCCTTGGTATCCTTTCTTGCGCAGCTCCGAAGTACGGTCTATGAGTAAGTCAGTGGACTGTGCACATTTGGAACAATGGTGACAGTATTACACACCTCGTGGTGGATCGTCTCCTAGTCAAGAGTTAGCTCTTTCCAACGCATTTCTTCTCTGGATGAGCGCGGATGCTTACCAAGTATACCGCCAAACAAGAAGATATCGAATGTCTCGCCATCTTCTGGGCTCAAGTCCTTGGCTGCTGCAGGATCCAGTAGACACACCTTGTCTTTCTTATCGGCATAGATTTCTTCAATACCTCTTGTCTCGACATTGAGTCCCTTGGCGCCCTGTAGGTTGGCTGGCAGCTTCAACGAAGCGGGCACTGAAGACAGCAGGAACTGTGCGCCGGATGCATGTGACTCTGACGCGATACTGGAGTACTCAAGAGATGACCACTCCTCCAGCTCAGGGTCTAGATGTTCCACCACAAAGGTCTTGCCGGTGTCAGCCATTTTTGGAGTCTCTGTGATTGGAGGTGGGATACGCTCCCGGCCTTGTGTATTTTTTGGCGTGATATTTTACTGCAGTGGTTAAGCGAATTACTCAACGCGGGGCTCTGTAAGATGTTCTCAGGCTCGATGTCGTGTCTTGCTTCCTGTGTTCTGGATCGATGGTGAGAACCTTGAAGCCCTGCAGTAGTATCTCGCTAATCAAAGTAGGTGGTGGTGGGGAGCATGGCTGACCTTCAGGGTTTGATAAAGTCTAGAACTAGCGCATCGAAGCAGCCTATCACGCTCAAGCAACCGTCTATCGTGGTAAGCGGGGAAGCATGCTTTCGTAGTTGCAAGATAAAAAAAGTGCATCGTGATTCAGTCCAATCAGTGTTCCATGTGACGTCGCCGCGGCCAAACTCCAATGGCACAGAATACCGACACGGCAAGCTCTATCGAGCTGGGCCCTGGCGATCATGGTGGGTTGAGAGGCCAATGGTGTGCACGCGTGACGTTGTTAAGATGCCGCGTCTGGTAAGGTCCACGGCAATCCAGCGTGCAGCGTGCATCCGACCAACACGCGTAAGGGCTAAACGGTTACACTTTTCGCGGAAACGGCTGCTTTGCCTTGGTGTCTTTGTGCCAGTTGCGTCAATTCATCCGTCAAGCAAGCCACGTTTTGGGAATTGTTCACGTCGGCCCACTCGTCGCCTACATATCTGCTGCATCTGCCCCTCTTTGAGTGACAACTTCGAGCGAGGCAATTGAAGAGACAGCAACACCCAAGTTTATCACATCACCCACACTGTTCTATATATCCTGCCTCTACAGAGCGTACTCGACCTCCTGCAACTCTCAGCACCACTTTTACTTTTTGTTTTTGTTTTGTTGCTCGATTGACCTCGTGCAGCATTCCGAGCAGCTGGAACCTCGGGCGATCCAGGCTTATCGCATAGTCGAGCTGGATAGAGGGGCACTCCTCCCATTCCCGCCCAAACATCGTCGCTTCGACAGCACCAGAACGACACACCAAACGAGTCATAACACGTCGACGTTGTTGTGTTGTCAGGCAGCAGCAAAGACATACGCCCGAGCTTTGTCGGCACCCAATCGTCAGCGCTGGAAGCCGGATCAATCACATCTATTCACCCTGTCCCTGTCACATAACGGGTAACGGTACTCGCCCAAAGTGGTCAGCGCGAGCCAACGACAGCAACTTTTAAACAAATTGCGACCCTTGACCCTTTTCTGAGTCGACCATACAACAAAGAATCCACACGACAGACACTCTGCGCCCTTCGCGAGCAGCTGCCCCTCTAACGAACGTCACTTGCGATCCGCAACACCACACTCCTCACCACCACAACCATGAACCCGCACCAGCAGAACAAGGTCGATGTCAGCGTACGTCATAGCCGGAGAAGCCATGCGCAACCTCTAGGAACGTTTCCAGCTAATGGTGTTTTAGAAAATGTCGGAGCAGGAGGCCAAACTCTTCCGTCTCTATGGCAAGCTGCCCAACAAGAAGGACTTGCTCCAGAACAAGTTGAAGGTACGAGAGCCTGCAAAACATCCACATCCCTGCTAACAACGGTCGCAGGAGCGCAAGTACTTCGACAGCGGCGACTACGCCCTTTCCAAGGCCGGCAAAGCTGGTGACGTCGGTGTCACCCAAGTCGGCCGCGAGCACCCCAACCCCGAAAAGATCCCACACATCGCCCCGCCCACGCCCACGGGCCAGAACGGCAACGGCAATGGCAACGGCCACAGAGACAGCGTTACCGCCAACGGTCAAGGCGAGTTGGCAGGCAGCCCCGTCAAGGAACACACCTTCATGCACCGCGAGACAAGCCTGAACCGCGAGACCTCCGCTTCAGACTTTGAGAACAACGAGAACGTCGAGGAGGGCGGCGCAGTCAAGGCATAGACGGCAGACACTCGTTTGCCGCTAGCACTTCTGCGCGCTCCCCCTTTGCCTTCCTTTTGCTGCACTCATTTGGCGCAACCTTGGATGACGGGTGCCCAAAATGTATACATACGCACCCACCCTTTTTCGAACGGCCTGAACCCGGTTCTCATCGTCATTTACGGAGTCGGATGCGGCGTTCCCGGATGAAGCGAGCTTTTCTACCACATGGCCAGCCGAGCCTTTTTTGTATCGGCGCCCACAAACGCCTTTCGGCAAACAATAGTTTCCTTTGCATATGAAGTCGGGGAGCACAGGCACGTTCTTCACTTCTTCGTGTAGTATGTTTGATAGGGGATGAGTGGGTTTTGCAGAGACCGGAGCATGTTCCGGGTGCTCTTGCAAGGTTGCCAGACTCGGATCTTTCACGGCCGCGAGCGTGTATGCTTGTTTGAGTAGAAGATTATCGTAGCAATATGATTACTGGAAAACTCAGTTTTGGCTGTTTAGTTGCATGGTGATGACTTACAAGGTTGCGCGTGTCTATGGAGGATGCACTAGTGGATATTTGAGCACGTGACTCGTTGGTGCCTGACACATGAAGCCCTGAAGATACGTAAAGGGCTTTGTATGTGCACCCACGGCGAAAGTCCCTTATCGTTTCGCAGGCTTCTCTTTTAAAGCTCAGGAGTGCTATTTGTACTTAGAGCCCCTTGCTTCCAAGATTAATTATAAGCCGCCATCCTGCGGCAGCGGCTTCCACTGATGGAAAGGTTTGTTGTATGAGGGAGCTTGTACACAAGATATACATGCTTTGGGATTGGATTCTGGTACCGGATATCAAAACCTCCAAACTATCCATCTCGCGCAGCCAAGCCAGCATCTCAAATTTTCCGCTCGATCACCAACGTCGACTCCCAATCGCAGAGGTAAATAGGACTAACCGGCGGTGCCAACTCCTTCCTAGTCCAACGCGCGCCTTCGTCCTCTCCTGCAGTGATACCCACGAGTCGCCGTGAGCCTTCCCTAGCAGTCTTCAACATCTTTTGCGCGAAGGGCCACTCCGTTCCTCCATATCTAACATGAACGCAAACCTTACGGAACCGCCCACTCCACCTCTCATCAAAATAATCCACCATCTCTTCTTCGCCGTCCAGCCACTCCCTACAGTGAGGGTGGATGTACTCACGTCCACACCACATGCGATCCCAGTATAAGTCCAAACACGCGTTCTCACCGAGTCCACGACGAATACAATCGAGAAACTTACCGTCATCCTCCCTCGCCTTTTCGAAGAAACTTGCAACTTCGCCTGGAGTGTAATCGAGACGAAAAGGTGTGCGCAGCTTGGGCTGCACAGTACGACCAGGCTGGAACGCAACGCTATCAATATTGCCGCTTCCACCGTAAGTCAGACTGTTGAAAGCAGGTCTACTTCTTCTATCACAGGCACCGGGTCATCGAACACGAACGTACGCCATCGACGGAACACATCCATCGCTTCAGCGTGGATCTGTTTGTTGGCTAGCAACCGTTTGGGCAGACCGATGATTGCATAGCCGGGATAGTAGGGGGATGGAGTCGTGAAGCAGCGCACTGAAGCCCGGACGCTGGTCTCTTTGCTGGCGGTGATTGCGCGGGGGGATGGACCGAATATGTAGGCGTATGTTTTTTCTCGAAGCTCGGCTGGAAGGTCGAGAAGGCGGCTGTGCGATGAGGTGGGAGCTGATGTAGCCGACGCCGTGAACTTGGATGTTTCGGGGTGGTCGAGGTTTGAGGTGTCCTCGATGCTGCCGCGGTTTGTGCATGTGGAGCTCATTGTAGCTTCCGAGTTGGCAACGAGTTGATTTGAGGAAGTCGGGGCAAACGGTGTGATGCGAAAGCTCTCGACTTTTGAATTAGGCCATGAGAATACTCCAGGCAGCATTTCAAAGTGGAGGCGAGAACCCTTCGTTGCGCCTTCCTTCATTACCAGAAGACCGTGCCCACGATCACGAGCTTCGAGCGCCAAACCACCAGCCCTTTCGCATATAAGAAACAATCGACGCCGAGCACTCCTACGACTACCTCCCTCATTCATCGCCCTACTCGACATCATAGCTCACTCATCGCTCCACCTGGCTGCCACAATCGCTCATTATCACTCAAACCCATTTCCCAAATATAACCCAGACGACGACATGGCCACCAAGAAGAAAGCACCACCCAAGAAACGCGCCTCGTCGCCGGCAAAAGGTATTCGCTCCTCCAAGCGCTTGAAGGTCCAGACATCAAAGGCTCGGCCTACGATCTCGACTATTCCCACTCAGGAAGAAAGCGCGTTTCTGAATCTGCCGCGTGAGATCAGAAACCAAGTGTACATGCAGTTGCTTGAGGGACTAGATCTTACATTCCGCGTGAACAAGCTGATCGTTGCTGCGAGACGGAACTCAAAAGGCTACTTTCGGCGCTCGAAACTAACTAAACGAGGCCTCCTGCTATGGTTGCTATCAAGCCAACATATCTGTTATGAGGTTTTGGACTTGATCGCGCGTACATACACCTTCCAACCTTGTGGGCGCCCAAAGCTTGTAGAAAGCGAAATCTACGAAGGAGTCCCGAACACGCTCGTCTTCACCAACGGCGGCGTACGAAATATCAGGATGTTCCCTACCTTCCCCTGTAATGCTTTGAGCACTGGTTCCGCTGGCGACCAGTCTGTTGCTTTCTTGAAGTTAATGGACAACGTATCTCTCAAGGATGCCGATCTGGGTATGGTTTGGCAATACGACAACGAGCACGCCCGGCAAGTCTGGAAGCAGAACGAACCCGCTAAGCTTACTAATGAATGGGGCAAAGATTGGGAAGGGAAGTTTCGCAAAGTCAAGATCAGTGTCGCGGTTTTCTCAGGACCTAAGAAAGATACCAAACCATTATTCATCATGGATGATGCGGAGAAGTGTGCGCTGAGGCTAGTCGGTAAGGGTGGAGCTTTGTCCTGGGAGGATCGCACCGATGTGATTCGAGGGTTCTGGGGGTATAGGTTGTACCAGACAACGGCGTGGGTGCGACATGTCACCATGGAGCGGAAGGTGTAGGTAAGCAAACGCATCCAGGAAGAACACATAACTGGTTCTGCTACCTCATTGGCCCATTCTGATTCAAAGCAGTCATGAAAATGGATCGGATAGTCGAAGAACGGCCACTGCAGTCCTAGCCAATGTCGTCGTCCATATCGAGGCCTCGGTCTTCGTCGGAGATACGACGCTAGCCACAACCAGTTAGCTCTATACTAATACCATGGCTATTTAAACTTCGATCCCACTTGTGGGGCCATATTCTCTTCTCTCTACACCAATCTCCCATTGCGGTGTACGTTCCCGAAGTCGTCTCACGCCTTCCTGTCAGGTTCTCGCCAGATAGCAACACCTCTCAACATGCATCTCCGCAACGAAAAACGCTACTCACCTGACGACGGACCCTACATTCCCCGTAAGCGTCGCCAACTCAGCACCAAAGAAGATCTTGACCGAGCAAGACTCATCACCATCCAAAACGAACAGTCACCACTCTTCACCCGCTTGCCTCGCGAATTGCGCGACATGATCTGGGAGCACGCATTCGGCTCTGATGAAACCGAATTTCATTACCGCGAGCTCGCTATAGTCGCCAGCAACCGAAAGTACACCTACTGTGATGACCAGTACCGGGGACTTCCTGACTGGCTACTTCTGTGCAGGACGATTCTGGGAGAAGCGCTCGAAGTGTTCTATACGACGCAGACATATGCTCCAAACAGGGATTATGGAAATTCAAGACCAAGACCAAGGCCAGAAGGTCAGCGCAGATGGCTTGGTGGGAAATCCTGTGGTCGCAGAGCCCCTCCAAACCCGGTGTCTCGCAGCAAGTTTAAGAATTCACTCCTCTTCAACAAAAGCATCAAGAAAATCGAAATGACGTCTGAAGTCAATTTAACTTGGCGAGGGGCTACATGGTCTTCGCATCCAGATCTGTGGTTTATTCCGGATGAGATTGAGATGATGTTTGTGCGATACCTGCAGCGACTCCGCCTCGATCTCAAAGACATCAAATTAGTGTGCGAAGTAAAGATCTTCTGCTCCGCATGTTGTAGTGCGCACCCATTCGGATACAAAGAGACTGTAAAAGGTAAGGGGGAAAGGAGACTGGACGGTAGTCTAGAGGGGCTCCATGGGCACTGCAGAGGCCTGACTGTTGAAGTTGAGAGACACCCATGCTCGCACTGCGGGTTGAGCAGTTCTGAACAGCTTGCTCAGGCGAGTGAGACGGTGGAGACATGGGCAAAGGGTATTGTTGGTAGCGATGTAGAGGTGCACGTGCGCGATGAAGAGAGGGACGAAAGCTATCCTGGTCAGGGAGCAGTCTTGAGGACTATGAGAGTTTGTAGGCGGAAAACATGAATGCGCAGTAGTGCAGCGTCTAGACTTGGGGGCCGAAAACAGCGAAGAAAGCCAGGCTATCCACTGCCAATACTATATATCAACAAATGCATCATCATACCCGTCCCGCCATCCCCCCTTTACTCCCCTCATCTGCCCCATCCCCCACCCCCTGCTGTTCAGGCACCCACTCGCTATCCTCCACACTCTTAATCAACTCGTGTACATCAAGCCTCAAATCCACAATCTCCCTCCCATTAACAAGATCATTCTCATCCGCCCTCTTCCGCGCTTCCTCCTCGTTCCTCGCAATCCCCGCCTTAACATGCCGATGCACCAACCTCTTCCTCGCAACATCGAAATCCACATCCACGAACCAAAGTTCATCCATTAGTTTGGCAGCTTCGTTCCAAGGCGCCTTGTTCAAAGAACAATAGTTACCCTCGAAGATGACGATGCGGACGGATGGCGCGATGGCGATGTCATTTTCGACGGGGTCTTTGAGCGCATGGTCGAAACTGGGGGCGTAGAGTGTTGAGCTCTCTGGACATATGGGGTCTCGTAGTTTCTTCACTAGGCTGTAGAAGGAGTCGCCGTCGAAAGTAAATGCCGCGCCTCTTCTCGCGTGGGCGCTGTCTGGATCAGGCATTGCGTCAAGTTGTTGGCGCGAGAGGTGAAAACCGTCCATTGGTATGAATGCCGAGAGTGGGTTGCTATTAGCGGTACCAGGGGATTGTTGTGCATGTTTCTCGTTGAGCTTGGTTGACACGATGGCTGCTAGTGTTGTTTTGCCTGGATGTGGTCAGCGGGTTGGAGGGTTGGGGTTCGTGCGTGTACGCGTACCGGACCCTGGGATACCGGATACTGCGATTAGCAAGCGCTTTGATGCAGGGACATCTTGATATTGGTCTGCAGTCTCGTCAATATGTGTCTCATATTCCGACTTGTAGTATTACATACCCCAGACCTTGTTTACTAGGCGCTCTACTTGTTCTTCCATATTGATGTAATCTTGAAATGGCCCCAAAACTTTCCTGTGTCAAAAATCGCGTAAAAGTCTTTATATCTTGCTATCCTAGAGTCGATCGGGATCGCCAGCATCCAAGGTGGGATGGTTGGCTTTTAGTTCGCTCATCCGCATTTGCAGATTGTGGGGGCTCGGCGGCGTGAGTGGACCGCTGACGTCGCGCGGGAGGTTGGCGGGTTGGAATAGCTGGCATCCTTGTAATCCTTTCAGCCCTGTATCATGTTTTGGTGTCAAGAGTTGGTGTTATCCTATGTAACGTGTACTACCTAGGTATGCTCCGAGATGCATCATAGAAAGGTTGAAGTTTCTGTGGCATGGAAGGTAACGAATGAGTGCCTTCGTAGCAACATGCGGACAACCAGTTGCTGTAACTGACCCAAACCCCATCACAGGCGAAAACAGCTGTAGATCTTTCGAATGATGAGTAAAACGAATTGTGATTCTTATCGCGTGCGACTGATTGAAGATGGAAGTAGAGTTCTTTTGGCCATGGCGTAGCGCGTCATCCAATCACAACCGAGCAAGAACCAAGGCCGCTCTGCCTGGGCAAATATGTCCGATATAGCCGGCGCGTTGCTGTCGCTGTCAGCTAAGAGCTAATTCAACATAGCAGAGATATGCCCCGAAGCCTCGCGCCACCGCAGTCGTCCCGAAGAGCTTGAGAGCAATTGGTCAACGCGTCGTGAAACGCGTCGCACCCGTCAGACGTCATCATGCTCCCGTCAGCCCTCCTCGCGCTCCTCTTCACGCTTCTCCCACACGCGTCCGCCGCCGACCACAAGGTACCGACTAGCAACGAGTCGCTGCTATGGGGCCCTTATCGTCCCAATCTGTATCTGGGCCTGCGCGCCCGCATGCCCAAAAGTCTCATTGCGGGCGTCATGTGGGGGAAGCTGGAAGATGTAGAGACGAGTAAGTAGGCACTATGAAGATATATGAACCGCGCTAATTTATCGAATAGCACTCCGGCATGACGTGAAACAGAACGATGGCATGGCCAAGTACGGATGGATCTCATACGATACACGGGAAGGCGGCCGACAAATGATAGAAGACGTCGGAAACAAAATAAATCTCGTAACCGAGTTCATAAAGCACTCTGAAGGCCAGAGTCAGGGGAATTGGGGTTTGCGCATCAAGGGCATGCCCAGACCTGATGCGCCCAAAGACCTCAAGACTACCGTAGTCTTCTACATTGGCATGGAGACTATGGAAGCCTGTGCTGACTGCAAGCTCGAAGCGCGTCAGCAGTTTGAGGCCGATGAGAAGACGGTTCAAGCTGTGAATATGAATATTGCGCATCCGAAGTTGGGTAATGCGGGCATTCATATCCCTGTACCCATCAATGCAGATGAGAAACGTGAAATAGCGTACATCAAGACGCTGAATGTCACAGAAGATAGGCTGTGGCAGGGCAAATGTAAGTACAATGAATGCCATGATTTCTTTAATTCCATCTACCTGTGATTTGAACCTCTCCATCGCGTCATGAATATCTAGCTGATGAGCCTGTGCAAGAAGCCACCTTCTTGGAATCGCTGAAAGACCAAACGAAAGACCGCACCGATCCAGGACCAAATGATATCGTACTGCGCAACGCTCCGGGCAACGGCAATTTGCAGCTAGTGCAGATGGTGTGCCATGGGGAATTCGAGGTCAGCACCATGATCATATGTTTATACTGAGACTAACCTCATGCAGTTTGACATCCTGTACTCGAGTGATACTGCGAAGCGAGCGATGACCTGTGAGTGTTCACCTCAACATATCACATCACAAAGTGCGTCCGTATACCCATTATGCTAACGCGTTCCAGCCGCTAGTCTTACTACCAGTCTAGAAGACACCCTCACGTCCTTCGCCAAGAACTTTGATGCAGCGTTCACCCCGAAAACACCCTTCACCACCGTCATGCATCATGCCTTCTCTAGAAATACGTTTTCGAACTTGCTAGGTGGACTAGGGTATTTTACTGGCACTGCCAAGGTCGACACGTCAAAGAAAGCTATCTACGCTGAGACTACTGCAAATTTCTGGCAGAAGTCAGTTGACGCAAAGAAGCACACAACACCCCAAACGAAAGGCCCATATGAGCTTCTCACACATACACCATCTCGTGCAGCCTTTCCAAGGGGCTTCTTATGGGATGAGGGCTTTCATCTCCTTCTCGTCGTTGAGTGGGATGCTGATCTCGCTCTCGAGGTGATACGCGACTGGCTCTTAAACCTCATGGATGATGATGGCTGGATAGCAAGAGAGCAGATTCTAGGCGCGGAAGCCGAGGGTGCCACGCCTGCTGAGTTCGTCACCCAATTCCCACACATTGCGAATCCGCCAACGATGTTTCTGGTAATCTCAAAATTCATCGATATGCTGAAAGGGACGACAAAATATCATGGTCACGACTCCCTCTACCTCGCCAAAGCAGAGACTGGGAAAGCTTTGGTGACGAAGATGTATCCGTACCTCAAGAAGCACTACGATTGGTTCCGGAAGTCGCAATCTGGGGATGTTGAGGCCCATTCAATCCCATCGGCCAACTTGAATGAAGGCTACCGATGGCGTGGCCGAACACCAGGAACGAACTTTGCTAGTGGATTAGACGATTACCCACGAGCGGAACCCCCCGACATCACCGAGTTACATTTGGATGCCTTGTGCTGGGTCGGCGTAATGGCACGAACACTAGAACGCATCGCGTTTTTCACTGAAAACGCCCACGACGCGCTCACATACCAAAACCACATCCGCGGCGTTAAAACCAACATCGACACCATACACTGGTCGAAAGAGCCCAACATCTACTGTGACGCCGTCGTACGCAACGACCTACACACGCACGCCTGCCACAAAGGCTACATCTCCATCTTCCCACTCCTCACCGGCTTCACCGACGCCTCCCACTCACATCTTCCCGCCATGCTAACCCTCCTCCGCGACCCCAACCATCTCTGGACCGACTTTGGCGTCCGCAGTCTAAGCCCCGAAGACGAAGCATACGGGAAAGACGACAACTACTGGCGCTCCCCCATCTGGATAAACATAAACTACCTCATCCTCACCAATCTTCTCGATCTCGCTCAAATCCCCGGCCCATCGCAACAACGCTGTCGCGAAATCTACACCGAACTCCGTAGCAACATCGTTCATACGGTGTTCAATTCGTACCTCCAAACAGGATATATCTGGGAACAGTACGACCCTGTGAAAGGCGCTGGACAACGTACCCAGCATTTCACTGGCTGGTCGGCGTTGGTGGTGAAGATCATGGCTATGCCTGATATGGAGAAGGACGATGGCGTCACGGAGAAGGTGAAGGGATATTATGAGGAGGCGAAGAAGCAGGCGGTGATGAACCAGAGGACGGGGGCGGGGAGTGTGGTATTTGCGGTGGTGTTTATGGGGTTTGTGTATGTTACGCGGAGGAGGTTTGCGGGGACTTTGAGGGGGTTGCGGAGGGGGAAGTGAGGGCTGGGTGTGGACGCTGATGGAGGTAAAGGGAAACTACTGGACTCGGCTGCTCATACTATATTTACGCGTTTGCTATATCTAGGATCCTCTCAAGAAGATGAGCCATGAGAACTACGCGGTGTATGTAGTTTGTTTAATCGGAAGCCTGGACTTAAATTAATACGCAGTAGGCTGGTCAGCTTCATTTCTTCCATGATAGAAAGATCTAGCAAGAGACATCACATGCTGAGCTGCGGCCGCACGCGTATGTTTGTAGTGGTATCAAGTGGACGAAACCGAGATTGTTAATCGGAGCTGGAGTGTTGCTGTATTGATGTTGGTGACTATTGCAAGGCAGCAGTCCAGATCCTCAGTATCATCAGTGCTTCTATGCGGCATGTTTAGTTGAGTCTTCGCGCCTGACATATGGCCCTGAAGTACTTTTCTGTAGTATTTTCATACTCGTTATAGTCGTCATACGTGTAGTACACCTCACCCGTGTCATTCTCGTTCTTCAAGAAGAAGTGCGTGCTTCCGCCAACCAATTCCCTCGCCCATGCCTCAGTCGACTGACATAACCAGCGAAATGTTGTCTTCTGTGCTCGAGGATAGGTTCAGCCCAAGCATTTGCAGTACCAAAAAGCCTTCGATGTTTTAAATAACTGTGAGGGACTTTGATTTCCACGGTCATGCTTCGGCACCGTCCGCGAAGCTGTTTGAAATGATCACAGATCTCAGCGCACAGGAACCTTGTTGTGCCAATCTGGTACTTTACTTGGATTCATGCGAGATCCTTCCGGATGATTAGAGAATACCTCATAGCGTAAGTCCAGTTCCGAAGGATTCCATAACGCAACGCACTGCAGACAGGTATCGTTGTATCTGGGATGCCAGCGCCTCGGTGATGGTAAGGAATCCCCTACCACTTCGAGTGGCTCATTTCGTTTTACATCGCGTATGTTTTGGTTGACATCGATTCAGTCCTCTTTTGGAAGACAATAAAGCATGCAGCCAGCCTACAAGAGGCCCTAGCAGGATCCGATTACATCAAGCAACATGAGATCGACCGCAGACTAGTACACTTCAAGTCGGAACTCAAAGACACCTTGCACGACTACGCTATGAGGGAACGTTTCCAACTACCATGCAATGTACCGCCTTGCTTTCACGGCATGGTTCGCCGTATCACCTTGGGTGAGTACTTCATCCGTTTTGATAGAAATGCCGGTGAATTCTGGGATTCTGCAAAAGAAATCTCTGCCAGGAAGGCCTGGCCGCCACAGCAGTTTTACGAAGAATGGTATGCCTCTTTTGGAGGTCAGCAGATGACACTACCGGCAGGAGGGGTACCGGCGTTCTTTGCGATGTACGAGCTTCAGGAGCTCTAGTGTGGAACACACCCATGGAAACGGGTGTCTCCGGATGGCTCGGAAACTTTTGAGTATTCATCATCTGGATTGTCATCGTGATGGCGAAATGGCCAGACTGACGCACATTTTCTTTGACTTGTCTTGTTCGTAGCAACAGATAGCAATGTGATCAAACTAGACAGCTTCATGTAGGAGATACAAATTATACGTTTGCAATACTTAATATGGCTCCACACTCATATTGGTCAATCTGTCTTTCTACCGCTTCAAACAAGAAAGCAGCGCACGCGACAAAGACATGTGAAGAGAGGGACCAAGAAACAGGCAATCTGCTGGCTGAAAGATCGGGTTGAGAGTGGGCTTCATAGCCTAGATTGCGCTTTCTGACAATCCTGCGATATTTACATCATCTACCTATCTGCAAGCACCCTTATACCCATCCGCTTGAGCAGCAGCGAGGTAACGGCAGAGACTATACGTATCCGTGTCCTTGTAGTAAACCACAGCAACCGCACCGCCATTACCAGCGGGCCACTGACTTCCCTGCTGCCACTGTGGAACGCTGATCTACAACACAAAGAGCGACGAGTCAGCACCATCTCGCTACACCATCTCTCACGCGATTCTCAATCTCAAGAGAAGGAAACCACCGGAGGAGAGAAGAACTCACCCATTTGTACGTGTCGTCTTCGTTAGAAGGGCACTTCTTTTTGTCTTCAGGCGAGCTTAGGCCGCGAGATGCCTCGGGGATTGCGGCCACGGTAGGCCATTCCTGGACGACGATGTCTTGGAGTTGGGCTGCTGTGACGGCGACGTAGGTGCCGTCGTATTTCTGGCAGGCTGTGTCGGAGAAGCCGTTGAACTTTGCGGCTAGAGTTGAGGCGGCGAAGAGCGTGGCGGGGAGGAGGTACTGAAGCTGCATGTTGAGGTATTTCTGGGTGTTGGGAAGTGAAATTTGAAGTGGTGACGCGCGACTGTGGATCTGGAGTAGCGAACAAGTGAACGCAGGATGTGAAGATCTTTATTTATTCATCATAGTACCTGCGTATTGTAGGGCCGAGATATCTAATATTTGCTCATGCACTGGATTGCTAAGAGATGCGCGTACGTCAGATATGCTGTGCTATGCTGCGATGCGTTGGAAACGCGGTTAATCATTTCACTAGGTACCTAGGTAGCTTACACACTGGAAACACTGAAAAAGGAGATATCGCATCAATCATCGTACGATTTGACACATGCGACAGCTCAAACAATCACTCGAGTAGCGCACGAGGTAACGACACGGAGAAACTTAACGCAATGATGCGGTGGACTTGGCTGACAGAGGGCTGACAGAAGAGCAGATTGTGTGCGTGTTTACATGATACCCAGCCGGGGGTTTGACGTCGGACCGAAAATATAGTGTTGTTCATTCATTGTGCTTCACAAAACATCCGTAGTACGTCGCAAAGGAGATGTCCAGACCGCTAGAAAGGTGGCTGAGCCGGCTAATCAAACGTGGCTGGAAAGACAGAAACGCGCCGAATTGACGCCGGTCGCGCACTAGGCAATCACACCAATCCTATCAACATCCGGCGCGTACGCACATCCACTGCAAACTGTTCGTATCAAACAATTTCCTAAAAAGTTCCTATCAACTCCCGTGGGAGCCAGCTACATAGATACAGTAGTGTAGGGAAAGTGACGTCACCTGGGTAGGAACGGCATGACGGCGATGACGGAGACAACTAGACCTCCACTACAGACCTTTCCTCAGACGAGACGGATACGGTGCATACCAGTCAAAGGATCATAATCCAAGCCATCCAGGATATCTGCATCATCATTGTGCTTCTTCAGAATCTCATCCTCGTCCAGAGTCTTGCGGTCTCCGTATGGGCTCAATTTCGTCAAGCCGATCCTGTGGAACACTAGCCCCGCTTCACGCTTCTCGAGCTGCAGAATGAGACAGGTGAGATACTTGGATGCTCGTGCCATCTTTCGGTCGGTCCACGCACCCAGGACCACGAATACTCCCGCGTCAGGACCTATAATTCGCCTTTTCTCTTGCTCGTTTTCGTCTCTCGCAGGGCAATCCAGGTACACATCGGTATGCTCATACTGGTCGAGGGACCCACGACCGACCAACTTCCACTTAAATCGATCTGACCCATTCTTTAACAGAACCGCTTTGCGTAATTTGACTTGTAGTACGATATAAGCATCCTCGAGCATACCAAATGCGTCTGATTGCGGCCGTGGGGTTACCGATACCTCTTCGACGATGATGAGTATGTCTTGGTCAGTCACCTCACCATATGTGATCCCGTTCCCATCATCAGTGTCTATGGCAGTCCAAGAGAAGGACGGTGCCCTGTATAATGTCGTCGGTGGTGCTTTCGTAAGATGTTCAAATTTGCCACCGCCATCATGCTGGAACGTTGGCTCAACATACCACAGCAGTTGACTTGCAAGGTGCAATGCCCACATGCCAGCCACGTACTGGGTGGTTCTTGAAGGGATAGTGTGACTGACCGCGATCTCGGAGGGAACCGCTGCCCGCACTGTAGCCGCTGCTGGAGTCTTCTCAATCCTTTCGGACATCCAACGAGCCAACCCAGATAAAGCGATGAGTTTATCTCCAGGAAGTGTAAGGACTGTCTTGCAGTAAACCTCAACGATACGGCGCCAAAGTTCGAACGTATATATACCCGGTTGAAGATGAGGATCCGGATCATGGTATCCTCTTAAGCGCATGTGGCGTAGCCAAACGCCATCTGTCAACGGATCGAGACCCTTCAGTCTGCTTCCAGCTCTTATACCGTTCAGCGTGAGCTGATAGTTTAGCATACCCTCTGGCTGCCCTTCGGCGGCCTCAAATTCACAACACTCCCAAGCCACCCGATCTAGGCAGAAGTGCAACACTCTTGGAGCCATCAGACGTTCTTGAAGCACCCATCCTCTCTTATTTACAGGTGCATTTTCAATGCGATTCGCCCAAATGGAAAGATCGAAGATCGCACATTCTCGCAGGAAATTTTCCGAAGCTTTCGTGGCGCCAGGAAGACCGAAGATGTTGAGGGTTGCTTCATCTCCAATCGTTATTCTTGGTACGTGACCGGTGAACAAACCCTGCTGACTGTCGGTTGCTGCAGTCGCAGAGAGGTTCAAAAAGGCTTCTTTGTATATCCTGCCCATGTGTGCAGATTGCGCCAGCCAGTCTTCTTTATCTCCTTGCTTAATGCACAGGCTATCGATCCAGATGTAGCCGACCTCCGGAAGTCGTGCCGCAAACTGCATAGCCTGGCTAAAGGTCTTGGGCAGGTCTTCTAGCTTGATGCCTCTCTTAAATTCTTCGATATTCGCAGAGCACAACTTAGTTTGCTGTGCTTCTGGAAGTTTGCCCCAGCAGTGTGAGAGGGTAACATATTGAACATACTCAGTCGGCTTCTCACTCTCCCAATCACACTTCTCTACCAATAGGACCTTGTTTCCTAAATCGCTGGTCGTCGACTCCAGCGACTCCCCAAAACTGCTCTCTTTCAATCGCCTGAGACTTATCAGCCTTGCAGGATACCACCTGGGTACATCTGTCTCAAGACATTGGCATTGGGTTATCCACTGAATGGTACGTTGTAGAACCTCATCGCAAAAGGATTCGCCGGAAGTTGGCGTTCGGGAAGGGGGTGGATTAGCGGGGTCTTTCCAATCTATAAGCCACAGATCCTGAACGGGCTCGGCGACTCACCAATCTCTCTTAATACGAAGGTTCGTTCGCACTGAAATTGGTCGTAGTGGAACTTGAACTTGAGGCAGTAAAGTTGCTCCTCTCTGGGGTGGGGTATGAAGAGAAATGCTCGTACATTGACAGTGCGTTTGTCAGCCTTCTCAACATCGCCCACTCTTGCACCTATCTTGTATTCCAGCTCCTCGAACAAAATACGGCAGATTCCACATTCTATTTCCTTGGATCGATATAAATCTCTCAAAAGTTGGTGGTGACTGAAATTCAAGTCGGTAGTTCCCCTCCACTGTTTTCCATCTTGCCTGCGAAGCATGCCCCAGCAAGTATGGCAGAGCATCTTGTCGTAAGACTGTGACTCCTTATTAGACGGAGCGTGCTCTTCTGGGATGAAGGCCGATAGACACAGATACTTCAACAAGACTGTATACGGTACCGCGCGCGTGTGTAGTTAGGTCCCTCGCAATTGTTAAAATCCGACTCAGAGACTGACGTAGGCGTATTACATTCGATTTGGACTAGCTATGGCTGAGTAATTGCCTGAAAAAAGGCAAATTTCAGAATACCGGTCGTTGGTCGTTCTTCATGCGGCCTTGATACAGGCCGCGCCCTTATTGGCTCCACATATGCAATGGTGGAGCGGAGTCTGATGATTGCGATATCTCTCATTTGAGGATTACCTTGTGCGGGGTAACTTCATTGACGATAATCGATAGCGACAATCGATTAAGCTGAATTAATACAGCATGGGCAAAGCCTGATATAATCATGTGAGCCCTGCGCCGGTACTTTACGGCTGCATGTATTCGCTTTCAGCCGGCGATATTGAGGTATAAACCGTTATCAGCCTGCCATCTACATTGTCACACAAACGAGATTTACATCATTGCTTGGTCCAGAATCCCAATCTAGGGCCAAACGCGGGAACGATCTCAGCGTACGTTTGCAAAAGGCGGAACCCTGCAAGCTACTCCAAGCTACTGCGAGCTACTGAAAGCTACTACAAGCCACAAAGCTAGTCTTTCCATATCCGCTACTCATATGATCAAGCTCAGATAACCGGATTTTCTATACCTTCACTCCACTGATCGTGGTAGCAATTATGACGGATCAATTCACTCTAGACGGGTTTCGTGCACCCGTCACAGTGGATCTGGCTAAGAAGATCACAAAGGAGAAGCTGTTGAAGTTCTCCGCGTTCTGCAACTGGAAAGACACGCTTCAGAAGAATCTGGAGCTTCAATACACCGACAGAAATCATCCATACTTCGAAGACCCGTACCTTCTCAGAAGCATCGAGATACAATCTGCTGACTACTTCGGGCCAAGCAAAGTTGGATTTGTAAAACTGAAAGCATATATACGAAACCAAAACTGGGGACAACTTCCTGGAATCATTCTCTTGCGTGGAGGAAGCGTCGCTATGCTGATGGTGCTACGGCCAGTAGATTCGAGGGACGAAAGATGGGTAGTTATGACTGAACAAGCACGAGTTGCAACAGGTAGTCTCATGTTCGTCGAGCTCCCAACGGGGCTGCTCGACGATGCGGGGGACTTTTGGGGGGCAGCTGCGAAAGAGATCGAGGAAGAAACCGGCTTCAAGCTACCGAAACACGAGCTCATCGACCTTACTGAGCTAGCGCTGAGTCAGTCAAAACCGGAGGGTGATCATTCGACGGACGAGGCATTGCTGGATGCTGTGTATCCCAGTCCCGGAGGCTCAGATGAGTTCATTAGCATCCTTTTGTGGGAGAAGGTACCTCTACACATATAAGCACTTGGCAGGGACCAGTCTGACTATGTGATTAGGATCTGAGTCGCCAGGAGATCATGGACCTGAGAGGAAAGCTGAATGGGATTCGGGGGCAAGGAAAGTCGATCAGATTGAGAGTATGCGACTACGAAGACCTGCGGAGGCATTACATCCGGGATACCAAGACTTTGGCAGCCTGGGCATTATATGAGGGCCTGATGAGAGAAGGAAAGATAGAGACCGAACTGCTGAAACACAGGAAATTACAAGATGATCGGTTGGCGTGAGCTCGGAAGTAAGCACAAAGAGAGTCGATAAGATGTCAGCCGTACCCGGACTCGTCCGATCTATTTACAAACAGTAGCAATTAAGCAACTACGCCGACCCTATCAACATCTGGCGCATACGCACTTCCAACACCAGAGATGGTGATGGTGTTAGTACCTGTGGTGCTGAAACCCGATAACTCGACGCCGTAGTTCTTGTACACATCTTTGTCCCAGTTGTACCCGCTCAGAGGAAAGCTGACAGTCTTTGCAGCGCCCCCGTTCACGCTGATCGCTGCGACGCGCTCGTTGCTACCACCCATATAGTCTACCTGGCCGTTGATGTAGTCGAAGAACACTGTCTGTGTGGCTTTGGAGGTGCGGATGTTGGAGAGAGTTACGCGACCGTTCGATGACCCGCCCAGGTTACCGACTTTGTTGGAAGAGGTGCAGCCAGAGCAGGATTGGGTGGTTGCGCCCGAGGAAAGAGAGCCGGTTGATGCGGAAACATATTTGTACGTGGGTTTGGCCGCTGTCGAGCGGCGGATGTTGGACAGGCGGATGGCGAGAGATCCGTGCGCTTTGACTTGCTTGGAGAGGGAAGCTTCGCTAACAGTCTTACCCGTCCAGAGGTCTTTGATCGATGCCGATGCGATGTCGAGTTCGGAGAGCTGCAGGCTCAGTGTACGCGCAGTGTTGCTGAGGTCTACGACCAAGACGGCCATGTCTCCATTGGCGAGGTCGCCAGCCCAAAGGTCGCGGTCCCCGCTCCAACGCTGACGGAGAGTGACCGGCTTGACAGCGGAGTCTTGGTTGATCGCAATCAGGTCTTTGTTTTGCAGAACAGCGACGAGTTCGTTTGACAGAGCTGCTACGTCGGTTGAGACCATGAGTGCCGACTTCAGCATAGCCCACGCGGCGAAGTGCGTAGCTTGCTCGTCGAATGCCATACCAGAGTTGCCGACCATGAGCAGATCGGCATCGGCGATGTGTCCTGGAGCGACCAGACCGGATTTGGCGATGTGCACAGCTTGGTTGTAGATGCGGAACATAGAGGCCCAACCCTGAGTAATGTCGTCTGAAAGTCGGAAGGAAGTCGAGATGGGCTTCGTCCACTGAGCAGGTCCTTGGAGACCAGTAGAGGTTGTGAAAGGAACGCCCCATTGACAGATTAACATCCCTGGGATGCCAACTCGTTGCAGTTCCTTCCACATGACACCGAAGCGGGTGACAAAATCGGTTCTGGCGTTCTTGGGAGCATTCTGGCTAGCTGCAGGCCCGTCGGCATAGCAGTTGTCATCTGGAAGGCTGTCAGCTTGATGATCACAGTGCGCGACCACGTTCCTTCGGACATACACTTGACGTATTCAGTGTTCAACGTCTTGAAAAAATCCGCATCCGCGGCTTCATGACCCAATGAGCCCAAAACAGGGCTCGGCGACTGAGGGTCACACATTCTCACACCGGCATCCGAGTACATCGTCCATTTCATGCCTTTTGACCTCGCAAGATCGCTCAAAGGTTTCAGACCACCTGGAAATGCTTTTAGGTCCACCTTCAGTGCGCCGCTAGTAGCGTTGCGTTGTCCATCTCTTGAAGCCCATCCGCAATCAATCTGGAAGAACTTGTAGCCAGCATCGACGAAACCGCGACTCGCGAGCGAGTTAATGGTCGTGGTTATCTTCTGGGTGTTTGGGCTACATGACATCTGATTGTAGGAGTTCCAACCCATGACAGGCGTTTGCTGAAACGACTGCGACGCGACATGGGTCGCTCCAGCGAGGGTGAGAAGAACAGAGTTGGTCAAGATCATGGTGCGTATGTCTTGGATGATTTGCCTGCAACCTGCTCAAACAGATGTCCTGTCTCTTTATACTTCCGCATTTTAAGTTCATCATCAACACGAAGAAGCCGCGAGCGACCTTTTACCGGTGGAAGGAATAAGTTCGTGCGTATACATCTCGTATGCCGGAAGTACTCCTCGAAGTGGTAGACCTTGCGCTCGACATGTTTGGATGTGATGCGCAGATCAGGGGACTATGATGCGCGACCTCAAGTTTAGTCTATTTCTTCCGTGGAATATATTGGAGGAGAGGAGTATTGCGGGGAGTTCCCGAGGCTACCTCCCTCATTGGGCACTCGCGTGGTTGAATGCCCGGAAAGAGCTTGGGCATGATATGCCGGCTGTATTGCCAGCTTTGTTTCAGAGGCTCGTACAAGAATGTCAAGGTTTTTGTAGCTTTCGTGTTGTGGCGTTGGACTTCAGCATCGATTTTCCCCACACTCGGCGCACCTTCCTCGCTACCCCGCGCTCGCTTCACCTTCCGTGCTCATCAGCCGACGCATCTTTCCGCCTTCCCTAAATCAGTATTCCGCGATGCATCATTTCCTTACTTGCAACCTCAACATCGCTGCATTCGCCTTTCCACCCTTGCGCTTTGATCACTCATTGCCTCCTTGCTCGGCTAAAACGCCGCTATTGCCAGTCACAGAGCTTCAGTGTGGACCGAGTGGGTCTTCGGCTTATGGGGTATGGGGTATGTGATCAGAGTCTGGGGAAGCTCAGTGGATCTGGAGACGACCAGAGGCTTGTGAGGCTTTACAAGCTTTGCATAACGAGGATAATGATAAGCGGAGAAAACCCCGAGCCAGGGCTCATGCCCTGTATAAAGAGCTGATCGTCGCTGCGACCCCGTTGCAGATGACGAAGTTTGGTACAGGCCCAGTGCATTGGACCGGCTACTGACATCTCTTGATTTGGAGGTCTTTTTTCTTGATTCTTCCACGACATCTCTTACTCTTCATTCACGATCACATGCTCCGTGAGCCAGTGGTAGCTGCATAGGGAGCACGCAATCATGGCACGCAAATATCTCGGAGGCTCTGGTGAGCGGCTGACAGTGTGGATTTCCATCGCCGCCAGTACAGTACTCGTGTAAGTTACGATCAAGACATCTTGCAACGCGATTGTCTGACACCCGTTAGCTTCTACGGTTACGATCAAGGTGTCTTCGGCAATGTTATCATCTCAGAGAACTTCCTTCACACCTTTGGCTACCCGTCTGCCAACATGCAAGGTGTGATGACCTCCATCTACAACATCGGCTGCTTCATCGGAGCAATGAGTACCATATGGACTGGCGACATTCTCGGACGCCCAAGGCAGATTCTCCTCGGTTCGACGATCATTGGCATCGGCGCAATCATCCAAACATGTAGTTGGACTGTAGCGAGCATGATGGTTGGGCGAATCGTGGCGGGCCTTGGTACTGGCATGAACACAGCAACGGCTGGAGTTTGGCAAGCCGAGACCAGTAAGATGAATAGTCGAGGAAAGCTCGTCATCATTCAGATGGGTACGGCATTCGCAGCATCTAGTATTGCATTCCGGCTAATCTGTCTACAGCAAACTGTATCACCGGCTTCAGCATCTCTAATTGGCTCACTCTTGGCTTCTCCTTCGCACCGCGCGATATCGCATGGCGTTTTCCGCTCGCATTCCAACTCTTCTTCACCCTGTGCATCTACGCCATGTGCCCGTTCTTACCAGATTCGCCTCGATTGCTGATCCGTAAAGGCAAGATTGACGAAGCTTTGGAAGTTCTTGCTGCGCTCGAAGGTCATGGAGCGACCCCAGAATCACCCTCGGTTATCACGCAGTACAACATTATCAAGGACATTCTCGATCGCGAGCAAATGAACACATACACATGGACGCAGCTTCTTACCGGCAAAGGGCCAAGCGGTGTACTGCGCCGCATGCTTCTGGGTGCATGGATGCAGGCCATGAACCAGATCTCCGGAATCAACGTTACGAGTTACTACATGTCTTATATCTTTATCAACGCCTTGGGAATATCTGAGCTTCTATCGCGCATCCTCGCCGCTGCTGGGTCTGTCGACTATCTAATCTTCGCTTGCTTGGCATACTTCGTCATTGAGCGATATGGACGTCGCAAAGTCATGATGGTCTCGGCTGCAGCATGCTCCATTTGCTGGATCGTCATTGCAGCATCGCAGGGTCAAACCGAGAAAGGTGGCGATTCGTACAAGCTGGGCATCGTCGCTGTTGCATTCTTCTTCGTATTCTTCGCCAGCTTTGGCATGGGCGTGCTAGGCGTACCTTGGCTGTACCCGACCGAGATCAACGCACTTGAGATGAGAACCAAAGGCGCTTCCCTCGCGATGGCGACCAACTGGATCTGTAACTATGGAGTTGTGCAAGCAACCCTCCCCGGTATTCAAAATCTAGGCTACAAGTTCTGGATCATCTGGGCAGTCATTTGCTTCTCCTTCATCCCGATCACGTACTTCCTCTACCCCGAGACGGCGAACCGGACACTTGAAGATATCGACCGCTTTTTCGAAACCCAACCCGGGATCCTGATCCATCGGAACAAGCTCGCTGTGCAGCTACATCGCCCAGCCGAGTTCATCGAAGCTGATGCGAGGATTGCTGCGCATGAAGGGGAGAAGTTTGACAAGGGGCTCAGCACGGAGCATGTTGAGGTGAAGGAGGCAGTGTAATCAGAAGCAGAGATGCCGTATAGTGGCGTTGAGTGACGCCCACTCAGCATATGACAGTGTACCTGTAAACATCCAAACAATGTCATGGTAAACATTGATCCATTGCTCCGGGTGAATTGCCTATTCCATCGCTCAGTCTCAAGACTTCGCCGCGATGATACGCGGCCTCGTATCTTTAAAACCGCTTGATCTTTCATCCGCGTGGAAACTTGGTTGCAAGCCTTGCACAGCAAAAGACTTTCGAAGCACATGCAGCGAGGCTTGTCTGGAAGAAGGCTCTTCCAAGCTTGGGCCACATCCACGCTAGCCGAGAACGCGTAACTTCAGCTCATGTCTGCTTCCAGCAAGCAACCTTCGTGTGACGCGGCGCATCGATTGATACAGCCGGCGTACTATGATTTGCTTCTATTTGCCTCACTGCATACTTATTGCGATATCGCGCGACGCGGGAGATGCCGCCACTACGGGACTAGTCACTATCGACCTGGCCTCTGACAGGGCATGCATGGACGAGAATAGTGCCAAAGATCTGGTGATAGTCGACTAAGAGATTGCTAGGGGGGCACTCTGAGCATGGACAGAGTCTGCGGTCATAGATTTGGTTCCCATACTGCGACTGCAATAGCACAGTCAATGGCCCGAGTCAGGACTGGTAAGGTGTATATATTGCTCGAAACACCGCGACAGATGTCTTGAATCGCTCCCAGCTAATACAGCTTCTTCATCTTGCACTTTCGCTTACTTCTTTCATTCCTCTCGCTCATACATTCATCATGCGACACTCTTCCTACGCAACAGCTGCCACCATAGCAGTGACCGTCAATGCAGCCTCGTTAGCGGAACTTTGCACAGTATCAAACGTGCAGGCATCTCTCCCTTCCAACGGCACTGTGCTCGGCCTCGAATTGTTACCAGCCACAGTGACTGCCAGTGCAGTCTACAATGCTACCCTTGGAGGTGGCGGTATGGGAGCTTCGACAAGCACTGACAGTACTACCTACTCTTACTGCAATGTCACCGTTAGCTATACCCATACCGGAAAGGGAGATGCGATTCCGCTCAAATTTGCCTTCCCGGATCCCTCGAGCTTCACAAATCGTTTCTACCTTGCTGGTGGCGGAGGTTTCTCTCTCTCCAGCGATGCTACCGGAGGTTTACCATACGGCGCTGCCTCTGGAGCCACATCGGCAGGCTATGACGCTTTTAACCAGAGCTATGATGAGGCAGTTCTATACGGCAATGGAACTATCAATTGGGATGCCACCTACGCTTTTGCCTACACTGCACTCGGGGAGTTGACGAAGATTGGCAAACCGCTCACACAGGCTTTCTACAGTCTGCACGACACCAAGGTATACACCTATTTCGAGGGCTGCTCTGATGGTGGCCGCGAGGCTATGAGCCAGGTCCAGCGCTGGGGTGAGGAATACGATGGCGTCGTAGCTGGTGCGCCTGCTTTCCGCTTCGCGCAGCAACAGGTACTTCATGTCTATCCTGCTACCATCAACGCTATCAACGATTATTATCCTCCGCCATGTGCGCTGGATAAAATCGTAAACGCCACAATCGCTGCCTGCGATCCTCTGGACGGGCGTATTGATGGTAAGTACAATCTCCCTGACCATGTGGTGATGCACTAACATGAGTCACTCTAGGTGTCATTTCTCGTACCGATCTCTGCAAGCTCAACTTCAACCTCAGTTCTTTGATTGGTGAAAGCTATTATTGCGCCGCCCAGACCAGCACCTCCCTTGGCTTTGGCTTCAGCAAGCGTAGCCTCAACAAGCGCCAGATGCCAGGCGGTCAAACCAGTGCTCAGCCCGAACAGAACGGTACCATCACTGTCGAAGATATCGCGGTAGCTCAGGGCGTTTACGACGGTCTACACAACTCCAAAGGCGAGCGGGCATATCTCTCCTGGCAGATCGGCTCTGATCTCAGCGACGCTGATCCAACATACAACAACGCGACCGGAAAGTGGGAGCTCAGCATCCCTTCCACCGGTGGCGAGTACGTGGCCAAGTTCATTCAACTGCTCGACCTGGACAACCTTGCGAACCTTGACAACGTCACTTACGACACACTCGTAGAATGGATGAACATCGGCATGATCCGCTATCTCGACAGTCTGCAAACCACTCTACCCGATCTCACTCCCTTTCAATCTTCAGGCGCGAAGATGATCCATTACCACGGTGAATCCGATCCGTCCATCCCCGCTGCATCTTCCGTTCACTACTGGCAGTCTGTCCGCTCAATCATGTACCCCAACATGACCGATGATGAAGCCCAGGAAGCCATGGCTGACTGGTACCAATTCTACCTCGTGCCTGGCGCGGCGCACTGTGGTGCTAATAAGCTCCAGCCTGGTCCTTACCCGCAGGATAACATGGCTACAATCATTGATTGGGTTGAGAATGGGGTCAAGCCCAGCCGTCTCAACGCAACTGTGTCGGCGGGTGATAACGCTGGTGAAGTGCAACAGCTTTGCCAGTGGCCTGCACGACCACTTTGGTCTGGGAATAGCTCCGACTTTGAGTGTATTGAAGATAAGGCGTCTATTGAGAGCTGGACGTATACTTTTGATGCGTTCAAGATGCCTGTGTACTAGGTGTTTCCCATCAGGAGTCAGGGTTTTCGTCGCCTAGAAGTCGCAAAATAGGATGAGATGAGTGGACGGGAGCAAAGATGGCGGGTTGTATATGGTCTTTTTTCTGTTCTTGAGTATTTGTCTTTTTATTTGTAATATACAGCGTCTTGGCGCTCTAGAACAAACATTGGCTTTCTGTTCCAACCATTATGGCTCATTGCAGTATCCATCGATGAAGTTCACTGTCAGCCTATTCCGGTTCTCCTTCAGCAGCGTTTCTCGTCCGATATCCAAGAGCTTCGTCACATCTTGCCGGCAATCTGCATGTTGTCAGTCCTAAGTTTTCGATCTTCAGAGCACGCGCTTCTTACCTAGAAAGAGCCCTCTCAACTCCTTCCCCTTTCCGCTAGCCAACCACGCACACGTCTGACCGCAAAGCGACGGTCCGTCCTTGAAAAGGTCTTTGAAGAACTCTTCATCCGTAATGTCACCGTACTTCTGTTTTACATCGTCTGGCGCTCCAGCTACATTACGTTAGCATGCTTTTCGGTGTCGTATGCCAGTGGGTAGTTTTTACCTCCGCCCATGTTGCCCCTCACTCCACCTGGATGCAGCGCATACATATGAATTGCTGGGTCCAGTCCATCAAGTTCCATCTCCAGCTGCAAGGTGTGCGTAGCACGCATCAGAGCCGCTTTTGATGTCACGTACCCTAACGTCATGGGTACATCGACAGTACCGGAGCGAGAAGCGATGTTGATGATGCAACCGTGGCCGCGGTCGCGCATTTGTGGAAGGACGGCGTGGATGAGCATTAGAGGCTGTACATATGGTTAGCAAAGGATCACTGACGCGTGCAAAGACAGCCTTACAGCCTTGAAATTGACTTCGATCTGTTTCCAAAATGTGTCAAAGCTACCCATGATGAACGGTCGCTGAGTAAATATCCCTGCGTTGTTCACCAGTATATCAATCGGTCCCAAGTCTTTCTCCACTTGTGCAAAGACCTCTTTCACACGCTCCATATCCGTGACATCGCAGCCATATGCCTCGACCTTTCCTCCAAACGCCGAACATGTCTTCTTGGTTTGCTTGAGGTTATCGGTGTTTAGGTCAAGGATGGCTATGTGAGCCCCGGATTTCGCTAGCGATTCTGCGATGGCAGCACCGATGCCTTGTCCGGCTCCCGTTATGAGGGCTACTTTTCCGGCATTGGATCCTTCTAAAGCGGATGGAACGATTGGGCCATATGGCGCGTGGTTGAGAGGGATGGTACTGTAGCCGAACTGTGCTGGGTCCATAGTTGCGGTGTATAGATAATAGATATTGGTGTATCAATGGCTCCTTGTCTCAGACTAGAGATTGTCGCAAAGATATGAAGCTTGTTATGCTGTACATGCGGGCGGCATAGTTCCGACCGGTACGTGTCCGATGCGGGGCGGTCTCGGGGTAGCTCTTGCCCCACACGAGGTATGTGGGGTAATTGCAAGAGCCGACTCGGTATTTCATTCTGGGCTTCGTGGAAAGATGAGTACATCTGTGAGCTTGAAGGTGGGATCGCTGGTGAGGTTGTAAGACGAGTTGTCATACACGCGAAACTGACGCGTAGTGACGTCTTCGGGTGTGCCGAAATAGGCATAGTCCAGCCGCCACGCATGGCAGACCTTCCGAGGATGCGTCGCAAACAATTATCCATGCTCCATCAACCGCGGTAGGCGACAATCACACGAAGAGGATACCCGATGCTCGCGGCGTGGAACCACACAGACTCGGTTCGTGGAATCTATGGCACGGAAAGTGGTGTGCCGCGCTCAAAGCGTACAGAGAGACCTCAACCATCTACGGTCGTCATCCACTACCACTTCATCTACGGGCCTCAGCAAAAACAACATCTGGAGCAGGAATAGAAGATCCAAAGCGGCCCAGCATATTGAACAATGCGAGACATGGCGTTATCAAAATGGCCTCAAAACACCTCAAACCGCCACAACAGGGGTTTAGATTAATCGCCCTTTGTCTCAAAAGCTTGAGGCGCGGCTCAAGTCATGAAGACATGACTCAGCCATTGTTCACCAATTTGTATACTTCGATCGAGAGACACGCTAGAATCGATCATTGTCACGATTGGATGGCATTAGAGCGCCTTATGGCAGCTGATACTCCTTTCATATTAACATGGCCTCAGCCTCTGTCGCAAACTGACCAGCGTAGGTATCCCTATGGGCATTCAAATGAATCCTTCGGTTCAGGATAAATATGCAAACGGGCCCAGTATGGGCTTGCTATAAGTAATGGAAGCAATGTACAGTGTAAGTAACTCTTGACGAGTAGCTTTCTCAGTCTTTCCTGCGACTACGATGCAGAAAACAACTCCGTGGAAGAGACGAAGTCTCATTTCTCTCGTTCCTATATTGGGTTTCCTGACATGCCCAGCCTTCGGAGAACCAGTCTGCGAAGCTTCTACCTTCCAGAATCTGGACTTACCAGGCGGCGAAATTGTCAACATTGCTACACAGACACACATGAACCTGTCATTCCAAGCTCCCGCAGAGCAAAACCATTACGCTACTGCTGTGACTGATCTGAACGCTTGCGAAGTGATCATCACATACACGCATCCCGGCTCCAATGACACTATCCACACGGTCGTTTGGTTACCATCGCCTGAGAAGTGGACAGGAAGACTCTTGGGCGCCGGTGGTGGGGGATGGGCTGCGGGACCCGAAACCAACACCACACTCCCATGGGCGGCTAGCGAGGGTTTTGTTACCGTCGCGACAGACGGAGGTCACATCGGTGGGGACATTAGCTGGTCGCTCACAAGTTCTGGCAATGTCGATTGGGTGTTGCTAGAAGACCTTGCCTCTGTCTCTCTAGATGATGCCGCGACGCTGGGAAAGGCAGTCACTCATTCTTACTATGGCGAAGCACCTAGCTATAGCTATTGGAATGGATGTTCTCAGGGCGGCCGACAAGGCTACATGATGGCGCAGAAGTACCCGGATCAGTATGACGGCATCCTGGCGGCCGCACCAGCTATCTATTGGAACGAGTTGATGATGCAACTCTTCTGGCCGCAGGTCGTCATGAATGAGAATGGTCAGTATTCAAACGACGGCTAGAGATGAATAACTAACACACGACAGGGTTTCCGACTCCGCAGGAATTTGAGGCTATCAACGTTGCTGTTGCCGAAGCCTGCGATGGTCTCGATGGTCTACAAGATGGCATCATATTGGCACCTCAAGACTGCACCTTTGACCCAATGACCGTAGTGGGCAAGCAATACATCTGTCCTTCCACCAACCAGAGCATGACGATCACGAACACCCTAGCCAAGGTAGCAAAGCTGATATGGCAAGGTGCTACAACCCGCGAAGGCGATTTCCTTTGGTTTCCCGGCAACATTGGTGTTTCGTTCGCTGGTCTCGCATCAACAACATGCAGCAAGAACAACACATGCGTCGGGGAACCGTTTCCCGTACCTCAGACCTGGATTACCGACTTTGTCATGCTCGATCGCGAGTACGACACCGCACAAATGAACATTACGCATTTCGAGCAGCTTTTCCACGATGCTGTAGCCCGCTACGACTCGATTATCGGAACCGCGAACACGGATCTCGATGGGTTTCGGAAAGCGGGTGGCAAGCTCCTTTCATGGCATGGACTGGCTGATCAGGCTATCGCGCCCGATGCGACTGCGCACTATGCGCGGGAGGTGCATGAGCGTGATCCAAATTCCAGTGATTACTATCGCTACTTTGAAGCGCCTGGTGTCGAGCATTGCGGTAATGGGCTTGGCTGGTATCCTGGTGATGGTCTGAGAGTACTCATTGATTGGGTGGAAAAGGGCATGGCACCCGAGACACTGGAGGCGGAGACTACGGAGGGTAGGAAGGCGCAGCTTTGCTTATGGCCTAAGCATATGATATATGTTGAAGGAAATCCTGACGATGCGGCTTCGTTCGCGTGTCGATAGGCTTTAGCCTTAGTCACAAGTATGCGTAAGAAATGCGTACTAGAGACTCGGGTATTCATCAAGGTTGTTTCCATTATTCCATCGTCCATATATATAGGTGTCACTTTGAAGTAATCTTTAGCAAACTTAAAAGTGTTAGATAAAAGTTTAGCATGCTAAGCCCTACTCATTTAGACCGACTAACTACAAGTTGATGAGTAGGTAGCGAGGGCCTGCGCCTATTTTGTGATTATGGTACACCAGTGCAACAGCGAGCACTCGCTAGGTCTAGAAGACTTCTCTTGTCCCAGGCCTTTTCACCTACAGAAAGCAAGGTCGTAGGATTCTATGTGATAGCCGAGCCAATCAGATCTTGATGAGGCTGAACTCGTTGGCGTAGCGTGGGGCTGTGTGCTGCCTCGCGCTTCACTTCATGAACTGCGCTCCACCCCTTTACTACACTCTTTTACTCGCAAAGCTATCATCTCACTACTGTTGATACGTCCCCTACACCTCATCAAGCAACCCCAACTAGTCCGAGGTGGCACTCGCTCTGTCTTCGGCAAGAAGTACTCATCCACGTCGCAAGGCTGACATGCGTCATACAGATGGCTGAAATACTCACGGTTCTGGGTAAGGGTCACTGCCCGGTAACTGAATTGAAGACACACACTTACTCGTTATATTACCATTCTAGGCGGTGTGGGATCGATCTTTAGTATTGTGGACGGCATCAGTAAAGTGATCGGCATGATCAGGGATCTTCAAGCCAGATGGGGCGAAGCGGATCTTACTTTGCTCAGCTTGGCTTCTCAGCTCACAGCCTTGCGGGCTGCGTCAACCCAAATCCAGGAATGGATAGATGAGGATCCGCAAGATACTCATCATCAGTTGATCATGGATCTAGATGTTTCGATCTCTTGCTGCAAGCTGTTGATGGATAAGGTCGAAAGCTTCTTTGCCAACCTTTCACAGCTGACGGAGAAACCCTTGGACCTTCGCGATAAGTGGAAAGTCGTTTTCGGAAGTAGCAGTGCGGAAGGCGTACTAAAGCTCATCGAGCACCAGACGAGTGCACTGACTTTATTGCTGACAGCGTGCAACTGGTGAGTATCAACATGTTTTCGAATCCGACAGCGCTAATTAGGATATATAGTAGAACGATCGGTGCACAACAAAGATATCTCGAGACCAAAAAAACTCGCAAAGTGCTTCAGCGGGCGAAAACAGATTCAGTTTCGCTGTATGTCCACCGGGACACAGCATCCCTAACCAGCAAGATGACGGACAACCTTTCCAAAATCTCGCGCACCTTTGAATTTGACTCGAACGTCTTCTCAACCGGGGTTTACGAGCGTGCATTTCGAGGTTCAATCAAAGACATCCTTAGGAGAAGACAACACACCGTGATCAGCCCTTTGCCAGCTTCAGGCAAGACGGAAGGCGTATCAACCCCAAAGCCTTTCAAGACGATTCGCATCCTAGGACAAGATCAGATTGGCATGGATATGCTTGTCAATGCAATTGAAATTAAGACCGATTCATTAGGGCCATCCCACAACTGGCATCTGTACCAGTCAAGGTTGCAGCAGCTTTGTTTGAGCCTTCTATGCAAGATTCTCTTAGAGACGCGCTTGAACTTCTCCGATCACGAGCACATGGATGTTCTCAAGTTGTACTCAGACCCGTATCCTGAAGAAACTTCCGCCCCGCCAGATGTCCTAGAAGCTTGCGCAAACGTCTGGAGGGATGCAACGCGACTGAATCAGGAGTCGCATGTTACCTACAGGGAGAGATTCGAGTTTGAGGGTATGATCTTCTGGATCCGGTCCGCAGGCGATGGACGCTTGAGCCTTACCAGCGGCAACTACGAAGCCAGTCTGTACGTTTCGTTGCACGATTACAACAGGACATGCAAGAGCTGACTATTTGCTAGTTTCATTCACCTGATGGACCGCGCCTTGCCAGAAAACCCCTCCGAGCTTCTTCCAAGTCTTCCTAGACTTGCGGACTGTCTAAGAGCAGAACAAACGGCATATAACTCTGCCAAGAGCACACGTGCCTTTTCCAAAGACGCGGTACTTCAGGATGTCGCTTACCAATTCACTGTTGGCGCCTCTGGTACAGTGACAACTGTCCGCGCAGATGCCCAAAATTTTGGAGACGAGACTGCGCTCGTATTCTTCTTCGACCTTCAAGACTACAACATGAAGTCTCGCTCTTTCAAGGAGCTCGAAGAGAGAATCACAACCAGCTCACTGCAAATAGCAAGGTTGAGACCAGATCACAAACGACCAATGGTGGGTCTCGTTTTCAGAAACTTCATTACTTTCGCACAGCAAGTGGAAAAGGTGGGATTTCCTCTGGAGGGTGACATGACTACGCACAACGCCTGCAAAGTGATTCCGCATGTTCAGGAACTGCTTGAGAGTCGTGTTCAGAAACGAGGTTGGCGCTTCTCATTCGTGCTGCATAACTTTGAAAACATTCAAGGGGCAGATCTCATGGCTCGTCTCCATGATGCTACTAGCGGAACTAACACGGCGTCTGAGCCCACTCAGCAGAATTCGGGCAAGGATGACACGGGTAAAGACAAACTGGGTACAGATAAACTGGGTATAGATGAGGCGGCCATAGATGGGCCGCAGGTAGAGGGATCGCGTACAGATGGGTTGGGTATAGATGAATCGGTTACTGGAATCGGCATTGCCACCTGACATTCATCCGGTGTCAACTATGTACTCGCTATCTATTGAGTATATAAGCCAGGTTGTACTGGGGTTCTACTTCTATCTGCTTCACGAGTCGACTTAGATCTTCAACGAGCTTCACTTAGCAGATCGGTGAGGCCTTTCGGATTAATGGTTCTATCGTCTATATTATTTCTTACTCCGGACTATTGTCGTCAAATGGGAGCTTGGATAGCCTGTACATGTGTCATGTCGCTACCAACCGAAAACAGCTTCACAACAGCATCGGTCGTGTATTGACACGACCCGTCTCTTTTGATTTCGCAATACAGTCTACATCCGACCATAACAGGCGAAGGTCTAAGCAACCGCTTCAGTTTCACCACCAGCTTTGACTTGAACAAAGTGGGCCTCGCCGCTTTTCACCTTCGAGTCTTCTCCTTCAACCGGCCTCAGTCCCGCAACATACTCGCCATATGAATCGGGCAGTGACTTCCATGTATTTGCTTCAGAATAGAGTGCAGCGTTGAAGGTTTTTTGACCGAATTTTGCATCATCGTATGCCCATGTCCCCATAAGATGAGATATGCCAGCAGCACTTTGTGGCAAAGGATTTGGAAAACGAATCTTACTGTGCAAGGTATATTAGCTGTAGTGCATGCGCTGGCGCTTATCCTTTACTTACTCTAAATGATGGTTGAAAGCCAAGGTGCAATGCTCAGCAAAGCTAAAGTCTGCATCACCGCCTCGCTCTGCTAGGTAACTCGTCATCATCTCCGCTGCTTCGTGAATGGGAAGACTGGGTACTCCGGTCACGTCTTGTTTGATCAAACCAGAATTCGTATTCTTCTCGTGATAGGTTCTTTCGTAGAACAGGATGTTCGCTGGTATGGCTCCGTTCTCTTTCCATTCTAGCAATACTTTGGGCTGGCTGTTTTGCTGCGTCACTATGGATTTCAAAGATACAAAGATCTTCTTGTTGAGCTCTGTACAAGAGCCGTATAGTTGTTCAAGCGGGAAAAGAAGCGCTGTCAATTCGCGCTGGAGAGGCGTACAGAGCATGAGCAGAGGCCCAGCTACCCAGGGTCCACTGACAAACTTATGAGGAAGTATGTCGCTATTATAGGTCTCGGTATCCTTTATGAGAAGCTCCGAGATGGCTTGATTCGTAATATTGAGGAAAGTTGTGTTGCCAGGTCCGCCACCCGAGAAGAGGAGGTTGATGAGTGGAGTGCTGTGGAGGATCATTTGTCCACCCGCACTAACCGTTTGATTCTTCTTGCTACGACACCGTTAGTACGCGCAAGATCACTCGCCTTCATTCCATGCGTGCGAAGCAGGCGATTGGCACACTGGTCGAGTGCTGTCGGCCTACTGCCCATGAAGATACTGGACTCACCAATCAGTGCAATTGCGTCATCCATATCTTTCCGCTCCTTCGTGAGTAACTCCTCCGACGAATCTGCCCCATTCGCCCTATGTGCGTGATGAAGGAAGTTGTAAAGGTGCGCATATCCCAGTATAAGTTCATTGCCGTTCTGCATAAGAAGGAACAGATCACTAGCAGCATGCATGACCACGAACGAAAGACCCAATCGAAGTAACTGCAGTTTTCATATGATGTTGGCGACTAAGTCGCGTCGTGACCTTCTGTTTGGCGGGTACTCGCTAAGCGCAAGTCCCAGATTGGGTCTGATCTCAACCAGATCAAACGTTCCATCGCATCAATAGGGTCGCGAAAGAAAGAGGTTAGGTTTGCACATCCCATCGACTCTACATAAGCGGTGATCCCGTCAACACATTGTGTAAAAACCCGTTCCTGTTAACGTACATCCATACGTGCTGATAATCTTTCAGGACTTGGCCAGAGGTCTGACTTGAGACAACATCCTGTGCGACTAGGCAGAGATCGGTGTACAGCCACATCCCTAGGTAGAGGTATTCTCCATACCAGGTCTGGTCCGTAGGCCTACGGTCCTCGCAGTTGCTTCGCTTTAGGTATGTGTACCGTGCCTGTGTAAAGTTATCCATAGCAGGCGGTTGTTCATCCACACGTCTTGCCATCCATACAATATCATCGAGGGCGTTTGAGAGATGTTATGATTAAGGGTCATTGAAAGTAAGATAGGCAACATCCCCAGATCCGACACAGGGCTCGATGATCTGTAGTACATCCCAGATGTAAATACAAGATTGCAGACACCCATGGGTCAGCAAAAGATCAGGGATTTTGACTTCACAACGCCAATTTTTTTCCTTCATGTGTGTTGCATCGCTCGGATCTCGGCCGTATCTCTCCTAATACTCTTGCGGATCTCAGAATCATCGAAGAACGTATGCCAAAAGCTCTCAGCGTCTCTTATCTCGGGAAACGAGATCAAAAACTCATGCACTAAGCTCTTTATCATCTGCATAGCCGCTTGAATCGTTGCCGCAGTCGGAACAAGGTAGATGTCGTTCTTGCAACAACGAGCCCAGGTTATTTGGATGACAAACTTAATTTGATTATAATCTCCCAGCAGCATGCTCATGGCAATCAAACACTTTCCCTTTTGGTTGTCGACAGTGCATGTCGTCTTCAAAGTTGGTGCGGGTTTGGCAGTAGGGGCTGCCTGTCCACCACTTTCCGGCTCCTGGTCTGCCAGCTCTTCAATTTCAAACTTGCTGAAATTGGTATCCAGGCCACCGATGGAGGTCTGCGTGGCACGTTCACCAGGCCTAGGCATCGCTTTGCCAGTAGTGATGAAAGGCTTCAGTAGATCAAGTGCGTACTCTCAAGTCCCCGCAAAGATAGCGTATGCCTCGTTGCTAGCAGCGAATGCGGGCTGTAGATCTTCATCTACATTTTGAGTCTGGGTTTCGTGTCACAGCGTCGACTTGGTGCCATGACGGATTGCTCGAGCTGCAGCCCGGCTGGCGTAAAGTGGCACCGCAAACTTCTTGGGAGGTTTCTCCGCTATGGCACTGGCGCACGTTGTCAAATCATTAATGGTGACCCTGCGCGCTTGCGAGGATTTGGGTTCCGCCGTCCGCGCTTTCCTCTTGAGTCAACCACCAGAAGCAGGAGTTGGCGCAGTAGTAGAAGGGACGAAGCCACAACGACTAGCCGTCTCAACAAGCCATGTAACAAAGATCTCAGTATCGGCTTTATACTCTCGGTAACTGTTAGCGAAGTTAATCGGAAGCATTTCGGCGCGTCTGTCAATGTATTTACGTAGTGTAATGTCGCGACTCGCACAAGTGTCTTATCGTTATCGTCACGTGAGCCAACGCCGTGCTACCCGTGAACCCCCTGCAAACATCGTCATAACTCCTCTCATGATCTTCGATGCGCTATTCAGCCACACCACACAACTGCTATGACAAACTTGCTGTTACTTCCCAACGAGCTGACACAGCACATCGCATCTTTTCTGCCCTGCTCCTCAGCCCTCAGCCTTTCAAGAGCCAATCGACAACTGCGAACCATCTGCAATGACGATGTAGTATTCCACAACATTGCACAGTACGACTTAGGGCAGTACTTGCTCTCCGAAAATGGCATAGAACTATCGGAAACCCATTGGGCAGAAACCGACTCCGCCTTAGCCAAAACGTCTCTCCAAGAGACCATCCGCATAGCATACGCAGCCGAAAGATGCATCAAAGCTCTGCTCGAGACTGGCGACGCATGGACCTTACTAAGAGCCAAGGGTGTCAACACTTATGAGCTGAGCAGATGGCTACCGCATATCATGGCTTTACACCACCCTGTAGCTTCACAGCTAAAGCCCGAAACCTTCCTGGAGCTTCAAGGTCGCTTACAAGTTCATCATCGACTTCCAATAGCACAGTCGCCTCAATGGTACTCACCCAACCTTCTCGATGTCAACTTCATTCTCGGCTACACTATCTTGACGCAACTGCACATGACCGGAAATGGTAAGCAGGTCAAAGCACCCTTCGATCGCTTCTTTTCCGTAAACCACATAGCGGATCCACCGATCTCGTTGAGTAATGGCATCAGAGTGGATGGGGACGCAATCAAGAGCCTCCGACAACGGGTGCCAAACTACGGCCATTTGTGCAAGCCACACGGCGATGCATTCACTATAGACCAAGCTACAACGTTGCTCTCCACCCTAATTCTGGAGTTGGCTGTACACCATTTGGCGCCAGGTCATATGAGCGAACTTCCGTCTCCCACCAAGATACCCTTTCGCTCTTTCATGCACTTGCCGCGTGTCTTTGGCAAAAGTCCAGCACCCGTTTATGGGGACTCGCACGAACCGTTCGGCATGTGTCACACTCAGATGTTCTCATCCAACTTCCTTTCCTCCGGGCGATGGATGGGATACTACTCGGACCAGCGAAGGGCATTGGGAAGAAGACGCTTCGGCCCGCCTATGCACAGTGTCCGATTTATTGCCCGGGAAACTACTGAACCAGAGCGGGATATCAAGGGTGTTCGCAGTACATTTACAATTATCGATGTACAAAGTCGAGGTACTGATGCAGTCGGAGATTTCTCACTGGAAGGCCGTGTTCGACATATCGACGGATATATCTCCTTGACAAAACGATATCTTTCAAAAGACTTGTCATGGGAGTGGGAAGCTAACATGACACCATTTGGTATGGTTGGTGCTTGGGGAAATTATGAAGGGAGATTTGGAGGGTATTTTTGGATCTGGAAGGAGGAATGGCGTTGCGGATAGTGTTAACGTGAACTCCACACCAAATACAGGAACTTCACAGCCGGACATACTATGGTGCCACGGTAACCTATACTGCTACTGCGTCTCTTTTAGCCCGAATTCATCTTAATAACCTATACTAGAGCCTATACCCTCAGTCACGCATTGCTCAGATTTCCCAGCTAGACCAGCGGCAATGTGTCCCGCATCGCCCTGCCATCGCAACAAAGAGAAGGAGTCTTCACAATTACCGCCATGAGAATAACCTCAATCTTACCGAAACAGTACCTCTACGTAAAAGGGCAGTGAAGCAACCCAATTCAACTCATCATAACGCAAACAGCACTGCATACGTCCTATCACGGCCACCCCATACAACAAAAGAATCTCAATCCAAAAGCCCTCACCTTGTATCCTCCGTACTTCACTCAACGCCGGCACTTCACCAAACCAGCTCGATGTTACCCAATGAGCCACTCGCAACTTGAAGAATTCATACCACACCAATGCAATCAGGTCCTCTCGAGCGAAGAGGATGGCCCAGTCAAGAACTAGATATTAACCAGGGCACCGGAGCCCGTAATACCTTTATTCATCACCCAATTCAATTACAACTAGACGACGATGATTCCACTGCTCATCGCTTGTCATCACAACTCGCACACCGCACATGAAACAATGCCAACGTGAAGGAAGAGTAGAGAATATGAGACTCACCAATTTCAGCTAGTCTAGAACCGCAAGAAGCTAATGAACGATTAAATCAAATGTGTTGAGACAGCTGTGGTGTACGATTTGATCGCAACTCATACGAACCACAGGAAGATAGCACGCACCCCCAATTCTTTTAACGACCTCTTAGCAACACATGGCCCTCTGAGCCACCGCACCGAGACCTATCAATCAAGAAGGCTGAACGAAGCAAGACGACCAAACCAGCATATCACCCAAAACGACACAAACAACCAAAACGATAGCATCACACAAACCCACACCACAGACCAGAGCAGCAAACAAACTTGGACAATCCCATTGCACTCACCGGGATAACACCCGTAATCTTCCAGGAAGCTACGACACGAATCCGTGTCTATCTGCCCCAGATAACAAGGCGTGACACTATAACGCATCACCCTCGTGTACCATACATCATCAGCTCTACCCTGGATACCCATGCATATTCTCACTCCCCATGATTCCGTGAAAAACTCCACCAGAAACGCCATAACCACCCTTCCAATACCACCTCACCATGCCATCTACGACGTATCCATGGCCTCCCCCGCACCAGCCCCAGCCGCCGCCTTACTCCGCTCGGCCATCTTCTCTGCCAACAGATTCGCTTTCCAACTCTGAATCTCCTCCCGCAACTCATCATTCGGCAGCACATCCTCAATCTTAAGCGGCGTTCGATTAAACGGATCATGCGGATCACTCAGTAGATGCGCCTGGATAGTGCCCCTATCAACAATCTGTTTGCTGACAGGGAGCGTAACAGGGTCTTCCATGAGCGAAGCCAAAATAGGATCAAGGTACTGGTCTGGAATTTCTCCAAGATCAGCTTCGACCATATCAGCTTGCGCCTTGGCGGTCTTGATACGCTCAGACATGTTTTCCCACTGGGCCATTTGCTCAGGAGTTTTGAGTTTGAAGCGTTGGAGGATCTTGTAGGCTTCGTCCATGTATTCTGGGCGGTAGGAGCGGCCGTCTGTGGCGACGGCGTCGATGAAGGACTGTTTGGATTCGAGGTTGAGGTAGACGTCTGTGACTTCTGCGAGCATGTTGCGTGGGTTCCAGCCGTATTCTTCGGGGTTTTCGACTTTGAGTTGGGATTTCTTGGGGCCAACGAGGGCTTCGAGGTTGTAGTCTAACATGTGGGCTAGGCGCACGACGACCTCCTTTTTGGTAAAGGAGTCGGCGAGGGCTTCAGTGAAGAGCTTCAACATGGCGACTGTTTCGTTGGTGAGTTGCATGTAACTCTTGGCCTTACCCTGGGCTGACGACAGCTTCTCTTCCCTCTCTTGACGTTCGGTCTGCTCCATATTTGACGGGGCATTCTTAAGCTCTCGTGAGAGATCGTGAATCTCCTTGAAAGCGGTAAATGACTCGTCCAGAACGAATGTTACATCGTTGAGAAGCAGGTTGACGAACTGAACGAAGAAGTCCAAGTTGACGCGCGCTTCAGTCGCAAGATGCTCGCGGTACACTGGGTTCGGCCAGATGCACTTGATGACCTGGAAGATCTCGTATCGAATGTTGAACTTGTCAAAGAACTGCGTATGTGTTCCTGTGCTCTCACATTCAATGTAGAACTTCATTAGTGCGTGCAACAAGTGCTTCATGGCGAAGTCGTGTGCAAATAGCGTGTCACCAAGCACACCCTTTGGCTTACCGTGGATCTCCCATACTCCGTGGAACAGAATAGTGACCAGACCAGACTTCAAGTACGGGTTCTTGATGTATTCTGAGCTTCGCAGGAAGGCAATGCAGATCTTGACAATTTCCTCGCACTGGGTGGTTGTAATGATGTGCGGCATGTAGCGAGTGATGAATTTGAAGTTTCCGACAATGTCTTCAACAAAGTATTCAGGTAGACACCTAAACTGCAGTGGTTGCTCTTCGGGTAGAGGCAGCTGGAGCTCTGATTTAGGGAAGTTGGTACCGGGCGAGGCAAGCCGTAACAACCAAACGATGACGTATCGCATCAGTTGCATAGACCGAGCTTGTGTAGTCTCATCAAGCAAGACACCTTGAATGGCCAGGATGCTACACTTGGCCTTCTCGATCTGGTCTTTCATCTTCTTGATGTGGTTGTCAAAGACGGCCAGCTGCGCCTGACTAGTCATGTACTTGGGTCGCTCAGGCTCGAGCTTAGCAAGTTCCTTCTCAAGGTACTTTACGTCCTTTTGAAGGGTACCCAATTTGGTATTAGCTGCCTCCAGACCGTAGTGATGAGCAGCGACCGTCAAGAAGAAGACCTCGCTGATGAAGTTGTTGGTACCTGAGGCTTTGGTACTGTAGAACTCATCCGATGCATTCTGGTCGGCATTGATCTTTGTTTCATCTTGGATATCGACGCGGGGTGATCGGCGAAGGTAATCGATATCGATGCGATCGATCTTGGAAAAGGTAGCGTCCATGAAAGGCTCACAGAGACGATCTAAAATCACTGTGACATTGACCATGAAGCCGTCTGATGATACTGTTTTCCTGTCCACTTGTATCGCACGTCTCTTGTGGTTCTTATTGACTGTAAGCGCTAACCAGTCTAACATCTTCTCACGAGATTCCTTGTTCTTGATAAAAGTGTTCGTAATGTCCAGCAGTTCTTCTTGGTGGGTTTGAAGTGTCATGCGGACAGCTCGTTGCGCGTTGACGATGAGTCCCTTGTCGACAGCCGCGGAGCCAGAGAAGTAGTTCATGGCTACGTCAGCCTGCATAGGAGATAAACGGAAGAAGGGCCCTAGGAAGCTGTGTGTTTCGATATGTTGAGCCTCGATATCAGCAGGCAGAAACGTCTCAGACTGTGCCATGGCAGCTACGAGCGGCGGAAATCGGACGAATACCCGTAGGATCAGCATGTGTGCCTTGTAGTCTCCGTTCATAGAAACCTTGGAGAGGCGTCGGCTGACATCTTCCATGGCGCCCACAAGTGTCTCCTTGATAATATCGTCTTCGCCTATCCGCTGGCTCGCTTCAGTGAGGAACTCGTAGCAAACGCCGCGCTCGTCGTCAGGCCCGAGAAGTAAGCGATCAGCCAGTGCGTTCTCCGCGGGTGGGTCTTCGTCGAACATTTCTGGCATGCTAGCCGCAAAGATGCAATAGCTGAAGCACACTCGCCGGGCCTCTTTGACAACTTCGAACCGTGGACCAGTCTTATTGGCGAGGTTCTTGAGCGCTTTGGAAACGCGCTTCCAACAACTCATCGTATATTCCAACGCTGAGCCCTGTGGCTTATTGGACGCTGCTTCCATTATGACGGAATCCAGTTGATCTGTAGTCAAGCGGATTGGCCTGCCCTGTTCCTCAAGATCGCTTTTAGCGCCTCTAGCAAAGTGTAGCTTGTGTCCGTGGGCATCTTGCGTATGGCTCTCGTCCAGAGTTACCCTAAAGATGTTGCTAATTGTCCGATCTTCCCACGCTTCTATGCTCAATTCCGGCGCCTTCTGGGCGGGCTGTGGTGTGGGGCCATTGCTCGATGACTGTGCGGGTTTGATAGTGATGCGCTTCTTGGGCGGCTCTTCGGTCTTGACGCCTAATTGAGAGAAGGGATTTGCGGTTGCAGCGGGCTTCGGCGGGGGCGCCTGTGATTCGGCGGGCTTTGGGGATGAAGTGCCCGATGATGCGGCTTCGGGTGCGGTCGAGGGCGGCCGTGAAGGACCAGTTGGAGTCGCAGGGCCGCCCAGCTTTGCAAGGCGCTTTGCACGGATCTGGAAAACATCCTCGTCAGCATGTCTCTTTGACGGGCGGTCGGAAGGTGAGCTCACCTTGTCGGCGTCAGACATGGCATCGGGCGCAGCAGTGGGTGCAGGTACAGGTGCAGCATCAGGCATTGCGCTGTCTTGCTGCTCAGATGTCGCGGGGTCTGGTTGGTCAGACATGGCCTTGTCTTGGTGCTCTGGTTGGTCGGGCGGTTGGTCGGCCATGATGGCGATGTAGGCTGTGGCGGAGCTTGAGTGATCGGGGGCAGCTCAGAGATCTGCGAGCAGTAGAGAAGTGATGGGGTAGATTATGGTATAAAGAGAAAGAAAGAAATAGGCCGTGGCCGTTTTGGTACAAAGACGTGGAATGAAAGAGGCGCGAACCGTGGAGCAGTACTGCGTCAGTGCCTGTGGTTAGGTACGGGTTCCGGAGCTTCTAGTCTGCCCCGCCACTTTAGCCTGCAGCCTCGCTCGCCAACTCACGTGTACCAAAGAAGCTCGACGAAGCGCGACGAAGTAGTGCATAGTCATGTACTGTATTTCCGACCTTATCTCCGGCTTATCTAGATCTAACAGACAGCTTCAGATACGGTCGTTGCCTTGTGCCTGCCCAATGCGGGAGTGACTATTACCATATACTTGGTCCCGAGGTCAATATCACCCACTTCTTACAGCGCCCTGGCTGCATAAAACGCTCAGCTTTATAGTTGCTATTTTCCATTCAAATGGTGTCGCATTCCACAGAGATACACGGTATTAGATTTAGATAACTATAGAGTTCCGCAGATAATGTATACTTCTACCTTTAAAGCCTCTTTATAGAATGCGACACAAAATCTAGCCAACCCTAGTGTGATATCTAGAGAGAAGTCCATGAACCATAACTTGTCAGTTGGCCTGTGTAATACTAATACCTTTCTACGACTGCTTCGGGCCAGAAGTCGACAAGTCTACATGGAAGGACTTTGTGCGGAACAAATGAATTGCGTAGTCCACAAAGGAGCCCATGCGACATACTTACCTCTGAAATGTTACGTGAACGTGGCTGACACCGCTCGTTCCAAGTCAACGTGAGCCCTGTAACCCACGGTGCCTGATATGCCCATACAAGGAGAATGTTGAACACCTACCTTCTAGAAGTCTGCATTACCTTGGAATCTGACCAAGCCTAGTCGTTCATGCTAATGTAGGCGGCAGCGGACCTGTTAATTCAGCTCAAAAGCAACTCCAATCCGTCATGTAATCCTCGGCCTTGTCTTCCGTATCCGCTTCTTTCCATCTATCTCCTCTATCCGCGACACCGTTCTCATCAACGTACCAATTCCCTTTCTCAATCAGATCACACCAATTAACTAGGACAGCTGCCAACGGTGTGTCATGTGCCGGTAAAAAGGGGGAACACAGATGATGCCAATACAAAGCATCTCGACCTTGGCTTGTCGGTTCCAGGATGGTTCCATCGTTCATGCGCACGTAGCCATTGACTCCGACTGAAAAAGGGAGGAGTAGGGAGATGGAGTGCGTGTGCGTCCCATCCGGGGTCAAATATAAACCGGCGCGGTTGTCAAGGGTGTAGACATGTCCTCGTATGTCCTGCCATCGGTCACAATCAGACTGGGAAACGAATTGGAAGCCTTGCGTCTGTTATGAAAACAAGAGAAAGATGGGTACATGGCACATTTCGTGCTGCGGTGTCGTGATGGAGATATCGGGATGTAGTTCCGTAGTATGGCACCCATGCGCTCCACAAAGGCTTCGTTCGGAATGTCCAGTTGCGGAGCGATGGAACTAAAGGTCGGCCTCTTCGCTCGAGAAATGAATGCGCGTACGAAAGATGGGATAGCTGGATATCGCTCCAGGCTTTCGGAGGATATCAAAAAAGCGTCCATTTCTTCGTCCATCTCCTTCTGGTGGATTCCTGGGTCGTCATCTTTCCCTTGTCCCGGTAGGCGTTTAGCAATCGCGTCCACCAGATTATGCCACGCCTCCAGTGTGATCTTCAATTCTAGGTCCGTTCACTCCTGTAGCCTCCATCCCTGCGTAGTAAGGCCATCTCCCCTATCAAAGCCTGGGAATTCTACGTCGATGACGAATTTTTCGGACTCGACACAGTCCCAGTAAGTTTCCAGCGCCGTCTGAAGATCGTCCCAATCAAGCTTATCGGAATCGAGATGTGGAGTATCCATGTAGCACACTTGCTGCGTCGAATGACTGTACACAAGACCACCTGGGTCATATCCAGGACCTTGTTAGAGCAGAATGTAGTCCGCGCGTTCCTCGAAGATGCCAATCCATATGTCAGGGATCATGCGTTCAGGCGATGGCATGCCGATAAGCAAGGGGATGAAGGCCAGATGTTAATGTTTTTCGGGTACAACGATGCCGATACCTGTCAGGAAGGCTTTGAGATCATCGTCGAGTTCTATCTCGGTAAACTCGGGCACAAGAACGGGAGAGGATGGGTCTATCGAGTGCGCGGTGAACCAGCTGCGTTGGATCTGAGGTTGGCGGTCGGGTGGAAGGCGCGAACAAGCATGGGCGACGATGCGGTTGTGTAGCTCTATGCACTTTTCGACGTCCATGGTAAACGTTGGGTCGCAGAAATGTGTTGTGGGCGGAGTTTGCGTTGGTGTACACGTGTTGATGAGTTGATGTAGCCGGAAGGCACGGTTAGGAAGGCAAGAACTGACTCGGCAACACCCACCTAGAACTGTTAACCTAGAAGTCTACAGTGCCTTGGAATTCTATAGATATTTCGGTTTACACCAATGTAGACTGCAGCGCGCCTGTCTACTTTCTTCCTTGTGTGAGTTGGAGGCGTCTTAGGCATACCGAGGAACACAGGATACAGCAGGAGCAGGAATGAGAAGATGGCCTAGAAAGCAGATGAAGAAGTCGTATGGATCCACGCACTAGGTCGACCCTGCCGTTCGACAGTGGTTCCTGCCTGTGGGAGACTGGTCGCGCTTGCCAGAGCACGCGCACTCAGAACAAGCTGGGGAAAGGGCAGGCGAGCTGTCACGTCCAATCTGAAACCCTTGTCACAACCAAGACCTTGCCGGGGCAACCAGCAACACACGACCGTAACAACTGGTGCAAGGCGATTGCAGTCAAAGAACAGCCGTCTTGTGCATGAGAACAGGGTATTCGTGCTATTGGCCGTGCTAGACATGTCAAACTGCACCAGGGGACAAGCTGCTGCCATGTGACGGCTCCGGGGCGTGTGCATGGGTAGTTTACCTTGTCGGTTAGGGCAAGGCGCTTGATGCAGATAGCTAATCGCCTTCTCCTCTTCTCTCGGCCAACCTACACGCCATCGCGACGACGCTTCACAAACCTTCTACGTGATTTCCAACTGAGCAGCTGTCCAGGTACGTCACGCTCGCTCTCATTTCCCACCCGCTAGGCCGCAATCGCCGAAGCGCTGCGTGGCGCAAGCAGCACTCAGCCGCAGTTGTTGCAGCACGACCCCCGTTGCGGCCATGGTGCCTAGAGCCATAACACCCTGAAGCCGCTGTTCTCCAACTTCAATCACCGCCAGTCCAGCTCTCCATCCACATACTCACCACCTCCCTCACAGATCTTGCTGCCCCCACCGCCTCCTCAATAACCCAACCCACACGACACCATGGCCGAGATTCGACGAAAGCTCGTTATTGTCGGTGACGGCGCCTGTGGAAAGACCTGTCTGCTCATGTACGTCTTCGCGGCCTCGCCCATCTATGGCCCACGCCCCATACTACCACAAAACGAATGCTAACGGTGCTGTCTACAGCGTCTTCTCCAAGGGCACCTTCCCCGAGGTCAGTACTCGCCGCCCGCCTCGCCTGCATCCCTGAGCCGCGTCAGCCTAGCTGTTCCGCCTGCACCTCGCACCCATTTCTGCTTGCACTCCCTCCCGACGCACCCACTAATATGCCCGCCTGCAGGTCTATGTCCCCACCGTTTTCGAGAACTACGTCGCCGATGTCGAGGTCGACGGCAAGCACGTCGAGCTCGCCCTCTGGGATACCGCCGGCCAGGAAGATTACGACCGTCTGCGCCCTCTCTCCTACCCCGACTCGCACGTTATCCTGATTTGCTTCGCCATCGATTCGCCCGATTCGCTTGACAACGTCCAGGAGAAGGTACGGCAAATGCCTCACACGCGTACAAGCAGCCGCTGACAAACAACAGTGGATCTCCGAGGTTCTGCACTTCTGCCAGGGCCTTCCCATCATCCTCGTCGGATGTAAGAAGGATCTGCGCTTCGATCAGAAGACGATTGAGGAGCTACACAAGACTTCGCAGAAGCCCGTGACACCCGAGCAGGTTAGTAGCCACACTCCACCCACCCATCACCCACTAACACACCCAGGCCGAGGATGTGCGCAAGAAGATCGGTGCCCAGAAGTACCTCGAGTGCTCAGCCAAGACGAACGAGGGCGTCCGAGAAGTATTCGAGCACGCCACCCGGGCTGCCCTGTTGACCCGGAAAGAGAAGAAGACCAAGAAGTGCTTGATCTTGTAAGCCTAGACAAGACTTTGCGACGATGTAGGTCGAGAGCCGCCGCAACCGCGCGATGTTGAGCCTGGACAAGAGCAACACGGTGGCGGCTATCGGGTGTCTAATTAGTGGTCTATTTGAGAAGGAGGGCAACATGTCATGGGCCGGTAGGGGTAGCAGACGAGCCGACTCCTTCCAGTCTGCTTGCAGTCTCATCTCTGACGGCACCTATACGAGGCGTTACTGTGCTGGATCTTTTGTGTGTTTGGACCGTACATCATCTTGGGGTAGTTCATGATGGGGTTATCTTCTCAGAAAGCGTGTGGATCGAGATTGAGCAAATGGTAGGATCTTTCTAATAACCGGTGCTTTGTTTTGCTCTTATCCGTGTCTACCCATACCAATCGTTGAGCCTGTGAATTATATACATGACTATCTTGGTGACTGCTACATTGTGATCTCAACTTCTCGATGATAAAGCATAGTTCAAGACATCCACACATAAATGATAGTCAAACCTGAAACACGCCTCCCCGTCATCACATCGTGCATCCACATCCACCCTTATCTCGCACCAAACACTGCATATCCCTAGCATTATCTTCTCCTGACTCGTTCGTCACATCTCTCCACATACCAAGCCCATCTTATGCAACGCATGTACCAAGACTGTTCCTAAAGTATCCAATACTCTTGACCCGGATGTGATGTTCCGATGTACCGCCCCGCCTTTAATGCAGGCAGCGCGAGGCGAGAGGCGAGGCGAAGAGAGTCTGAGGCCTTGCTTAAGATGTGCTGGTGCTGGTGCTGGTGCTGGGCCGGTGGGTAAGCTTGGTGGGTACTCAGTAATGTGCAGTGGATAGGTGGGTAGGGCGGAAAGTGGAGATGGCTATGGGGGATCAGGCCACCAAGCTTGTGCTGGTGGTCCGGTGTCTGCACTGTCTGCTTGACGGTAGATGTGAGAGGTTTCCTGATGGTGGTCAAAGTATATATACTGCTTCCTTGGGATGTTGGAGATGTAAATCTTTATGATGCGTGGAGATATGCATGTATGTATCTACGATGTGTCCGCCTAGTGTCTCTCCAAGACCAGATTGCTGGCTGTGTATGCCAGGCCAATAATGCCGTGTCCCTGAACACCGTGCTAGTAATGCTATCCGTACCCAAATCCCATATGCTACATGAAAATCGAAAGCGCTGCAAATGCTCCAACGAGCGCAAAGAAGGACGTCGAAGTCGACGACTTCGTAGCAGCACCCTCCTGATTCTGAGGCTGCCCACCACCCGGTGTAGTCTCGCTCGCTCCTCCGGTCCCAGTCGCTGTTCGAGATGCTGAAGGCGATGCTGTACCTGTTGCGACCAAGTCAGTCAATGTTACTTCAGTGTACAAGGTCAAAACATACCACTAGTCCCCTCACTCTCAGCAACAACATCCTGCTCCACTCCCAATACCCCCAGTCCCACTCTACTCCCCTCGAAATCAAAAACACTATAAACGTTCTTAAGAAAGACGTCACCAACCAACCACTGATTGTCGCCAAACGTCTTCCTGCCTACGATATTACTCCTGCACAACTCCGATCCGTCATCCTTATCTCCTACCCAATCCGCCGTGGAGATGTTGTATACACGATCGTTGAACGAGAATTGTATGACGGCGCTCGTGTCACAGGGCACGGAGAACGTCTCGCCGTCCTGTTCAAACCCCTGGATTTGGGAATGTAGAGCCAGTGCATCTGGTTCAGGAATAAGGATGAAACTTGTGCCCGTATCCATAATCGCCGTTCGCTCAGCTCCAGTGGTAAGGTTAGCAGGTTTCCCATCTACACCAGCATCTTGCAACGGTATCTCCCAGAACCCACTCTCATTGTCCACACACTCCACGTAATTCAACTCGCCGGTAAACCGCTCTTTATTCACTTCTCCCAAATTCAACTCTCCATCCAACTTGCCATCCTCCCCCCGGCTCAAATGTATACCATAGAGTTTCGCGCCGATGAGGTCCTGACTGGAGAGCAAGTCCATGATCTGCGGTGCGGCGATGTCATCGTTGCTTGTGCCTTGGACGCCGCGGCCGATGCCGAGGATGCCGTCCATGGGGTATGCGCGGAATTCATCGGATACGTTTGTTGCGAGGCCGAATGTGAGGGTGGGGGAGAGGGAGGGGCCGAGGTGGAGTACGTCGGTTGCGAGGTGGCCCGAGGAGGAACCTGTGCCGTAGGTTACGCTGAAGGGGGTTGTTGCGTCGGTCTGGGGTTATATTAGTACTTGTATTCATGTGTGACCTGACAAAAGAGTTCCAAGGTGAAGAGAGATAGGAATGGGAGGCATAACGTACTTTCAGCGTACTCGAATCCGCCGTCCCGAAAGTCGCATGCGTCTTACACGCTTCGCTGTCGCACTCCTCGCTCATAACCCAGGTGTTACTCGCTGCTGAATCCAGCAGCAGATGGTATTCATCCGTGCTATCGCCGAACGTTACGGCGACCATGTAGCTGAGATCACCACCATCTTGGTCTATAGCTACACTGTTTTTCTGGCTAGGGTTGTTCGAGTTGACAATGTTGTAGACGTTTTGGCGGGAACGTAGAGAAGGTGTGCGTATGCGACGGAGCGGGAGCGTTACAGAGCGCGTGGTGCCTGCTTGAGAGGACGGTGGTTGTGGGGAGGTTCGGTGCGAGTGCGTTGAAGTGGAGGCTGTCTTGCCGGAGGTATAGTGGTAAGGGTAGAATGCTGTCGCTGTGGGTAGGATTGCTGCCGTTGAGAGCGCGAGCCAGGTTGGTAGGTAGGTGTGCATGGTGTTTGTGACGTCGGTGTCTAGAGTCTGAGCTCTTTAGTCCTTTTGCCTTCCCAATTGCTCCGTGACCTTCTCTCGAGGAATGATGGTATGAATCTCGATTACCAGCAAGCCAGATGCGATGTTGTTAATGCGTCCCGTTCGCCTTCAGTCGCGAACGAATCCAGCCCAATCCAATCGCAAGAAACGAATGTAAATAACAAGGCGCAGTAAACGTATACACAAGAAGAAGAAAAATAACGAGTACGCAATACCCGCCTGAACGAGTGGTACCTAGGTAGGACGTGCGGCTGAAAAGAAGGACAATGCGGGTATGATCATCCAAAGGGTACAAGTAAACAATCCCTCAAGCTTTCCAAACGCCACGGAATTCCGAAGTTATCGTGAACAAGAAGAGAAGAAACGGAGAGTAGTTCAGACGAAAGAAAGCACCAACGCCATCGCGCCATCCACCACGCAAGCTTCACCCAACATGACGTCCTTGGCTTTCTCTCCTTCCCTATCACGATCGATACCTGTGCAGCGGACGCGCAACCCGGCGAGCCAAACCATGTGGGGCGCGCTAACGCCATCGTGTTTACCCCTGGAACCGACGTTCGTTTGAAACGGCGAGTTCATGTCAGACAGGACCAATGACAGCTGCATGATGTAGCAATCTGGATTGGTCGTCTGGCATCTGGCATCTGGCATCTTCCTCGTTGGGAGGCGATGACGGGTTCAAGGCGTTGATTTGTTGGTTGGCAGAGCTGAGGTAGACGATCGTGGGGAGGGGAGGTGGGCTTGGCGTAATGCGATGGGTGACGGAGAGGCCGAAGGGGGACGATCGGTTTGGGAGTGAAGTGTCTTGATTATGCGATGGTTCTGGGCGATGGGAGAGTCTTGGCAACACTGCGATTGTTTGTACATGAGACGGTGTGTCTATGACGGGTTCATTCAAATGTTTCTATGAGATCTGGCTGCGGAAATTTTGACATGTACTATTTCGCACCCGCCTGAATCATCTCTGGTGCTTTCTTCACACCCACTACCTTCTTTGCCTCCATAATCTCCAGCCTGCTGAGACCCATCCCGCTCAGATACTCGTTGAAGCTGCCAAGGACCTTCTCAAGACCTTGTCTGAGACATTCTCTTGCTTCATCTACTTCAGGCACCTTCCTCCTCTCCGCTTCTGGCTTCCCGTTTGTCTCCTTGTCACTCCAATGGATAGGGGCTGTGTCCATGTACTCATCGATCTTCTTCAGCGCAACAGTGAATATACGCACTATGCTTGGGATTCCTTGGTGAAAACGTCCTAAGCTGTCTTCGGCAAGAGAAAATACCGCAAGACTTGCGAGTGCAGTCGCGGCATTGCAAACTTGGGAAAGTTGAGAGTAAGGTGCGCCGAGAACGACAATGTTCGATGTCCGTTGGAAGGACTGTTGGAATAGCAAGCCAACCGGGGAAGAAACAAGCTTGTTGTAATAAGTCGTGAAGAACGACTCAGCTTCCCTGGCACCTTCTTGGGCCTTCTTCATTCCTCTGTTGATGGCTTCCCGACTGTATGCTTGCTGTGCGTTTCCTGGGGCGCTGTGTGACTTTGCAATACCGGCGGTTGCAGCTTCGACTTGTTCCCACCTGGTATTTGGTTTTGGTGGGGCAGCAGCAATCGGCTTGTCGTCCTTCAGGGGTTGTGCAATACGAGGAACCAGACTGATAGGCCCGGTTGGCTTGTCTTGACTTGATGCGTCGCTGGGCTGGTAGGCTGGATCGAGACCAGCACTGACGCGGTCGATAAGCCACTTGAGCTGTCCCAAGCAGATATCCGTAACTTGCTGATGTGTCGGGGCCTTTTTACGATCCATCTCGCTGTAGATAGTCTTGCGCCGCTCGGGAAAGGCGTCGGTGATGAGGGCTAGCTCCCAGAAAGCGATGGCCTGAGTGTGTTAGCAATGAACGTAGTAGTCGTTTCGCTTCCTCTTACCCTGACAGTATCTTTCTTCGACTTGAGTCCGTTCAGAAGGGATCCATTGGGGTCGGTAGAGTCGTTCGTGATGGGCACATCGTTCTTCAAGGGCTCTTGTGCAAGGTACACATCGAAGGTCTTGTTGACAAACTCCCAGAGCACAACTAGAAGCGTTCCTTCTGTGACGAACATGAAGCACAGAGGCAGGAATGGAGCAAGTCCTGTAGGTGTGGAAGTCTTGGACAAGCTCCAGAGGTATCGACTGAAGCTGTAGTAGTAGCTCCAGATCAGATTTCGGGTTCCGAGATAGTACAGACAGAAACCGGCAGCTGCAATGACCGAAGCCAAGAAGGTCGACTGTGTTGCAATGCCCTTGAGCGATCTCGCAAGGATATGTCTGGGCTTGGGCCCCCGTCGTGCTGGTGTGGAAGTGGTCGCGTCACTCCGCTCCTTCTTAGGCTTCATCGCCTGCAACTCAATCTTGTCGTAGTCCCTCCATAAGTGTACTCCAGATTGTGCTGCGGAGAGGAGGTAGAAGAGGTAGCGCAGGTAGAGCGGCCTCTCGTTCAGTCGAAATCGCTCGTGCATGCGGCCTGCCTCAATGAAGTTGAGCCTTGCTTGGGTGCCCCGCGACCAGATATATGTTTCGACAAACAGCATCGCGGAGAAAGCGTAGGCGATGAGCGTGATCAGCGTCGCAGGGCGGAAGAAGTATTTCGTGAACGTCTCGGCTCGGGTCTGTGTTTGGCGTCGGCCAACATGCCACTGGGCGACGCGAAGGACGTAGATGGAAAGGGCGGAGAGAAATATAAGGAGGGTTCGAATGCCAGTGAGGCCTAGAGGAAACCACAGCCATAGCACTGTTTCTGTTAGTAGGTGTGTATGGATTTCATTCAGCATCTCTCACTGTTGTCCCATTCTCCCATCCAGCACGCGATCGCATAGCATAGCAGCAGCGTGTATCGACTGGCCTTGTTGAATCTCCGGTGCAGAGCTGGCGTCAGGTAGTCTCTGTACGGGCGCACTTGCGTTCCCAGCGGTGCGAGCGCCATGTTTGCGACAGTTCGGGGCGGAGAGAGCGTATGAGTGAGGGACTGGCTATATCATAGCAAAGAAACAGAAGGATGGCGTCGCGCCAAGAGTAATTCGAACGCGCTGGTGCGGCAGTCTGGAGTACTGCAGCGATGAAAGCTGCCCGACTTTGTTCAAACAAACATTGTTGATCGGCGCAGCTACCACTTCGTCGCCGACAGCTGCACGCTTACCTAAGGGATCCGCTTGTGCCTTGTGCCATGTGCCCTAGCCGCGGTCCTTCGTCATCGCCGCAGGAACCACCGAGCACCAACCTCCAGGTAGCCACGATTGGACTTGCGTACTAGGCTGCAACAACTCCACACACGATCGCATAGCTTCGTACATCTTCCAGACACTCTTCTACAAGACCATCGAGTGCCGTCTCTCGTATCCGGCACCATGTCGTTCCAACGCTCCAGCGCCCTCGAATCGCAACCCACGACATGGCGAAGGGACGACGATCCGTCATACGCCGATGACCCAGAGTTCCGCGACTTCGCCGACAAGCTTTCCGACGACCTCTTTGCCTTGACCCGCAACGTTGCCCGTCTGTCGCAAGAGACGGGCAAGCTAGGGACCAAGCACGAGACCGCCCGTGTTCGCGAGCGCGTGAAGACGACTGTCGAGGAGACATCGGAGAAGTTCAAAGAGCTTGGCGAGGGATTGAAGAAGATCACAACCTGGCCCGATGTTGGCGTACGGATACCTCGTTCTTGAGATGGAAGTCGGTAGCTAACAGACGACAGCCCTCGCAAAAGTTCACGCAATCGAAGCTTCAGCGCGAATTCAAAGCAACACTCACCGAGTTCCAACACCTCCAGAAGCAAGCCTTAGAGAAAGAGAAGCAGTCGGCACAAGCGGCACGCACAGCCCTGCAAGACGTATCATCGCCAAGCGAAGAGCGGGGAGGAGACTTTGGGCAACAACAAGAGCAGGAACAGCTGCGCTTGGCGAACCAGGATGAGGTCGACTTCCAGGAGTCGATGATCATCGAGCGCGAGTCCGAGATCCGTAACATCGAGCAGTCGGTTGGGGAACTCAACGAGCTGTTCCGTGATGTTGCGCATATGGTGCACGAGCAGGGCGCTCAACTCGACATCATCGAGGAGAACGTCGAGGTCACGCACGACGCGTCGCGAGGTGCACACGTGAATCTCAAGCAGGCGAGTAACTACCAGAAGAGCGCGAGGAGTAAGGCGTGCATTCTGCTACTCATTCTCGCCATTGTTTTGGTCATCATTATTCTTGCCGTCGTTTTGGACTAGATGATACGTGCATCATCTTTGTCATGGTTGGTTCTATCTGGTTTCGGCGTTGCATTGTACATCTGGGGGGATCTTATACCATGGTGCATCTCATTGCAAATTTCTGTCGTTTTCGAATCGTGTTTTTTACCAGCTATGAAGTTTGGCTGTCTACCGTATGCTTTGCAGTGGCTTTTGTGTTAGCCAAGTCATATCTAATCAATGTTTAACATTTCCTCACTCACTCTTGTGTATCTTTCCTGCGTTGGTCGCTCGCTCTTTCCTCCACATGCGGCTCTGGTTACGACTCACCTCGCTGAGAAGGCGCGCTACGGAAACTTGCTCTCATTTCTCCCACCACTGACTGTCACTTCGCGTCTCTACTCTGACACCTTTCGTATCTGATCCAGAGAACGCGATCAGGACTCGACAAGAGTGAGGGCGACGGATTACCTCGCTTTCCATTTCCCTCAGCTCCACGAGTATTCAAGTCTCATTGCATCGCTATGCAGGCCTACGCCGCCACTCTCAGAGATCAGCAGAAAGCTGTGCCCCCTTCTCCGAAGCCTATGCCACCTCTTGATAGGGACAAGGCTACGCCCCCACTCCACAGGTACGTACCTTCCATTGGCATGCGAGCCAGAACTAATCTGTATTCAGTGCCGCTGCACAGGTCGGCGGTTCAGCCAACGTTGTCATCGAGATCGGCTCAGTACCCACCAAATACTACGTCCAGAAGGCTTTCCTCGTGCATTACTCCGACTACTTTCGCAAAGCATTGAGTGGTACCTGGAAAGAAGCCGAGGACGGAGTCGTGAAGCTCGTCGACGTGGAGCCAGCCGTTTTCAACCTCTTCCTGGAGTGGCTGTATACCCAACAGGTTCCCAACGACTGCTCTGAATACAACCGCATTGCAAATGCAGGATTGAAGTTCAGTTTCAGCAACACTGGAGACCTTTGGAAGATCAAGCTATACGTGTTCGTGGACCGTTTTGCAGTCCCCACACTGCGGACGGCTTTGAATCGGCAGATAGTCAACGACCCTGATGCTATTTCACGAATAACATGGGACCACATAACCATCACGTACGCCTTCGACAACCTTCCATCAACAGATCCACTTCTAGATCTGTTCGTGGATCGCTACTACATGGAATGGAATGGATGGGGTTCGATGCAGAGCTTGCCGCATGACTTCCTACACCGATTTTTGCAGAGGGTAGGGGGTGAGCGTGCTCGGGGCCGCAAAGTGGTCTCAGAGATGTTCAAGATGGACTTCTGCATCTATCATGAGCATGCGACTGATGCGGAAAAGAGCTCCTGTTCCCACAAGTCAAGCTTGGGTGACGGAAACCTCGCGTTGATGCGGCCTATCAGGAGCGAGACACGCCTACAGAGCATGTTCTTTTCCTCACGTCCAGCGACTTCTGCTTCGTAGCTCCAGGTCGGATAACGTTCCACATTCTGTACGGGTATCTACATAACACTCTGTAATTTAGCTAGCCATCCGCTTTATGCGCTGTTGATGGGTTCGCCCTTCTCATCAATCAAACTCTCATCAGTCTTAACTGGACCTTCGCCCACGCCTGTCAAGATGACCCTGCTAACACCCTCCTCCAAAAATGTGATAGCCGGGCCGGCGTCAAACTTGACCTTCTCAAGCGCGTCGGCGTTGGCCTGGATTGCTTGACCCCTCTCGCCTTGCCATCCGTCCTTCTCGTTCAGGATCTGCTTAAACAGACCAGCAACCTCCTTCTCATTCTCCTCAAGGTAGTACACAACAGCGTTTGGGCCCGCATCGAAAGTGTACGCAGCGATGATCTTTCCAGCCGCAGCATTGATGCTCTCAACAACCTTGATAGCCGCTCGGGAAACATCGTTCAAGTAGAAGATCGGAGGGAAGGTATCGAGGCAAGTAGCGTGGAAAGAGTTGCTGTCCATCATGGTAAGCTTGCCAAAGGCCTCAAAGTCCTTGTCCTGGATAGCCTTCTGCATCTCCTTCATACGCTTCGGCACAGTCTCTGTAGCTCTCGACTGGAACAGGCTAGATGTAGCAACAGTGATCTGCATACCAGAGGTACTTGACACACCCTTCTTGGCTGCGCTAACAACCAGGATAACAGCGCGCATGTTGGGCCAGTGGCTTGCAGGCGCAACCTGGAACGCAACACTGTCACTGCCATCCGAAGCGGAGCCTTGTTCCCAGCCTACATATCCGCCGAAAAGCGAGCGGCATGCGGAGCCAGAGCCCTGCCTCGCGATACGGGAGAGGTCGGTTGGCGAAGAGGGAAGCTCGTAGAGGTTTGCAATTGCGCGGACAAGAGCAGCGAAACCAGCGGCTGAACTAGCCAGTCCAGCAGCAGTGGGGAAGTTGTTCTCGGAAACGATGCGCAGAGGGAGGTCGGCGAGTTTTGGAAGGCTAGAATCCTTCTCCTCGAGCTGCTTCCTCAGTGCCCTCAGCTCCCTGAAGCAAGCTTGTGTCCTAGCACCAGAAACATCCTGCGATTGGCCGTTCAGGAGAAGCGTATCCTCTTTCGGGTAGGTGGACGAGCACGACGCGGTGGTGTGGGTGCGGAGGTCGGACTGCGCGAGGGTGACGCTGAGGGAGGAGTTGGTCGGGAGGTTGAGCTTGGGGTCGCGCTTTCCCCAGTATTTGATTACGGCGATGTTGACGGGGGCGGTGGTGCTGGCACGGTGGATGTCGGACATTTTGACGTTTGCTATAAGAGAAGGAGTGGAAGGAAAGAAGCAAAACACTGAGGGTAGCGGTGAAAGTCAAGGGGCTTGGTGGGGTTTAATGTTTATATGCAGGGTCTAGTTGGATGCGGTCTAGAAAGCGCGGATCTAGGACAGTAACTCAAGACAGCGGGATTATTTGCGCAATGACATGTTAGACAGGTTCAATCTTGGAAATTGGCCGTCTACCATAGACTATTCTCCGGCTTGAGAAAGAAACGCTCCTCGACGCTGTCTGAAGCGGTGGAAAGCGGTAGTCCAAGGCCAGCCAATCAGACCCACCTGATTCCCGCAAAGGCCCGTGCCCAACATTTCTCGATGGCTTCCGTCACCATCCCGAGTTTCTCGGAATCCGACAAATCCAACCTCACACATCTCCACCACGATGTCCTCGCAAGACGACCCAGCAGCCGCCTGCCCCGTCGACCACAAGACACGCGAAGCATGGCTCGCCCAAGCGCGCGCCCAAAACGGCACCACACCACCAAATCCCCATAGCACACCCATTCCAACACCTGCCGCCGCCCCGCCAGCACCCTCCCAATCCGCCGTGCAGCAATCCTGCGACTCCTCCTCCCTTGACCAAAGCACCACGTCGCCACCTCCATCAAGCACAAGCATCCTCTCGCAAATACGCCTCGGTACCGACCGCGAAGTAAGCACAATACCACGCGCCCTCCCCGACCAAATCGCATCGAAACCCGCCCCAGATGCGCGCCCCGCCAACAACGAGCGTGATACAGGCTCGGACAAGAAAACTGGAAACTGGATCTACCCATCCGAGCAAATGTTCTTCGACGCCATGCGCCGCAAATCCTACGACCCGTCCGCGCCCGACATGCGCACCATAGTGCCCATCCACAACGCCGTCAACGAACGCGCCTGGCACGAGATCAAGACCTGGGAAAGCGGTCGCGGCGCCGAGAAATGCGGCGGGCCCAAACTCGCTTCTTTCTCCGGGTTAAGCACGAGTTTAACGCCTAGGGCACGATGGAAGAGTCTGATGGGGTACCAGCCGCCGTTTGATCGACACGATTGGGTGGTGGATCGGTGTGGGACGAAGGTTGAGTATGTTATTGATTTTTATGCAGGGAGGGATGAGGGGAAGGTGGGGAAGGCGTTGAACTTTTATTTGGATGTTAGGCCCAAGTTGAATAGTTGGGAGGGGGTTAAGATGAGGATAGCGAGGTTTTGGGGGTTTTAGATACGAGACGTAGGGAAAAGTTGGGGGTTGTAGGATAGGTTTGTATATGTGTAAGATTAGTTAGCCTGGATGGAGGTATAGACATGATGTTGATGAGTATGGATGGATGTATATATGAACGCGAACGGAATAGAGTAACTTCGCTCAAGAAGGGAATCCTGCGCCTAGACGCGCAGTTGATGCTACCATACGCCTCTGTACGCCATGCGTCCATCTGAGACTGAATTATATCCCCAGAACAACTCCTTCCAAGAACCACTCCTACCACCCTCCAACATCAAGATGCGTACAACCAAACGTGCAACAAAGTCTACCCTGAAGCAGAACGCACTCATCCTAACAACCTCCTGACCTAATAAACATCCACGCCCAACTTCCTCAACTTATTACAATTCTTCAACTCCATATTCCGTGCCTTATTCATGGCCTCCTGATCCACACTAAACCATCCCTGCGCCTCTTCCATCGCCCTCCTCTGGCGCACCCTCTCATTCTGACACCTCGTATTCGTAATATGCACATACTGATTCTCGGCTACATCATCCAACTTGCGCCATTTCTTCGGCGTATAGTCATGCACTTCCTTGGGGTCGACGTAGTAATCTATCTTTATCCGTGTGGACACGCGCTTGAGTGTGTTGGGGGAGCGTGGGGTTTCGAAGACGAGACTCGGGCTTGCGGAGGTGGAGGTTGAGCCGGAGAAGAGGGAGGAGAGCAGGGGGAGGACGAAGAGGAAGAGTAGGGGGAGTAGGTTGGCGAAGGCGGAGGTGAGGTTTTGTTGGCCTTCGCTGCCGGGGGGGACGGCGGTTCCGGGGCGTCTGCGTGGGCGACCGCCGCCGAATTGGTGGACGCGTACGCCGGGGCCGCCGCCGAGGTTGAAGACGAATCCTGGGCCTGTGTCCATGCCGCCTGCGGTGTGTTAGTTCGTCGTCGTCTTCTGGTAGTTCTTGTCATGCCGTATGAACCTCGGCCTCAAGACCGAGGTTTCTAGGTATGGGAAAACGTACCGAAAGGCCCCCCAAACGCACCCCCAAAGAATTGTCTAAACAACTCTTCAGGCGTCATCTCCTCCTCAAACCCACCCCCTCTCCTCGCAAACCCATTCCCAAACGGACTCGCCCCGCCCCCTCCATTCGCACTCGCATGCGCCCGAGGATCAAACCGCGCATCCGGATCTCCGCCAAACTGATCGTACTTCTTCTTCTTGTCCGGATCACTCAGCACCTGGAATGCCTTGCTCACCAGCTTGAACGCCTCGTCCGCGCCGTCGTACCCGTTCTTGTCTGGATGCGTGAGGAGGGAGAGCTTGCGGTATGCTTTTTTGATATCCGAGTCTGAACAGCTGGCTTTTACTTCTTCGAGCCCGAGGATCTTGTAATATGCGGTTGGCGCGCAAGATTTGATGCGTACTACGGCGGCTTTTTGCTCCACGGTGAAGGCTCGGCCGGCGCTGCCATCGTGGTGGTCTCGCGATTTGGCGTCTGAGCCAGAGGTTTTGCCCGACATTGTGTGGTGTGCGTGGGTTGGTGTGTGGGGTGTTGGTTTGTTGTGTGGAGGGTAATCGTGCTGCCGCGGGCGGGCAGCGGTGGGGGTGGGAGGCCGATGCGCAAGTGTGAACGGCCGGTATTAATGCGGCGGTGATGGCGATGGGTGTGCGTCGACGAGAATATCGTCCGGGGACTGGGTGGTGGTTGTATTAGTCGTTTAAGCGTTATCTGTTGTCTGTCGAAGTTCGCGAGTCCCGGAGGCCAGTTTCCATGTGCTGGGTTGGCACGGGCTGGCGGTCCACTTGCCGGACCAACGTCATGGTCTTCACCAATCTCAACCCATGTACCCATCTGCGCGCAATTGTTCCTGACCATCAACAATTATTCACCCATCCGTTGATTCTTTGACGCACTCCGAAAAGACACACGATTTTCACCATGCCCGAACAGCCTAAAGACTCTATGCTGCAATCGCTGAGGAATTGGGGAGGTACGTCTATCCTGTCACTTCCTGATTCACCTCGTCGCACGTGCCTCACATGGTCTTGTATAACTATCGAGGCAAGGTCACTAACTCAATCGTTTTTGTACAGAGAATTCCGTACCGCCAACACTCCTCGCCACCCTAATCACCGCCCAACATGCTCGTCCATTCCAGTTCTTCCCTATGACGTTTACACCCGTCTTGCTCTTCTCCTCCTACCTGAACTTGAGCAACTACAAGACCGATGCTGCTGGCATCACAGCTGCATGGAGTGGACTGTATGCATTACTCGCTATGCGGAGAAGTCAGGTATGTATCAACCGTTCCTCCAGTTCGACGGAAACTTCGTCGGCCTGGATTCAAAGTGGCAAAATCCAACCAAACACAGGGCATCAAGAATAAGTTCACCGCCCGCGGCATCGTAAGAGGCGGCTCCCTCGCCCTCTGCGCGATCAACGTAGCAGGCTGCGGTCTAGCCTACACATTCGGCAAGCGAGAAAAGGAAGAGAAGAAAGCATAGAGCTCGACAAACGCCGTCACATGTAACATTATGTATCCCTAAGAATGTAATCTCTAAAACTAGTCACTTCGATCTTGCAATGAGATCTAGCAGGCGCAACCCATCTCAAAAGACGCCATCGCTATGCTGAACAATCGACATCTTGTGCGAGATACCTTATCAATCCCACGCATCACCCCAGCCTTCCTCTTCTTCATCAGCTTTTGGCTCTTCTTTCTTGACCTCTTTCTTGGGCGCTACGATGACTTTTCTCGTCGTTCCTGTCGTGCTCGACCTGATTCCTACCGCCGGTCTGACTGTCTTTGCTGCTGGCGTAGCTGATTTGGTGAGACCCTTTGGAAGAGCGTTCTTCGTGGGCTTCTTCGCGTTCGATTGAGCTGCCAACCATCCCGCGAAGTCAGGCTCACCCTTGTCATCGTATGACGTTGTGGATGCTGGCTTTGATACAGCAGGCATAGCCCATGGGTCCTCCTCATCCTGTGGTTTGTCCTCTTCATCAGCAAAGCCGCCCCAGTCGTTGTTGAAGTCTTCTGCCTCATCGTCGAAGGCCGCTGCTGGGTCCGGCGATTTGATAGTAGGAATTGATGCGGTACTCTTCGCGCTATGGAGAGTCATTCCGGGTTTTGATGCTACAGGAACTGGTGGTTTGCTGGTTGCTGTGGTAGCCGGCGGTACAGAGGACGATCTTTGGTCCGCTGCTCCATTGGTTGCCGAGTTGGCCTGCATCTCGCCGCTTGTAGATGCTAACTTGTTCGTGAAACTTGAGATAGCCCAGCCGGCCCACGAGGTATCGTTTGCAGGTGTTCCGATCCGTGGGGTAGGTCCCCCGCCAGCAGCAAGACCTGGTGATGGTAGTACGGTATCCGGCATCGTGGCAGCGAACTTGCGAATCCGTGCAATATAAATGTCAACACTTTTCTGTGCTTGGTCACGAATGAGCTTCTCCTTGTCTACCAATGAAGGACACATGATGGGAAGGAGCTTGGTCGCACAGTCATCTTCCGTGAAGAGATCGGCTGTTGCGGCCAGTGCAAGAAGGGCGGCATTTCGAGCGTGCACGAACGGATCACGTAGCGAGCGGGAGAAAGCGGCTGCGAGGACTTTGGCTCGGCTCTGTCAATATGTTAGTGTCTGTTCTGTATGTCAAATATATCAAGGCGTACGCTAGCTCCCAAGTTCCGCGCAATCTTTCCTAGACAGATTGTAGTGTTGGTTCGAATGCCGGGCTGTTCATCGTTCGCCGTCTTTGCTAGATGGCGAAGAAGCTCGCCATTCACTGTTCTGTCTGATAACTTGGGTACCACAGTGAGAATAGCTTTCACTGTCTGTTCTCTCACTACTGGTGCGATGTCTGAGAAGCCAGTCACCTGGTGATGTTAGTATTTCGTTCAAGAAATTGAATTGGCGCTTACCATCTGCGGGAATATCTTGTCGTTCACAAGCTTCTGAGGTAGATGATCAATCATGAGCGGCAAGTTGTCTAACAAGCAGACCCGTATCCCTCGATCTGGGTTTGCAAAAAGCCGCACAACGACCGGTGTGATCTGAGTTTCGTACTCGTCATCTGAAAGCTTCTGTCCTATTTGCATGACAGTACTGAATACTTTGGCACCTCCGCCTCCAAACTCGACAGACTTCAGTAGTTCAGGAAGTACCTTCATCTTGAAGAAGTCCGCTGGGAAGTCGTCCGCGACCGCATCGAGCTTCCTATGATCGGTCAGCATACTTGTCAGAGATAACTTCTGGAATCACCTACCCGAGTAGCTCGTTCCGCTCGTCCTCAGCTTTCAGTCCCAGATTTTCAATGTCGTCTGTGACCTGAATCAACGGTGTCTGGAAGAAGCCTCCTATCCGCTTTCCCTGATCCAGAAATTGGCCCACGCTCATACGTGACTTTGGGTTTGGGTTGAGGAGGCGTTTGTATGACTGGTGCATGCTTGGGGGGATGCTCTTCATTTGCCCTAGCTGGTCGCTACTGTTGTAGCTGCCGTTGAAGACCTCGAAGATAAGGATACCATAGTTGTATGCATCTACGGCGTGTGTCGGGTTCTGCTTAACGACCTCCCACCCTCCTTTCGAAACCTCGGGAGCCATGTACCGTCCCGCATCCGGTATGAGACCGCCATACGTCGGTATTACGGAATCGTCCTCCTTCACAGAGCTCAGCGCATCGAAGCCGCCAAGTTTCCACTCGCCGCTTTCGCTGAAGAATATGGATGCCGGGCGGATGCAGCCGTGTATCGACGCAGCATCAGCATTCACGAACTTGAGCGTCTTCGCGATGTTGTGTAGCCCCCATTTCGTAGTCTCTTCTGTCAGACTCTTCCTCTTGACATGCCAGCTGAGTGGGCTTAGTCGTTCGGTCGCGATGTAGATATATGTCTCCGTCTCTACCGTGTCCAAGACCTTCACTACTCCTGGATGGCGCAGGGTTCGTAGTTTGCGGAGCGCATTGCGAGCGAGGGGTAGTCGCGATTTGTTGGCGGTTATGTCGAAGGAGAATATGCTACATTTCGAGCCGTCTTCCTAGCAGGCGTACGTTAGCAAGTGTTTGCGCACAGGCAGACCTCCGGGCCATACTCGCTTTGTGCCGTTGTGCAGTGTCCAGATGGAGTCGTTCAAATCGACCCGATCCCCAAATGTGTAACCAAACGCAGGGCCTTGCGATATCGCAGACGCGACCGCTGATTTAAGAAAGTTCATAGCAGCGGCTTGGAACAATGCACTGCTGTAAATTTGGTAAGTCTGTACAGCAAGCACACGCAGATGCACGTAGAGGCCAGATGCGCCTGCCCCACCGGATCATCGGCACGTGATAGCGCGATCAACGCTCGAGGCACAGCCCTTGCTTCTTTTCGTCCTCAACACCGGACGACACAACAATCGGTGCACTTTCGCCTTTACTTGCAGCCTCGCATTGTTCTCCCACTCATACGCATGAGAAAGCACAAACTCCGCATGGCCGCTCGCAGGCTTTTCTCCCCTCGTCTTCTCCCGTATGTCGCGCGGAAGCGGCACCTTGTCCTAGACGCGTCTCTCTGGACTAAGCCTACTCTATTCCGAGTCGGGTCAGCGGACTGAACCATACAGCCAGTAAGTACTCATGCACCGACACCTGACGCGGATCCTTTCTCGCATGATGACCATTGGTAAAAGGTTAGATCGCTGAGAACACTGAGATGGTTTGCCTTTGCGCCTGCTGCGTGGCCTGGTATGTCGTAGACTTTACTGTTTGCGCGTGCTTGCCCGTTGAAGAAACAAAGCGGAAGCCTCCAGTGCAGCGAAATGCTGCCATGCAACAAACAAACTGAAGAGAACGGATCCACATCGTTCATTGTCGCTTGACTTTTCCAACGATAATCCAAAAGTACACGCTAACATTCATGTACTATTATAGGTACTAGCTTCTCCCTCCAACAGTCCAAATGGAAAATCATGAGAGCGAACAACAGGCCCCTTCTGCACCTTGTCTCAAGCTACCACATCATGATCGACCTGGCATTGTCAACAAGGAAGTCTCCGAAAAGTCTCCTCTGGTAAGCCAAAGTCATGTACAGCCGCGCCGAAAAGGTGTGATATCACCGCCTCCGCTGAAGCGCCAACGTACAACGTCCGACAAGCCTAGCTCGATGATTCGAAAGGCAGGTCTTCAGACCGACCCCAGCGCGATTACACACAGGTATGGGTTAAACTTGAGGAATACATGGCCATACTGACGAGTACTCTAGCTTCAATGGACGCATTGGGGCCACCTCGACTGCGCAAAGCAACCAGAAACCGGAAATCATGTCGGTCTCGATATCGTTTCCAGCACCATCTGCTCCTCAGCGACAAGACAATCGGAACACCCGCGATGTTTCGGGGCGGTGCCATGTATCACATCCAAGAAAGCCTTTGAGCTCCACCTCGCTGCCCAAAGCTACCTGTCTCATCTGTGATAAATCTAGTGCCACGAGCTATAACCCGATAGTTGCATGTTCGGGATGCTTTAGATCATACCATGACAGCTGTCGAAAGCCTCCGCTCGCCCCAGGCATTAATCCGTGAGGCAATCATACCTTCATGATAAATCAAAGCTAAAAAAGACAGGCAACAGTGGCAATGCTCAGCATGCTTGAGTGACACAGGAACACGTAAACCTTCTAGTGTGTCTTTAGCACCGGCTCCCGCTAGTCACTCTGTCGTGAGAGAATTGTTGAAACCAAGATTCGCCCACCGAGCTCCAAATGCCGTGCCATCAGATCGTGTCCCAGATCGTGTCCCAGAGGCCATGCCGGGAAAGCGTTTGGAGCCTGAGATCGCTTTGACCAGTCCGAGTGCTGCTGCATCTGTCAACCTCAATAAACCCAAGGATGTTCTGTTCCCCTCCGAATCACTTGAGCCGAAGCTGCTTGAGCGCACAGAGGTTCCAAACACCCCATCACAACGCTCGAGTCAATTTGACAGTTCGATACCTGAGAAGCCGTCAGACCATCTCCCCAACGCCCGTGTCTCCCAGCAAAACAGCTCCGCGCAAGGTGACGGGGATATATCGGCCCTTGATGAATCGAGTCATACCCAAAAGCGGACTCCTTCAACAGCTCTTTGCTCGACTTGTCGAAAGCAGACCGGATTAGTCAAGCCTGGAGAAGAAGGGGCTCAATGGTATGTGCGATCGAGTTCCACTTCAGACAAGTCTAATCAATGCATAGTTCTGGTTGTCGCACAAGATTACGTATTGCAGAAATGGGGAGACAAGAGATACCTGAAACTCCAAATGTCGACACCGCTAGTCGTAATGAATCATTCTTACCCACGACCTTGTCGAATTCGATCACTCACTCATCAGCTCCAATACTCGACGACCATGAAGTGGGGACGGTTCCGTCGATGCATGTTTCGCCCGTGTCAGAGGCCGAGCCTGGTTCGATAACGGCCAATGCAAGCTCTTTGTCCTGGTTCGACCCTGACCGGGCAAAAATCCGGCTGAGAATGAAGAAGCCTCGTGATGATGATCTGCCTGGCGTATCTACCGCAGATAAACGAGCTCTAGATGCCTTGGTTACGTCACAAATCACTTCCCTTGAGCAGAGGCCGTCAGTGCTGGGAGAAGATGAATCTCCGAAGTCAGCCTCCACTCTTCCGGGGTTCGTCGAAGTGGTTACACACATTTTGCCGAAGCACCTTGCTACAAAAAGTCTGCCAGACCGAGCTGCCGCAGTAGTGACCAAAGAAGAAGAGTCAGCGGTTCCAAAGTCGGATGAAAAGGTTGAAAGTGGTCCCTTGCCGGATCCTAACATCTCTGACAGCTCGCCCGGGGCATATAAAGGTCCATCTAGACCAACGGAACGTCACACAAACCGCGAGTTGGCCAGGATAGCATTGGTGTGTGCAAAAGGCACAGGTATGACCGCACTGCAGATGATTGACTGGCTGGCTTTGCGATTCTCCTATCTAAAAAAGGGCCAAGGCGCCTGGGAGAAAAGTCTCAAGTCGGTTCTCTCCCTCAAACCAGAGTTCCATGGCGTGAAGCCTCCTGGACGGCCACATGAGTCACGGGTTGTGTACAACTTCACCAGCACAGCCAGTAGGGCGAAATACGAAAAAGAGTACCACGATTACCTTCCTCTGGCTTCAGTACCGGGACCCCAAAACAGTCATCAGAGGGCCAGAAAGGGTGTTCCACAGCGCGCCGTAGCGGACAATGTCACGCAGCACGAGGAAGTCCAGGATGAACAACCAACTCTGACCAGAAGGACCATGACCAAAGCTATCAAGAGTGCACCAAGTCGCCGGAATGCTATAACTCACGATTCTCTACCGACACCGTTAATCGAGGAGGTCACTACAGATGCTGAACCAGGGTTCAACCCATTCGAGCGTGCTACTGTCTCACGTCTGACAAGGGCGCCTTTCGACGATCTGGAAGCCCAACGCGGAACGGACTTCCGTAGTGCATATTCGCCTAACACAGCATCCTCAATTGATTTCATGACTCCGGAAGAGAAGGCTACAAAGATTGCAGAAATCAAAGCGAGGCCATCACGGAAGCAATTCTTTGGAGCGAACTGGCGTCTGGCACATGTGCGAAGATTTGGGCGGGAGGATATCCATGATGAAAGCGATGGAGCATGGAAATCCCACAACACAACAGAGAGATCGATAGCGGATCGCAACTCTGCTATGAACGATCGTGACGTGAACCAGTCTTTGTTACAGGTCTTCAATCTTCCGGCCAATACTCGCCCTTTCAGTGACGGCAATGAGCTTGTTTTTCGAGATGCCACATTGGTAAGTGACACCGCGTCCGGTCTTCCAGGGTGATAGAGCAGTGAATTGACGATCTTGATAGGTTCATGGTCGACTGCCCCGGTCGCGGCAGGCATATCGAGTGGGCAAAGTGTTTGGGGGCGAGCTCACTATTAACTGAACCATCGGTTCTCTGGCGCACTGCATAGTTGTTTGCCGCATTATACCCTATCGTTCTTGGACCGCAATATGATGATTTTTCCTTACCCATTGATTGGGCATGTGTGACGCATACATCCGCTGTGGTGAAGAAATGTCCAGTGTCCGGCCCTCTACAAGACTCTAGAAGCCGATCACGGTTTGATCAAGGACGAGCATGTGGAGCGCACTTCGAACAAACTTCCTTTGCTGACAGACCCTCGCTTGGCGCCCTATGTACCCGCCAGTCTCGCGCCTTCCATCTCCACTACAAGCACCCCAAAACAACGACTTCGATACTGTGGCGCCTCACATTGGACAGGCGGGCTGCTAACGATTGAAGGCCCGCTTATGTCTTGCCGCCCGCGGTCGTGCAGCCCATGGCGTGCGGATGTTTCTAGCTCTGAAACACGGCCCTTGCGGCTACGCGAGCGCGTTTCAAGGCCTCCACACCAATCATTACGCGACTGCCAGACCTCGCCCATACCGCGCCTCATCGGCTGGATGCCACAACCCCACGTTGACCCTGTACGATGCCTTGCAACAATTTCGCAGCCGAGTCTGCTCGCTGCGAAATGATTGACTGGGCCGCCATCTCGCAGTGCCGTTCCCGCCGAGTCTAGCGGGAAGCGTTTCACATGGGCCGGTAGTACGGGCGCGACTACGGTCGCTGGAGTCATTTGGGCCACTCGAAGGTGAGGCGACGAGCCTTCCCAGCGCGATGGTCGATATTGGATTCTATTGTAAGGTTCGCGACTATGGGCAGGTCAGGCTAGCGGCGAATTATGTCCTGAGGCTCTCCTCCTTCACCTTGGGTTCTTGCTTCTCCATTTTACTTCAGTCTTCACGTCTCTATTGTTCGTTATTGTTCCTATTGTTGAAGGCGTGCTGCCTTGACGGCGTGGGACACTCCCTTTTACCTTTATCTTCATAAACTTAACTTGTTCAATCTATACGCTCTCTCTCTTCTTTACCCCTACGCTCGACGCGACTGCTGGACAGACCAATTGTATCTCTCTACGAACTTGGACGATTCAGCATCCTACGACTTTCTATTTCTCTCTACACGAACGAAATGGCGCTTCTCTCAGCCGAACACCTGGCTGGCCCGGGCTACATTATCCTCAACGTTTTGCGTGGTCTGAATATCATTGCTCTCTCTTCCGTGGTCGCCAGCAGCGTGGTCATGCTGGTGAAGACCTTTATCATTTCCAAGGTACGTCAAGTAACCCACTCTCGAGGTTTGCAAAAGCTCACAATCAATAGTTCTTCTTCTTCGATGCCACGAGCCATGTTATCACGGCAATCGCTGGGCTCTTCTTCATCGTCTCAGAATGCTCGCTATTCCGCAACTTCTACGCCCGCAACTGGCCACTCCTGAGCCCTTCGCATGGCTTCGTCACCTTAGGCTGCGCAATGATGATAGTCGGGCTCAACATGCTCGGTAACATGAACAAGGAGGCCACAAGCCAAGAGTCGCTCACCCTACCTTTCTGGCGCCTACTCGTTGCCTCTGGCATCCTAGCCATCGTCATCGGCTTCTTCAACATCATCGCAAGCTTCGTCTTCCGCGACAAGTCTCGCCGAATCACAGCCCGCATGGTCCGCTCTCGAGGAGCGATGACACTGCACGAGGACGCCGAGACGCAATCCCAATACGACCCCAAGCATAAAGCCTTCACCATAACCACCCACCACACAGGCAGCACCTCTTCCCGCAGCAACTTCAACAACAGCCCACCGCCCATGCGCACAGGCACCCCACCCGTCGACTGTGGCTCCCCGCAAGTCCCCTCTCCCACCAAGGAAGACCCAAACCGTCTTTCCCAATTCGACTTCAGCCCACTCCGCGCCTTCCGCAACGCGCGCCAATCCTTCCTCCCCTCCTACCACAGCCAGTCACCAGCTAAACCTAGCTTCTTCTCGCACCGCCCCTCCAGCTCCATCTACTCACGCACCACGTCGGGCGAGCCTGCCAGGAAGAAGTTCTGGCAGCGCCAGCGCGAGGAGCAGGAGGAGGAGACTGCGCGCATGCCGGAGATTAGCTATCCGTTGAATGTGAATCCACAGTTTGCTCATCTTGTTAAGCCGAATTTGGCGCATCATCCTAGTGTTAGGAGGCCCGAGGCGGATTATGAGAAGTTCTAGACGGGTTTGGATGAGGTGTGGGTGAGGGGAGATGTTGGCGGAGATGGGAGTACGATTACTATGATACCACTTTCTTTTCTTCTTTTCCTTAAGTTGTTACACCAGCATACTGCTACACGGCATTGGCGTTTGGCACATCGAGACTACGATCGTTGACGCTCCAGAGAGACACCTATCTGTCGAGCGAGCTATCCTTCATTGGAGGCGCTACTTTCTTTTATGGGGTTCTTACTAGTATATACTCCTCTCTTAGCAATATATAGTATAGCCGTTTCATGACTTTGGTTCTCATTGCATCTTAGTGATGTGTGATGCGCACATATATTTACATATGGTACACAGCGATGGAGTTCGCTGACCTTTCTTGCTTTGGTGCTTTGCGAAGGTTGCTTGCCAACAGCCAGAACGTGTCGAGCTGTCAGCCTTCGCATCCAGCAACCCCCAATAATCCACACACTCTGGACATCAGATCTGTTCCTCTCCCCATGACAGCCACGATATCCCACCACCCATCTCTTCCTCTACTCCTCCACAGCAATCGCCTGAAACGGATCAATAGCATTCCCCTGCGGATCATAAAGCTCCAACCTCGTCCCATCCTCGAGCGTCAAACTATACTCCTTGGTATAATACAGTCCACCCCTTCCCCTTCTCCTACAAGTCAACCTAACCTCGCCCGCCCTCTTGGTCCCCTTGACCCAAAAGCTGATCTCGATGCGCCCATGCAACTGGTTGATTTCGCCCTTGATCCAAGGATATTTACTCGCAAAGTAGATCTCGTCGCCGAGCTGCTCTCGCACGAGCGGGTTTGTGCGTAAAGCATAGAGGGTTGCGGTTACGACGGAGGATTCTTGCTTTTGGTAGTTGAAGAAGGCGAAGAGGCAGGCGGTCATGGCGAGGATGAATATCGGCATGGTTTTTAGGATTTGCGGGGATATTAGGGGTGGGACTCTGGGAGGGGTTGTTAGTGGGCCGTTGCGAGAAGGGAGTGGTAGATGGAGGGTTTCTGGGTTTGGGGTGTTCCTGTGGAAGGGTGGACGTACGGTGGTAATGCGCGGTTTGGCCGGCGCTCAAGCAGTATCTCGCCATCCTTGGGTGGGGGAATGAGGTTCTCGGGTGACCAGACGCTGGTTGGTGTTTTCCAGGGTACGACAGGTTTTATGTCGCTTTGCGGTGGTGTTGTTGATGCGCGGCGGAAGGGTGCGATGCGGCGGAGACACTGGTAATTCGCTTGCGGTCGCGCGCGAAGTAGCGCTGGAGAGAGCCGTGGGGGAGGCATTGTGTTGTGGTGGAATCCCAATTCGGTGGGTTTGGAGATGGGTGTATGAGATCAGTCGGTTTGGTGGTCATGATGTTTGCATGGTTTGCATCTTTGCGCTAGTGGGGCACAGTCCGGCTGGACTTGCTCCTTGTCGACTTCGTCTCCATCACCACTTTCATCAACCCAACGGTATAGCAATGACATAACATGTGCACTACGAACCGCTTCAAAATGATAATGACCATGTCCGAGTGCTAAAAGTGGACCCATCTCTCGGCCAAATCGAATGGCTATAGAGTGCTAGACGATATGCTTCCTTCCGGTATAAATTCAGTTGAGATTGACACAATATCATGCGAAATCCAGCGTGTTGCTTCAATCACTATTTGACTCTTTTTGTTCCTTCTAGGGTGGCTACTAGGGAGACGGCCTCCCAGATTGACGCTGTTTACATTTCTCTATGTCTCATCCTTTCCTACTATAGTCACCATGTCAAAGCTTCTTAAATGTTTCATCTGTTATCTCATCGATATCTCCATTCGCTCTATCCGTGACAGCTCTGTGTCGTCTCGCTTCGCAATGAAGCCCATTATTAGGTTGTACTCGAGAAGTAAAGTTCTGAAAGCTATTTACAGCGTTAGAAGTTATACCTGTATTGATGTCAAAAACAGCGGAAACCTTGGAGACGCTTGACAGCTGCCAATGGCTTAATCAACAACGAAGTTCTCTGAAGCCTATAGCCAGTTGTACCCGGCGGTGTGGGCGTCGCTGCTCTTTGTTGTAGCCAGTCACATGGGAGCGCGTCGCTAGCGGCAATGCCAAGCGTTGCTCTTTCTATCTACATTGTTTGCACGCGTTCCGATTTTCAAGCTGCGACTCTGTCAGACACAATCGTCGCATCAGCAAATTACTCACGATGCCAGAACTCACTGCCCGCAAACGACCGGCAGTATCCCTGGTTCAAGACCAGGACATTGTGCTCACGATCGAAGCTGGATTGGTGAGCGACCTTCGCCTGCATGCAATATGATAGCTGACCTTCTGTACAGTCTGACCTGATCATCACCATCATCGGTGCCGTTGATGAGGATGGCGTCAAACACGTCACAGACCTGCTCGTCAGTTTGAATATCTGCACGAAGTCACCTTACCTGAAGGCTGTCCTCGAAGCTAACGAGGATAAGACAGAGATTACTTTTGGTGGCGACGCCAAATCAGACTACGACGGCGAGAATAAGGAGGGCACCCTCATCTGGCTCGCCCATCTCCATGAGCTACCCGAACAGCGACTGGAAGAGTTGGGTCTCTTCAAGGTCTCGCTCGTGGGAGTCCGGCATGCGATATCACTGTGGGACACCCATCAAGAAGGCAAGATCAAGGAGACTTTGGGGTCTTGGTTCAACAAGTGGTACGAAAAGAACATGGCCAAAATCGATCTAACTGTCCCGACTGCTCGAGCCCTCGCATACCCATGCTACATCTTCGATCATGCTGTTGGCTATGCACGTGTTACCATGTACCTCGCCTATGAGCACGTTGGACATGTCAAGGAGCGCCCGCCGAAGGGTTCCAAGGGTCCCAAGCATCTCCACATCAACGAGCGCATGTTTGTCGGTAAGTCTCTTCCTTTCTTTTCTACCTATCTACACGTGTGTACCAGAAAACCCCGAATGTCAATATTGATCAACAGGTCCTCTGAACCATACTCGCGGAGGTCTCCGTAACTCTCTCCACAAGTCACTCTACTCCCGCGTCGGTAGAATTCTCCGTTCCGAGACTTCGCTATGTTCTTGCTGGGACGACGAGTATGAGAAACACAACCAGTCTGTTGGAGGCCGCTGGGATACAAAGTGCCGCATCGAGCATGGTCACCCTACCTGGTATATATCCTGGCTCGGTCGACCGGACCTCCGTGAGAAGATTCTCCGATGTCCTGACGGCTATCGGGCGCCCGAAGAGGATTGAAGGTCTTGGGATGGGCGGATGTAGTTGTCAGCGTGTTTATACATCAAGCGTTCATCCAATATCTCGTGGATGTTACTCACAAGCACGCTTAGTGGGGTCATGCGAGTTGACGGGAGTAGGATTAAGCAGATTTGACCTGACAAGGGCTGAGTTTATAGGGTAGCCACATATAGCTGTTGATCACGATTAAAATACACAGCTTTGAACACATGGATTAAGCTCAGAGTGATGAAGTTGGAACTTTATGGGATTCATTAAGTGCTAAACGCTCAGAACATCGGGTATCTCCATGCCTATCGTACACGCGTCATACGCTCGTCGTCATGCTAACAATAAAGGAAATGCTTTCATGGCCTCCAGGAGAGAGGCTTAGTGCACACGGCGGGCGTTACGACCATCAGTACCGTGCATGCGGCGAGTGCCAGCAGCCTACATGTTGTCAGCGAAGCACATCTCATCTCAAATGACAATTGCTTACCTTGAGACCTGGCCTGCGAGTCAAAGAACCCCGTAGCTTCATCATCATTCCGCTGACCTTGTCACCCATAGTAGCATGGCGCTTGTGGTGGTGGACTGGAGCCGCAGTAGTAGCGTGACCATGGCGACCGCCAGTTGTGCGAGTTGTCCTGGTAGTCGTGGTGGTGGTAACAGTAGTTGCGGGTGCGCGCTTGGTGTGTGTCTTGCGTCCACCTAGCAGGCGGGTCTTGAGGGACGGGCGAGCACGTGTAGTGCGTGTCGCAGTAGTGCGGGGAGCGGCGCGGCGGGCGAGAGGCATGGTTGCTGAAGTTTTGTTTGGTGATTTTGGGTTGATTGAGGTAGAAGTAGGGTTGAGTTGGAGAGTTGGAAGCTCTTAGGATTGATAGCTTATAATATATCGAATGGTGTTGTGATGTGAATACACAAAGCGTACTATAACCTCCCATCTTATACCACACGCTCCCCAAACCCAGTCCACGCAATCTCGTTCCCTCCAAGTCCCTGAAATCAAGTTCTACCGTGCCCAGCGCCCTGCATCTGGCTGCGATCGTCTATCTCACGTCATGCAGGGACCCGTCCAAGCTTGTGCCCTGGTACATGAGTCGTGGCGCATGACGTGCCTTGACAGCTTCTTACCTTGTCACAACGGCCTTGGTGTGGCTTATTCCATGGGAAGAGCGAGTTACGATGGCCGTTGGTGCTAGGGTCTTGGGATCGGAGTGGTCGGGCGAGGCTGGATGCGGTCATAGCGCAGCACGGCTGGACCCTGATTTTAGGGCAGGGCGTACGTCATACCTCTGAATAGCCTCATGAGCGTCATCGCTGGATGATGAAGATTGCGAATACGGCACCGAGGGGTTGGATGAGATGGCAGTTCGGTGATAATACGGAATTGAAGTTGTCAACACAACGTTCCGAGCATGATGAAGTCTGGGAAAGTGTTGAAGGCCTGATCGACTCGATGACGTCGCGACCGATGAGCTTGGTGGGGTTGCTTCAGAAAGTGCCCCGACTGCATTTCTCGTAAGTAATCCGAGCTGCGTTCTCAATTTCGTCTCAGCTGAGGATTCTTATATCCTACATGCTTCAGATAGTGCACACGCCGATCCTAAGGCCGTGCGAAAGAGCACGTCAAAGCTACGGGTAAGGCTGAGGCGACGTTGGCCGTTCCCACCAGTTCGTGCCAGCGTCGATACATCGACCGATGGCATTCTATCGTCGATGGACATTCCAACAGTCCCATCATTCAGTGATGATCCGCCTAACTCTTACCACACCAGGCTCCACTCTTGCACATGAGCGTGCCGTGACAGCCTTGTGATGTCACAAGAAATCATGAACGTCAATAAAAGTTCCTCTTTGAACCGCGCTGGCCTCGACAATTACACCAACTTCACCTCGAGTTAAACAACTGCACTCAATTTCTCTTCTTTAGATTCTCCTTACTGATCCCGAGATACCCACAAATAACCACACAACATGTCGTCCAACAAGGGACAATTCGAGCAGGGTATGCACGCACAATAGCGTCCAAATACTTTCTTGTACTGACTCAGTATCACAGGCTTCCAGCCCGATGTTCAGCACCAACAGGCCCCCGGTCTCGAGTCCAAGCTGGACCCCCTGCCCAAGGTTGACGAGCTCCCAACACCCGAGGGAGGAGCAGAGAAGTACAAGGCGGCCGGCAAGCTCAAGGGCAAGCGCGCCATCATCACCGGTGGAGACTCCGGCATTGGCCGCTCAATCGCCGTTCTCTTCGCCATGGAGGGCGCCGACAGCTTCATCGCGTACCTGCCCGAGGAAGAGAAGGACGCACAAGATACCAAGAAGATGGTTGAGGAGAAGGGACAGAAGTGCTACACCCTGGCCGTCAACCTGAAGGAGAGGGCAAACTGCCAAAAGGTCATTGACGAGGCTGTTAAGCAGATGGGTGGCATTGATATCCTTGTCAACAACCACGCTTACCAGATGATGATCAACGACATCCATGACCTTTCTGAGTACGTATTCCGTTCCTCTTTTAATCCAAGGAAGATACTAACGACACGCAGGGAACAATGGCTCCACACCTTCGACACAAACATCCACCCCTTCTTCTACCTCTCCAAGTACGCCCTTCCCCACATGAAGCGCGGCGCTACCATCATCAACAACGCCTCCATCAACGCCTATGTCGGCCGCCCCGACCTCCTCGACTACACCTCGACCAAGGGCGCCATCGTCGCTTTCACTCGCGGTCTCTCAAACCAGTATGTCGGACGGGGTATTCGTGTCAACGCCGTTGCACCTGGTCCTGTTTGGACGCCTCTCATTCCTGCTACCATGAACGACGAGGCTATCAAGCAATTCACTGCGCCGATTGGCAGGCCCTCGCAGCCTAGCGAGATTGCTACTTGCTTTGTCTTCTTGGCCAGCAATGATAGCAGCTCGATTAGTGGGCAGACCATTCACGCCAACGGTGGTACTATCGTCAACGGTTAAGTGGGGATTATGCTTTAGGACTGTTTCCCTGACGCCGTTGTGGATCATGCACTTTACGAGTTTACGAACGTGTAATATAGTCAAACGAATAATTCAGAATGCCAATAACCCTCATTCTCATATTGTGATACATGGAATGTTGGCTGCGATCTTTACATTCTGCTTTGATGTCATGCTTGTCATGCTACTGGATTTTAACCCATTACCCAACTCCACTTCCACTCAAGGTAAAATATACTCATTGAAATCATCTCACTAACACATTTACTATGGTATCTGACCCTACGCAAAACCATCCCATCGCAGCAGCCCATGATTAAACCACGCGTTCAAGAGTGATTCGCAGGCCCATCCTGCCTCGGAGTAGGCCCCTCCTTCATCTTCTTCATAATATTACTCAACTTCCCACCTGTACCACTCCTCCCCTCAATATGAGATCCAGACACCGGCGGCCCTTGATACGCCGTCTTGCCCGGTACCGCTGAGGGCCCTGAGCTCGACGGAGGAGGTGGTGCAGCCCCGATTGTAGGCCCTTGTGGCTGAGGGTGTGACACCGATGTGTGGTTCCCCATGTGTTGTGGTTGTGGTTGTTGCTGCTGCTGCTGCTGCTGTTGAGCGGCATATTGGCGGGCGCGTGCGGCTTCGATTTCCGAACGGCCTTTGTCGATGACGGCTTGGTTTTTTGCGTGCGCGGCGGGGTTGCGGCGGTCGAATGTGTCGTTGAAGGTTCCGCGGAGGGTTTCTCCTGCGCCCTGTCGAACAATATTAGTATGTTTTCGCATGGAGAGTGGTGATATGTGAAGTACTTACATGAATACCCGCTGCTGCCGCTTTGAGGTTCGCCATCGTGCTCTGCTTGTTCAGATCGTGACCAGCGCGGTATGGGACTGGGCGGTTCGGATCGTTGACGTTGTTGGTGTTGATGCCGGACTGTAGGCTAGGGGGTATACTGGATGGCTGCTGGTTGGGCATTGGCGGCATGCCGGACTGCTGCTGTTGGTATGCAGGCATCTGAGGGATGCTCGATCGCCGCTGCTGTTGCTGTTGTCCTGGAACGGGAGGTACAGGTGGAATGCCATCCTGGTGTTGCTGAGAGTCCATCCGCTGGTGGTCTGGATGCATGCCGTTCCCAGGCACCTGGCGTGGAACTCCTTGGGGTGGTGCTCTCGCAGGGTAGGAGAAGTTCGCACGATTCGGGCTGCTTGGTGAGACCGGGCTGACAATTTCCTCCATTGGGTTCGGCCTCTGAACCCCGGGCGATACTGAGTCCAGCTCTACCCTATGCCGTATGTTGTTCTTCGCTGGTATGGGTGGAGACGAAGGACCGTCGGTGTTGGAGACTTGTGGAGAGAGTCTGTTGCCTGGCTGGTTGTTGCTCATAGGCACTGGCGGGGTGATGTTTTGAGGTATAGCAGACTGGGCTGAAAGACCAGGTCCTTGATGGTAGTGGTTGTCTGGCTGAGGAGGAGCCGGCTGTGGTGGGCTGGGACCAGAAGTGTGTACGCTTTGTTCAGACGGAGCAACGCTGTCGCGGGGCTGTTCTACAGTAGTAGAGCCACCCGGACCGGTTGTAGTGGTCGTCGTTGTTGTGGTCGTCGTTGTGACGGTGACGATGTTGCCTGAACCGGCATCGCGATATGTCTCTCTACCCACATCCTCATGGCTCGAGCGACTTTGAAGCGTTTGTTGTGTTTGCGTAGGAGGCGCTAGGGTATTTTGATGTTGCCCGTTTGGCGGCGTAGTGTGAGCAGGAGGTGCTTGGTTGTTCGTGGGCGGATGGTGATACTGTTCACCGGAGATTGGTCGCGTTTGGTTCCTGAAGCTCGGATCTGCGCTGCTGCGCTCGCTACTGTAATACGCCGAATCGGCATCCCTGCGAGCCTTTTCCTTTTCTTCTTCCTTGTGAGCGTGATTCAAATTGTCTTTCGACGTCTTCTCTTTGGAAGAGAATGGATTGGACATGCGCCATTTCGATCGCTTCTCCTTCTCAGCCGACGTCATGTTCTCGGAGCCTGACATAGGTTGTGAGGAATTGGCTGCAGGTTGACCGCTTAAGCCACCGGTCATTTGCTCAAGCTCTTGTCTTTCGCGACTCTTTCGCTTTTGAAGTTTGGCAGGCTGTCGGAAACCGTCATCCATTGCCAGCAGCACACCCAAATTCGGTCGAAGGGTGGAACCGGTTTACGATGAGCACGCGGAGGAACGGGTCTAAGGAACGGTGGTCGAAGCTTCTAACCCTGGAATAAGAAAATACTGTAGGTATATCAAACAGTATGTGAGTGTATACAAGATGCGTCAATCTCAGTAGCGGGGAAGCCTTTGTATCGAGGACGAAACCCGAAGCAAGGCCTCTCTGCCCGCTGAAGACCCCCATGATATCATACCGTGGTTCTGTGGCGCAGGAGAAGTGTGGCACCCAATTGGGAAAGCCAGCGCGTGGCGATCAGTGGAAAGACGGCTGACAGGCAAGGATCTTGACGCTCGATGATGCTTGAGGGAACCTTGGAACCTTGCAAACGAACTATCCAAGTTTGCGGTCTAAACTATGCTTCGCACGGTTAGCCCACTTGGAGTCCCATTCGCGTCGTGGGATATTCTCAGCGTTCTCGCGATAAAGCGCTTAATTGATGACTGGTTGCGGAATGAGATGAAAGGCCGTCTCATCATGGGCGATGTACGTGCAGGGGCGTGCTACCCCGCGCACTCAGCCGCAGCTCAGCCTGCTTAGCTCGAGGTATCAACACACTAAAGACGCTACAATCGCATTGTTGTCACCATGTTCTTGCACATTTCGCAACTTCTCTCGCAGCCATTGTTATCTTTTTCTGTTATGTTTAATAACGACATCTTCCTGTAGCTGTATGCTATTCTATCATGGCGGAGGTGGTAGGCTTGGTGGCCAGTGTCGTGCAGCTGGCTGGTGCAGGCTTGAAGCTGTCCCAGACGCTGTACCAGTATGCTGATGGTGTGGCTTCTGCCGACCGCAGAATCAAGGATATCGCGAACGAAGTCAAGCTTACAAGCTTCGTCATTCAGGAGCTGGGCACCATCTTCGAGAAGGACGAGACAGCGAATCTGATTTCGGAAAATGCGGTCAGGACGGCGAATGAGACAATCAAGGAGTGTTTCGCAGTTTTCACAGAACTTGAGTTGAAAATCAATAAAGGCAAGCCAGGGAAGATGGGTCGGCTGATGTTACCCTTCAAAGATAACAAGATCGAACTGCTGCGGAGCCAAATTGATAAGCTCAAGAGTACATTGGAGCTGTTGATGCAGGTGCTCATACACGCCCATCAAGTCTCATCAGAGAAGTACAACCGCGAAGCTGAAGCGAGGCACCGGGAAGAGATCAAGCAATTGCTTGAGAACAAGAAGCAAGCCACGAAGAAGTACGAGGAGTCGCTAAGGAATTTTAGTATTAGCGATGGCAGCACTGCTGTAGATGATGGCGATCGATCGGTGAAGGACGAAGAAGATATTGGTTCGCCGTCCAACCTCATCAACGCTGCTGGAGCTATCGGCTCAACTATCAACTCTGATACGCTTGCCACATGCGTGGACCATGTCAGAAGCCTGTTGGCAGACATAGAGACGCTGCAGCTGGTTTTGGCCAGGAAAGTAGATGGGGACGACCACTCGGATCACCACCAGAAGGCTATCGGATCTTACTTCATCGCTCGCTCTCATCTTGATAGCGTTCTATTTGGCAATGCTCAAGCCAATACTTCTGTATCTACTGCGACCCATTCGAAGCCACCCAACGGACATGTCAGCGGCGCCTTGAGTGACGAAAGGGTGCAGGAAGAGATGAAAATGAAGATGGAGATGGAGCACGAGCGAGCACGAACCTTTGCTGAAGAGAGAATGAAGCCAGAAAGCTTCCAAAGGTCAGCCGAAGCTAGCCTATATGACAAAGAGAGAGAATCAGCTTTGCTGATAGAACGGGAAATGCGCCTCGAGCGCGAAGCCAGAGATGAAGTGAGGGCGAAGATGGAGCGTGAAGGCAAGGTACAAGATCTTGTCTGTCGTCCGGCAGCGCACGAAGACAGCATCGAAGATATTCCACGCGAATTCCCTTCTGGTGCTGAGTATAGGCAAACTAAGTACCGCGAGGAGTATGCGCCTACACTCCGAAGGACCAGCACTCGAACCAACCCAGAGACGGATGAAACTTCAGACGGTAGACTTGTAATTGAGGTACCCGATCGAATTGATCGACCTGGAGCAACGCGTTCTCAGCTACAGTTGAACAATGAAAGCTCTCGTGCAGATGATGCCCACCACCTGCCTCTAAGCCAGGCGAAGCCAACGAAACTAGAAGCCCGCGCCCGAGGTGAGAGGCTTTGGCAAGAAGAGTTACGTAGAAGAGAGAGTTCAAGTGCCCCTGCAAGAGTCAAGTCAACTAAAAGGCGCGATTCCCGCCCACCTGCATTGTCACAGCCATCACAGTCGGCCCGCGATAAATTTCCATCGTCGTCACCGGGATACCTGTCAGAAGAAATAGAGGGCAGCTCATATGCGCCTAGCACGCGCATTCGAGAGGCCAAATGGCGCCCCAGGAAAGACAAGAACGAGATCGACCAGAATGAATCACAGGTATCATACAGCAGACAAGACGATTCATTCAGAACGCACAATCCCCGTCAAATTCTGTCACCACAGCTTTCTCTTGCCTACTCGGATGGCACCGACAAGGAGGTGAACGGCCAACTTGGCGCGCAGGTGAAACCGGACGGAGAAGAAAAAAGGAGAGGAGAGAGCGGCACGGATTATCTAACAAAAGCGAGAGTGGCAGAAAGAGAGAAAGCGAGAGCGGAAGAAACAGAGAGGAGGAGGCGAAGAAGATCAGAACAAGAACAAATGCAGCAAGAGTTCTGGTGGTTCTCGTACAACATGGAATCAACTTTTACTCCTAGTGACGCATACGTAAGTATGGACTCTCACCTACCGCTGGGGCGTCCACTGATATGACTTAAGCCTGATATCATCGAGTCTAATCTCCGGCACCCTGCGAGCCCCACCTCGATGCTAAGTAATTCTATCGATGAGTTCAAGTACTTTCCCCCGTCAGCAGGTCAAGAAGGAATCGTCATCACAGCTACCGGCGACTGTGGCCGATCACACTTCCGCTCGCGCCGAGACCACCGTGGCTACGATAGCGACGCTAGCGACAATGCTGGTGCTATCGCAAAGTTCGAAAGTGAGACAGAAGACGAAAGCATCAAGATGCGAGAAGAGAGTGTGCGTCGCGACAGGGAGCACAAGCGAGAGAAGGAGGGACCAGAAAGCAGACGACGAAGGCCACGATCCCCTAACCCTCATGCCTTTCGCTCTGGAAGTGACGCAAAGATAGAAGATCAACGACGTAAGTACCATCCGGAGCTTGGTGATACATTCATTCCTCTTCTGTAAAGACCAATCGTTAACATTACTAATGCCTACACTCCTAGTGAGAAAACCAACTCCTACGTCGGAATCGCAGAGACAAAAGAGCTCAGAAGAAGAGTACATTTCGCCAAGTGGTGAAGAAGAAGTCCCAGAAAGTGATGGGGCCGATGGTACATGGGATTACATCCATGAGACAGAAAAGGTGGGCCGGGCGGACGAGGTGGATGAGTTACTGAAGGAGTGGACTACTCTGCTTGGATGATGTGTGACAGTTGATATAGCAATCCGCAAGCGTTATATATGCGACTCCAGCATGTCTAGGTGCATCAACTGCAAAGGTTCATGCATACTCCCTACTTCTACAGCAAAGATCGAATCTGATTTGCGCTTATGAAGGCGGCCGCGCAATATAGCACGGCGCACCAACTCCCAGCAGCGTCATAAACATCACTCCATATTCGCAGTTTGTTCAAATCTAAGTCATTCACAATCTCTGAACACCTACCTACTCCCTCCGGCCATCGCAAAGCCAACCCTACATCCCCCGACATCGCCCTCCGATGTCGAACCACACTCAACAAGGTAACCCATCCCTCTCCCACTTTTCCGTTCCGTGCCTATCCAACCCGACATCTTTTCCGCACATCGGCGCCCATTGCGCGACGCGACACTTACGCGCCGGCATCTCATCACGGTTCCAGTCCGCTGTGACTATTTCTCTAGACATACCCATGCCACCCCATCGCCCACTACACCCACGGCCCGGCCATTATGACAAAACGTATAACATAACACCCCGAACGCCCTCGCCGTGGGCGTCCCACTAATCAAAAGCGGTAATGGGCTATGCTCCCATTTGGCATGTGGGCTTTTTTGCTTCTTCGACGTCAGTGGGGTCGGCCATGTCAGGGTCGGGAACATTGAATTTGTTTTTGCGTTATGGCGGGGCAGGCAGGGGTTGGGGGGCGCGTCGTCTGGCGTGGAGGGGCATGCAAGCCCACGGGACGCCACGCGACTGTCCTGGAGCCCTGCCTTGGAAACTTTGCACGTTGCTTTTGTGGGGAGTAATTCTCGAGAGGCTTGGTGGTCATGGCTTGATGGATATTTTGAGTCGTAAACTTGAAGCTGGGGTTGTGATCGTGTCTATTTTCGATAGCTGTGTCGTATTAGGGGTTTTTGCGTGCGATTTTCTCCGGTGTGCGATTGGGGAAAGATGATGCGCGTATGCGTAGATTTGGACTTCATGCAAAGTTTGACGTGCAGAATGTGGTGAAGTATATCATGATTCTATTCATGTAAGGTATCTATATACAAGTGGGAGCATCCAGCTTCCGAACGCCAAGGACAATGAAGGTATCGTAAGGTATCATATACAAAAGGCAATCCGCTCATCAGCGAACCGTTCACCACCAGTCACCCTGGTCGTGCATGGCGGCAGCGACCTTGCGGAAACCAGCGACGTTAGCACCACCGACGAGGGATGGGAACTCGCCCTCGGCAGGGGTGAAGTACTCCTTAGCGGTGCCCAGGCAGTTCTCGAAGCAGTCCTTCATGATGCCCTTGAGCTTCTCGTCGACCTCCTCGGCGGTCCATGACAGACGCTGGGAGTTCTGAGCCATCTCGAGACCAGAGACGGCGACACCACCGGCGTTGGCGGCCTTTCCGGGGGCGTACCAGATGGCCTCGCCCTTCTTCTCGCGACGGTGAGCCTCGAAGACCTCAATGGCCTCCTGTGTGCAGCCCATGTTGGAGCCCTCAGCGATGAACTTGGCACCAGACTCGATGAGAGCCTTGGCCTCGTCCTCGGAGACCTCGTTCTGGGTCGCTGAAGGAAGAGCAACGTCGACCTTCTTGACCTCCTTCCATGGGCGGGCACCCTCAATGTACTTGAAGCTGTGGTTCTCCAGAGCAGTAAGAGCCTTGCGCTCCAGCTTGAGGGCGGCGATCTGGTTGATGATCTCGGGGGTGAAGCCCTTGTCGTCTTCGGCGATCAAAGCGCCCTTGCTGTCGCTGAGGGAGATGACGGTTCCGCCGAGCTCGATGATCTTGAGCGCGGCGTACTGGGCGACGTTTCCGGAACCAGAGATGGCGACGCGCTTGCCCTTGAACGACTCCTTTCCGCCTGAGGCGTAGTTGATCATGTGGTCAACGTAGTATACGAGACCGTAACCGGTGGCCTCGGGACGGATCAAGCTGCCTCCCCATGAGCCACCCTTGCCAGTGAGGACGCCCTCCCAGCGGTTGCGCTCTGCTCGATATGCGCCGAAGAGGTAACCGATTTCGCGACCACCGACGCCGATGTCGCCCGCAGGTACGTCTGTGTCAGCACCTGTGATTTACGTAAGTGAAATGTTCCGAGTGGAGAACCAAGAAAGCAGCGCGAACGTCGCCGACGGGGCAGTGCCAAACAGACGGGAAGATAAGGCAAGATAGACCCGCCAGATCTCGTTGGTCTGCTGTCGGAAGAGCATGCGAACCGTTGAAGGTGCATGCCCCACTGAGGCTGAAGTGAAGGGACGCGCTAGGGTCAAGACATACCGATGTGCTTGTTGAGCTCCCTCATGAAGGCAACGCAGAACTTGCGGATCTCATTGTCAGACTTGCCCTTGGGGTCGAAGTCGCATCCTCCCTTGCCACCGCCCATGTTGACTGTGGTGTATTAGCATGGTGTTGATATGCGCTCGAGCCAGGTATGACGTACGGCCGGTGAGAGCATTCTTGAAGATTTGCTCGAAACCCAAGAACTTGAGGATGGATAGGTTGACGGTAGGGTGGAAGCGGAGACCGCCCTTGTAGGGACCGAGAGCAGAGTTGAATTGCACGCGGTATCCCTTCTGGACCTGGCACTCGCCCTTGTCGTTCTCCCAGACAACGCGGAACTGGATGATGCGCTCGGGGACGGAGACGACCTCGAGGGCCTTCTTGTATTCAGGGTTCTTGGAGAAGAGGGAGGAGGCCTCAAGAGTGGAGACGAGCTCTGCGAGGTGTTAGACAGGAGGCAGATGTGGAGGAAGTATCAGGTTGTGGTAACAATCCAACGAGTCGGTGGTGAGGCGCAAACGTACCCTTCCTGGCTTGCTCAAACTCGGGCTCAGACATTGTGCTGTTGGGTATCTTGGGACTGAAAGAAGATGTGAGTTGATTGAAATTGACACAGTTGCAGAGTCACAAGTTGATGGAGAGGAGAGACGGGAGAGAGTGTCTGGTATATATAATTGCAGTCGGCGCAAGCTAGATAGTTCGCGTGTGCCTGCGGTGACGGTACGGAACAAAGTCGCACTCGATTTGAGTACGTCAGAGGCCGGGAGATTGGGGTGGTGGACCCGTCTCAGTGGTCAACGGGGTCTACTGCGCGCCATGTTGATGCAAACCATGGTGTGCACTTTTTCTACTGATAAGGATCTGGCCAATGGGCGGGCGAGGACATGTATCGCGGGGTGGTTGCACGTGAAGTAGCGGGGGCTCCGGCCACTCGAGGCTCGTGGCGGGCGGTAATAGTCGAGAGTCAAACCATGGGAGGCGACGCGATGCCGACGTCGGCGGGCGAGCTTGTGAGTCTTGTTACGTTGGGCTTTCGCCTAGTGGCGTGTCAGGGTAAAGAGAATAGGCAGGGAGAGTGGGAGAAGCCGGAATGTGGGCGTGAGCTTGGGCCACGCAGGATTGTCTTGGCGAAGCGGCCGCTGGCGACCTCCTGCTGCGGAGATGCCGGACTTCCTCATCTTTGTATGCGACGTCAACCCACAAGCTCAAAACTCACACGATATAGACATAGCCTCGTTGCGATGTTGCACTGCCTCAACCTCTACCATCGCGCTCTCCGACATGCGCATGTGCGCGCATTGCATTCATTGAGCTGCAAGATCATGGTTAGAGACTCGATGGCGGCGTATCTATATCGACATAATCATGCATCGGAAATAGGCAGAGATGAGCATGTTCCATTTTTACATTTGGTGGCATGTGAAAGAGATCGGTTTCCCACCCTCCACGCGCTGACCCCCACGCCCGACATCTCTGCCTCCACACTGAGCACACTCACGGGCAATCGGTAGGGTCCCAATCTGGAGAAAAGTTGCACGTCAGTAAACGCAGCAAAATGAGAATATTGACATGGCTGTATATGCCAGGCACCCAAAGAAACTCACCAGTCACCAGGTACTCGTCCAACCCGTCCATCGTCTCCATGTCGCCATCCTCGATTACGAAGCCCCCAATTTCCGAGTTCTCGACGATTCGCTCCTTCTTGGTGCTCTTGGGCAGTGGCACGTAGCCATGTTGCAGACTCCAGCGGACCAAGAGCTGGCCCGGAGTGCACGAATACTTCTTAGACAGAGCCACAATCTTCGGATGCTTCATGCGCAACGCTCGGACGAGCGGCGCATAGGCCTCTACGATGATGTTGTGCTGCTGGCAAAAGGAAGTAATGTCATTCCGCCTAGTGTACAAAGTTAGCAGTCTTTCATGCAGTGCCGTCCATATGGGGAACTTACGTATTGAACGGGTGAACTTCGATCTGGTTAACCGCTGGAGGAATCCGGGGGTTGGAGTCCAATAGCTCTTGCAACTAGCATATCGTCAGTGGTCGACTTCGGCGACGTGAGATGTCTGGTGACGCTCATGACTATACTCAAGAGTCCAATAAGGGCGACTACGACGACTTTCCTAACCTGGGTGTACGTTCGCACTAAAGACTGAATACGGGCCTTCCCGAGACAACTAAAGCAAAAGGACGGGAACTAGGGTCTACTTACATGTTTGACACCATAATTCGAGACGCCTCCAGTCTTGACTTCGCCGTCATGGATTGCGTCTTCCACCGCTCTCCAGCTGTCGAGACGCGCCTGCTTGCCTCCATATGGGGAGTGCAACAGAAATAGGTCAATGTAGCCAAGACCTGCTTCCTTGACAGATTTCTTGATGGATTTGCGGGCCGTTTCATATGCGGAGTTGGACGCTAGCTTGGAAGTGAAGTGAATGTCTTCGCGCTTGAGTGACTCTGTGTTTGCATCACTTGCGAGAAAGTCTGAGATGGCTTTGCCAGACTCCTTCTCGTTATGGTACATCTGAGCTGAATCGACTCTGTGTACGCGTCATCCGTCAGCCGTACGAAAGCTTGGTCTCGTGATGCTACTCACGCTCGATAGCCAGCCTGCCGTGGTGAGCATCATGGTTACTGATCATCAGGAACGGCAAAAGCATACCTCGAGCGCCCACCGGACGGCTTGGTAAGTCTCCTTCCCGGACGTCAGATAGACGCCGAGATGAATCGTTGGCATGGACAGGCCATTGGAAAGCTGCCACAGTCAGACACGGGCGGCGTCTAGCACGGCCATTGTCAACCCACCTTGGTCCGCGACGCCAATGAGAATGAAGATTGAGCCATGTTCACTGCTAGGGGGCTATGTTGTGCATACACCAAAGTAGATGTGCGATGCTGCGGGAGGCAAGCCACGATAGCGGCAGACTTATATGGATATCCTCGGCGAACTGGTTACATCATGGCCCGTCATGACCGGGGTCTTGACTTTATTGTGGAGGCATCACCATTACGACTTTGAGATCTCATATGCAGCGGCTATGGCTGCGCAGCGTCCCTAGCCTGCTGCAGTTGGAGTAAGAATTTGCTACACGCACAAAAGCAAAACAGGCTACATGTGTGCCTGCAAACTATAGTCTTCACCAACTGCATCGTGAGGACGGTGCCTGCCGATTGGGGCGCCTGCCCCCACCTCCCGAGGTCCTCAACCACTGCGCCGTGCGCCTAGCGACTAGCCCTCGCTGCAGCAGACCCGACCATCCAGTGCCCTGTCGTACAGTGTCGCGTTACCACGTAAGACAGCCTCACCGAAGGCGTGTGGGCTTGGATGATCGGCGAGGAACTAGTCTTCTTCGCCGGGATGCGCTCGTGAAGCTGGAGGGCAGAGGCAGCGCATTGGTCGACGCCCTGGTATTGTGGCTATCCGGACACACGAACATCCGTTTTACATGCCATGGCAGTGGAGCCCCTACCGCGATTGACGAGATCTATCGCCCAGGCGTTTGAAGGCGCCTGTCACTCTAGTCATTCTAGCCAAACTGCAGCATGACAAAAACAACCCAGCGCGCTCAGAAAGGCTCGGTCGCAAAGCCGGCTCGGTGCGCCTGGATCTCGGCCTCTCCGTCGCTCTCTGCCACTGTCTTGGGTGACCAAACGGCCATCATCGCGCAGCAACATGTACAGGGAACAGCAAAAAGGGGGGCAGCGGTCGGCTGAAGCGCACGCAAGCAACCAACGGCAGCGCAGGTAGCGCAGTCTTGACGACACTTGGTTTACAGAGTTTTTGAATAGACCGCCTCGGGAGCCGTCGACCTGGCCGCCGACCCGCGAACTGCGCAGCCACCATCGCCGGCTCCACCAGGCCCTGTGTCGCTGCTCATTGGCGCGGCACGCTGAACTTACTGGTTAAGGATCAAGGGAGCCGGAGTGGCTCGACTTGATCATCGCCAGGATTATTCCAAAATCGCAGCCATCTCACGGAGGCTTCAATAATTCCTCGCAAGGTTAGCAGGGCGGCGTCGACCGAAGCCACACCATATAAGCAACTTCTCAAGCCTCATCATCCATATACTCAACCTCCCCATGTATAAAGCATCTTATCGCGCCCGCTATCGATGCTACAAGAACACCAAGCAACAGACACTGCAGCAGCCTTGAACTAGCCGCCCACTCGGTCGTTTCGTCATTGATCCTTTTCCTCGTCTCATCCTGCCAGAACCCTTAGACCCTGGCTCCCTTGGGCTGCTGTTAGCCAAACCCGACATTCTGCACCGGCACGTTTATTTGACAGTGGTTGCACCCAGCTCGGTAAGTTGCGAGCTGCGAGTACACAAACTGGTGTTCTCCTCTAACCAGCCAACCAGCTGTGCTGACTATTGCCGTTCCTGCAGTAGCTTCTGCTGCCCTCATCATGACAAGTTTACCCGGCTTCACCACAAACTTCCCTGCGGGATACCCAACCTTTCAGACTCGCGGTGGAACTTTTGCGCGTGGTAGCACTTCTTCAGGAGGCTCGCCATCATTGCCACCCGCCTCGTCTGAGCCGCACTTCGACATTTTCGATTGGCACCCTGCATACCAGAGCTGCCAGCGCTATTTCCTCGACCATGCCCAGCACGACAACGGTGTGCAGGCAGTGTGCGCCCTCATCAACATCTGTCTGCCTTTTCAATGGACGCATAATCCCCTCATGAACGCCTCAGGACCGCTGCCTCACTCGTCGGGCGCTGCTGCATACAACATGCCCTGGCCCCGCCAAGGTCCCGTCACCAACTCGCGAGGCCAGCCGGCGCCGGCATGGGTCTCCCTCGTGCCCTTCATTCGACGTCTCGTCGTCACAGGAATGGACAGTCCAGGCATCATGCACGGCTTCTTCGGCGAAGATTGGAGGAAGGGAGTCGGCCCAATGCACGAGTGTGAGCGTCGCAACTACCTCTTTGCGGCCAAGAGCGTGGGTTGGGCCAAGGTCAAATGCCAGTACGACATGTCACCGCACGAGTCAGTGCCATTCCTGAAGCCATTGCAGGAGGTCCAGCTGGCTGAGATCGAGGGGGCCGAAAAGACGTGGAGTCAGTGGCTCGCCATGGAGGATTGGATGGTGGGCCCACGGGCACCGGATGCGGATGACCAGCTACAGGATGCTCGTCGCCGTCCATCTTGAAGCTTGGCGTGGAGTATGGCGTTGTCTGGTGCACCATGGTCGTCAGCATCACGACCGTGATTTGCGTCGCACCAAGACGTGTGTGGGTTTATTTGGGTTGGCGAGGGCTGGGGTCAGCGGTCAGACTTCAGCGATCAGCACTTTACGCCATCGCTGCGCAATGGTTGTGAATGTTCCCCGGCATGGGCGAGAACGCTTCTATCATCCGGTAGTAATGTAGCTATTCCAATACCATTAATGTTACGTATTTAGCTTGACGGCTTGTGTTCTCCGCACCATCATTTCTTTACCTTCAATTTCAGACACGAAATATCATCCATAGAAATTAATTTGGACAACCTGACGTATTTTTCCTTTTCTTGACCAGACGCAATGGAAGGTTCGCGGGTTCCGTGCGCTGTCCGCATCTGTGCATCGTGCCTGCCAAGAAACATCGGCCAACCTCAGCTAAGCACGACCACCTTTGTTCCTCGCCGGACCACATCTCACATTCTTTTTCTTGTCAACGACAGCCCAACATCCTGGGCGCATTCTTAAACTACATGGGCTATGGAGTCCATGGTCAAGGAATGGACCACATTCTTGGACAGGTGCCTCGAGCGCCGCATCCAACCTGATCTGTTCGCTGCAGCCGTCGCGCAGCTGCACGCGAAGTCTCCACTGCCTGGCCGGAAGCTTGCTGCCCTGGTACTTCGACCACGCGTTGCAGGATCCAACAACGTCGACCCGCGCTCCATCGTCTTCCTCGAGCAGCTACTAGCACTGAAGAAGGTCGATGCCTCTGATGTTCTAACGCTGACGTTCTTGTACTCCAAAGACCGCCTTCCGGTCAAGACAGGCGACGAGAAACCAACAAAGGAGCCGCAATGGGACAATCCACCAGAACTCGAGGAAATCATTTTTCATCGCCTACACAAGGCTTTTGCTGCCGAAGAACGGCCCATCAACAATACCGAAGGCTTGCGCACGCTTATTGTTGTGACAAGATGGATGCAGGCAATGGTGACCTCGCATACCAGTGATACCATGATCCAGGCCATGGCTGGTATTCAACAACAACCCCAACAGCACTCTATCAACGTCCGGGAAGGACTTGCAATGCTTGTGATTGGCATAATAGAAAACTCGAGAATTTTGCGGATACTGAATAATCCCAAGGGAAAAGGTAAGCGCACCTCTAATTGTTCTGGTGTTTGTACGGTGTTTTCGAACAGGCTTGCTCAAGACATAACAAGTACACTACTCACGTGGATTAGATGTACGCAAACATTTTATCCAATCATTCTCTTCATTCATCCCGTTTCTCTCCAACAACTCGGGCGGATCGCATCAGTCGTTGCAACTAGCCGAAAGACTTGAGCTCTCGCAAAAGCGACACGACTTTTACGAAAAGCTTCCCAACATGAACGGCGAGGGGAACGGTGACGCCAGTCTCGAAGTCGCTGCGCTTCAGCTCGATGCCGTGATGGAGCTTCCACAGGTGAATACACGAGCCGGTCTCTACGTCTTTTTGAACGCCTTGGTACGTCTTTTCGCTGATGATATGGCACGTTGCTAATGTGTCAAGCTCGTTGCGCGGCCTCTTACTGATGATTTCATCATTATCAATTATCTCCATTCGCGATACAAGGTAGGTCATGACCATTGAATGTCGGAGAAATGCTGATCTCCGTCAGTTGGATGCACAAAACATGGCCACAGACTTGATCACCGCTGCTTTTGATGTCCTTGCCAACGCCATGTATCGCAGTGAACCAACGCAGACAATGTTTTATCTGAAATCATTCCTAATCAACAAAGTACCCTTACTCCTCGTACAAATCTCTGGGTCGATATTTCCGATGACGCCAGAAATGTGCATCACCCAAGCACTCAGTCACGTGGATCCTCATGCGTTTCCGTCGTTCTCGCAGGGGTTCGACGATATCATGGGAAGTAACAATTCCCTCTCTGATGTCAGGCAAGACTTCCTCAATGCCTGTGCGCTCCATGGGCTTATCCCAGCCGGTGCTGTAGAGCGGTTGCTTGGCGAAGCCCCAATGCAAGGTCCTCCATCGAAGAGATACGAGAGGAAGGAATTGCTCAGCCAGTGCAAATCAAACTTCGACAAAGTCAGTACATACATTGACGAGCTTGAGAGCTTGGACGGAAATGCTGGCGCCATTGTCGCTGCCGTTACAGACGTAAGACTCGATACAAAATACTGCGAAAGAGACCTGCTGATGTGATGACAGTTTGTAGCACATCTCTGCGAAACGCAAACGACTATGTACCTGAAACAACTGTCCTCGTTGATATTCAGGAAACCGCAGGCGATGGATGTCATGCTTCAATTCACTTCTCCCGCAAGCATCCTGCGACCACTTTGTCAATTCCTCGATGACTGGCACTACGATAGCGACCAGGGTGAGCCTTGAAGTTACGTTGAACCCTTTGGTCACTAACAGATGTAGGTGAATATCAACCAGTCTATGACGAGTTCGGCGCAATACTGGTTCTGATCATGGCCTTTGTGTATCGCTACGATCTTACATGTCACGACATTGGCATCGGTCATGATACATTCATTGCCAAGCTTATGAAACGCGGTCATCATAGCATGCTCCCTGATGAGTTGAGCGAAGAGCAGGGCAAGCATCTCGGCAACTGGCTCAAAGGACTCTATGACGCCGATAAGGAAGGGCTGAGCAACGAGGTGTTTGCATCCTGTCGGCCACAGGACTTCTATCTCATAGTTCCGACCCTTTTCAGGCAGACAGTCGTGGCATGCTCGACAGGCGTATTGTCATTTGAGTCGGTCAAAGGTGGCTTGGAATGTAAGCTTACCCCAATGTTCCCATTCAATCTGGCACCACTGACTCGACTTCAGATCTCGGAGAGACTTTCCTATTACCCTCCCTGATTGAAGGTCTCACTTGGATGGCCTCACATGCGCTCCTTCAGACACACAAAGACCTCGATTCAATGATACGCATTTTCAATGAAATCATACTGACGACTCCCTCTTCTGGCGACGCACAAGCTATGCACTCGACCATAATAGCGATGGTGGCTAGTCGCCTGGAGAAATGCTTCCGCACGCTACAGCGGCGCGAGCCAAATCGCACGACACTTGAACCTTTCATCCAGGCTATCAAAGTCCACGCGCACTACGAACGTTCCATATACGCTAGCTTGAAAGAAGTAGACCAGTGGACGAATGCGCCGAACAGCACTCTGAACACGTCTCTACGACACACAATACAACAGCTATCGCAATGGGCTTCAACTTCTTCGTTACAGCCAAATCCACCTGGTTATACACATCGCCAAATCTATGCATCGCTCAAGATGCTTGGTGCCACCAGAACGCTACGCGCAATCGTAGATGAGGTAAAAGCGCAGACAGATGCTGGTAACGGTGCCGCTGCGCTCGATATTGGCGTGTCCATCATCTGCGCTCCGACCGTCGAGGATAGCCCCATCACAGTAGACTGGATGGGAAGCTCGATGCCCGCGCCACCTCAACAACGGACCCGCATGAACCTCCGCGAGATGCTCAAGCAGGAATTCGAGAGCGCAGCCAATCTGGTCGCGACAGATCCTCTGATAGCAGAGACGATAGTGCGTCTACATCGCCGCGTAGAAGCGCACTTTGCCTCCCTCAGCGAAGCCGGACTTCAAGCACCGCCTATCAACATACCCAGCGTCAACATTGGGGACATGCAGTCGCAAACTATATCGGACGATCTGAACCGAGCTATCGACGATGCGGCAGCTGCGACGGTGGTAGACGACATTTCCAACATGGACAACAAAGCGCTTCAACGCAGTATGGACGAACTCACCGGTGCCGAAGGCTTGGATTTGTCAAACATCGGCATGGGCAGTGGCGATGCAGGCGCAGGCGACATGAGCACAGACCTGGGTAACTTGCCTGGTATGGATCTGGGCGATATGGGCAGTATGGGCATGGATATGGATATGGACATGGACATGAACATGGATATGGGCGGTGGCGGAGGAGATGACGACTGGGGTCTGGATTTCGACAACATGTAGAGTGTGTTTGAGGAGCGCTCTTCATAGAGTCGGTACTTAGGCACGTATATTATTCTTCCAAAGGCAATGTTTGGATAAGCGCTTGGGCAGAGCTGGATTGGAATGGTTGGGTATGAAAGATTATTACTATCGCATTTTTAAGGTGCCCTGCAATCGAGTACAATAAACAACATCCAAAATTCCAGCGGTGATTCGGTATGTATCATGTATGACTGTACCGAGGTAACGCTACTAACCCCAACCCGGCAAGAAGAAAGGATAGAAGGGAGCGGGGGTTGTACCTGCAGCTGCATAACCCCGGAAGGAATTGCCCCACCATGTTTCCCGACGGTAACGTTCTGTCAGTCAGCTTGTAAACCACACCTTTGTAACCTTTGATATTCTACTTCGTCCTAAGCTCAAAGTATCTAGCAAACAACTCACTTCTTTACTTTAAAACTACATCGAGGACTCGTTGACCGAGTTCATGATCTGCGGTTGAAGGTCGAACAGAACGAGCAAATAGCAAACATGCCGTACGACCTCAAGGGCAGGAATGTGCTTATTACCGGTGGATCAGCGTGCGTACAATACACCTTGCCAAATCATGTTCTGACCGTTACTAACACCCTCCCTCCCAGCGGCCTAGGCGAACTCCTTAGCACGACATTCGCAAGTGAAGGTGCCAATGTGGCGATTAACTACTTCAACCGTATTGAGCCCGCGCAGAAAGTGCAGAAGGCTTGTCAGGAGCATGGGGTTAAGGCTGTTACCGTCAAAGCGGTGAGTTTGGTAGTTTAGGGGGTAGTGTGTTTGAAGGGGTTGGTGGATTGTTTTGGAAGTTGGGATCTGGGAATAGAATTTGAAAGGGAGTAGAAAGAGATGCTAATATAAGACAGGATATGACGTCGACGGATGAGGCGAGGAGGGCTGTGAAGGAGACGATTGAACAACTAGGAGGGCTCGATGTTATCATCGCCAACGCGGTGCGCAAGACCTGATTGACTATCAGGAGCTTTACTAATGGCATCGCAGGGCTGGACACGCTTCTCCGAGTGGAAAGATCTCGATTCCATGAGCGAAGAAGAGTGGGATAAGTGCTGGAATGCAAACGTCAAGGTGCCCAAGGCATTACTGTCCGAGGCGAGGAGCACGTTCGATGCGAATCCAGATGGTGGATTGATGATTACTACGGGTAGTATTGCGGTATGTTCTCAATTTCTCTTATCTTGACACAACTACGGTAATGAT